AACAGCTTGGAGAGCAGGGAGTTATTTCTAGGGGAGGACCACTTCTGGGTAGCTCGACTGAAGGAAAATGATAGAAAAGGATTGCAGGGACGAAAAAGAAGGCGATTTTGCGGGGTTTTATCCGTCAAGCTTCTAGTACAGTGTTTCAAGCGAATACCTTCCGCCAAAATGACGTACCCTGATATGCACCTCTCATTGGCGGGAACGGGAAGCCTACACATACGATTGTAGGCCTCTATCAGGCTGCCAGGCACCAATGCAGAAACGGGAGCAGAGGAGGCCTCATTCCACAGCCTGATTATAAGATACGCAGGTTCTGATCGCTGTCAACATCTCAACTTTGATCGTCTTGATCCATCAGTTTTAAACAGAAGTTACTATACTTGAGAACCCTCTAGTTTATCTATTGTTACTCTGTCGAGCCCTTTAGATGGCGACCATCAACCTAGCTGGAGACAACAGGTCTCAGTATCATCATTTCGTTCCTCAATTTCTATTGAGAAATTTTGCTCACGACTTCGAGCCCAAGGACTGTACCGAATCTGAAGCATCAGGAGAAAGTAGAAAAAAGAAGAAGAAACAGAAGAATCGTCCCAGCCTCGATAGCGGAATGTTGAAAAGATACCCTGGCGATAAGGTTGTCAACAACGTTAACCTACTTCAAACACCTTATGTCGTTGATGAGAGTCCGGTCAAGCGAATTCTCGGATTGACAGACATGTACAGGGACAAGAACGGAGCCACTAGAAAGGAGCAGCATGAGGTGGAAGAAATGTTCAGCAAGATGGAGAGCCAAGCTCAGAGAGTCTTTCGAAAAATCACCAAGGCCTTGGAAGACGACGACAAAGTCGTATGTCTCCCAAGATCAGAAAGAGATCTCGTCCGCAAGTTTCTCTTTCTTCTGAAATTCCGTGGATCCATGTTTCATAAAAGATTCTATCACGAAAAAGTTGAGAACTATTGGGCCAACGACAAAGTCATGTTCAGACAGTACATGGAAGATCATGGCTTTACACGGCCTGTTCAGGTGTGGCTCGAGAGTCTCAAAACAATTATGACGCTAGAGATGGACCCGGAAAGAGAGTGGATGGACAAGATTAAGAATCAGATGTACCCACATGATGCTAATTGGCTTATCATGCATGTTCAAGGGATGTACATGGCTATTTGCACACCGTCAAATCCTGGCGACGAGTTCATACTTACCGATAACAGCTATAATGTTTTCGAAGGGCCTAACTGCTTTGCACAGGACATACAGACTGGGGAGGTCCACGGGGTAGCTGATGCCAACTTTCACGAATTTGCTCCGGTCTCGCCTAGATTGATGATCGTCTTGCGCAATTACCTCTTGCCAGTTCCAGAGGAAGATCTTAACCCAGAAATGCGGCAATTTAGAGAGACTATGCGCTATAACTGCATCGATGACACTTTCGGCCCCAACACAAAATCTTCACTGGAAGATCTTCCCATAACAAAGGCGAGAAACAGCTATTCAAAAATCGTCAACGGGCAGGCAATACGGGTTGAGGGTGAGCATGATTCTTTCACCAAAGATGACAAATTCTATTTTAGCCTGTTTCCAGTGGGACGAGTTCATGTCGACAAAATCAACAAAATCTTCCTCGAAAACTCATCACATTGCTCTCGTATCGTGTTCGGGAGTCAGGCTTCCTTCCTGCGCACTCTTGAATACTACATGACCGCGCCAAAAGGTGTCACTGGTTGCGATGCTGACGCCATAGTCGCACAGCTACGCAAGTTAGATCAACTGATGAAGGAAATGGGCTCAAATCGACAATCTCAATGGTTTCAATTTCCCAGTCCACCCATGCTTAGCGGCGAGAAGCACGAGGCAAAGTTCACCGCATATCACCAGTACATGACAAACACTGAGGAGCATGACACTGGCTTTCTCGCCATACATAAAGCTTTCGGTAAGTTGCGAAAAGGGTGCGACTCGGTTGCAATTGCTGACATAGCGTAGCTCGTGGTGCTGGGACTTGGTTTAAAGATTGGGAACAGGCTAGCCGTATGCAACAGCTACGAATCAAAATTGATTCCTGGAGCTATCGGTACGGTGTGGATGAAGTCATTCGAAACAGGAATCGAAATATGTTACTCCAGATGTATATGCTCTTGCCACCGGCGAGGTTTTGGCTCTACATGAAACGGGTACGAATTATGCTATTGAGCCCGGAAAACATTTTCATGACTGTTCAACCGTTGGTAGAACTCTTTACCAACCCGAATCTTCGAGAAGGTCCAGAAGACATCTTTAGCAAAGGTATTCACCAATCAATATTGTTACAACACATGGCTAACGGGTTGCATCACGAATTCGCAGTTCAGACTATTGTCCGAAGAGATCGACTCAATCATCTCATACACTCCACCGTCCAGAATGATATCAACATGAAGCAGAACCCCGAGCTCGATAGATGGTGTTACGCCACATCCCCGATAGAAGCACTTCAAAGTTATCTTGCTACATGGAACTTTACCCTCAAGCTACCTGGTACGTGAGACATCATACCTCTTAATAACCCTGAGGATATGCAAAGTAACAATATTCAAGGCTCTATAAAAGACTGCGGTACAGATACCTAGTTACAATATACCACTAAGAGGTCGTTACGCTAACCAAGAATTAGGAATATATGAGATTGAAAAACTTGCTGCATCTATGGAATCGTCGATTCTCAGTACTAATACCCATAAGCGACTGGAATTCAATGATCCACGATTTAGTGAAGACAGCAAAATCGAGTTGTTAACGAGGGTGATGGTGAAGCGTAGATTTAAGAAAGTAATGTCCGCTCGATTGGAGGAAGGTCTGGCTGAGTCGTTGAAGGCAGTTCTTTTCAAATATACATACCCAACTCCTCCAACTATAGACGACTAGAAATAGATTGCGTCAGAAGTGTATCGTCTGTGTTCGGCTAATACATCCGTTATAGTTTGGAAAACTTCAACATAGATGGGACGTTCTACATTCCCTGTCCTCTATATTGCTAAACATTGAGATCTTAATATCTCATACCTATGTGATTTTTGTCCAGTTTCTGAATACTATTATATCCTATGTTCTATCTAGACGTATTAGCTATTAGCTTTTACTCCTGATCCTTGCATATAATCAAATACATTTATAGCAAGTGCATTCTTCTCTGTCCTTTATGATATTACTTACAACCCTTATTATGTTAAGAGCTCATTTAATAGAGGAACAATTCTGAATCTCAGCAAGCTTTAAGTGGATGTTGTAGCTAGACTAAAGATTAAACTACTGCATTTTCTGTTAACTAATAAGGGAAAGTTATTTATATTATAGAATAATTTCACTTTAAATATATATAAGCTTCTTTTAAAGTTATTTAAAGTAAAATAGCTTTACTTATATAAAGCAAATTGACCTAACTATTACCATAGTCTAGTATATTTGATATCTTACTTCCCTTCTAAATAGAATGCGAATTTAGTTTCTACGGTAGATAGTTTAAGTTCTTAACACTGTGGACTGATTCCTATCACGCTGCAGAAATAATCTTCTGCGCCGCGGTCTCGGCGATGCCATACACAGCCGTCTGAATATGCCCTGACAGCTGAACGGGGATAATACTAGCATCAACCACACGCAGGTTTTTCGTGCCGTATACCTTTAGGTTCTTATCCACAACACCACCATCCTTCTTGGGGAGCAACGCGCAGGTACCGACAGGGTGATAGAAGCTGTTGACTGTGTTGACAGCAAAATCGTGGAACTGTTTGTCTGTCTTCACCTCCGGGCCCGGTTCTGTCTCTACTTCCCATACGGACCGTAGAGGCTCTGTCTCGGCGACCTTACGGGCAAACTTGGCACCTTCGATGAGCGCTCGCACGTCGTACTCGTTGTTGAGGTAGTTTAGGTCAATAATTGGCTTGCCTTTTGGAGCTTCGGGGTTGATGTGAACACTACCGCGGCTCATGGGATGCATAACGCTGGAGAAGATGGTGATGAAGTTACCGCCGGGATATCCTGCGGCGCCGACGTAGTTTGCTTCTAGAATGAGCTCCAGCTGGGGGATAGACAGGTTGCTCAGCCACTTAAGCTTCTTCTTATCTACGACGGTACCATTCTTGGAAAATCCGTCATCGGCAAGGCTGGTGAGATGCTTGCCTGTCTTTTTGCTGATTTGGGCCCAGTTGAGGAAGGCGTAGGCACTGGTGGTGTAGTCATACCACGATACCTTGTTTTGAAGCCAGAGGTTAAACTCCTGCTTCGCCAAGGTGCCTTCCACGTCGAATATCATGGGATCGAAGGATTCATAGCCTTTCTTCAGTCTATAGGTGTTGGAGGTACGGAGATGGTCCTGGTAATTTTCGCCTACACCGGGGAGATCGAGCAATTTCTTGACACCCGCCTTGGCAAGAACAGCAGATTGGCCAATGCCGGATAGCTCGAGCAATCCCGGACTCTGGATGGAGCCAGCGGAGAGGATGACCTCCTTGCGAGCCTTGATCTTAGAGCCATCTTGCAGAGCAACACCGGTCGCAACTAAGCCCTTGTTCTCAGAAAATAGAATCTTGGCGACGTGGGTATTTGTCCTGACTGTGAGGTTGGGCCCAGCCTTGGGCAGGTAGCTGTTGGCGCTGTATGACCGGGTGTAGTTGGTCACGTCAATATTGGTGGGCTGGAACATGACTCCAATAGGGTTTCCTCCTAGAGAGCCTCCGTTGTTGGTGGGGACCCCGAACTTGCTGACCACAGACTGCCACGGCTTCAAAACATCCGGCACGATGCGATTGTAAGTGGACTTGATAGGACCAGTGCGACCGTGGACGTCGCCGTCGTCACCTGTGAAGTTCTCCGACTTGGTCATACCATGGATCATGGTCTTCCAGTTCCACCCGGGACTGCCGAGCTCGCTCCAAGCGTCGTATTCAGCAGACGAGGCACGATCATAGCATAGAAAGTTCATCGCCGATGAGCCGCCAAGAACCTTGCCACGGGGGACGCCGACGGACCGCCCATTGAGCCCTGGCTGGGCAACCGAAGAGAAGTTCCAGTCGCTCTCTGATCCCAAGAGCGCACCGCGCATGCCTGGTACATTAATTCGCACATCATCAAGAGCCGCTGGGCCAGCTTCCAGAAGCAGGATCTTGTGCTTGGGAAGGCCGAGGCTCAGTCTGGTCGCGAGGGCTCCTCCGGCGGTGCCACCTCCGACGATGATCTATACACGGATAATTATTAGCAGTGCCCAGGTATATGTGTTTGAAGTAACGGAGGAAAAGACTTACATAGTCATAGGTCTCGGGTGCTGAGGCGGCTGATGTACCGGCTAATAAGCCTGATATGATCCAGGTGTAGAGCTGCATGATATGTATGTACAAGAGATGAATAGCAGAATCCTATCTCAAGAATGTATATCGTGAACAACAGAGGGTGACGCTCGCTGCACTGACATACCGATAGACAGGAGGTTTGGGAGCCATTTTGTACCTGCCATCCCTTGGTGCATAACGGTGGTCCGGTCCATGCAGGATCCCATGTTGCCCTACCCCGTCAAATGATTTGTTGTCGTAGAGGTGCCTCTGCAACTTCTCATGCAGTGCATGAAGCAAGGTTTGTCAAATTGCAGGTCGTGCCAAGAAGGGCTGACTGTGTTGTTGTCTCACCCATGCTCAGTACCCCTGTATTTGGAAAGAGTCGGTGGAGCTGTGCGGCAGTGACAAATGGGATCGTAAGTTCCCCGCGTCGCATGGAACTTAGCAAATGCTTACGAGATTTCAAGATTTGCATGGATAAATCACTGACATAGTATTACAATGTCAACCCGGCATCTATACCTAGTTCTGGCCGAATAGAGACTCCATCGCCGACGATGGTGCAGTTGGGCTGGAATATTATTGCTACTATAGACTGTTGGTTGGTTCTACTAATTTCTTACCTGATGTTTGCTTTACCAAAGCGGAAGGAGGTCTCAGAATAACACGACCAACATTCAGCGACAAAACTACACCCATGTCTCAGCATACGGCGAAGGCTTGGTTACAAAATTGGTTAATCGTAGTTGCAGAAGCAGCAGACCGTGGAAATAATGGATGATGAAGCGAACAAGAGCGTCTTTACCGGACGAAAGGTCAGATCACCTTGTGCTTTGTGGGGTAGGTGTCTATTTCTGGGTGCGCGGACTAGAGACGAAAAAGAAGAATTCAAAAGCCAATTCGGAGCAAGCCTGCGGCACAGGTTTTGGTCCTGGTCATCTTCTCTCGGCACTTCGGGATATCTCCATTGAGTTCCTGGCAAACGATGCGCTGGAATTATCTTGGCGCCGACAAACGTCTTTATTCACTACTTCATTTAGCAGTGTCACACTGGGTCAAAATATCACTTACGGAGTGCCTGATGTTTGTCTACCATAGCAACTTATGAGATTAAGTAAGCCTTATAGATCCAGAATCTTTTGGTAAGATTCCGTAATCAGGCTAAACAGAAGTAGAGATCTGACAGTACGCCAACCTACGCATCTAAGCAAATAGCATTGCTCTATTGGGAGCTACGAGGCTTAGTCAATCTCATGTGTTACTACGGTAGTTGTATCGTCTGGTGTAAAGGACTTTAAAGTATTGTCAGTGCTCACAACGATTCAGTCTCTGATGTCTTCATCATACCACTTGACCCCACTGATTACAGTGTGTGTCTGACAGATGTTTACGGGGTACTGTAGCAATGATGCAGGGAAAAGGCGGGGGATATGGGAACCGTCCCGTGTTTGCGGCCCTGTATCGGAACCAGGGGTAGCACTCCGCGGGCCTGGGTGATCCCCCTGTGCCAAGTGAGTTTAAATGCGAAAATACGCGAACCGGTTGCTAAGCTGTCTTGTCCGAAAATGGCGACCGTAGGAAAGCTCTATTGGAGGAAGTCATCTGGTCAATTTTTCCTCTACGTTTTCCCCTGCCTGCAGGTGTTGGTTGTTGTTTCCCAGACCAACACTGGGTAAAGTTTGCTCTCTGCAAACTCCCACGTAGAGTTGTTTGTCATGTTCAATTCCACTGTCTGACATAGCCCTTCCTCGTAAGGGGTTTCTTCCTGTGCCGCTGGTTTGTGTCCCTACCTGTCTCCCAGTCTTCTGCAGTATGCCTGATCTGGTTCCAAATAACGTGATAAGATGGCGCATCAGCTCCAGGCCAGTCATCGCTTTCGTGCGACTTGATATTGCCCCCGACCCTCCAACTCCCCGACATCCATTCATAGCTCCTGTCACTATTCAGAAAGGCCTCAGACCATCATTCTCACCCGCCCGCCAGCTGCGGACTCAGGTGGTCAAACATGGCGGATTCTCACGAGTCACAGGGTCCCCTTATCGTTGGAATCGCTGTTGGCTTCGTTGTTGCCTCTGTTACAATCATACTGCTACGGCTCTACGCACGGTTTGTCCTTCTAGGGTTGGCGGGCCCAGATGACTGGACTATTCTGGCAGCAGCGGTACGTCGAATCTTTCGTTTAGTGTCCTTCAGGTTCAAGGACAATTCGGTGAGCCTATAGAGCTGACGTTTTTCAAGGGCATTTCCGTTGTCAACGCGGTGTCAACTGTATTTGGTAGGTTCTTCCAGTGTCTAGAGCTACTACGTCTTGTCAGAGCTAATAATTCTCCTCATTCTCAGAGACGAAACACGGCATGGGCAGACACAAGGAAGACGTGTCAGCAGAGGACAGCATAGAACAGCTGAAGGTATGCCATGGCCACCTCTTGGTCGCGGAAACCCTCGGATACCTGAGCAGGACTAACGTGTGTATAGTACTTGTACGTCGCCATTCTCCATTACAATTTGGGCATGAATATCGTCAAAGTATCGTTCCTATTCCAATATCGCCGCATCTTCCAGTCGTCGAGGGTTCAAAAAGTCTGCTCCTGGGTGATCATCGGCGTCATCCTCTGGGCTTGCATCCAGGCCACTCTCCTCGGCATCTCGTGTCTACCCATCTCCGCCCTCGTACCCAGCACAGCAGGTTGGTGTCTGGACACGCTGCCGGTCTGGTACCTTTCGTCAGCCATGAGCATCGCCACAGACGTTGTCATATTTTGCATCCCGCTTCCCTCGGTCATGAAGCTCCAACTACCTGTCAAGCAGAAGATCATGGTTATACTCATCTTCTGTTTGGGATTCTTGTCAGTATAAACACTTGCGCCTCGCCTCTCACCTTCAAGTTTCATAACTGACGATGGACGACTCTCACCACAGTGTTTGCATCATCTCCGTCTATCGCATGTGCACCCTCCGTGAGGCTGTTAACAGTGATGATCCGCCATGGGACGGCGCCGGTGCCGCCATTTGGTCCGTCATCGAACTGAATTGCGCCATCATCTGCGCCTCGCTGCCCACTCTACGGCCCTTGCTAGCAAAGGTCATCCCTGGCATGTCATCTAACCACAGTAAATATCCAAGTAACTATGCCAGTTACGAGCGCTACGGGTCGCATCATGTTCCTGGCTCCAACTCGCGAAAGGGCGCTCACGTCTCTGTCAAGAAGTCTAGAAGAGGTCCGCGAAGCATCAGCACTGAGGAGCTGGCTCTGAATGACATGTTCTCGAGTATCCAGGGCGGTATGCCCAGTGTATATGTGGAGAGCAGAGGCGAGAATCCGGCGCACGACCATCCGGAGCAGATTGTGGTAACGAAAGAGACGTTGGTGAGCACCCAGAGCAAACCCTAGGGGATGGACGTACTTTTGGTCCACGCAAGCATCTCTATGAGATTATAGAATGGTCATGCGTTTGTTACTTGTGTATACTACCATATCATTGTGATAAAATTTACTCTTTACTCTTTGTTGAATTAGCGTAGTATTTCCAAAGGTAAGGATATCATGCACCAAATGTAAGTGAAGGACTTGGTGGTTCTGTCAATAATTGAACAGTATGGCTTGAATCAAAAGAACATTAATAGCAACAGTCTGATAAGCTTTCTCTGAAAACATAATGTTCAATTGCCCAAGCGTTGAACAGATATTGTGTCGGGAGCTTAATCGAAGTTATAACCGCTCTGTTCCCGAAGTACTCTGCCAATCACGTGAAAGCGCGTGCGTTGGCACGTGCGGCGCCATCTCATCCTGCATCAATCTCAATCATCAAGCTCTGTTCACAAGCTCACCGCGCCCTTGAGAACTTTTCATCACCACACAATGTCCGACTCACAATCCGACCAAAGCGAAAATGAGAAGCCTACTCAAAATCCCCAGAGCGAGGACGACTCGGGCGACAGCGAGTCCAGCAGCGACGAAAGCTCTGATCATTCTGATGGTGGAGGACTTCTCGATACCATGGCCGCTGATGACAGCGATGAAGAGTCAAGTGACGAGGAAGACAACGATAACGAAAATGAGTACGAATCAGATCTAGGCGATGATCACTTCCCGAAATTTGGAGAATTACCGATTGAATTGCGCCATAAGATCTGGGAATTATTCTGTCCTGAGTTACGCGCCCGATATCGCGTTCTCGATTTTATTATTTCTTACGGCACCACACGACATCCCGAAGCAGCGAGCGCATTTGTCTGGACTGTCCGCGATGGTCTTGCGCTTGAAGATCAAACGAGAAACTTGCGCACGGTTTTTGCAGTCAATCAAGATTCGCGCGCATACGCGAAAATGGCCTTCCCCGACTCTCTCAGCATAGACGCTGGTGATGGCGACGCAACAGTCGCATTCAATCGAAAGTCGGATGTCATCCTCGTCAACGGTCTTTCATTTCCTGCTGGAAGGAATGTTTTCCACTTACCGGGTTTCGCAAGCGAAGTCAAGAATCTTGCGCTGGGAGGAACGGATATTCTCGACAATCTGAGCAGTTTCCATGTCCCTACGCTATTGGACCAGTTCACCCAGCTCGAGTCATTCTACGTCAGCGTTTCAAGCACGGATTGTCAAAAATCGACTTTGGGATGGTGTACATCCGATCTTGTGAACCATTACCAAACACAAACATACGAAAAACAGCCTGGTCTCGGAGAAGATTTACATTTCCTGTGGTGCTGGCCCGATCTGCAACGACATCCCGACTTTGCGCGATATTCAATCAATAGAGAATCTTGGGACAGTTTACCGGAGCCTCTCGGAGGGACATTGGAGAGAAGAGGCCTCAAGGCTTGGCCTATGGTTGCTTTTGAATATGAGCGCGGCCTACGACGTTTTGAGATGTTGCAGACTCTTGGGCCGGACTTGGGCGACGACAGCGACAGTTCGGAGGAGGAAAGTGAGGATGACGATAACAATGGACCGGATTTGGATCAATACGAAAGCGACGGTATCGACGATGATGAGATTGTTGAGACATATGACGATTCAGACGAGGAGGGCATCTCATTAGACGAAGCATCTTCAAGACCTGGTCGACGACTGGTTCAGCGAATTTCTGATGACGATGAGGATGATGAGGATGGCGAAGGTGCAGGCGCAAACTTTTCGGACCCAGAGCCGGATCCTGAACCTGAAGAGCCCGTGCAACGCGGTCGCAAGCGTCGCGTGGTGTCGGATTCGGATGATGAGGAAGAGGAGGATGTTCAGCCCTTGACAAAACGCGTAAGGGTAGTCGCCGACTCCGATGATGAAGACGAAGAGCCAGTTTCTCAATCAGAGCGCAGCAATAAGCGCTCAAGAACAGTCCTCTCCGACGACGAAGACGAAGACGAAGAACAAGGCGGCGTGGTGTCCAAACAACAATCCGACAAGTCAGACAGCTCATCCAGCAGCGAACAATCAAGCTCAGAAGAGGACTCAGACCCAGAAGACGCTCCACCAAAACAGCTCTCCCTCGCAGAACGTCTCCGTCTTCATCGTCAAGAAAATCCCGTTGAAGAAGATTCAGACGACGCAAGCAGCAGGACTGCAGAGGAAGAGTCCGACGATGAAGATGATGATGATGAGGAAGAGAGAAATCCGTTTATGATGGGTATGGCTGATGAGTCGGATGGTGAAGGGGAGGATTATGATGAGGATGATTATTGATTCTGATATAGGACTTTGATTCGAGTGTTTGATTGCATTAGTTAGATTTTAATACACTCCAGCGATGGACTACAAATTTTTTCCACTGGCTAGAAGATCAATGAATTGATCGATCCTCTTACTTCTCGTCTCAGGTCTTTTTGCCGTTTCCAGCCGTTGAATAAAAGCATACCTCTTCGTCTTTCCCAAACCATCAAAGAACTCCCCCGCAGCTTGATTCCTATCCAACGCCTTTTGAAAATCATCTGGCACAGCAGCATTACTACTCGACGAATAAGCCCGTTCCCATCGCCCATCCTCCTTCGCTTTATCCACCTCTGCCAAACCAGCTGGCGTCATCTTTCCCTCTGCGATAAGTGCGGCGACTTTTTGAACATTGCGTTGAGACCAGAGACTTCCTTTGCGACGCGGTGTGAAGCGCTGGATGAAGTGTGTTGCGTCAAGGGTTTTGCGTTGGCCGTCGATCCAGCCGTGGCAGAGGGCTACGTCGAGGGCTTGGTCGTATGTTATTGAGGGGGTTGGGGACGATTTCTTTGCGATTTTGAGCCAGAGGCCTGAGGGGGTTGGGGATGAGGTTAGGTAGGTTTGCCATTCTGAGGGTGTGGTGAAGAGCCGTGTTTCAAGGGATGAGGGCTGCGTGGGAGCAGGTGGAGCAGTTGCAGTCGGGGTGATTGAAGCGACCGGGGTGACTGATGGTGTGGTTGAGGCTTGGAGACGCGTGAGTCTCTTCGCTGCTGAGCGCGTTTGACGCGACATTTTGTGAGATGATGTTGAGAATGCGTGAATTGAAATAGTAGGTCAGCATGTGTGATTCGTTGTCGGATGAATCTTGAAGGATGACAATAGGCAGCATCGTGAAATACGCTAAACCAAAAACAAATCACCACAACAAGCAGCAACAGCCTCTACATTCGTTATCCATTATCATAAAGATGTCTGAAATGTTAAAAAAATTGGTAAATAATTATCTATTTTACAACATACGGTCTAAAGTCTCGCTAAGGTGTGTGGTCGGTGGCGAAATACCACACTGTAGGGTATCCCCCATCGCGTCCACATCGGAGAGAACAGCGACTTTTATCACGTGATAGCGCAAAGAAACTCAATTGAAGTCACGACAAGTGGGGGACAAGGTCCAGATATCAGAACTCTCGTTACGTTTGAAGAATACACTCTTACATCACTGAGTGCGATTGAGAACGATGCCAGTGGTCAAGCGACCATGTCTTCAGTGTAAAGGTGAGAATATCTGCACTTAATTGGTCATAGCGAGTACTGACGATCAACAGAGAAACATGTGAAATGTAAGGAGCTATGATGAGACAACTGGCGATTGAGAAGGACTGATTGATTCTAGGCGACGAAGGACAACCTAGATGTCAACGTTGCATCGTCAAAAACCTCCCCTGCGCACGACCTGCTAAACAGACCATCTTTCGAAATTCATCCACAGGACCATTGACGAGTCAGACATGGGTCAACAGCGAAGTTAGGGACTGTAAGTTGAAACAAAAGAAGTCAAAGCCAAAGTCAGAAGACTGATGTGCATACAGTCGGCAGTAGTCCGCAAAGTCAATTCGACTCTGGCAGCGGCACATCGCCAAGAGTCCAAGCACATCATAGCGAACATACGCACAGGGAACAACCGTCGTTTGACAGCAGGCCGAGATATGCACCTCACTCAACGGGTAACTCACCTAGCTATCCCTCATCACCATGGCGATCACCCACAGATGTTCCGAGCACTTCGAGCATCTATTCCGCGCAGGATCAATCATCACCATATGACCAAACCACAGACAAATACCCTGAAACAACAAAGTTTCCGCTCCAAGATCCGCAGGAGGCTTGTCTGCTAAGGTATTTTGTCGAGGAGCTGTCACATTGGGTATGTCTCGGTAACCGCCGGATCGACAGTCAATGCTAACGTGGCAGCTTGACCTTTGCGACGAAAGAAGACATTTTCAACTTGTCGTTCCTATCCGAGCGCGTCAGCATCCTCCGTTACTTTACGCGATATTCGCTTTATCGGCGCGCCATTTGAGTCGGTTGCCGAAATACAAAACGCCTCAGGGAATATTGTATCAGGGTCAATTACTACCTAAACTTACGCCTCATGATGCTGTGGAATATACGTTGAAATGTATACCTGCACTACGCGACTTTCATAATATCCAAGATGATGAAAAATTAGAGAGTATTATAGCAACAGCAGGTAAGAACCACCACCCAATAAGCGAGCACTTACTCATCCTTTAGTAATTCTTCGTCAACTAGAAGAGATCGACGACGAAGACGACGCCGCGCCCAAACCTCAGGTAAATTTCTTAGCGATTATCGACGCAGTCCTCAGAAGCCCACCTTCACGGACCCTCTTCGGCCGCCGATCCCTCATCCAAGCGGCATACTGGATGGCCGTCCGCCAAGAACTCTACCACTCATTCACAAAGCGTCATCCGCCCAAAATGGTTCTTGATGCTGAATATGGGAATGGTGCTTCGAGGGCTAATAAGATTGTTTTGCACACGGCTCAGGTGGCTAAGTGGCGATGGGCAGATGGATCTGAGAACGAATGGTGTGCGTAACGAGATTGCCCAGCTAGCCTGATTCTGATTTGTGATGGTTGACTAACGTGGTGTAGTGAGACTTCAAAAACAGGGCGAAATACTAGAGGAGGAAGCGTTGAAAGAGTATCAGCCGTTTTACGTGAAAAAGGCTGATCGGTCGAATGGGGAGATTTTCCCGGTTATTTGGTACTCGTCCGCGCTCGAGGTGACAAGCATGCAGCTGTGCATCATAGCAAAGATGGTTCTCATGGCGGAGAATCCCTTTCTGGGGTGCGTCAATCTCAATTACCCTGGGTCAAAGTTACCCTCGCTTTGGGTCTGATCTTCACTGACGTCAAGCTAGAGGACATTCATCAACACGAGCACAGTGGAGAGACATAGAAAATCAAGTGCGACAACTAATTCTCGATCTTTGTGGGATTAGTCTCTGTCATCCAGGCTGTCCGCCAGCGTTGGTACACGCAGCTTTTGGAATGGAGTTGTACGGGGATTTTTTCACGGATCATTATGAACGGATGGCGTTGAGAGGCGTTGTAGATAAGTTTCGCGATGCAAGAGCCTGGCCAGTGCAGAATCTCAGTAAAATGTTTGAGTAAGGCATCACTCGTTTGGGATGGAATACTATTCAGGTACCGGCATTCAGCGCGGTATTTCAGGGACTAGAGAGAAGCTAGCATCGACCGGTCTGTCGGGTGAAATATACGAGATTACAACGGAAATGGGACTTTCCGTGCAGAATTGACCACAGGAAAGTGATATTGCCGGTATGACCCCGATATGTTTCGGCTCTGACATGCTGATCTTTTCTACGTGGAGAATGGGTGGTAATGTCACTTTTGACACGATCTTGCCGAGTCGGCGATATGATCCTTGTGCGCAGCTGTTCATGGGGAAATCTGGCTTACCATTCGCGAAATGATCTCGGAGAAATTTGTAGCTGAAAATGTGAATCGTCATTGGCTGTTCCAATCCTTGAATGTTGACCCTTGAATGTTTGTCTGTTATGCTTCCATTTTATGCATGTTTGCTAATTGATCAACCAACAATGCGACGATTGTTTTGCGTCAGCTTCAGATTGACGGGATCAGACATGTTTGTGTTTGAATTCTTATCTGAGCGCAATGTGCGGAAAATGTCCCGTGGTTTGTGTTTTGTCGCAATGCCGATCTCTCTCCACGGCAATCTCCTACTTTAGCTGCCAAAGTGCCGGGGACAGCCACGAACGGTAGGACAAGAGGGTTGAAGCTAAATAGAGGAAAAGAGATTGGTGAGGTACCTGAGAGTAACGGGTAAAGAAAACCGAGTGGTAAAGTATTGGTTAGTATGGGCAAGAGAACGAGCCGCCCGCACGCTTACAGCGGGTAATTCCGTATTCCAGAGCCCAAGCACCAGTCAACTGACAGTAGTACCTGTGCTGGGCTGTCTAGGCTGTGACTGTGAGACAGACACAGCAGTACGTACAGTAGCACGGATCACCTCGGTCGCGTGGGAGGCCGTTACGCATAAACGCCCTAACAAACTTTGTGAAAAAGCATTGGGCAGCGAGAACAGAAAATCACGGAGTGTTTTCCACGCGTTGGTGAAACCCAGATAACTGGTTCGACAGGCTTCGCTTCGAGCTGTGCATGACGACAAGACTTGGTCGATCTTGCGCGTACAGTGATTGTGCGGGTAGAGGGCCCTCCGATTTGACATGGAGGAGCCTGTGATTTGATCGAGAGGAGCACGATTAATTAAGATCTGCTAGGGCCAGACTGGGGGGTTTGAGCTAAGTGCGGACCGGTCTGGCAGCTCCTAGCGGCAAGAAAGAAAGAAACAAGTGGCTAGAAACAAAAAGAGGAGGAACCAGAAAAAAGGAATTATTACGCCTCGCAATAATGATATCTCAGTTGTGTGAAAACGGTTTCGAGACATTTCTACGGAACACGCCGGTTTAATTAATGGCTGGCTGGAGTTATAGTGGGTTTTGATTCACTTTGACCTCTAGGGCTGCTGAATGGTTGCAACCTTGATGTTTCGTTCGTTTATCGCGATGCCGTGGAGAAAGGACGGGGATTATGCATGTAACGCCCAACAGATATTCTTTGCTTTTTTGAAGGACAAACTGTATTTAATTGATATCGAATACAGACTTTACAGGGCATTGATATGAAACGATTGCTATCAAAATCAGACCATGGCATAACTTTATTCTGTTGCGCGCCAGGAACCAACGGTGGTTAGAAGTTTAGGGCTCGAGTCTAGCCAGCCTCAGTGGATACAGGCGCCTAGGTCGGTAAAACAGGCATTGCAGTAGAGGCCTCAATCACGTTGTCTCCCTTACTTTACTTTCTCCCTTGCACTTAAAGTAACGGACCTTTTCTAACGCAAGGGAGATTGATAAGGTGGTGTTTCCCAGCCATCATATCAATTAGAGTACGATTAAACGGTCCTTTTCGAGACTGTTTGTGACAGCTCAGGACTTGGGGCTGAACGTGGTACAGTCGGGTACAAGGATGCAGCAAACTTTACTCGGTGGCTTGGTCATTCTTCGTCATGGCTGAACAGAACGTGGTAAATAAAAAGCAACGATGAAAAAAAGGTTGATCTGATGTCTGGAAGTTCGTGATTCCGATGCAAGGGCGTTTGGCCGTTTTCCCAGCAACGCACAATTAATTGGTTTGTGACACTGACGATCTTTTCGTCTGTCTCACTAACCCCTCGCATAAGAAGCCCATCACCTATCAATCACCTCATAGACCAGGACGAACTCGAAAGAAGTAGCAAACCGAGAAAAAAAAAAAGCAGGGGATCGGCAAGAACTGGTCTGTTCGCGAGAAAAGTAATCTCGGGGTCGGTCCTGTCAGTGTTGTGATGCCCTACCGTAAGCACCACCCATCAATTAATTCCGAACTGCGGGTTGACCAATCGGGACTTGCAAGGGTTTGTGCGTCAAGGGTTGGAGACCATTGCAGTTAAGATCATCGTGGTCGGGAAGAGATCGACTGACCCTGGCACTAGTGATCTGAAGTCCCGGGAGCCAAGTCTGGGTTGATGTGCAAGGGATAAGCCCGTCACATTCACTCAGAGCCACTCTTCTTCTCTTTCTCTCTCTTGCATTCAATCTTGTCTTGCCTTTTACTCCCAGTCACTCTCTACTGCAAGAAATCTCTTATACGTTCCCTGTCTGCTTTAGCGTCATCATGGATTAGAGAGACACGGACACTCTTCTGTGATACATAACACCTCGTCATCTCCTCCATTTGTTTCTCCCCCTCCCAAGTTTAAGTACCTGTCGTACTTGCTACGACGTGCATTTCTTCAAACCCACGTTCCTTAAAGACAACCTATATCAACAACCATTATACCAGACCATCAATCATATTTCCTTTTATCGATTTCTACAACTACCAATTTTCATTACCGCCAGAATGGCATACTCTTCCACGCCACAGCCCAACCTAGATGGGCTGGGCATCTTCTGGATCATCTGGACCTTCATCTGGACTTTTATCGTCGCAGGAGGCATGATCTTCCTCTGGCGCCGTCGCGACATGCCCATGCTCCGAATTCGAGACCTTCCGCTTTCTTTCGTCGCTATTATAATGCTCCACCTCTACTGGGGCGCCGTCCAGACCGGTTACGTTTATTTCCCGCTGTTTACTCCTGAGGGAGAATATTGGATCATGGGCTTGTACTTTCCTTTCGGTATCGCACTGTTTCATGCGAGCAATAGTCGCTTTTTGCATGTTGCGAAACAGCAGAAGGAGTTGTTTGCGCCGGATGAGAAGACTGAGACGAAAACTCGCGCCAGGCCGGGGAGTTTATTGGGACGCTTTCAACGATTGGATTATACCAGGAAGATTCTTGTCACAATTGGTGCGGGCATGGCTATTCAGGTATGTCAATCACGGAGGAACATGGGATGAAGCTAACAGGATCAGCTTATCCTTACTATCATCATGTGGTGCATCTCCAAAAAGTTCCATCACAGCTGGGGTGTCGCAGGCACAGAAGTCCATCCCGGCACCAAGGAATACGAAAAGTCTCAGATGGGTAAGGGCTGGGAATGGTAAGCATACTCTCCCACTACAACATCCCCTATCCTAACTAACTCTTCCAGGTGGCCTTCTGTATTCTGGCAATTCGTCTGGGCATGGATCGTCGCCCCTTACATCCTCTGGCAAGCCCGCCATGTCAACGACACCCAGGGATGGCGCACCCAAACCATCGCCTGCTGCATCGCCAAGTACGTCCCTTCTCCCTTAGATCCAAGACTCCACTCTAACCAAGACACAGTCTTCATGCAACCCCTATGTGGCTCGTCGCCTTGTACGTGCCAGCCATGGAACCCGTCAACGCATACTGGATTCCTCCTCAATGGTACGCCACCTCCCCTTAACTTCAAACAAGACATAAACTGACCACCTGTCACAGGCTCGCCATTTCCATCATGGCTATTGAGATCTTTACTATCTTCTGGCCCTGCTGGGAAGTCATCCAGCACAACACCCTCCGCCAAGAAACTCTTGACTCCATTGCTAAATGGCAGCTCAACAAAAAGGCTGTCACCCATGGTGCTCGCTCCGTCGCAACAGGGTCCACAACCGTCGCTGCCTCCGCCCTTACATCCTGGTCCAAAGACGGCTCCGTGAAGAGCAGCGGTGGTGAAAGTATCCTCACCATGGAAGCACTCGAGCATGTCCTCGAGCGCAACCCCGAACCTCTCCAGCAATTCTCCGCTCTTCGCGATTTCTCTGGTGAGAACATTGCGTTCTTGAGAGCTGTCGCTGAGTGGAAGTCTTCTCTTCCTCCTTCTGTTCGCGATCCTGAGAAGATCAAGGAACCTGCTGTGCAAGAACTTGTTCGCGAGCGATTCAACAGTGCTCTGCGCATTTATACCGGCTACATTAGCTCGCGCGACGCTGAGTTTCAGATCAATTTGTCGTCCCAACAGCAGCGCAAGCTTGAAACTGTTTTTGAGAACTCTGCGCGCATTCTTTTCGGAGAGAAGGGCAGTGTTGATCCAGCCCTACCATTCGAGACATTCCAGATGACCACCACCGCCAACAAAGTCAAGTCCTCCGGCGCATCATCGCATGGATCCGAAACAGGTATCATGGGGGCAGATCTCGCCAACGACTCTGGAAGTCAGAGCGATAAGGCTCTTTACTGGGGTGACATCCCCGAAGGCTTTGACGCGACCATCTTTGACGACTCTGAGGGTCATATTAAATATCTTGTGTTGACTAACACTTGGCCCAAGTTCGTCAAGGACCGAAGATGTTCTCTTGACTCCAATGATACCCTTGAGGCTGGCAATGGAATTCCTGCTGGTCGATAAGATTGGAAATGGGGATTGGATAATTATGGAGTTTTGATGATTACAAGTGATTCCCACGTATAACCGTTCACTTTTATGGGATGGCTTCCTATGTATTTAATGTAACTATGACTTATTGTCAATTATTCTGAACAATGAATGCTGAGTTTTCATGAATTTTAAGTGCTGTCAATTGAATTGCATACATCTGTCCTGCGCATTGTGAATCCCGACACATCAAACGCCACAACGCTGAGCCGAGTGCTAGTCTGGCGAGTTTACAGGGCTAGCCTCAGGGCACCCGTCTGCTAATTCAACCTCGTTTAGCGATCGGACTCGCCAGTGTAACATGGACCCGACCCCTGGGGTTCCAGCGCCATGGCGCCCACGGTATTTGAACTTTGTTTCTCGGTGAGAGTATAATCCATGTCAAAGGTTATCATGCAACGCAATTCCTGACAATCTCCGCGATAGCCAGTCGTATTCATCCGCGATGGGTATGTAGATAGAGTTTCGTTAGTGAGATCTCAGTAATTTTATTGTCCTTGCTCGAGCCTTGTTGATCTCATAGGCGAGTTCTTCTGATGAAGCATTGACGGCCATAAGAATGCCTCACCTGAGTAGGCGTACTCGGAGGAGGGACATAAATAGAATCAGGCTCCAAGCTCCACTTCATCACTGGCTAGTGAATGTGTGGCTGAATTGCGTTGCTGTCATTGCGGTTTCGAATGGTGTTGAGGCCGCCCTGCTGATGCTCGTGATATGGATAACATTATGGATGGGATGGCAACCCCTCTTTCAGAGCCTGATTTCTTAACTGTGAAAAGCAATAAGATTGACCAGCACCAATATCCCGGTGAGATTGGTTTGCAGAAAGTCTCAGCAGAAGATGTTAGCTCAAGATGTCCTCAACCAAATACAACCGCATCTCCAACGTTGAAGAGGCGCCGGATGTAGCTTCCGAGTCCAATGTTACCTTCGTCGAAGATCCTAACGAAGCAACAAATCTGTGGAGGCCAGTCTACAAGCGAAGCCAGCCGGTGGTATCGGGAGAAGCGCCACTTGCTCGCACCATCTCTGAAGAGCCGAAGCGAAAGAAAGTTGCTCTGCCTTGTCGCAAATCCACTTCCTCGTCCTCCTCTGTTACTTTGACCAAAGTCGGTCAGACTCGTTACCTGTCTTGAGACTTCAAACCGTCGCGACATTTGGTCCTACACTATTTCCCATCGCCTATGCCGTGTCGCTAGCGAATCTTCTCAAAACATTCTCCCAATGGACCCTAGAACGTGGGGTAACGGTTTTGGACCTTCATTATCTTCAAAGCAGTCGAACTGTGTTCAGCGCAGTCTCTACAGCTGTCAAGACAAGAGTCTTGTCATATATGACCTTGCCTATTATCGTCCTCTGGCTTCTGCCGCCGCTTGGTGGTCAGGCCTCTCTACGTGCCGTTACTCAAGGACCTCAGACTACAGAGTCACGATGGTACGGCCGGTTTCTGGATACTACTGGGTCTTGGTCAGATCGAGGCCTTGTTGATCCAGGTGGAGAATCAAGGTTATCTGCCATCAACGATGCATTCAAATCTGCTATATCAAGTCCCCCAAGAATGAAGAGTGCATCTTCCGATGCCCACGGCAATGTTAAGATTCCAATGATTGAGTCTCTCATTCACTCTAATATTTCTCGCGATCATAACGGATGGTATGCCGTAAAAGGCCACGAAGACCTCGAGTATTCCTCCCTGTCTGGGCTCCCGATTCGGTCGATCAATCAGACAAATGCACCCATCAACTATATATTCACTATGGCTACTTCCTACCTTTCTGTGCAATGTGAGATCTTCGACCACTCCCCCATGGCTGGTGGAAGATGGTACCCTCATGCGAGGGCCGCGGAGAAAGTCGACAGGGAGGTTGAGAGAACAACCTACTTCGAGGGAAAAGAAAGGAAATATAATGAAACCCGTGGGTTCAAAAGAAGGAAGTACTTTAACGGTGATGGACTTGTCCTGAAGCTTTGGCGTGGCTTCGTGGAGCTCTGGTCTATTGATCCAAAACGGCCTCTAGGATTTGAGTTCGAGTCCTTCCATGGAGAAGGCGTCACAAAGGCTAGTTGCGGAGTGAATACAACCCACGTCGAAGCGAACATATCATGCTGGAGAAAGGAATGCACGGTTGATCATATTCGGCACGGGCAAAGGGTCGACAGCGATTATCTGACAGTCTTTCATCGCCCTGAAGCGATGGACCACGGTTTCTTTGCTTCATTTGTCAATGCAACAAGTGATAATTTGGGCTCGCAAATGAGAGACGATTTTATCCGCCCCTCGCCTCTTGAATGCTACCTCATCAATCCGAGCTTCCCTTATGCCTGGACAGCACCTTCGGCTTGGACAGCATTCGCCCAATGTGCCACTGATCGCAATAAGCCACCTTATATGTGGGATATTAACGACGCATTATTGTCACAGCGTATGACGCAACTTCTCAACACCTTTTGGATAAATGGACTTGCCCCGTACATTAACTCTGGAGAAATCCTGCTCATACCTGGAGTCAATGGTCTCAGGTTACCAGTGGACAAGAAACAATATCCAGGCGTCGACACTCAAGGTTGGATGGTTCCTGATTATCAAGTGATGCGTGTTGACTTTGTATGGCTTGTGGTACTCTTCTTTTCTTCAACCATCATGCTGCTGGCTGCTATTGGGGCAGTCATATTTGGGGTATTGAGGCGAGGTCCTGAGTCACTGGAGTATATCGCGAGTCTGCTCAAAGACAACAGGAACATAAATGTCGAGGGATTGGGGTCATCGGTGATGGAAGAAGATGATTTGACGAGGTTTATGAAGGATGTCGTTTTGTGTCTTGGTGACGTGAGGCCTGATGAAGATAATGGATATTTGGCAATTACTACGTCTAGTGATGCGGGCCAGTTGGGCAGACAAGCGCCCGTCAGACTGTATTGTTGATGAGGACGATTATCTTGATTTAATAATATCAATGATTACTGATACCCTAGAGTACATATGATGGCACTCTATCTGGCAACCTACTGTACACATTGGCCTCTGAGGCCTAGAGCGCCAAAATGAGGGCAGACTAGAGCTGACATAAAGTCTCAAAGTTAATTGCTTCCTGGGGGTCTCAGCAAGCAGGTTTTCTGATACCCAGACGGCCCTGTAATATGCTTCCATTAGTGCCGTCATTAATTATCATGTGACACCGATGTAAATTTGCCGGCACCAACGCCGCGACGTTTGATTGGTCAAGATAATGCTTCTGACAAATCAACTCACCTTTCATCCCTTGCGGGGTTTGAGAAAGGCGAACACCTGAGACCTCAATCATAAACTCGACTGACATATCGTAGTAGCTAAGTCCTCTAGCGAACCAATCTAGATATCAACGAGGAGAAGATGAGTGAAGCTACTGGCTGCAGGAATCTAAGGCCATTAGTGCCTCGAGGCCAAGCCCCTGTTCCACCGCTATCGACAGCTCTGCTTCCGAAAAGAATACGCCCAGTGACCGGTGTCGCCTGCGATTCATGCCGCCTTCGAAAGACAAAGGTAAAATGTTTCTTCTTTTTTTTCTTTTTTCGCGATTGGGACTATGACTGATGACGTCACAGTGCAACGGCCTCCGTCCCCTGTGTTCACCATGTAAAGCCCGTGGGCTGCAATGCTCCTACGCGACAGAGCCCTCCGAGACGCGTCTCTCTGCCATGAAAAGAAAGCATGATGAGCTACAAAAGCAGGTGGAGGAAGGAGAAACATCAAAGTCCAATCTCCAACAGCTCTTCGATGCCATGCGCGACCGTGATGAGGGGGACGCCGCCACCATCATGACGCGTATCAGGACTGGCCAAGATCCCGGCACAATATTGCGCCATCTTGATACTGGGGATCTGCTACTCCAACTACACCTTGTTCCCGAAACAAGGTTCCGAAACAGCTTTCCTTCCGCGTTTCGTATACCTACGAGATTACAGTCTTTGGGCAATCTATATTTTCAATCTCCGGTATATGAGGCTACGTTGATGGAACACTCACCAGAGCGCACCGACACGATCGAACTACATGATCGATTCAGACCGCAGTATCTGAGACCGTATGCTGCAGCTGAACTGATAGAGCCAAGGATCAACTTAGTAAAGCCTTCGAATTGGACAACCGTGTTGACCGATGATACACTGATGAGGAATATGTTGCGATTCTATTTTCGACAGGAGCACCAGTCCCTCCCCTTCTTTCACAAAGACTACTTCTTGGATGATATGCTCAATGGGTCTGAGGATTTCTGTTCACCTCTTTTGGTGAATGCTGTATTAGCCGAATGTTGTGTGAGTCTTTGTCCTGTATGATACCAAGATCTGGAGCTGACTCCTCTCAGAGCTTTTGTCCAGAACCGTTACATCGTCTAGATTACTGGAAGCCATCAAGCCTCAGATACCGATTCTTGGCTGAAGCTCGGAGGCTCTGGGATCTGGAACAGAGTGAAGAGCCACGAATCACAACCCTTCAAGCAGCCATGGTCTTGAATCCGGTATACAACATGAGCTCCATGGAAAGTACGGGTTTGTCTTTCAGTGGGCAAGCAATTGCTTTGAGTTACAATTTGGGTTTATTCAAGCCACTATCTCCACAGCTAGATGAACGAACAAGACACGTGTATACTTTCACGGCCTGGTGTTTATACTATTGGATTAGGTAAACAACGATCCGGCCTATGGTAAACAGTTAGCTGACAATGATCAAGCATCCAGTATTATACATATGTCCAACCTCCAGCTTTCCATCAACCACCGCAAACTCCTCTTCCGGACCCGGAGACGCAGGCTGAATGGTACGGAGACGTCGTTTTTAAATATCCAGGGTCGCGCGCCGTGACCTCGTTGGACTTTGCTCGACTATTCAAAGCGAGATGTGACCTGTTGCAGATTGCGAATCAAGTATCCGCCCATCTATACCAGGCAAAGAATGGAGACGGGCAATTTTCGTGTGAAGGCCTGCTAGGGCTTTTAGAACGCTATCGAGACTGGTTCTCTCATTTACCACCGTCCCTCGAACCACGGTATATTGTATATCCAGTTGAACTACAGCTTCAGTACGTCATGCTATTCTCCATTTCTCTAGCTAATCACTCTTTGTTTCTATGTCCATGTTACTTGAGTACCTGCTAACAACACAGTCTCCAATACCACACCTTTATAATAAATGTATGCGAGTTTCTTGTCTCGCAGAAGAAACCAACGCTGGCCTTAGAAGCGAAAAGGAGAGTCACTCAAACATTGACAGAGTCCCGTAATGGATTCGAGAGTATCATGCTGCTGTTCTACCTCCGCCATGGATACGCTATGCAAGACCGAATTATGACGCAGTATCTCTCTATCCTGGCCTATATGTCACTGAAGCAGCTACAAGACCCAGTGTCGCAACAAGAGGTGCAAGAGAACCGCGGTATCCTGAATATTGCAGCCAGAGGAGTCAATGTCCAGAGTGGATATTACTACCTTACGCACCTGGTGTCGGTAGTCTTGCAGGGTGAGATGAATCCAGAGGATCTTGTCTTGTTGCAGCAGTCCACAACTGAAAGACAAGAAAGCAAATCAACCGAGCATGCCCGGGCGCAACATGACCGGACTCAGGATCCGATCAAAGTCGTTTTCATAAAAGACCGACGATTAGGGGATCTTGTTAAGAGGTATTCGGCAGTAAACCTGCAAGATCATAAGCCAAACCCTACGCCCCTGGAATCTGGATTAGGAAGCCTTGAGGTCGAAGCATACAAAGAATATAGCTAGTCCTATCGGTGGAACGCCAAGGTTTCTCACCATCTCAGGTCAAGGTTTCACGCAATATATTTGGAAGTGGCCTTTTGATATTATGTTTCTATCATGGCAGTCTCAATCTATCGGTAATATGTAAAGAGGGATATCGACAATCGCTAAGAGCAATATTGAAGGTGAGATAATGAGAGGCTTCATGCCACCCTAGATGAGTAATTGGATACCGCTAGTTCAGTATTCTAAGCTTTAGGCGACAATTCGTTACAAGCCATTCATCCATCGGCGGACAGTCAGTGTCTACGCGGACTTTCCATGGGGCTATAATGTCAAGAGGGCTAAGAAACGGAGTGGACATCTGTTGCCCTGGGGTCGAAGCTCCCTTTCTTTACCTCAACGAAGGTATTGCCACGAGTTATCTCAGGGAGATGTCCACTGGTTCATAGTATCAGGGCGGAAGGTTGCTTGAATCCAGCTGTTTCTTCTACCTTTCTTTTGTCAATGAACCAGCATGGCTTGCGCTTGAAATGAAATTAGGTTATATATGTCTGCATACTTAACCCAAGGGCATAGGAATAGTGGCTATTAACAGATGCCGTCGGAATCGATCACCCATGCTCATCTTCATTGTTAATAGCCTTCTCACTTCATTCCAGTACTCTTCAGGTCCTATCTGACTTAAGAAGCTCATATCATCAAGTTCTATAGAATCCAGGTAGTAGAGTTCCTGCCCAACGGCAACTGCGTTATCGTTTGGAATGCGTCCCCGGATAGGTGCGCCAGAGTCCAACAGAGCCTCAACGAGCCGCAAGCGTGATTGCCAACACACTGGCGGAATATCACTACCATAACGTCCCAGTGACCTCGGGCCAAAGATCGCGCCACTGAGCAAAGACACACGATACTTGTTCTGTACAAGGAGATCCGGACTCTTCTTCACTTGAGCCATTACGTATGGGTGCACCGAAAAGTGGGCAACCAGAGCCGTGAAACAACCCTGCGCACTGCTTTCATCCCAGTCCGGAGGCAAAGACCAGTGCCCTACCTCATATTCATCGACTCTGATCGTGTCTGTTGCTGACTGGTTGGGGTTTCCTCGATATCTGGCACGGGTCGGTAGGATGCTCTTGAGCCGTCGGGACAGATTGGGCTTGGTTTTGGCCATTGGCTCCGCAGAGCGCGGATTGCATGGTCTATCCATGGCCGTTGCGATTTGGTCCAAAGTATCCCGTGTCATTTCTAGCTCTTGGAGGAGCGCGGGGGTTGGAACAGAAGACTCTGAGATCAGTGAGGCGTAATAAAAAATGTTGAATAGTCCCCTATAGTAATAAGACCATTCTTCGGATTGAGCGGTGTTTGTGGAAGTGTTGGCTTCAAAGGCTTGCCATTCTTGGTCTAATCTTGCGCGATGACCCTTCATTAGGAGGAGCCTGGTGTTGACATGTTCGGACAAGTGAGAGGATATGACAGGTACCACCTCAGGTAACGATAGCCATTGGGAGACGCTTCTGTGATGGAATATAACGATGTTGTACCTTGAAACTTCCACCATGCCTCGAGTGGAGCTATTCAAGCGTCTCTTAATTACACTCTCCATGGATGCCCAAGCTTTCTTATCATTGGCATTCACGGGTTTGCTTTCTTCAATATACCACAGCTCGTAGGACTTGAGCGGGTGGATAGCGGCTTGTAGTAGGCTGAAGTATAACGCGGCGCTTTTCGCTTCCTCTGGATCCGCGGATCCATAAATCTTAGTGTAGAGATTCGTCATATCGGTCGGCAAGTCGTTCAGGATGGAGCTGATGTCATATATGCTCTTGCCCTTTTTTAAGGCTGACATAAGCTCCTTGACAACAATATAGACCCAGAGGAAGACACCATCTGCCTTCTCAAGCAAATCATGGCGTAACGATTCTGTTACACCGGGCGACAGCGTTTGCCAATCCCTGAAGGCATGACTTGTGTTAAAGTGCCCATTGAGGTAGGCCTGAATATCTGGGGCCGTGAGAGTTTGCATAGTCAGGGTGGGATACTGATCAAATGCATCCTTGAAATCAGTCCAAGGCCGGCTTCCGACACAAAGCTTGATGCGAAACCTTGCAACAATGTCCTTGATCCAAAGGATTAGAGTGGAAAGCTTCCCGTCAAACTCATCGAGACCGTCAATAAACAAGACCAATCTCAGTGAGGAGCTGTTCAATGAAGCTAGGTTTTGAAATGTTTCTTGTAGTTCCTCCCAGCTCCACTCGGGAACTGGACCCTCCCAGCCGCGAAGGGCATTGTATGCTGCCCACCGACGAGTCGACACCTTCTCGATAAGGTCTGGCCTCAGTGTGAACGCCTTCCATAGCAAAGTCCTTACAAAGCCCTATCTAGAATGCTGCAACTCCTCCGTCGTGGCCTCCCAGAAGTAAAAATAACAAAAAAGAAGAGGCAGTTCGCCGGCCCATTTTTGTAAATGTTGAATTGTTGATTCGTGATGAACAAGATATTTCATCAATGTGGACTTGCCCGACCCAGCCTTGCCTGTGATCCAATAGAGCAAGCTCCGATCTTCTTCCATCCAGGCAGTGAATCCAGTTGAACCGTTGGGGTCGAGTATCCATTCGTATGTCGATTCATATGTCTCTGAAATTGCTTTATCTCTTGATTCAATGGATCTGAACCACAGACTGTTGATAATGCTCTGTTGAACTAAACGTGCGACCTCGTCTGAAGAGATTTTCTCAAATTCATGCATATGATCCCGGTCTGGTCTCCAATCCGCTTTCCACAGCTCTCTGAATAGCATACTGCGCTCGCTTGAACCATTAGAACTGGTGTAAGAAGTTGTCTGGAGTAGGTGCTCGTTGAGTTGGTCAACCTTCCGATCTGTGTCCTTGACACTTGCAATAACGGCGGCCAGGCTCTCTTGCCTCGACTTGCCATGTATCTGTTCGTCTTCCCTGGATATGGTTTCAGCCGAGAACGGTAATGCTACATGCTCTTCACTCTTAGTGACTTACCAAAGAGACATGAGGACTGCCATCGTCATTTCCGACTGTACCTCTCTCAGACGACGATCCAGGTCATTCATCTTGCTTTGCGACCATATCGATCTGAATGCGGTCGCGATGCTGCTTATTGCGTAGTCAAACTTTGTGTTTCCTCTCGCTTGAAGGCCTCGAAGTGCCTGCTGCAGCTCATTCTGCATTTCAGTACAGCGCCCACAGATGTTGACTAGCCTTTTGTCAGACATGGTGCGAGATGATTCGGGACAACTCTCTAAGGACGTTGATATATGACCTCCGACGGTGTTCAGGTCATCTGCAATGCTACCAAGCCTAACGACCTGAGAAGTAGCTCCAGAAGGAGATTTGTATACGTCTCGCGCGTCATTTAAAAGAGTGCGACTGAACTCTACGAAGGTGATAACGGTACCAGCAACCTGAAAAGCTGTAATAGGATCCATTTCGTAGATTGAACGCCGGATAAAACAAAAGAAAGGAAAATGTAGAATCAGATCAGGCTGCGAAGGTAAACTGCTTACCGAATAACGTGACTTTGCCTGAACAGGGTTGGATGGCCATGACTGGCTAGAAATTAGTGAGTTGCATATAGCCATCCTAATTGGAAGGTTGGCTTGGTGCAACAATAATCTCGTATCTAGCATTTCCAGAAACAGGTACCAGCATCGACCACGTCCTTCTTATCTCATCATAATAATCCAGGACCTAGCGCCTAAAGAAGATATCTACAGACAATCAGTAATACAACTTCCCTTCAACTGGCATGGTAACATCCTGCTGTTCTAATCCAAATGCTAAGTGACCAACTCCATCATCTTCTCTTCCATTTGAAACCTCTCCCCATTTAACCTTTTCGAGCGACATTGCGTGCAGGACTGTCAAGTCTATATCATTCGAGGCCTGGGCGTCGAACCGATTGGCATTGGTTTGTAACTCCTCTATATCTTCATTGTTATCAGCCACAAGCATCGCCTCCATAGAGGCCCTTGCTGAATTGGGTGTTGATGTAGTGGTTTTGATCGGTACACAGTGGCAAGCAGCTGAGATGACCATGGAGTTATATCCCCCATGGGTCGTGTTCAGTGGCAACCGGTATCTATAAATAGTGAAAGGAATGGATGCTGTTAGTAACGACACTATAAGAGCAACTAATATGGCGACGGTGGAGTACTGTAAGCCACGGCCTGTCGCAACATTTCCGTACGGCATGTCAGGACTGTTATCTAGACAAGAGATTAACAGGCGTACGAGTGATCGTCAAATTGTCTACTTACATGTATAATTGCTAACGTAGAGGCAATTGGAATATAACCAGTGAAGTAACGCACTAGTGGAAAGTAACGGGATTGACCAACGATAAGGCAGCTGAAGCCGATATGTAGAGCGCTGATTGCCTGACGGGCTCGTTACTCGAAGTGAACGAAAGCCGGTACTGTACCGAGCCCATTCGTACTCAACCACCATCCGGGTTATAAGCCCGTTCAGTGACAAATAACAGATCGAAAGAAGGAGTTGTGGAATATTAGCGATGACGGTAAGTCCTATTAATGATTCTGATGGTATCGCTCCTGGCGAGACTGCGCCATTGTAGTTATGGTGCTGAAAATAACTATCTTGACTAGATAGTCTGTCAACACTATTGTTTTTGGGTTGAGATAAGGTGGGATTGAAGCGATACTTACATCGACATGACTGGGATAACTAGACTAAACATGTAGACAGCAAGGGCAAGCGCTCCGAAGATGGGTATATATGATAAAATCCAGATGGACTTTGTAATACTCCCACCCAGACTCGCCTTTAGACCTTTCCAGGGCCGGGATGTTCCAGATATTGAGATCTCTCGATATAGATCAGGATTTTGAAAGTGGCAAGAACTCAGAGTACACATTCCTTTCGTACCTGCATCCGGCGACGAGATGAAGGAAGCAATAGCATCTCCTGGTGTCGTCAAGGACTCGCCATTTTTTGATTTGTTCAAATTGATCAGAGCGATGATGCAGAGTATCAGTTTGAGGCTGAACATCAGGCAAACAACCAAGAGGAGCCCATTAGATATAACCAAACGACAAGAGGCCTTGTGTTTCTCAGAAAGACAATGGGAAACCTTGATCCGTCGACTACCTGGGTAAATGTGTGGACCTGGTGAATCCATCACACCCTCGTCAGAGAGGAGAGTATGCCAGATGAACTTGTTTAATGTTTCCTGACTAGTGAAGTTAAACATGTCGGAACTTACGTCCCACCGCCACCACCCACGACCATGTGACCTGAAGATGGAGTCAACATGCAAGAAAGCATACGACTCAGACAATGATGTTGTCGTGTTTCCAGAGTAGGATCCGGTTATATTCTTCGTATCATGCATGGTCCATCCATCAATTGGTGTACCATCGACATTCCTGCCCACTATGACGACATGGCGATGGTTGTGCATCAAGTTACCAGCAGAATTATAACGACTTATGCATCGGCCCCAGTTGAGTCTCTCCCAGCTGCTCGTCCTTGACAGAATACCATCTTGGATGCTCGATATAGTCTCCAGTGCTGTGTTATCAGCACCTCTGATTCGATAACCCTGCTCTTCGGAAGGGGTCGACCACGCGGCCCCGTTCGTGAACTCATCAGACACTATGAGAGCCCGAAACCCATTGGAAGCCCTCGACTCCAGTATGCAACCGTTGAAAATGAGGTTCAACGGTACGGAGCTCAACGAGAGTAGAAGCCATAGGACGGTCTTATAGCGAGGTAGAAAACGGAAATTGCGTAATGAATGTACACCAATCTCAACCCAGTGGCCACGCGCGTGTGCTAAGTCCACTTCATTTCTCGTGGGTGCAACCAAAACCTGCATGAAGAAGTTGGATGATCCAAGTATGCCCTTAGCTATAATATTTATAGCGAGATGAAGCCACAGATTGGCCTGTCCGGTGGTGTCACAGTCCCCTTCCATTATAACAGTGTCGCGCAGGAGGGAGTGTGAGCTTTGCGCGGTACCATAAAGCGATACAAGCAGTGTGGCCACAAGGAAACATGTCAGAACGAAGACCAATATGATTAGATAAGAGGCCATTCGTCTCCAACCGGTCGAGGTAAAGGTGATGAGTATTGACCTTTTTGTTAACGCCATAGTTGTGATGCTCTCGGTTATCGGAGTTTTATTCAAATCTGTACCAGGTTGGTGGTATATGTTTAATGGCAATAAGGTATAAGCATAAAAGAGGGTAAGAGAACTGAGGATATGATGGGCGTCTTCTGCCTGGAAACGGGCGGTTATATACGTCGCCGGTCATCTCACAGCCTGATTTCTTCAGAGCGCCTTGTTGGTTCCACAACATAGCCCCCAAACCGGCCCTCTGTAGGGCCAACCAATGACTTCTAAGACACATTTATCGAAATAGGTTCAGATGGTTGGTGGCGTACAGTCGATTGGATATTGGATACTTACCAATGTCTAATAATAGAGGCCGCGCGCTTGATTGAGAAGATTGCCACTGAACTCAGCAGAGACAACAACCATAACATCAGCCTGAGACGATGTGTTGGGATTCATTTGACAATACAAGATGACTTTGGGGTGAAGTCATGAAGAAAAGAGAGAAAAATCAAGATCAGGCTGCGATGTCTGCGCGACTGTATATACAGGCAACATGACGTCGTCTCGTTGAGGCAGACTTAACATAACACGCCAAGAAATAGCAATACAATATTGGTAGGCTATGCAGAGTACTCAACTTTGGAAATTGGAATTTGGGCTGACGTGGCTTCTGAAGGCTTGATTCAAGCACCCGGACACACAGGACATCTTCCGTTTTACAGCCCCCAAGGGTCTATTTGTCGGGTTTTAGCTATTACGTATATATACCGCCGTATCATCCGTCTTATGAGCCTCCGCTGTACCTATTAGCCAGTTCATACATATAAAGGAAATCGCTATACCTAGTGAAGCTCAATTATCATCGTCAGCAAAGCGGAAGTCTGGGGGTCGTACTTTCTAATATGAACAGTCCCCACTAAGATGACAAGCTGATTGAGAATAGCTATATTGCGAGACATTGCAAGTAATACTGACAAAATAGATACAAAAATCGTCGAACCTCTCATCAAAATCCCCCTATAGCCTCCCAGTGCTTCCCTCGCCTCGGGAACTGTACCTCCACAAACCTTTCGAAGCTCCCGTCAGAGATCGCTACCTCGACTGGAGCCGACATTGTCTTCTGGTCAAATTTCTCCGCAGTCAAGAATTGAATCGGCCGTACAATTTCCTCCCCATTATCGTTGACCTCGCGAATGCGAAATGAGGGCCCGTTCATATTACCGACCAAAGCCGGAGCTCCTTCAGAGTGGCGTGACAGACGACAGTGTAACGTGGTCTTGATGCTGCCTCCGCGCATTGATCGGGGAAGAGTGTCCGATAGATAAAAGAGTGAAGCCAGAAGTCGACGGGCGACAGTACGGATGTGGTCGCTGGGGCTTGAGTATCGACGCTGGAAGTAATTAAATGCCGAGCCTCCCTCATGGTGAAGGTATCGCTGTGCATCTCCGCGTAGCCAATAAATCATTTCCACATCATCGAGAGCAGGGGGCTTGCTCGTGAGGCCAACGTCAAGACGATGGCAGTTTTCTCTCGGTCTACCACGAAGCTGGCTGCTAAAGTCAAGCCACTCTCTGCGACAGTCAAGTGTCGCTTGAACCATGTCCATCCCGGTCTCGACTTTTTTCCTGATGCCCTTGGGAATAAAGGCCTTGAAAGTGTCCATATGGGAGCTCTTGCTGTCTTTCAACAATCCATCTTGTCCAATTAATATTCCGGTACCGACAGAGACAATGATATCTGGTGGCGTGCTAGATTTCCAAATTCGTGTTGCTTCCTTATATGCCAGCCTGACGGGATTATTTCGCACAACGGCACCGTCAATGTAGACTTTTTGAGTCTGTTGGTGGATGTAAGGCTTGAACATAATCGGGGCGGCTGAAGTAGCCCGGGCGCTATGGAGGAGTATTAGTGCGAGAGTTGGTGATGGTTCAAAAGAGATTCTTACGCTTGCCAAGTTAAGAAGTCTTTACTCTGCTCATCTTCTCTTTGGAGGCAATCATCTGGACGCAAAATCAATAAATATTCCCTGACTTCATTAGCAACGACTTACAAGCTTCTGTTCCATCCTTCTGTTTATCAATCGGATTGCGGGAATAATTTGCAATCAGGCAGGGCTGATTGCGGCCTTCAACCTGCGCGACTACTCCAACCTTGACTTGATCACCAGACTTGCGCCTGTTCTTGGTTTGTCCGAATAGGTAGTCACCCTCGAACGCCTCCTGCAAGGAGTTGTTGATGCCAGCGCTCTTGTACTTAAAATCGCAGAATGGCTCGGCGAATTTGGAAATTACTGGGACAGCTAGAGCCTTTCGAATTGAGAAAGCCTGTCTCGAGAGGCCCGAGAAAGTGTTCTCGGCGTTACCCATCTTCCAGTTTCTCTCAAAGACTCCAAGTGCGACAAGACCACCTAACCCGCAGTTAGCCCCATCTAGGATAAGCGATGACAACGCGACAACTCACCAGTACTCGTGCCAATGACAAGGTCGAATAGCTCCTGGATGCGAATTCCAAGACCAACCTCCTCCTCAATGTTGGACAAGATGACGAGCTCGATGATGCCTCGGATACCACCTCTACCTATCCGTTAGTAATTGAATATGTGGGGATCATAAAGCAACGTACCCATCTAGCGTCAAAATGCGAGCGCCGGCAGTCCGTGGTTTAACACGAATACTCCATGGCGTACATGTGAATGAGCAGCCAAGTGGACAAAAGCTCATCTGGATAAGAGACTCTTCTCCCGTAGAATGATTACATCTCTTGATACAATCCTCACAGACTCCATGCTCCCGTGGTTTACAAGGAAGCATGTTTGTCGGAGTGTTTGAAAGACAGGACAAGCAGGTCCTTTGCGTTGTTGCTCCGGTCACACCGCAGCTAGTCGCGGCTGAAGCTAGCTTGTCTATAGCGTGGGTCCGGTCCTGAAGCTTGAATATCTCGTCCCACAACTGATCCGTGAAGCATACAGGGTCGTACGAGCACTCATATGGACCAACTTCTATGTCTTCAACAGAAACGTCTGAGCCTTTCAGAGGGGCGTTGCTGGTCTCAAATTGATGGCCTTTGTCGTGACCTTGTCGATAGTTCTTGCATCTGCGTTGCCCACTGGAGTCTTTGGCTTCGCATCTCCAGAACTGCTCGCGGAAACGTTTCAATCCCCGTTGAGCTTCGTCAACGAGTGCCTCTTTGCTCTTTTGAATATCATCTGTACAAATGTCAGCTACCATAGGCGGTGTGAATTGTAGTCTTTCGGAGTGCCCACCTTGGTGCTTCGTATCGTCAATCTGCGCAATAATGCAGGCAGCGATGTAAGGCGTCATTTGAAGCACGAGGTCAGCTTCTCCGCCCGTAGCCTGACTTGTGTCGAAGTTTCTGAGCTTGGTCATCTTAAACATGACTTGACAAAGATGTTCGCTGAAGCGTCTTGGCAACGCTGAGTCACCATCTGATAGCTCGTGGAAGTCGAGCGCACTGTGGAAGTCTCGACCCAGAGCCATAACAGACCGATGTAGATAAGCATTCAAACTGGAGACATCAAGATCCAGATTCAAGGACTTGCGCTTTCGGCGAATATCCTCCGACATTGCCAGAGTCTCATTATATAAGTTCTTGACTTGATCTGAGATTACCTGGACAACTGCAGGTGAGCTTGGGGTATGCTGGGGTATGGATATGACCCGGAACGAGTCATAGTAACAGAGAATGAGCTCTTCTGCATTATGAATGTTCCGACCTCTGGCTCTCCATTTCTGCTGGAGTTCCTGAAAGCGCGTTGACTTTTGGAAGCTCTCGAGCAACTGCCTGGTGGCGTTCTTAATGGATGACAAGATATTGTGTGAGTCCATTGGCATCTTGTTGAGTACGATGATAAGACCTGGTCTGACCCTCTGGTTCAGCGTTCTCTCGTGGCCGTCTTTGGCCCACTTGAACATCTGTTCCAGAATGGTTTGCGAAGCTCTGTACTGTTATCAGTATGCATATCCTTGGTCGCCAGGATCGGTAGTATCTTACCTCGAGTTATTAGTAACAAAGCAAACAACGTCCGAGAATGCGTAGAGGAGCCTTGGATAGACGTTTTTAACTACCATGCTTCTGGACTTCGGATCAACCTGTCCTGGTCGCTTTTTCCCAAGAGGTGTTGGTGGCTCTATCGGCGCAAGGACTTTACCCCATTGTAAGTCAACCCTGATCGATGCAGAGCTTGTGTGTCGTGCGACAGTATCTGCGGCCTCTCGAGAAGGAGCGGGAGGTGATCGCAGGGTACCGTCCTGCATAGCACGAGAGACTGGGGCTTTCGTGACGTCCGACACCAGCTGACGCGCTACTGGCGTATCGGTCCCTGAGAAACCCTCGCAATCTAAAGCAGGTGAGTGAGCGACTTAGAAGAAACGATGCAGAGAGAGATGGACTTACCAACAAAGAAACGCGGAACTTCAGTTGAGCCGGTGTTAGGGTCCGCAAAGAGGTGCACATCACTACTCGTGGAGTCAAAGCCATCACCGGCAGTGCCTTGAACAGGAACTTGAAAGCTGTCGTGGGCACGAGGTGCCAACATGCGAATGATAGCACGGATGAGCGTACTCTTACCAGACCCGGTATCGCCAACAAATGAGATAAGACTCGGATATTGGCGAGCTGGTCTGTCAGTAGCGCAGTCAACCAAAGTCTGCAGTCGTGGGTAGATGCTCAGTTGTGGGAAATGGCCACTCTGATCGTGAGCCACACCAAACCAGGTAGACCATAAATCATCAACGTGCAGGGATGCTTTGTCCTTTGTGAGAAATCCAGAATCGAACAGGGACGATGTGTAGATGAACTGCTGGAAGTCTATCTCCTCGCAAGCATTGCCATACATGGTAGGTTCATCACGGGTTAGCTGATGGATGGGTGATGAGGAGAGACATCGCCTATGTGCAGGCATGCGCGGTGCTCCGCAGCCACTGCATAGGACAAAATCGGCTGGCTCGCCCTTCTCGCCGCAAACACGACAAAAAAGACGGATTCTGGCCCTGTCAGCCTGTTCCGTGATACTGATATCTTAGCACTATGTCGTTTGAAAGGAGAGACACTTACTAGGATGAGGCTGGTTGCGGCCAATCTTCAACACCTTCGGTTGATTCATGAAACTCTTCTCCAATCTCTGTCTTGTCATCGCCCGTGTAAATTTCCATTCCCTCAAAGACTTGCTTCAGACTGTCCGCATAGCCAGAGTCTCGTGAGATCGAGACCCCATCCATCTGCACGCCAACTTCGTCTGACATCATGTAGATCAAATGAATTTGAGTGAACGGATGACTTGAGGAGAGAAGAATATCCCCAGAGATTCTAAGTTGGGGGCGCCTCTTTAATCATTGCCTCAAGGGTGACACTTTGGAAACTCGGCTGTGACAAGAGTTGCACATTGGTAAGCGGTTCGCGAGATAGAGAAAAAGATCATCCAATAATTATTTTATGGCGCTGAGTGGCTTCGCCAAATGACCTTCTGTATTGCACATTGAGCTTACGTTCGGCCTGGATCTCGTAAAAACCTACACCGAAGTGCCAATGCGGGCCAACTTTGGCCCGCTTCAATCAGGCTCTGAAAGTGCATGTGGCAACTTTGAGAATAAGTCGATATCTTGCTCTGGACTCGCGCCTGCTGTTCAGTGGCAGATTTGTATTACGGGCAAAGCTCACTTGATGTTATATTTCTGCTAATATTTGAATCAATTGTCTCACTCAGAGGCTCGGCAGTGACTACATACCAATGTCATACCTTTGAGGCCAGGGATCAAGTTGTCACACGTCTACGATCAGATAAGAGGCAACAACACCTGCTTAGATTCTTCATCACTCTCAATGTTTACATTTTGCCATTCCATACTGTCAAGCTTCAAAGTACCCGGATCTGAACTAAATCCCATTACCAATATTCCACTATTGACTCGTCTGGGAATGTCCAAGACTCAAATTCGTGTCCAGCCCTGCGTGCCCAGCTTGGTATGTCGTCAGTCAAGTTTCACAATCATAATTGAGATAAAACTCGTTAAGGCAATTTCCTCCCTATAGCTAGATAATAAACTAAATTTACCAGGCGACAGGAAAGAGATATCTACCATGAAATTGTAAATATCCGCCAGGTTCACTTACTCCATGACAAAGAACACCTATTACCATCTGATCTTATAAGTTTGATATAGGGTAAGTCCTACGTGAAATATTTATCTTCAAGGCATGTACGATACCCAACGATCTACATTATTCCACCGTAGCAATCCCATTGTGATAAAAAAACCTCCAATGAAGACCCATTATCTGGTCTCTCTTTTAGCTGCTTTGCCGTCGACCTTCGCCCAGCATAAGGGTAATGCATCTGGTTTTGCCTTTGGTACAGCCGGAGGTGGAAGTGCCTCTCTGGTAACACTGGCGCTGTTAATGCTCTCGTCAACAAGGGCGCCATCAACAAGCTTGGCCAGGACAAGAGCAACATTCAGTGGGCCCATTGGAATGTCGGTGATGTGCCGACTAATGTCAAGAATATTGCTGGTGTTGGCAAAATTGGTAACTGATCTTATGTGGGCCATTATGATTGGTTTAGTGGGATAGAAGTATGCTCTCAACATGGAATTATTCTAGTTTTCCATCCTCAAAAATTAATCCTATCTGAACATGCATGCCTGAAGTAATCCTGAGTGCTGTTTATATTGTTTATACTAGTGGCTAGTTAGACTGTTAGCTAAACTCGGCTTTCTGGTGGACGTCGTAGCATATGTAAATTAGTGCCCTGCCTTCGCAACGGTCCAACATCGTGAACACACATTGAGACGAGGGCGGAAGTCAGGCAGTCCACAAACTGGAATCTGATAGCCTTTAGGACATCAGAGGTAAAGGAATATCAATTGCCTAAGGAGGTTATCCATAAGGGGGACCATTCACCACATCCACCAGGTTGTCAGTCTCATCATGATATTGTATCAACAGCCTCCGGTAGAAGTCCTTCACGACCCCAAAGAGGCCCTGGTGCCCCTGCATATGGCACAACTCAAGTTCGCCCTCCGTTTCCTTGGGACATCGGCAAGGTCCGCCACCAAACCTTTTTCGTAACTCCGGAGCAGGAAACCAGATACTGACGCGAATAAGTCCCAACCAGGGATACTGCGCGTCCCTACGCGACGCCGCGAGTGGTAGAAGGTCCCACTTCTCGCCAACAAGCCTGCGAGCGTCTATCAGTGTACGACTGCTTCCTATGGCCGTGATGGGGCATTCCGGAAACCGCAGGCATTTGCATTTATCTCTTTGGGTCTCCGTCCACTTATCGAGAGTGATGGCCACGATGGACCTTCTGGCCTCAGGACCTTTCGGTCCAACGAACAGCACCAGAAGTGGGCTGCGAGGGGGTTGACGGATTGTGCCGTAGCCTGTGCCAACACTACTACACCCTAGGCTAACAGTGACGCTATGTTGGGAGCGTTGGCTTTTGTGACTCAAGCTAGAGGAATATGAGGTGGTGGATTGGTGCGAAGAAATGCTATCGGAGCGGCTTTGACTTCCACTGGGTGGTGTCTTGATCATCGTGTCATCTGTATCGGTCCATCCTTTTGGTATCCATAGCTGTATAGTCACGTCCTCAGGAGGCTCTTGTCCATGCACAATGAACTTTGCTATTGCGCGAGGTCTAGGAGAGTCAGCTAGGTCTGCGGGTTATGCATGTTTCGAGCATGTATACGATAAGTAAGAGAAGACTTACTCCATGTAGCCGTCAACAACCTTGAAACCGGTCACAGCCGCCTGGAATGCTAGGACATCTTGCAAGCGAAGGAAGACGTAGTGGCGCTGCAATTTCTTCTCTTCAATTATGATCTCCAGTGGCCGTTTTGCCTTGCTGCGGCCCATCGGGTCGGCATACAATGGAATCAGGAAAGCGGAGCGAATATCGAAGTCAAACACTCCTGGCATTTTTGTCAGTGTAGGGGTGTATGACTCAACGGTTTCGACAATTCTGAAGCGGTATTCCGAGTCGGATTGTTGTAGTAATTGTATCTCACGCCGAGATATGTCAGGCGACAAAGTTGCCAAAGATCTGTATAGTCAGATTGGTACCAGCGCAAAGAGGAGGGCAAAAAGAAAGCTTACCCTTGGAATAAACAAGTGTCTTGGGTGGTCGGCGCTGGAGGTGCCGCAGTCGTATGTGGTTCGTCTTCTGGCCAAAAGGCGAGCATAGCATCTGTCAACGCTGAAGGGTCAGGCAGGATTACCTCATCTCGAAACTGGGAGTATTCTGCCGACAGCTCCTACAGTGTTGTTAGCATCAGTCGATCATGTATAGACGAAAGTGTATAGGAACTTTACTTCCTCGAGGCTTTCGATATACCCAGGCCAATGTGACATCTTCCGAGGGTTCTGCAGCTCATCAAGCCTCTTCATCTTATCCATCAGTATCTGGCACTTAGCAAAGGTTAAGTAGTTAGGCACCGATGCACCCCTAATGTTGTGTTGAGAGGTACCACTAGCAGGCCCCGAGTAGATAACTCTGTGTTGACGCGTATCGTCCGCTTCGAATGCCGAACCAGTCACCGAACTCAAATAAGCACTCCTGGCTAAGCTGTTTGATCGGACCTGAGGTCGCAGTACAGAAAGTTGCAGTTTGCGAGGCTGCAGTGTGACCCTCGTCAGATGAATGAGAAAACAGTCAGCCATCTCAAGCAACCCCAGAGATTGACGCCGCCCTAGCATACCCTCCATCCTTCCCAACAACGAGTCTGGTATCTTGACATAGCAAACCTCTTGCACAGGCTCGTGCTCAATTTGGTTTGCGAGGTCAGCATTTTGATTTCTGAGTATGGAGTTCATGGTCCTTTTGACGTCTTGTATATCCTTGTGCATAGACCGGAGTCTCCGATTCAAATCTCTGTGGATATTGGTTATCAAGTCACTAAACAAACGAAAGGAGTTAGCAGAAGAACTCTAAAGACCATCATAGGGTCTCGAGAGTTAGCAGGTCGGTTGGTAGTCTCACATTTGAAAGGGCTTCAGAATATGTTGGATGCGAGAGCTATGCATCTGGAGCCGACCTCTAAGATGCTCGACCTGAGGCATAACGCTGATGTTCCAGCCAATGTTCTTGATAGGACCCGTTGTCTCGGCGTAACGTCGATTGTCTTCCAGAAGCTGGCGGCATTCCCGCAAAGTGGCATCGTAATCACCAATAATTTCGAATAAGGAATCTCGGTCACCACCCAGCCTGTCAGTGATCACTGCTCCATGATTGAGAAGCGACTGCTGGGCTCTTATGACAGCATCTTCGAGGTCTTCTAGACTTGTCTGGAGTGTGTGAACATCGGCGACAAAATCGCGATAGTTTTCACCTTATTGCGGTCAGCTGGTTCGACTATATGGACAGTGGAACAACCCGGTGGTGAACTGACTTGCATTGTGCTCCTTTGACCATCCCAATTCATAGACAGTCCGGGCAAGCTCCGCGAACTTGATCGCGTCTCCGAGTTGAATAACACCAGCCATAACGACTCAATAGTTATAGTAGAGGCAGTGCAGTCGATCCTGTGAGAACTCGCAGGGGCAGTCAAGGGAGAGGATGCGGGGAGTGGTCGAGTACCTGTTAATGTACCAAGGTTCATGGGAGGCCTGGGCGGGGTTGGCGGCAAGGCAAACAGCGGATGGTTCGGAGTGAGCCACGAGAGGTTGTGGCTGCATTATTGGAACGCAAGCCTGTTCAGATAGTACCTCTGTAATCCTAGAATGAGGGCTGGCATAAGATGTATCTGATAGACTAGTGAGAGACTCACATGCATGTCTCTGTTCAGCCGCTCTGACGAGGCATCTCGCTCTTACGCAACATTTACCTCAACAAGTGGACAAACTCCCCATTACTGGCAGGCGCAGTAAGCCTCGTAGTCGAAACAAGGCAACTGGGGGCGTTTGACTCACCTACCAAGACCGGTGACATTCAGCTCGAGAGCTTCGAGCGCTCCCTTGCCGGGCGGGACACAGACACATCCAGAGGCTGATGCCAAGCCTTACTAGGTAGTTGTGGTGCACGCCTCATTTGGGCCGCTCAGGTCGTTGCTAAGTATTTATTATGTGACACGTCCCTCACAAGAGCGAGCCTGGATGGTTTCGTAGGCCGAATTGTTCACCGAATTGTCTACCTGGAATGGTCGGATTTAGCTTGAACACTCGAGTCGCGCCTTTATTCTTTCCACTGACTGAAGTCCTCCCCAACTTGACCAACGATGAATACCACACAGTCTACTGAAGATAGCGGGCACTCCCCCCAGCCTCAAAAAGAGGTCAACCCCAATGAGGGAGAACTCATGGTGAAATACAAAGATATGGGATTCAACCCAAACACCATCGTCACGGACGCCCCAACACAGCGCTTTCGACTTACCAACATCGATGTAATGAGCTTAGTGATCAATCGAATGATAGGTATGTTACTCCATAGATCCCGGTACTTACCAACGCTATCTGGATGTACAATGCTAAGAGACGACTGCTGAGCAGGTACCGGTATCTTCGACAGCCCCACGACGGTGATGAAAGGTGTCCGCAGTCCGGGCATCGCCATTCTCTTCTGGCTCTGTGGATGCATCTATGCTCTTACTGGAGCTCACGTTTACATTGAGTACGGGCTCAATGTACCGCGATATGTAATCAACGGCGTCGAGCAGTCAGTTCCGCGATCGGGAGGCGACCTCCATTATCTCCAATACGTTTTCCCATCGCCGCGATACAAGGAAGGCATAGTGATGCTCAGCGGTGTCCTGTTTGGTATAAGTTTCATTTGCATTGGAAATATGGCTGGTAATTGTATCCAATGCGCGCTGCGTATTGTGGAGGCTGCGAATCCCGATAAGGATGCTCGTGATCTCAACGAGAGCACCATTCGCGGCATCGCCATCGTCATTGCCATATTTCCATGCTTGATCCACGCCTTCTCTCGTCGAGGCGGTATCTTGCTTAACAATCTCCTTGCCTTTATCAAGATTTTTATGTTGATCTTCATGATCATTGCCACTTGGGCAGTTGCCGGTGGGCCGTTCGGGTTGAGAGGGCTTTCGGCATGGGACAAAAGTAATGCACCTAATCCTACAGACTCTTCAGGTGGGGGTAAGGCCTATGCACAGGCCTTTCTATCCGTCAGTAAGTAGTAGAGTCCCTCACCTCATGGAAACATTGCCAACTTATTCAACTAGTCTTTGCCTTTTCAGGCTTCGATCAGCCAAATTATGTCAGTGAATTGCAACTTGCTCTCGCACAGAGAGATCTCGGAAAAGGCTAACTCCATTAAAAGGTTCTGGGAGAGATCAAGCACCCCCGAAAGACTTATCCTCGATCCATGTGGTGGGGCGTCGGCCTGGTGTCGGTATTGTACATGGCCGTCAACATCTGCTATGTAAGACCTCTAGACTGGCTCTCTCGGAGTTCTTCACGGTATCTTTGACTAACTGACGTCCACCACAGATGATAATTGTCCCGCCAAATGTGCAGATGGACACAAACGTGGCACAGGAGTTCTTCTACCTCATCTTCGATCCTGACAACCAGTCAGACTCAAAGCGCTACGAAATCAAGCGCGCTGTCAACGCATTCCTAGCCATCAATGCATTCGGCAATATTGTCGTCATGACATACACTGCTGCACGAATGAAGCAAGAGATTGCCAAGCAGGGTTTCCTGCCTTTCACAAGCTTTTTCGCCATGAACAGAGACGTCAGTTTTGGCAGGTTCCTCATGTGGCTTGAAGGAGGAGAGCGCAAACCGCAGGACCAGCCCGTGGAAACCGGGCGCCAGGGCGTAATTGAGTTGCAGCGACATAACTCACAGAGGGTTATTGGCAACCGGAAATTGCGTGTCCGCTTCTTCAAGTTCTTCAACCCTTCAAATCACCGGGAGAAGACGCCTGTCGGTGCGCTTGTTCTGCACTTTACCAGTTGCATCGTTCTCATCCTGGCAACGTGGAACACCTCAGCAAGCAATGCCTACTCCGTTCTTTCTGGCCTCATTGCTTATCTGACGTCGGCATGGTATGGCTTCTTCCTTGCCTTCGGCATCCTCATTCTGCATTTCCGAGGTCCGCCTACAACACAGCCACCCCCGACGCTTCGGGAACATAAAGTCCCGAATCAGGAGCCGGTAAAACGAAGCTGGGCGCGGATGACAAAAGGCTCCGTGAACCCGAAGCTAAGTATCGCTTGTGGTTTCCTCTACCTCGTTGGGAACCTCTACCCCATCATCACGGGCTGGATCCCGCCATCAAAGATTTTCGACTCCAACTACTCGGGGTCTGCTAGTGACACATCTGGTGATAAGAAGCCCAGAACACACGTTTGGTGGGCTGTGCCAGCCATTTCGTGGTGTGTATTGGCATTCTCAACCCTTTGGTTTCTGGGCTTCATTGGTGTGGCCAAGTATAAGAGCCAGACTGGCAAAAGCGAATTCGTCTACTCGTGTGAGCCCGACTTTGGTCCAGCTGTCGATCCTGAATATCGCAGCGACAGTGATCTACCCACTGCCGAGTCTGATGCCAGAAGCCGTTATGGAGGACTTGTTCTGCGCCATGAAACCATCTACACAGCGTGGGAAGGTGATGAGGCAGAGCAACTGTTCAACCACAGGGTTGAGATGACAGATGCCGTTGCACCCCCAGCTCAGCCAGTGCTGGTGCATGAGAGTGGAGTACCGCGCCAGGTTGATCCCCCAGCCGATCTGTATGAGGACACGGATTTTGCAGATTTTTCGCGGAACGGGGGTCCAGTTCGGGAACCAGAGCTAGTGTCTGATCCGCTAACTGTCCCAGTGCAGAATCATCAAACTGGAATCGAACAGGGTTCAAGACAAACATCTGGGAACATCCCAGGCTAAAGGGAATTAGTTTGCTCTTCTTGGCATGGCTGCAGGTGGCAAGCAAAGCTCATTTAATGACATTCTCTCCCCGGCGACGTTCTATTCTAGTACTCTGTTTATACCACAATATAAAACTCTCTACTTATAGTCTCTAAACTCAGGTTTAAGTTACTGTAAATTAATTAAATCTAGTTAAGATCACCTAATTTTAAGCTAATACTATACGATACATTATCATTTTGTTACTTAGTATTTCTTTATTATAAAATCATTATTACTTTTTTTTCTTTTACTTAAACTAAACTTTAAATAAGTTAATCCTAATATTAAAAGAAGTATTATTATCATCTTTATTTAAGCTCTTGAGTTTAGGGTATTTTAAAAGCTTAAGATTGCTTTTGGTAAAAGAGAATATATTTATAAATTAAAACTATTCTGTATATTTAAAGAAAAAAGAAAAAGGGAGGGGGGACAACTAGTTTGCAATTACATGTCTTTTTTTCCTTTTCTTTTCAAGTTTATGGAGGAAAAGCTACGAGCCGTCCATGGATAACGCACATCATATGACACCAATTAACAATAAAAAGCAAAAAGAGCAAAAAGCGCAAATCGGTTTTGGTAGAATCCGAAGAATATCGGGCTCCAGCCACTTTTTGTCACGCTCTCATCCCACGAGGTAAAGATCTGCTATATCATGCCGTGAAAAATGATTGCTAACAGAGTGGTAAACCAATCTGGTGGTTGACAGCTAGATCTCAAAGCACCGAGATGAGATCTGTCTGGGAGATCTAAGCACAATGCCGAATGTTGTGGTGGGTAGTTTGACCAATGAAAATGATTCTAAGCCGTGTCTCAAATTCAGGAAGGGAATTTTGCCTCGGGGCCATCATATTTCTTAGGTTATTGGACCATCATGTTGAAATCTGAAACCTTGTGCCGTTCTCTAATGCAGGGAGGCTTTTGCCTCGCAACAAGCCGAGAATGTCTCACCCATAAACGCTTAAAGTCTCTTTTGCCTCTACAGCTTCCGGGACATTGGGAGGCTGGGGTCGCCCTGCAGATTGTACATCATATTAGGAAAGGCATGGCATCTTGCCTCCAGAAACCTGTTATTACTTATACTATCGCCAACTTCAACAGGATATCCTTGCACTTACAGTCTTCATCGATTGTGACATTTGCTTGGTAACGACATCCTGGAGACAGCGACACGATGGATGAGCCGCCAGTCATCACCATCTACAACCTCCCACCTAGCCGGGCTAGGTGGGATAGGATCGGGATATTCTACATGACCTTTTGCGTCGTCTGGACCCTCCTCGTTCTTTCTGGTATGATCTTCTGCTGGATCAATCGCAATGACCCATTACTTCGACTTCGTGGAATCGCCCTTTCATTCTCAGCCATAGTTTTGCTCCACGCCTACTGGATCCTTGGCCAACTCGTCTACCCCATCGGACAGACTATGCCGATCGTTCTCGCATACAATATACAGTATTTCTTCATGGGCATCTGGTTTCCGCTCGGAATTGCTCTCTTCCATGCATCCAACAGTCGTCTTCTCCGTGTTGCGAAGATGCAGAAGAAGTACAGCAGTGCCCATTTAAGAGATCAATACAACTCTTCGGGACCTTATAATTCTTGGCCATGTCGGTTTAGATGCATGGAATACTCAAAGAAGTTGCTGCTGCTTACGGGGGCCGGTATGTACGTTCAGGTCAGTTATCTTTGCTTTGTCATCGTGGATTAATGAAACTGACTAGGATTGGTAGATTATCTTGACAATTGGCATGTGGTTCGCATGTCGCAAATACCATCCAACCTCTGGTATTCCGGGTACCGAAATCAAGAGTCAAACACTTCCCGAGCAAATTGTTGAATTAGGCCAAGGCTGGGAATGGTGGCCGACTGTACTTTGGCAGGTAGTCTGGACATGGATGGTAAGAATCTCCCAACGTAACATTATTTCCTTGGCTAATTATTATGTCATCAGGTTGCACCATATCTGATCTGGAAGACTTGGGGAATTCATGATACTATGGGGTGGCGGACACAAACTATCGGCTGCTGCCTATCTAGGTTAGAAGCCACCATTGTATCACAGTTGCGTCGCTAACAGTGATGGAAAGCTTACATGCAACACCTATGTTCTTGATTGCAAGTTATGTACCCGCATTCGAACCGGTCAACGCTTACTTCCCGCCAAGTTCATGGTAAGTCACCAGTTCTCATATAGACAATTGCTCACCAAACCCAGGATCCACGTCTCAATATTCCTCATGGAAATCCTTACTATTTTTGTCCCTACGTTTCAACTCATCAGACAACGCCTCTTTGTCAGGCGGGTCGAAAATCTGAATTTTGAGTGGGAAGCTTCCTTCTCAGCATCATCATCGATCCAAGAGCTCGATAACCTACGAAGGGGCTTCGCGGTAGGCACTCATCTACCGGTTCAAGTGGGACATGAACTCTCAGATCAGGAGAGGAAGGAGATACTTCTGACTTCTAGCGCCTTCCACTATACCCTCAATAGCAACCCCAGGCCTCTCCAAGACTTTTCAGCCCTCAACGACTTTTCAGGGGAGAATATCGCTTTCTTGACAGAGGTGACAAGGTGGAAAATCTCATTGCGTGCGGAACCGAATGAGAGAGATGTACGCGATGCGTATAATGGTGCACTTGATATCTACGCCAACTTTATAAGTCCACACGATGCCGACTTTCCACTGAATCTTGCATCGGCAGATCAGAAGTTCATGGAAAGGATGTTCGAAGCAGCTGCGCGAGAAACATACGGGCAGTCAAGCGTGCATCCAGCTACGCCCTTCGACAGAACGACATCTCTTGAGTCAGCACCTGTCTCAGGTATGGAGAAGCCCTGCTACGCTGGGGTAGTCCCTGCGGAGTTTGGACCTAGGGTTTTCGATAGCATCGAGCAGCATGTCAAGTATCTTGTCTTGACAAATACGTGGCCCAGATTTGTTAAGCAAATGCAGTCTCGGAGGCGTTCTGAGGAAACAACCAGGAGTGATCATTCGGCTTCGTCCGAGGCAACGATGGTCAGTCGACTGTCACACAAAGTATCTAAGCTGTTCTATCATATCGATTAACGACGGCTTTACCTTTCTGTACCTATTCTTAATCGTATATTATTAAGGAAAAATGGAATTACAGTCCGATTGAGAGTCTGCCATGTGATGACCATGTCGTGTCTTGAAGTTCTAGGCCAATGGTATAAGATACTTCATTATTCTACTACTTAGTATTTCTTTATTGTGAGATCTCCATGGCTTCCCTTCTCCTGATCAAGTTGTACTCCAGATGAGTCAACAACAACGTTAACAAAAGTATTATCGTCATCTTCAACAAAGTCCTTGGGCTCATGCCATCCCGAAAGCTTGAGACTACTTTCAGCAGGAAAGAGCACGTTCACCAACCAGAAGCCACCAAACGCTATGAAGAGTCCGATAGGATATGCCACACTGTAGAATCTTTGGATCCCCAGAGGTGCGGCGACACCCATCTGGGACAGGAATCCGTAGAAATTGGGTGCAATGGCGATCAAATAAACTGAAAAAGCGCGAAGATTGAAGCCATGAAAGAAGTGGTAAGTAGTATCCTTATGACCTGAGTAGAGCATGGGGATATCGAAAAGGCCACGCCTTAAGAGGTAGTAGTCGCAGATCAGGATACCAGTGATAGCGCTGAGGAAGATCTGGTACGAGCTCAGGAAGTTGATGAAGACAGATGCAGATGAGAGCAAGTACCACGGGCAGATCGCGTACGAAACAACTAAAAAGGAGACATACTATCAGTTGCGAGTTCTTTACTTGTATAGGGAAGAATCCATACCTGCGCAGATGAAGAAACCACGCTTCACTGTGATGTACTTGGGCATAAGAGCTGCTATATCGTTTCCGGCACTATGAGGGCAATTAGGTCAGCAACGAGCGATAAAGACACTTGTTAAAGATGGCTAGACGCACGGGATAGAATTCTCAAAGATAGCTGAGAAGACAGTAGAGTAGACATAGGCGAACGAGATCAAGGCACACCCCGCTCGATTAGCAGATGTATAACGGTCACCCTCCATCAGCATATCGAGTGTCGTGAGAGGATTCCAAATGACCTGAGATTACAAAAGTTAGTCACGAAACCTACACTGAATAGCATTTGTACTGACCTCGCCAAAGATACTCTTACTTGCAGCCGCAATCAAGTTGCCAAAAACACCAACCAAGAAGTTAGACATTGGGAAGCTGAAAACCTGACCGGCAATAACATCATTGGGTCTCGATGCATATCGTTGTAGGTCAGATGCATTCGTGATAAAGGTACCGCAACTGGCAAGTCCCAAGAAGAAGAACTTGAGGATCATCCATGACTTTTCCGAACCGTGGATGGTGGCCGGTTCGGATACCGTCTTGCGGATACTGCCAGCTAAGACCAATGTCCATGCCACGAATGCGATAGTAGCCGCATAATAAACACCGACTTTGATGTGAACTAGGTTCCTCATACGCGGTACAGGGACAAACAAGAAGGCGCAATTGATAAGCCAGTAGAGAAAGAAGCAAAGCATTTGAGCCGAGTTGAGGGCAGACTTGGAACCCATGATGTCGGGAATGTTAGCAATGGAAGGAAAGATAGCATGAAGAAAAACACTAGATTGAGGTTATTATTAGCAAAATCTCAAGAACCCGAGTTAGTAGATTCCGACTTACTATAAACACTGGGCTCCCTGCACGGACGTCACTCCGTTCCAGACAATCGACATGACAGCGCGATTAAAAGTCGGCCACAACGCACCCCAAGTCCCGAAGCTCGCCCTACAAGCAACAGGGAATGGAATTCTGTACAAAGCACCAGCTCGACCATTCAGCGCCATGAGAAGACCGGCGAGCAACTGGCCTCCGAGTGAGCAGCCCAGAGCTTCCCACATGCTGAGACCAGCGGACTGGCCGGTGGAAGCCGCGTATAGGTTGCTCACATTTGCCGTGGCGGCGAACCAGAAAGCAGAGTATGTGATTGAAGTCCACGTTCGGTCCTTGACGGGGGTTGGTCGGATGGAGTCATTGTCAAGAAAGTCGGCTGGTTGGGTCGTCCCGTCCGGTAACTGCTTCTTGACTAGCAAGCGATTGTGGACCTTGGAGACAAGAGAAGTCATGGTCCTTTCTAAGGTGTGTTATAAGAGGAAGGTCTTGGGCTTGGCGTGGCTACGAAGAGTGCGGGCTATATTTCATGTTTATATGATACAGAGGTAAAGCTCGAACCCACAAGAAAATGATATCTCGATTCCCCGGACTCCAGAATTGATAAGATCGGATCCATAACAAGACATATTCCAGCGGTTCTTTCCATATCTGACGGCCCTGGCCAGGGTTATAATGCTGGAAGGAAGATATTTGTGGATCGTTATCAATACGCGCAGGTCTGTTAGTGATAGTAACTCCGTTATCTCGTCTGATAGTGAGTATGTAGTAGATTGCGCTAAATGGGTTCAGGGAGTATCCCCGCGTAACCAAAGATAGGTAAACTGTTGCCGATAAGAGATAACCCCTCCACTCCGGCGATCTCCGCCATGACTCTCTTTCAGAGGTAACATCAAGTCCTACTCGGCTCGCACGGCTCAATGGTTCCACAGACCTTGGCTATCATTCTATATCAAGCGATTACTTCCGTTGTAGATATTCATAACATCCCTCCAACAATTACTAAACAACAGAACAGTTGCTGTGTAAAACTTACCCCACTTTGGATCATCATCTGTATAACCGCGACATCAATGATATCACCGTCAACATAATTGTACCAAAGACTGCAACATTCTTAACAACTGAAATTCAAGACCATGGCTACTACGACACTTGAGACTACAGCTCCGACTGCCGAGTTCACGACAGTACAGCTACTGACACCGGATGGGCCTGTCTCCCGTCGCGTGCGATGCGGCAAGCCACGTACTCCGACTCTGGAGGAGATGCCCATCATTGACCTAACTGCCCTGGATGGCGATACGACAGCACGCAACGCCCTCGCCATCAAGATTAAAGCCGCGGCTGAGAATACGGGATTCTTCTACGTTTCCAACCACGGTATTCCACAGGAGTTAATTGAGGAGGCTCTCGAACAGATCAAGAAATTCTTTAGCCAGCCTCAAGAAGACAAGGATCGGGTCGCTTTCACAAAGGCGGGGAAGTTCTGTGGTTACCACGGTGTTGGAAGCACACAAATCAACAACAATGAAACCAAAGGTAAAGGAAAGCAAATCCATCTTTCATTCTAGGTTACTTATTGCATCTTACAGACAACAAAGAAACTTTCTCCATGCGATATGATACCCGCATCGATACAACTCATGATTGTGCGGATGACATTAATTCCAACTTTGATTCCATAGATTTTGTGTGGAACGGGACAAGCCATCTCCCAAAATTCCGACCTGTCCTCACCAAATTCTATCAGAAGCGGCTGGAGTTGGCTCGTAAGCTGATTCGTCTTTTTGCCCTTGCTCTCGAGCTACCCGAGGACTACTTTGACAACATCATCACAACCCCCGGTGCCGACGCAGTGCATCTTCACTACCCTGGAACTGATGAAACCGATGATATAGACGTTGGTATCGGCTCACACACCGACATTCAATGCGTGACTCTGCTCTGGCAGGATATGTCCGGTGGTCTTCAAGTTCTCTCGGCAGATGACGAGTGGCTGGACGCTCGACCTATAGAGGGAACTCTGGTTGTCAACATCGGTGACTTCTTGCAGAGATTATCCAACAACCGTTTCAAATCGACTGTTCATCGCGTTTACAATCGTCAAAAAGAATCTCGTTACGCCATGCCTTTCTTCCTAGGCTTTAACCCGGATGCTGTCTGTGAGGTTGTGCCAACATGTACTGATGCAGATCATCCTCCTCTGTATGAGCCTATTTCGTGTGGACAGGTAAGTCCAAACTACTTCATGTACTTAACTGGACTAAAACTAATTGTCTTCATAGTGGCGCAGCTCTCGTCTAAGGCTAGCAGAAACCGGGAAATTGAATTGAGAGATACACTTTCAGGGTACAGAGCTACGGTTCACTCAGACGTAGTCTGTCTACTTGATAGTGATTGTCCGCGTTAACGCTTTAGACGCAGCATTGGTGGTACTCAGAATTCCCAAGATCGTTTAATCATAACCAATCCAATAACCATTTGAGTCTAGCTGATCACTGTGAATTCTTAATTGTGATGGTGCCGGCCTTTGGCAGCTTATAACTTATAAGTATGCCCCCGTTTACTGCGCCAGAGGGTGCTGAACAAATAAGCGCTTCCTTCATCACCATCATTCATCTTACCAAAACCATCACGGAAAATCTAACAGGTCCGATCTGGAGTATTTTTAATCTGATGACGTGGATCGACCTTGAAGTCTATAGGTATCTCGGTGATTTTTCAAATGCCTCCAAACCTGTCGCTGATCATGGCAGGGCTGTATGCTGCTGCCGCCCAGTACTGCACCCGCCGACCAGATTTGTTTGCAATGAGATTGGCTTGAAGCATTCAAGTTCAGTGAGAATAGCAACCCGTCAAAGCCCTTGTCTAATAAGAGTGACATACGGGGGAACAGATGTCGTCGACGTCTAAAACACAGGGGTGGAATCATTCTACCGCAGGATCAATACAGAACCCTTAACTTTCACTTCGGTCAGTTAATTGGTATGTTAAGGGGCAGAGGCCAGAATAATGTCTCAAACCCTTATCAATAATCGATCGCGCTAGTATTAAACATCAGCTAAATATGGAGGGATGAGTAGATGAATGTCTCAGAACACTACTACTAAAGCAGTAAGATAATAACTCTACGCACAACCCTTCAAGTAGCGACAAAGGGGCAAATTCAATCTCATCCCTTGCCATTCCACGGCACGGTTCTATGTCGGCGATATAAAGCAACCAATTAATTGCCACAAGACAATTGCATCTATCCCCTTCTTACTCCGTCCCATTATATATATCTGCTATCTCTATTACAGAAGTGCTTGTAGTGAAATTCAACTCCTCAGCACTTTCCACTGTCTATCAAAGCTTCTATCTAATCATACTTTACATTTACAATGAAGATCTCATTTCTTATCTCAACCTTGTACCCTGCTTTCGCAGCTGCATTCGGAGCGGCATGCGCTGAAGATGAAGGAATATGCACTACTGCCGCCGATTGCTGCAAAGGTTATACCTGCAAAGCGACACCCGGAGCAACTTCCAGATGTGTGCTAAACACAGGTTGCGTTGCAACAGGAATGCTCTGCAATCCCTCAACTGCAAAGTGCTGTGGCGAATTTGCATGCACTAGAGTTCTTGGCAATGTGGGAATTTGCGTAAGTGATGAGAACATCCCTCTATCTTGACGACAAAGCACTAACAATATGACATAGATGAAGCCTGTTACTGTAAAGTCGAAGGAACACTAGGCTAGATTACGGGGTATATGTTGAGGTTGAATTATTTGGACTTTTCGATGATTACTACTGGGAATATTCTATATCTTGTAACGGGTTATAAAATAAGTCTCGGGAACTAAGTGGTCATTGATAGTATTGTATTACTGTTCCCCCTTCGATAGCTCGAGAGAAAGGATTACTTGATGGTTGAGCAGTGGGTGTCTTTTAATTTCCAGCTAAGAGGCAGTAGCATTATAACCCAACTACAATAAGACCTGCACATTATTACCGCCAGCACATCGATGTCTCTGAACGCCTGACTGCTATGTCGAGGTAAGATTTGAGCTGCCTACGGCTATTTAAGTGTTAGATGATTTCTAATGCCTATCATTTGCCATACCCAGGCTGTGCAGTTAACGCTTTGCTTTTCAAAAACATTGTTCAAGTCATTAATCGATGCTCCTTCTAAGATATTAAAACGCCAACGTCTTTTCAAGTAGACCGACTGAGGGATTTTTCTATGGCAGATATGGCTCGTGTTATAATGACTGATATCATTTCAAGGCAAACGGGAATAACGACCTGAACGCAATCTCGGAGAGCCATACTCAACTCGGCCTAGACGAGGCTTAAAATATACCAACAGGTTAACCATCAAGGTCCTCAGGCCGAATTCCGATGCTATCTTGCTTATTAGATGCCGTTGTTCCGTGATTTGTACAAAGAAAAGCTGTTTGGAAATTGTGTTGTGGCGTCATGGTAGAGTCCAGGTATGCCAATAGGCTCTTTTACTTCAATCAATCTCGGAAGAGTCGGCCACCTCTATGGATGTAGAAGAAAGTTTTCACTCGTAATGGAGATGCGATGGAAATTCTTAAAAAGACCGGGCGCCTGGGACACGGTAGGGGAAACAGTCCAGTCTGAATCACATCTTGAGTTCATCCACCATGTCTTCTTTCAACCCTCACGACGTCAACCTCGACGATGCAGACGCTCGTGACGTCGTCTGCTATCTCAACGCCAGCAAGAACGACTACGACGGCCACATAGGCGTTCGCATCTCAGCTCTCTTCGTTATCCTCGTCGTGTCAACAGGAGTCACATTCTTCCCCGTCCTGGCAACAAGGATACGCCGTCTTCGCATTCCTCTCTATGTATATCTCTTCGCCAGATACTTCGGTTCCGGTGTTATTATCGCAACAGCATTCATCCATCTCCTAGATCCTGCCTATGATGAGATTGGACCTGCGAGTTGTGTTGGTATGACGGGTGGTTGGGCAGAGTATAGTTGGCCACCTGCGCTGGCCCTGACCTCGGCGATGATTATCTTTCTCATGGACTTTGCGGCGGATTATTATGTTAGTACGAGATATGGATCGAATGAAGTCAATGTTGAGGGAACGATTACGAGTCTGCCTGGGCAAGAAGATCCGATCAATCAGCCGTCGAGCAAAAAAAGTGACGGAGCATCTTTTGACGATATCGAAGAACTCAAGAACCTGGACAGTGACTCGGAAGAAGCCATGTCATCTTTCAAACAACAAATCGCAGCTTTTCTGATTCTCGAGTTCGGAGTTTTGTTCCACAGCGTCATCATCGGTCTCAATCTCGGAGTGGTAGGAAAAGAGTTCAGTACCTTGTATCCGGTCCTGGTTTTTCATCAATCCTTTGAAGGTCTTGGTATCGGTGCTCGGCTTAGCGTTATACCATTTCCCCATCGATTTCGCTGGATGCCTTGGGCTCTCTGTCTGGCGTATGGTCTCACAACACCCATTGCTATCGCTATTGGACTTGGAGTCAGGACAACTTACAACAGTGGTTCATTCACAGCAAATGTTGTCTCTGGGGTACTTGACTCTATTTCCGCAGGCATCTTGATCTACACCGGGTTTGTAGAGATGCTGGCTCGCGATTTCATCTTTAATCCTCAAAGAACGAATGACAAAAAGAGGCTTGCTTTTATGCTTGTTTCACTTTATCTCGGCACAGCGATTATGGCATTGCTTGGAAAGTGGGCTTGAGTCCGGGACCTGGGATTGTTCGCTACAGGGCGCTACTTAGATTTGCGGGTGGATACATACACGGAACGCGTCGGAGGACGAATAGATCGCGTTTGGCCAATTCAAAAGGGAAAGTCTTGTCGCATAGAAATTCACCAAAATAGACCGTGTCATTTGCCTGGTACTATCAAGCAGATACGCCCGTGGCCCTCTTCAATTGGAACGAACTGGTGCAGCATGACTCGAAGGCAGTATCGCGATGACCTGATAGCGCGTAGATAGTCAAGCCACCAGAAGTCAAAGAACGTTCTACCCCTCCAACGTGTCGCGTCTCTCGGCAGCTGTGGCGCTTGTAAGGTCTAGTCGATACGACGATTCGGGGTAATGAAGACCGATGCGCGCGCAATCCTTCGGGCACTAAGCGCATCTACGGCAGTGACAAAATCGTCTATCGCCAGCGAGGTAAGGTTTGGTAACCGCTTCAATTAGTGTAGCCGACAGCAGTAATACGAACTATGCAAGAGACCGTCTCTGATCGTAATTGCCGCGAGGTGAAGAGCGCGACGCCACTGACGCTTCCCGAGCATTCCACGCCGGGGTTATTATATTCGCATCGTAACGAAGGTGCTTTAGGACTAGGAAATTGAAGACGGTAGTCTCTGGAATCGGTAGATGGTTGGTACGGATAGTTATTGCGTAGGCGATTCCCCTGCTTCCGCTGTGAATGTGACGCGTCGTGTTGATCTTGTTGAGCTGTTGGCTCGAGCTATCGATGTCAAAACATCCAAGACGGCCACGATATGCTCATTAAGATACGAAAAAAGTGTAGAGAATTGAATACAAGCATAGGAAACACTTGAATGCAGAGAGTTGAGAACGATTAAAGACGATGGGACCTGTAGGAACACAAGACAACGTGGAAATGCTCAGACGGGGTCACACTTTAGGGTAGCAACACCACGTCGCAATACCAAGCCGATCAATCTGCACCAAGACACCAAGACAATCCAGATACCGCCCAGAATCAATCCAGACGACACTAAAAAAGGTGAAATCTCACTAATGCAACACTTACACGTGGTACGAGCCTGATCACGAACAATTCCTGGGGGACAACCCTACCCGCTCTTCCAGCAGTGGAACACTACCCCATCCTTCGTCTAGAACTCAACGGCTAGACCGCTGAACGATCATCCTGTCAGCATCTAGCGCCCTTTAATCAAGGCATTTACCCGGCTCTCTGGTTGACAGTCCAGTTGACACGTCCAAACGCTCCTATCAGATGACTGTCGCCTCAAACGACACGCGAATACTACAAAAGAGTTTGATGGGAATAATGGAAAGGGCATGTTCTAATTAACTGTAGAGGGATCAACGGCAAGGAATGCCGGTAGCGGGCAAAGACCCGATTGGTGCATTAATCCGTGCCGCTAATTTAAGCGGAGAGACAAACAATTGGAGCGGCTTTGAAGAATTAATGTTACAGATTTTGGTCTGGGCTCTTCTCTCTCCAACCAACATGTCCCCTCACCAACCAACTGCTCTCCTCCCGCTCTTTCATGTGACCAGGGATGTTGTTGGTCTCACGTGGGTCAACCTGAAAAATGGGGTGACAAGAGCGTTTCTGTTGGACCATGGGGTTCAACCCTCCAATTTTGCAAGCCCGTTTAGCCGTTGATGATCAATTGGCTCGCCTCTCCGCTCTTTTTTTATTCCCCAGCTTTTTCTCCAGATGAGCTTGTTGATAACCGTATACACTGGACCGACCCAATTTACCCCGACATTCCATTTCACTCAATCTAGACCTGGGTAATTCCGAGATAGCCGAGTCATATGACCTCTCCGCGTTTTTAGTTACCATGGCAGTGAGTTACCGAGCCGATGCCTTGCCCATGTCCCGTTCCCTCTCGGCCTTCAATACCACGAGAACACAACAAATTGGAGAAGCTAAACGGGGAAATCATGACCGATCAGGATGCATCCGACCAAGAGCGGGCATTGACCCCGACCGGAGTCGCGCCGTAGTGGTGTGCTTGATCCGGGGCTTCATCTGCGGGGGAGCAACCTCTCGCGGGGAACACGAGCCTCTAATTCGTTGGTCTATTCACTGTTGGTTAGACACCTGTCTTTCTATAGGTGCGTCTAACACTGAATGCCCCGAGGGAACCTTACCCCAGATGCCTAAATCAAACCGCTCTAGCATACCCCAGTTTGCTAATCCCAGTTCAGCTAACCCTTAACCTTTTACCCCAGTCTGTAACAAAATGTTACGTCTCATTCATCCGGGCTTAGTGGTACTTATGTTTTTCTTCTACTGTACTCTCATGCCGGGATCCGCATTGCATGGAGGGACCTCTTATAAATTGTCTTGAGCTCCCACCGTTGCATTTCCCTTTTCACGTCTGTCCCTCTCATCCTCAATTCTCTCATTGAGCGTCCTTCATCATGAGTAACCCCATGGACAACAAGGCTGGCATCTCAGAGGCCAAGGCCGACGAGGCCCACATCGACCACGCCTACGATGTCGAGGCCAAGAAGGAGTTGAACGTCGATATGCAGGGTGCTATCGATGCCGAGAACTTGGAGCATAGCATGACTGTTCTCGAGGCTGTTCGAGCTTACCCTGCTGCTTCTCTCTGGGCTTTCAACATGTCTTGCACAATTGTAAGTTCCCCGCTCTTATCCAATTTTGAATGCAAGTTTCTAATGGTGTGCAGATCATGGAGGCTTACTGTGTCTTCCTCATCGGTAACTTCATCGCCCTCCCCGCTTTCGCCGACAGATACGGTATCTGGAGTACAGAAAAGGACAAATATGTCATCGAGACATCATGGCAATCCGCCCTCCAAGTCGGTGGTCCCGTCGGCGCTCTCATCGGTGTCACCCTCGCCGGCCCCATTACTTCTCGCGTCGGATACCGCTGGGCTACCATCGGCGGTCTCATGTTGCTCAACGCCTTCATCTTCATCTTCTACTTTGCCGACTCCCTGGCCGTCATGCTGGTCGCTCAGCTCCTCGAGGGTATCCCATGGGGTATCTTCATCGCCAACTCGCCCGCCTACTGTTCCGAGATTGTGCCCCTGCAGCTGCGTGCCCCCGCCACACAGATGCTTCAGATGTTCTGGGCCATCGGTGCTATTATCGTCGGTGCTGTGGCGTTCCACTACAATGAGCTTCATGAGCAGGCTGCTTTCCGAGTTCCTATTGCTCTGCAGTGGATGTTCCCTACTCCCCTCGCCATCCTCATCTACCTCTCTCCCGAGTCTCCTTGGTGGTTGGTCCGCAAGGGACGTCTTGAAGACGCTGCCAAGTCTGTTCGTCGCCTCGGACGATCTACCCAGGTTGACAACACCCACGAGGCCATTGCTATGATGAAGCGTACCATCGACCTCGAGAAGACCATCAAGGAGCCCAGCATCCTCGAGCTCTTCCGTGGCACTGATCTCTACCGAACTGCCATTGTGTGCTGCGTTTACGCTGCCCAGAACTTGACTGGTAACCTGATTGCCAACCAGGCCGTCTTTTTCTTCGAGCAGGCCGGTATGCCCACCAAGACTGCTTTCGCCATGGGTCTCATCACCTCTGCTCTGCAGACCGTGTTTGTCATGCTTTCTTGGATCTTGACTTCTTACTTTGGTCGCCGAAGCATTTACCTCTGGGGTTCTCTTGGAAACACTGTTCTCCTTGTTGCCCTTGGTATTGCCGCTACTGTTGGTGATGTCAAGTCCACCATCAACTCCAACACCCAGGCTGCTCTCGGTCTTATCGTCTCCGTCCTCTTCACTCTTGGACCTGCCCCTGCTTCTTGGGTCATTATCGGAGAGACCTCCTCCATTCGTCTTCGACCTCTTACCACTGGTATCGGCCGTGGATGTTACTACCTCGTCAACATCCCCTGTATCTTCCTCTCCAGTTGGATGCTTAACCCCACTGTAAGTCACCTCACTCACTCAAGCTTTCATCTCACAAATACTAACTCATCCTCTAGGGCGCCAACCTCGGTGGCAAGTGTGGTTACGTTTGGGCCGGTACCGGTGCCTTCTGTCTGGCCATGGCCTACATCTGGCTTCCTGAGATGAAGAACCGATCTTACCGAGAAATCGACATTCTCTTCAAGCGCAAGGTTCCCGCCCGCCAGTGGAAGAAGACCGTTGTCGATGTCCACGACAACGAGTAAATGTGTTTTTATGCTATCGAAGAAAGAGCTCAGCTGGTCCTGGCGAAGGCTGGGTTTTGGTTCCCTCTTTATTTAAGCGGCTGGATTGCATGGGGTGGTTTTGTAAATTGACCTATGTAGTCTAGTGATGAGACAAGCTTGACTTGTCATGTTGCCAATAGGCTTTAGGACTATTTAATTCATGTTACCCAACTATTTTATGAGTGCTGCGATGATCCAAGGACTATGTGACGTGGAGGTGATACAGTACTGTATTTGGTCACACGACATGTTTCGCTTTTAGTGCATTTCGCCTCTCAACAAGTCGGATGATCGAATCCAATCCCACTCATACTATCCTGCCGTTGGCCCAGCGCAGCTAATTCTGTCTCGGACGTTAATCCTTGATATGCATAATAATATTAATGAGTTCATAATCTATCTCTGGGTATCATCTGCCTCTATGACTTTAACAATTTTCTATCAACCCAATCCAACCTTTTAAAGGCGGCCAAATGTTCTTTTATCGAAGCACTATCCTCACTCTCACCACCAGAATCCATCTTTGATCTGATCTTCCCTACCAATAAGTCTCGTGCAATCTTGGGCGAGATCAAAGATAACTCCTCGTCTAGTTTCGCTTGACTGATAACCATGCCGTTGCATAGTTCCTTGACAAGACTATCGACTAGATGTTGACAGTTGTTTGATAGTAATGAGTATCGAGGGTTTTCTCCAATATGTCGATGACCTGTAGTTGTTAGTATGATGCAATAAGTGAGAATATGGGTCGACTTACCAATCTCTTGAATCTCATCATGAGTCTTTGTCGTCTCACCAATATAATAACAAGAACTCCACGTCTTGATAAACTCCTCCTCAATAACATAAAACCTGAAATAATTCTTGCCCAACATGGTCAACTCCAACCGATCACTCATAAGATCATAACAATAACACTCCCCCAAAGCCCGATCAATCACACAGACAGCCCAATGACTAACGCTATTCAAGCTCATTCCCACATGTTTCGCAAGAAGTTTATAACTTGACTGCGAAACTTCAACGAATCCGAATGAGATGGGGGTCGTGATGAGAAAGACGGCACGGTTGCGCTCGTAGGGGTTGCAGATTAATGGTGCCATTTCTTGTGATGATGTGCCGGTTATTTTGGTGGAGATTAGAGAGAGGAGTTCATTGCGTTTGCGGATTTCTTCGGCGTGTGCGGCGAGCCATGCTTCTTCTGCCTGACGCCTTTTTCTATGTTCCCTGGCGACAATGAGTTACTAGGTATTTACAAGGGGAGGATGGATGGAGGTACCATTTTTTGGAGAGGTTTTGGTAGACCGCTTCTCCTCTTGAAGCGATTTTATCGCTTGCTATAACGAGCCTATCGGCATGGTACGCCAGCTTAGTGAGGGCATCGAGTCCCATTTTTGCTATAATAGAGTCATCACTTTATGCCTGAGGTATGCGAAAGAGGCTCAAAATTGTGAAAAGTTGATGATGTTGGAGGAATTAAAGGACTAGTGAGGCGGAGACGGGAGATAATTCTGTACAGCCACGCGGACACGCCGGAAGGGAAGATCCACTACCAACGCTTGGCAATGTGATGCGCCTCATTTGATTACGCGTGACATTAAAAATTACTGACATGAGCCTATAGGGCTGGCGATAATCCGATGATGACGTCGATAATTGATATGGCTTCTAAATTGACACTATAAATATCGTTCTATTCCCGTACTATTCTAACAACAGTGGAATGGCGCGCTGAATGTCGCCTTGGATAAAAGTACTCAGACCTTGATCTTCTTGCTCCCAAGGAACCATCGCTTCAGCGCCAAGACCAACACGGATTAACTTTACCGTTCCGCCACTTCTAGCGACGAGATCTTCATTTGGCCATCTCAATACTCCGGGAGTATTTATCCCGACGCCAAGTTCAAGAATCACCAACTTTTTCTTTTCTGAAACATTTCGAGATTTCCATGCCTTCCATTGTGTTTCGCCGGTTTTGTATGGTGATGGATTGAACCATGATCCTGCGCGGACGCAAATACTCATCTTGGAGCCACAAAATTGGCAGATTGGGATTTTGCTTGAGTCAGTCAATTTTTGAGTGACTGGGTCGATGAATGGAAGCGCGGCAGCGACGAGAGGTGCAGAAGGTACCACAGCATCAGTTCTGCAATTATTCAGACACTGCAAATACGCATACGATCCCTGAGGTGTAGAAAGTTGCGTCTCAGACCACCCATTCGCAAGGAACAAACCATCTGCATTCGACGTCCTCACAAACGCATCCTCTCCAAACTCTTTCAACCAGGGAATCAAAGTCTGATAGGTAGGTGTATCTGACCAGTTCGTTATCATGTTCAAGTGCGTGAAGTAATAGCCCCATCGATACTCCTCCGAAGGCCAGCCATCGTATCCAAACACGCTGTACAGCGATGTGAGACCGAATTTGAGGAATCCTGGGAAGTGTTGCTCGAAGAGGGATCTGGAATGGTAGTCTAGACCATCTCCTGCTGAGAGACCAGCGCCGGCGGTGACGCAGACGGCGTCGGCTGAGCGGAGCCAGTCGCGGGCGAGAGTGATTGAGCTTGATGGCGGAACTGTAACAGTCGGTGAGATCGTTGTCGGTGAGGGACCAAGAAGTGCTGTGTAGATGTTGGTATCCGATTGTGTAAACGTGTTGAAGACGATGTCCGTGATTGTAGTGGTGGGATGGTTTTGTAACCATGACATGACAGTTGAAACAGCGATCCCAGCAGCTTCATCGGCCGGAAAAGCAAAAAGGCCTGTAGAAATACAACACAAAGCAACGCTCTTCTCCCTATCCTCACCCGCTGGCAAGCCCTCCACAGCCTCAAGAATATTCTCATAGCACTTCTTGAGCTGAGCTCTCTGAGCTTCTGTAGGTGACGCGCGGCGCTTAAGCTGTGGTCCAACAGTATGTATAACCGACGAAGCATAAAGCGCATGACCATCCGTAACAAGAACATCACCAGGCTCAAGGTCCGTTTGACGTTCTTGCATCAGCCAGAAACATTCTTCTCGGAGACGAGGTCCTGCCTCCGAGTGAATGATGTTATCGATGCAGCGATGTGTAGGTTGGAAGCAGCCCAGACCTTGACTATTGGCTGCGTTTGTGATGGCGGTGATGTTTGTCAGGGTTGTGATGTCTCCTTTCCAGAGATGAATATTTGTTTGTCGAGATTCGTCATGACTGATCGTGCGGGATGGAGTGAGGGATGTTAAGGAAGTAAGGAGTTTGTGGTCCCTCATGCGACTGAGGATGGACTCGATGTTTTGAAGGATGTTTTCTGGCAGAAGTGGTACTGGTGGCCGAACGCAGAGGGATTCCTTGAGAAGAGCCAATTTGGTAGCTGTTTCGAGGTGATTCAGATGATTCTTGTAGTGCTGCAAATTCTCGACTGGTACAAGAGAGCTTGACTTGGTTTCTATCATGTCATCGATGAGATACGAGAGTGTGTCGTCTAACATTGTGACGGTTGTTGTCTTGTCTAGAGTCATGTTGGGTTGCGAGGCAGATGTTGTTGAGAGTGGTAGTCAGGTAGTAGATATGCTGGAATGAGATAAAAAAAACTGAATGACAAGATGACAGTGAAAGAATAATTATATAAAAATATTGCAGTATTACTTGATGTCAAACTTGCGCCTTTGTGAAATCCATCATGTCTCCATCCCACTCGGCTCAGGTGGGATATATCCGAGCGGGATGGTTTTACTCATCAAACACCGAAACGCATTGCCATAAACTCAGCCTCATCACGAATCCCAGTACAAAAATAAGCATGGCAAGGATCATCATAAACTACAAATCCATTCGTCCTGATCATCCTACAATCATCAAAGTCTGACAGTCAAGCTCTAGTAAGCGTATCGCGTAACACTTGTGTTTCCTTCCCGATCAAGCTTCTTGTTACTCTTAACAAGCCAGATCTTCATAGCCCAAACACCCGCAATACACATCGTCGCAAAACCAGCATTGCTTGCCATTCCGATCAGGTATCGTGGACCGTCAGATTTAGGATACAGATACGCAGTGTAGATGTATGAGGCGTTGGAAACGACGTTGACGATTGACAAGCTGACCGACTTCTTCTCAGCCGTCGATCCAAGCGTTGCAGAAACCCAGCCAAGGATCATCGAGTTGACTGCATACGCGCCACTGGCGAATAAGAAACATGCAATGTAGCGGGCTGGCGTGTTGAGCGTGACGCAGGAGATGATGTATCCGACGAGTGCCATTCCCATACAGGCCGTGATATGCCAAGTTCGCTCGTTGAAGTGACCGGATGACCATCCGGCTAGGTATCCAAAGAAACCAGATACGAGGTAGGGCGGGCATGTCAGAACTAGAGTGATAGTGCTGTTGAAGCCGAGGGAGCCGACGACAGTAGGGAAGAAGTTGTTGAAGGAACAAGCAGAAAGATGCATGTTCTGCATGAAGCAGAAGAGCCACAGACGAGGATCACGAATGGCCTGGAAGAATCCAGCTCGAGCTCCTTTGCTCTCCTCCAGACCAACAGTATCGCGCAGCATTCTATCATGCGCAAGTTGTCGTTCTTCTTCAGTCAACCATCGAGTCGTCAAAGGACTGTCAGCAAGAGTGAAGATTCCGATGATACCGACTGCAAAAGTCAAGACACCTTCAATGATAAAGAGCCACTGCCAGCCTTTAAGCCCGTGATGTCCATCAATTGTTCCAAACGTCGTCGCGGCGATCAATCCGGAAAAGGAAGTAGCAAAGATGTTTCCAGAGTATAAAATCGACAGTCGCATAGCGATTTCCTTTCTTGTATAGGATATTGCGAGTAGATAGAGGGCTCCGGGATAAAAGGGGGCTTCGGCAACACCTAGGAAGAAGCGAACGATGACGAGACCTTTGTAGTCTTTGACAAGAGCGGTGCAGGCTGACACGATGGCCCAGCCCATCATGCAGATCGACATGTATAGCGAAGGACGCACGCGTTTCGACGAGATGAGCATGTTGGATGGGATCTGCATGAGTAAGTAGCTTTCTCAAGAGTTAGCATCTTGGCAACGAAAGGAAAGGGGATCATCATACCCGACGAACAGGATCGAGATACATGTGTTGTACTGTGTTCCCCTGAGACCAAGATCATCTTCGAGATCATTCAATCGCGCCTGGGCAATGGCATTTCGATCAAGCTATCAACATCAGCATAGTCTCTCAGGCAGCTGTGGTGAAACTGACGTAGTTGAGGAAGTACATAGCCCAAAGAGTAGGCATGATGCGAAAGTCCAACTTGCGAACAAGTCGAATCTCAGCTGGATCCGTCTTCTTTACCGCACCAGAGTAATCGGCCTCTGGGTCGGCAAGGACTCCAGGCTTCTCAGCGAACGACATTTCGACCTGTTCCTCTTGCTCGATGCTTCCACGCTTGGAATGGGCAGTCATGATGAGGTGTCAAGAGGTTGTAGAGATGAGATGATTCTGAAGAAGCCAAGACTAGAGCGAGAGGTCTGGCATGTTATATAGCCAAGTTTCCTGGTTAGGAGAAGAGCTTGTCCATGTGTGATTTCCTGGGGCCCCGGATTCCTCCAGATCTACATTTGCTACGTCCATCCAATCCAGACCTCGACGACTCATACTGTCGTGGGTTAGTGGCGGAGGAAGAAAAGGCCGCCGTTGAAGTGCGGGGGAGCAACATGGTTGAGACGCTTGCAATTGCTTGATTCAGTTGAAAGGCTTTGGAGAACCTTGATTGTTTGTCTTTGCGGCTACTTTCTTGTATTTCTATTTGCAAGTGTAGTGATCTCGCTTGTCGGAGGAACAAATGTCCACGGAGGTTATATCATCCGCTATTCGAGAAACGACTGTGATAACAGTAGCTGCCGATGGAAGTACTGGTAACTTTGGCCATAAACACGAACTTTGTATAAAGCGACTACAGTTTAACCAAATTGCTTTATATCACTGGACTGCTGAGCATTGGTTATGGCTATACATGTAAGAGTTCAATTGCTCGTCAACATAAAGAAAGCTATTTTGCTTAGTTATAGGAAACACTACCTGATTATCTATTCTGGTTCGAGATGTAAGCCCGTGGCCTTCTCTAAGCGCTTTCTTTTTTATCTCTTTGTAACTCAATGTATCTCTTCACAAATACCCTCGATTCGAGTGTTTCTATAAAAGCTTGAATAGCTGAATCGGGGACTCGCAATAAGTTTAGGTAGGCAGGTGACTTGAAGAAATGTCTAAACTTATTTAAGGGTATCATAAAGCTTAGGATAGCCTTTCCCAAGCTTGTGCCTAAACATGCTTAAATAAACTTGTCAATATGGAGGCTTCTGTGTTCTGGTTATTTTTTCTGGACCGCCTGGTCGCCAACTGCAACCAAATATTATTTCTTTTGGCCGCGGACTGCAGGACGAAACAACAGTAATTGTTCTTTACCTGTTTATCTCAAAGTCATATACTCCTCTAAGTTGTTCTAGCAATATTACCATTCTCCAATTTCTGCTAACATTGTCTTTATTGAACATACAGTATTTTGTTCTTCAAGCCTCATACCCAAGGCAGCAATTTTCCCACATCAAGACACATACTTTTCTAGCAAGGCAAAATAGCGAACTTACAGAATAAACATTTTCAAATATGAGTTGCCCCTGGGACACACCAGTTAGATCGGCCGATGGCCGTTTGCTCTGTGGTGCGCATAGCTTGATCGTTTGCGGACGCTGCGGCGTCGACTACAGTGACGTGGATGACGTGGTTGACGACTCAATCGAAGGGCGAATGAGACCTTCAGAAGAATATGAAGACGACCTCAACCGCGCTGGCGCTCTAGAAATCGAGAGACTCGATCCCATTCGCTATATGGAGATGTCTATAGGTAGAGGATTAGTCCTGCCAACAGTCTTTGTACCACCCCCTTCGACAACCCCACAAAGCCTGTTTCCTGCCGACATTGCACACAAAGCTCACCCACCTGCCACACGATTTATTTACGTGGATGATCCAAAGTTACTTCTTATCTACACCAGCGGTACATGCTTTGGTAAAGGACTAGCTGAGCTTAAGGGAGGATGGGCTTTTATCTTCGGGCCTCAAGAACCAAACACTACTTCCGGTGTAAGAGAACGTCTGGAATACGAGGGTCCATTGGGCAATCTTGTCCATCCGGAAAGCAACAGAGCTGAGCTTCGAGCCATCATCGGCGCTCTCCAGTACAGAAACTGGGCCAGTGAAGGTTTACTACTCTTGTTCTGGCAACTACCTCAGATTATATCGTTAGAGGTGCAACAGAGTGGATTCGAGCATTGTTGCAGAGAGGCTGGAGTAAAGGTAACGGGGAGCTTGTAAGCAACATGGATATGTGGCAAGTCTTTCTGGGGGAGGTAGAGCGTTGGCATGAGTATGCTGTGAAGATCCAGCTTTGGAAGATTCCACGGAAGTGCAATACTGAAACGCATCAGTTGGCGAAAGAGGGTGCTCAGCTTGGTGGAGGATTTAGCTATAACGACAGGCTGGATATCACCCATGGCTAGTATGAGCGAGCGCTGAAACTTCGAACATGGTGGTATTCACTGCCGAAGCAAATGTAGTCCAGGTTGCAAGGAAATGTTTCTCGTCGACTTTGTGCCTATGTTTCCAATGCAAACCGAATACTTCTACTTGGTTTCGTCCTCGAGCTATGCGACTGCGCCAGCAATTGGCTGGGTGGCTGTTTAGAAGGGAGCTTGTGGTCAATAGATGTAAAGGTGTGATCGATGAGCATTGTCGTCACGGAATCGCATTTATCAAGGTGCCATCAGTTTCAGCCCAAGCCCAAGGGATGAAATAATTTGATGACTTTTTGCTGGTTTAGGATAGCATTTAGACCACTTTTGATTATAGCGCCATATATCTTAAGGAAATTCTTCGTGTATTCGTCTAAGGTGTTGACCAGAAAGCACCTATTTCTATATTAGTATCTTTAAGAGTTCTAGTTTCCAGCTAGTGTATCACTGTAAAGCTCTAGGGAGTGCAATTCGTTTTACAGAGTTGCTGTTTCACGCGTGCATGTTTCTTGCCAAAGTGTTTGTTGTATTGTGAATTGCCTAAACGCCTAGCTCCGGACCGAATTTTCCTCTTCCGATGCTATCCAAAAAGAAAAAATACAAGATGACTCCTTCACTTCTTGAGACCAGCAGCCCCTTAGTCCTCCTTCAGGGAAATCAAGAAATTTACCGGCCTTGTCGAGGTGTGGTTGCGGTTGTAGGTTGTTGATGTGGGTGGAAGAAAGAGAAAAGAAAAGCCGTATCCAAGCAAGGAATGAAGGGCATTTATCCTGTGCCCAAACCTTATGTATAGGGCAGGGCGAAGAAAGGTCATGTGTAGGCAAAGGAGTCATAATGCCCTTGTGGAAAGTGTAAATACTTTCACAGACCTTATCCAATCGCGTGTTTCTTGCCCACGGCAAATGCCCCCCTCGAACAATCCTCATAGCCTGACAGGCCGACTAGGCAATACAATGCCTTCCAACTTCCTACCCTCCAAAAACAACTCGTACTGGCGCCCAAGCCATCCCGTGTCACACTCAGTTGCGGGAAGCAGCTCCTCCCCGGTTCGCCCAAACTCGACTTTCTCCAAGTCGATTACGACGATCTTGTCTCTCCCATTATCCGTGACCAGCATGTAATTGTCTAGTTTGGGATCACAATGTTCGACGCCATATGCGTTCAGAGATCTCAGAGACTGGTATATCAGGGGCTCTAGATCTTCTTTACTCAAAACAGCGCCTTCTGCGTTATTTAGACAAAATCCTCCGACGTCAGAGACGACGATTGCTCGTCTGTTGTTGTAGGTGGTGCAGCCATAGTACCTTGGAATGGTGTCTCCTTGGATGGGCCGTAGCTTGTTGTAGGCTACGATCTCCTTGTCGAATTCTTCTTCCCAGTCATCCTTTTCGGATTTGAGGACGATTTCGTCTGGGAGAAACCATTCCGGAAATTTGTTGGGTAAGAGAGACCCTGTCAATCTTGATGCAATCGAGAAGAGCGACTGCACTAATCGGTCGTAGAAGTTGTGACGGATCTTGAGTCGGAGAACGTTGCCGTAGATGTAATGGGGAGGAGCACCAGCGGCCTTGATGGTTCGGCTACCAAACCGAAATTCCTTTGATGATTAGTTTCTTTTAACAGCGGATAGAGGGGGAAAGGGAGGACTTACAACATCCCTTGACGGAGGAGGCTTTGGTAAGTGGTTGGCGAAGTTGACGGGCCATGGACAAGGTTGCGCTGAAGCCGCCAGCAATTTGATTTCCGCGTCTAATGGGGGTGGCCGCGGCATAAACTTCCATGCAGATTCGCTCGTTTTGGTGTCCTGGAATGGAAATGGCTCTGTCATTGAATCGATCCATGCCCTCGTTTCAGTGTCGAACGGAGGTGGCAGTGGCATAATTCCGATGGAGGCTTCCACTTGGGTTCGCTCGGGTCCATGTCGAATGGAGACTTCCACTTGGGTTCGCTCGCTTTGGGGTCGTCTGTAGATGGCAGATGGAGCAAGGTGTGGTGATCTCGTTAATGTAGTCAGAAGGAAGAGGGAAAGAAGCCAGACCAAGGCAAGGGAAGAAGGGTATTTATACTGTGCCTGACCGATATGTACAGGGTCGGCCAAAAAATGGTTATGGAAACTGTAAATATCTTCAAAAACCGCCGCATCTGATTGAGCAAGGTGTGGGAATAAAAAAAAAACATTGGTAGTGGAAATATTGGTGGGGATGTGTCGGGAATGCTAAACCTCATACGAATTAGTCATAATCGGACCCAACAACATTTGACTTTCCACATCTTGGTTGCACAAACCAACAGAGGAACACATCAGCGTGTGCATTGTATTGTGAAATGGTTGCCTAAACGCCTAGCTACCAACTGAACTTTCCCCATACAACGCTAGCGAAGAAAACACAATGGGGATGGAAGGGAGAGGGAAGGAAGAGAGAAAGGAAAAAAGATCAAAGCAAGGAAGGCAGTATCTAAACCTTATGTATGGGGCAGGACAAAAAAAGGTCATGTGTAGGCAAAGGGAATCATAACACCCTGTGAAAAGTGTAGATATCTTTACAAACCTTATCTGATCGAAGCACACATTTCTTATCTGTTGTTGGTTTAAGTTAATTCAAACCAAGATATTAAATCGGCAGCAGTTGCATACGCGTTGATAAATCCAAGAATGGCCCCACGTAGCCGATGCTCTTGAAGGTGTTGCTTACAGCGTTTCTTGAACAAATATGATGGCGGTCTGAACCCATGTGTCGATATACATACACTGACTGTACATGCAGTTTGCTGTGAATCGTCCAAGGGAGAGAATGGTGCCTTGCCAATATGAATCACGTACAAGGAGTGAACCCACCTTTGTTTTAGCAAGAGGACAGTCCCTTCCTGCAAACAAATTGACTCCAATCTTCTTCTGTTCATGCTTCTTGGTATCGAACCTACTCTCCTTACGCAACTATATCTCATACTGCCCAGGTACTGATACCCCAAAAGCCAACAAACCCTATTGATAATCTCTATCTTAAGTCTGGATTTGACAAACTGTGGGCCAGATATGTATACTTCAGGCCCCGTCCCTGAAAAGAAACTTAGAATAGTTAACTTGGAGTCGTATTACAAACACTATTTCTTGTTCAAATATCGGACCAAACGGCACGTACCATACTAACTTTGAAGGCGATTTCTGCGGACTCCAGCCGGACAATGCCCGTTGACATCAGTTCGTGCAGTCTACGGTATGGGCTTTATCTACTGGCTATTGGCTTAAGGTTGGAGACGATGCCAAGGCCTTCCATCAACATTAACCAACCGGTAATAAGGTTCTCATCATGGATTACACTTCTCAAGCATTATGACTCCAATGTTCATACGAAACCTATTCATTTTTCTCTACCTTACCCTGATATTAAGGTTTTGGTTGAGCAGATTGCGCTGTGTTGCTTCCATCCAGGTTCTTTCTTCATTCACCAACATCAACCGCACAACAATCACCTTTCCTACACAACCAAATTAGAAAGGGTAGAGAGAATACTTTGCTTTCAATATTGGGCGCAATAAAGAAAAGCAGCCTATGTTATTGTAGGCTAGCATGGAGTCATTAAAGTGTTCCAATTCACACCCTCGGCCGCCTAACGATGTTGCGCTAGGGTGCCAGAAGAATTAATTGCTAAAGTTATAAGAGACGGAATAGGTGAATCACTTGACGCTAATTTAGAGAAACATTTTGGCTACTTTACTTGAGTAGCCTAAGCCTTGGAGGACATTTCTTTTGTTACCTACCTAGATAGGGTGCTCGCAATACGTACTTAGTAAACGAGGCTTTTTCGCAATCACGTCGACAGGAGCAAAACACATTTAAAACGACAACCAGTATATTGACGGGGTATAAGGCGTAATTCTCTATGAGAAACTAAGTACAGTATAGATAACATCCTTTTACAAAGTTCTTATCAAAGTCAATGACTTCTTACATGAACTTGTGAAGGGTCTTGCGCCAAGCAGGCCAAGTAGCCATCTTGGCTCGGTAAGCGTTGATCTCATCCCAGTCGTGCTCACGGAGACCAGTGTCGAGATCGATCTGGTCAACGGTAAGCCACTGAGGTCGCTTCCAGAAGTAACCGATGATCCAGAAGACAAGAACGACAGGGATGGCAAGACAAGCCATGAAGAAGTCCTCAGCGTTACCGTAACCCTCCTTAAAGGGTGGGCAGACAGCGACGTAGAGCTGGCAGCCGAGAATAACGAAGCACAGGGTGAGACCAATCCAGGATCCAACGACACCGCCGGCGGCACGGAAGGGGATCTGGTCGAGGGTACGGCCTTGACGCTTCCAAGCAGAGCGGAAACGGATGTGAGCCTGAGAATGTTAGTATTCGTGGTCATGAGTAAGGATAATATTGCACTTACAGCGCAGATGGAGCCCCAGGTGAAGAGAGCGGCAAGGGCAGAGACGGCAAGGAGCCAGTCAAAGATAAGACCACCTGAAGAGGCGAGGACAATATAGGCAAGACCGCCCCAGAGAAGGTTGAAGACAACAGAAACGAGAGGACGACCAGAGCGATCGATGTAGGTGAAGATCTTGGGAGCGTAGTCCTGCTCAGCGAGGGCAGTGAGAGTACGAGATCCACCGTAAACGCAAGAGGTACCGATAGATACGACTGAAACGCAGATGACAAGGTTCATGAAGGAGTCGAAGCCGTTGAGACCAGCGTCGAGAGCAGCCAAGACGAAGGGGGAGGTACCATCCTTGTATGGGTTGGCAGAGTTGAGAAGACGGTCATCAGTGGAGCTGACGAGGAGGCCGACCAGGGTAAGACCGAGAATGTAGAAGCTGAGACAGTTAGCAATTGATTTGACAGTGATGAGGGAGATGCTTACAGGGTGATACGCCAGAAAACCTGCTTGATAGCACCAGGAAGAGCCTTGGCAGGGTTGCGCGACTCAGCAGCAGCAAGACCAACAAGCTCGGTGCCAGCAAAAGAGAAGGCAGCAGTGACGAAGACACTGCAGAAACCACGAGCGCCGTTCTGGAAAGCACCAGGGTCCTGCCAGAGCTTGCCACCCTGGTAAGTGTTGAATTTACCATCAGAGGGACCACCACCGCAGATGAGGACGACAGCGATGATCATGAAGATGACAATGGCGGCGAGCTTGAAGCAAGAACTCCAGAACTCTTCCTCTGCGTAGCCCAGTGTACCGAAGATGTTGATGAAGATGATGAGCAGCCAGAAGACAGTAATCCATATACCTTCGTTGATGTTGGGATTCCAGTATTGCACGGTGAAGGATACGACTGTTAACTCGAGCGGAAGGACGATGACCCATTGGAAGACCTGGCACTAATTAGTATGCGCGCAATTGAAGCGATTGAGGGGATGCGACTTACGTAGTTCCAACCCATGGCGAAACCCCAGGAAGGATCAATGAAGCGAGTAGAGTAGGTATAGAAACCACCAGAGACAGGGTACATGACAGCGAGTTCACCGAGCGCGTGAACGACGTTGAAGATCATGATACCAGCGATAGCGAAGCAGATGAGAACAGAACCGGGACCACCCTTGGTAAGGGCACCACCGGAACCGACGAAGAAACCAGCACCAATGGAACCTCCGATGGCGATCATGTGCAAGTGACGCTTCTTCATGGAGCGATCGAGTTCGACGGCGCCAGTGCCGTAGTCACCTAGACATTGTTAATTGAGGTGCATTTGGGAGTGACGGGGGGAGAGGAGAAACGTACGGCGCTGGAAGGACTTGAGGTTCAGACCATTACGGGTCATGAAATCCTCCTCGCGATAATCATCGCGAACACCCTCGATGTCGCCAGTGTAGACATCCTTTGAGTGGCCGTGAGCATGGTCATGCGACGGAGGCGTGTGAGCGCCAATGTCGACCTTTTCCTCCTTGGACGTCATTGTGAAGAATCTCTGTTCAGGTCGAGCCAAGTAAAAGAAGTAACCCTAGGATTGGGAAGAGAATGAGACCTGGGAGGGGAACGCGAAAGAGAGAAGAGGAGCGCGATGGGAGAGTTTTTATCTGTGTCGGGGTTCTGGGGCGCGATGGCAAAAACGGCAGGAGAGGAGTAGACACCAACACCCTTAGGTTGGCTTGGCTTTTCTTTGTGCCAAGGCGCGATAAGCATCTATTGCATCGGGATGTCTCCAAACAAGTGGCCAAGAGTAAGAAGTGGTTCTAGATGGGGGAGAGTTGAGAAGGATGCAAGACAGCAGGGATTGGATATCGACCTACCCAGTACAGTACTGTAGTAATTGTAGAGGCCAATTGGTGTAGTGTACCAATGAGATTTATCCTCCATTGTTGAGCATTCTGTTGGTCGTGTAATTAAAGCAAGCTGTGCCTCATCCTAACCTCTACCGTGTCGGGCGTGTCTTTGCTGCTGTCTTCCCCAGGTTTGGAGGTTCGCGAGTGATTGGTTTCATCCCCGCACTTAGCACGGATCCCATTGATCTTGCATCGTTATGACTGGATGGAAAGTCAAGCTGGAAACCGGGGGAAACGCGTGATGCATTCCCAACTGTCTCGCCTGTCGCAACGGACATGATACCATGTTGGGAAGGTGAAAATGATGGGATCGTTGGATGGATGGATGCGTCTTGGCGCGCCCCCCATGTCATACTCTACTTTACCTTACCGTATGGGCTAGGTGGGTAAGGTTACGATGCTCAGTGTGGCGGATCGTTGCCGAGCTAAAAGACAAGCTTAAAACGCTATCACGAGCTGTGACGAGTTGGCTAATTGTTTGTGATATGATAGGTGCTGCAGCTCAGCAATCGAACTGATGGATGTCTTGCTTTCTTCACGAACCAGTATGCCACTCAAGCCACTGTCAAATTGACAGTGTCAATTGTGCAGGTTAGATTGCAATGTTGTATCCGTCGGCTTGGCTAAGCGACCGAGGCAACACTAGTCTACCCCAAGATGTCGCCTCCAATTTGGGACCCCAGCTTGGCAGAGGACTGAAGCTGTCAAAAACCCAGTGTCTTGGAAGGGGCTATACTACAGTAAAGGTTGTACCGTAGACGCTAAAATTGGACAGACAAAAAGGGAAGGAGATAATCTTTTGTTCTTGGCTCGTAAGACCACTCGGGATCGCCTCCTTTCTGTTGTTGTGTTGGTATCAAAGTTGCCTCAATTGAACATGCCACGGATACAGTACAGTACGTGCTTGCCAGCCCTGCTTATCTCCATTGCCCCCAGATTGCCGCGACAAGCGATAAACTCTAGATAAAGTACAGAGTAAACCTGGGGATTGCGGGTCGATGTGGAATTTATTACGTGAAGGTATTGAAATGACGGAGCAACTGTCCGTCACTCCCTCCGTTGAGTGAGTGGACCATGGGTGAGTGAGAGTCTGTGTGTTTAATTAGAAAAAGCCTATTTGGTCCGAGTCAGACCTAATGCAGTAGGTGTTCCAGCGCTGTGTTCACTGTAACCCCCTACAACGAACCCACCATATCCATAATCATAACCGTCAGGTCTCACTCACATGTCTCGGTCAACACTGAACTGCATCTTCTCCAAAAATAAAAGATCATTCCATTCGCCTCCAATTTCCTTTCATTGGCCTCCAAATTTTAATTACTGCATATCCAAGACTCTTCTCGCCTTCTTGAATTGTTCTTATCTCTTGGAAAGTTGCGAAGCAGCCAACCAACATTCCGCCAAGAACAACCGCTGTTCTTGGCAGTCATACCGTTCCAGGGAATGACCAGCGGTTATCTCCAACCTTTCCAACCAATTAGATTCTCACTATTAGTCGCTTCGGTTTCTTGGCAGGCGGCCGCACAGGAGCCAAAGGATCTTTTGTGATGCCAACAGCCACAATTCGTGACTAAGAGAAATTGAAGTAAGGACGTGTCGATCTGGGGAAGGTCTGGGGAAACGTGGTCAGATGGATAATAATACGTAAAGAAAATGAGGTTAATAAAATGAGAGCATTTGAGAGTAAAGTCTACAGGGTAATTGATGTTGAAGTCGAAATAAGAATGAATGCTTCGATCAGAGACATGGATAGGCTTGTTACACGTCCCTGCTGTCATCACTTAATTCTTGGCCTGGCATCGGGTACCTCGGTCAGAAAGACTAGAGTTCTTCTGGAAGAGGGCACAGTCAGACCACTGCATATCACAACCAGTCACACAGCAGAGATAAGCACATTTACAGCCGATAACGTCTAGTTTCGCATTTCGTTATCTAGAGACAAGCATGTCCAAGCTGCAAAAAAATGAAGCTAAGGTATCCTCAGCTCCCGCGCCTTCTCATCGTCCTCGTCAAACGGCGAGTCGGATCGATGAGCCGCTTCCAGAACAGGTTTGCCTCGCATTTGGGCCCAGACTGTCTTGTACACTGGCTGTGCGAATAGCGCGTCCATGTCTTCCAGGGTAACACCTAGATGAGTCAGCATTGAGCACGTGAAGAATATTTCTGGAAGACTTACCTTTTGTTTCGGGGACGAAGAAGAGGGACCATATTCCCATCAACACCAGAATTGAACCGAAGAAGAAGTATGCGCCGTATCCAAGGTCGGAGATCATGTAGGGTGTTGAGCGTGCGATGATGAAGGAGCCGAGCCATGTGTCTGCGGTAGTGATGGCGACACAGAGCATTCGAATGTCCAAAGGGAAAATCTCAGAGGCGTATGTCCACGTAATTCCTTGCCATGTCGCGCAAATGATGACGGCGTTGAGGTACACACATACCATCGCCAAATATCCCCATCCATCACGATTAACAACACCAGCAGCCGCCGCAGCAGCAGGATCAGCTTTCATGACATACCCACCGATGTAAAGCATGGGAACACAGCCCAAGGCAGCACCCCAGATAAGGCCCTTTCTTCGACCAACCTTTTCAACAACCCAGAACGTGAAAAGCACCATACCAAGTGTCTTGGAGATACCGTAAAAGCCAGTGGAGAAGAGTTTGGTCGAAGTACCAGAAATACCAAGACTCTCAAAAATACGAGGAGCGTAGTAAGTGATGATGTTGACACCAGTGAAACTCTGCAAGAACATGAGCGCCATACCAATACCCATACGGTTGCGAACACCCTTTTGGAAAAGCTTCTTGAACTGCTGTCCCTTGCTCATCTTGTTGGTACTGCGCTCTTCAACCTGTGCGCGAATATCGCCCATCTCTCGACGGACGTACTCATGATCAATAGGCAAACCTCGAATTTGTGAGAGGATCCGTTCAGCAGCTTCAAAGTGATCACCCCTCGCCAACCAACGTGGAGATTCAGGACACCAAAGCATACCCAACGCAAGACCCACACCAGGAACAAGTTGCAGACCCAGCGGAACAATCCACTGCGTCTTTGTGTTCACGTCAATGGTGCGGTCTGTAGCGTAGTTGATCCAAAAGCCAAGCATACCACCGCCCTGCGAAGCAATTTCGAAAATACCGACGAGTCTACCTCTGATAGACGGCGGAGCAGTTTCGCTGATGTAGACAGGGACGGTGAGGGATGAAGCGCCGAGACCGAGACCTGCTACGGCCCGGCCGGCGTATATCATGTTGAGATTGCCGTTTGCGGCGGTCATGAGGGCGCCGCCTAGAAGGAAGACTAGGGCTGCGCCCATGATGGTCTTTCTACGACCCCATTTCTCTGCGATGGGGAATGTGCACAGGGCACCGAAGAAACAGCCAGCCTGGGACTGTCAGTATATGTAGGAGAGGGTAGGAGGAGAGGGAGGAAGGCGGACCTGAAAGGTGGATACAATGTTTCCCTGGATGGTGTCGCGCTGTGTCTTTTCGACGAGGTCTAGGCCAAAGTCCCTCATGAAAGAGGTCAATGCCATGGTACCTCCGATAACAGAAGTGTCATATCCAACTAGACCTCTATCAGCATCACTTCTGTGTTATACACTGGGATAGGGACGTACTGGCGAGGGCGGACATGGAAGCCACCGTGGCAATCAGGTGGATTCGCCAGTTCCGCACCTCAGGCGGATCATTGGTGCCCGACGCATGAGTATTCCAGCCCATTCGATTGAGAAGAGTAAAAAATGTAGTAGCAGAAGCTTAGATGGTATAACAAACAAGTAACGTAAGCGACGAACGCGAGTGTCTGTACCTCTCTCTTCTTTCTTGAAGGCGGGGAACGAGGCTTTAAATAATCGTCAAGTTATCGCTCTTCTATCCGAGAAAGCCACAAAGGATGGCTGGACAGGATCGTCGACCGTTGGATGGGGGCTTCCCCGTGGGGTAACGAGGAAATGGTAAGCACGGTGACTATCAACTGGGGTAGGGGATCGTTTGTGACATTCTTTTGATCATGAGTGTGTATGATGTGGAGTCGCCAAGACGATAAAAGTGAGGGGGAGATGTTGCATTTCGTTGATGAAGAGGTTGTGCTTTTCCGTGGTTGATGATGAGGGATGTGCCTTGTACGTCATTTCTCACGATGACACCGAATGTAACGATGCATTGTGGTCTCCCCTTCATGTTTCCCTCTCTCAATAAGTCTCAAATATTCCATTTCCTTTGTATGTGATCTTCAATGTCTGCTATGTCTATCGCCAAGTACAGAGGCTCATCAGGGTCCAAATGCCAATTCCTCAAGCTTTCCATCTCCACCGGCCCGCCTCGTAAAGTTTAGCTGCCGAAGCAAGAGCTTGTTTCTCCGTAGCTTGTCATTTAAACGCTGTCATTGGTCACGCGATGATGGCTCGGCAAGTAAATCTATGCTCCGAAGCGGGACTGAATCAGTCGATTGCTTATACCTTGCAGCAAGACTAACCTTATTTAACCTTATTTACTCTGTTACCTGGGTTATTTTAGCAAGGGATCTTCTTTTATGAGTGTAATAATGGTTAAGTGTGGTTCTTGGCACCAGAGAAATGGTTCACTAGCTTGACTGAGTGGCTCACTGGGGTTGAGTTAATGCCTCGGTCCTAAACGATGCGACGTTAACTGCCGATCTTGACTGTCGATATCCCCAAACGGCTGCCATCCAATCCAACAGTCAGCTCTTAAGAGAGATCTCTTTGCACAGCCTCCCCCATATCTACGGGTGAAAACGGAGACCTCGATATCCACAATGCTAGGGTCACAGATCTGTGCTGCAATAGTGTTGCGTTCCAGATTATATCCCTTGCGTAGCATTGGTGCTCTGTTGTCGTTGCTCTCGTCTACCCCCAGTCAACCCACCCAAAATAAGCTTAAATCCCCTTGGCGCCAGTGGAGATAACGTCGGAGGATCGGCGTTTAAGGGATCTTGCCCCGCGTTGATATGCCTTTCTTCGTGGAGAATAACATGCTTTTACGGATTCTAGACTTTTGGTGGATTTCCGGGTGACTCATTGATTAGTTATCGCACGATTGGCAAAAGCGTAAATGTGCAGCCACATACATATATCTGTCACTCTTTCGGAAAACGTTTAACTGAGTTCATTCCTCGGCCGATGCACTCACTTCCTGATATAGCTTGCTTTTGGGGTCAAGCTTGGAGTTCTGGTGTTCCGATTATATCTCCTAGAGCCTTGGCTACAGCTCTAGTCTCTGTTTCCCCTCATCAAGAGGTCGAGCGTGTTGTGTGACTGGATAAGCCAAGCTGAACCAGATGCTTGTGGCACAGGCTATATCTCCGCGGTGACATGCTGGACATCTTTCACAGTGAATGATACTAGCCAACGGGCGATATCGCATGTATGCGCCCGCAGCGACAGTCTCGGACCCCAGATGTTGACTGTAGCCTGCGGGGCTCCATAGTCTAGGACAATATTTTCCAGGTGTTTTCAGAGAGCTAGAATGACTGGAATCCGGGGAAGCATGAACTTTCTTCAGTGGTGACTGTGATCGGCTAGATTAATGAAGTGGATCTGTAGATGCGAAAGCTGGGGTAGTGGTCCCAGTTCCCACTTTCATAGACTCGGGATGAAGTTTCTTGGTATTCATGTGATCGCAAGAGGTAAATGTTCTATTCCGGGAACAGTGACCTCTCCACATTGAAAGAATGGGTCAATAGCAGAGTCTCTTTCGCTCAAGTATTAAATATATTGGACGTAGCCCAAGGACGGAGTCTGCTTTGGATCAACAACGGTATTCCATCAACAAAACTATAAGCCCATCTCGGGTAGTTGCTCTAAAGTCTGATCTATCTCAATGCCCTCCGCTCGTGAGCATCTAAGTCCGGTTGTTGAAAACCAGACATAGTGTTGTTAGATTGCAGATCCCCCACACAGCAGTGACATTGCGAACGACTGAGATGAGACTTGGCGATAGAGCCAAGACTTGACTTGTACCGAAAGTTTCTATCCCCGCACCTCGTGGTCGCCTAGCCGATAGCCTCCGCCTTAGTTCTCGGAGCACTTTCGGATCCGATTAGCTAAGAACATATGGCGTGTGCTGAGGACGAATCGTCTTGGAGCTGTTTCCCTATCTGTCAAAGATATTGAAACGATATACAATGATGGGATAACCTCCTTTAGATACGTTCTCGAAAGAAATACATCAAGTATTTTAGAAGAATGGAGCAAACAATTGCCTCCTTCTTACAACCTTCACTACTAAGAATAAGTCTGAAGCTCTGAACTTTCCCGGACAGCCAGTGACTGTCTTTGTGTCGACAGCTAATCCACCCAACATCAAACATTGTCTATTCTCCGTAGTTCAACGCATTCTTTACAATAATTGTCCAATTTGGTATCGTTATCATACATGCTATCGTTTCATGACATTTACAAGACACTTCGAAGTCCCCTCTCAAGAACAACACCAGCAACACCAGCGCCCAGCACTCCAAGAGTCCAAGAGTTACCAAACTCCTCGGTCTTGGGCCAGAAGCTGTTCTTCTGCTCGCGATACTCGTTGAACTCCTCAGCCTTGACGGCATCATGCTTGGAGTATCGCTCAGCTTGACTCTCCTCGTTTTCCTTGTCGCCGCCGATGTAGCGAAGGAAAATGTAATTGGCGATGGGGCCGAGAAGAGTGATGGGGTGCATAATGCCGGAGCCGAGAAGAAGGATGGGGAAAGAAGCGTGGATGAGAGCGTCGCCGAGGTAGCTGCAGATTGTTAGCATGGGTTACTTGTAATAATGGGATGTGTCTTACTTGGGGTGTCGAACGATGCTCCATACACCTTCCCGGTTAACACCCTTGCCGTCGTTCTTCTTAAAAGTCTCAAGCTGGACATCCGCAAGCGTCTCAAGCGTAAATCCAGCAGAGAACAAGAAAACAGCAAGAGCATGGACATAGGAACCGTAAGAAACAACAGGAGAAGCCTGCGCACACTCATAAACCTGACGGAAAGGAATCGTGAACGGAAGAGCGATGATAGTCTGTGCAACAGCCTCAGGCAAGAACGTGGTGAAGAAAGCCTTGTTCCAGAATCCAGGATCAGTCTTTTTAGCGGCGTATCGCGGATCATCCTCGCCGCGCTGCAAGCTGCGAGATACGACGCGGGATGTAAGACGGACGCCCCAGGCTGTAGCACCAGCGAGAAGTAATTTTTGGGAATAACCGAGGGAAGACCAAGCTTGAGAAACAGAAAGACCATCGTTGATGACGCGAGAACCGATTGCGCTCCACCAGGCGTTGAGAGTCATGCCGGATGCCCAGAGATAATCCTTTCCTTCTACACGATCCGTGTACCGAGAAATACCATATGCCACGGCTGAAAGGCCAGCGTTCAGAGTAAACGAGGGAAGAACGGCAGTATGCATGAGACCTAGAGCGCTGGTACCGAGACCTTGGTACGGGCCGCGATTGAAGTGGGACCCATAAACATCCTGCTCAGCGCCCGATCCGAAGGGCAAACTCGGCATGGAAGGAGCATGACCGGCGAATTTGTTACCGTACACATCTTGTTCCGCGCCCGAACCAGTAAACGAAGCTCTAGGCAAAGAAGGAGAGTGCCCTTCGAATTTACTGGCATAAACATCTTGTTCCGCACCAGAACCCTTGAAAGATCCTCTAGGAAAAGAAGGAGCTTGTCCTTCGAATTTACTAGCGTAGACGTCTTGTTCTGCGCCCGAACCAGTGAATGTACCGCGGGGAATGGAGGGGATGTGGTTGGCGAGCTTTTCGCCGTAAATGTCCTGTTCGGCGCCGGAGCCGGTGAATTTTGGGAGGGAGGGAGAGTGGCCGGCGAGTTTATTGCCGTAGACTTCTTGTTCTGCCATTTTGACGTCCCATGAATGAATTGATGAGAATGGTGACGGATGGTGTTGGGTTGGGAGATATCATGATATACGTGGAGGTTCGTAAATATTGCGTCATTGGTTATATCATCATTGCATCGGCTACGCGTTACCGTGAGGAGTAATTACTAAGAATGTTTACAGCACACTGGATCATGTGAATTGGCGATTTACTTTTCATTGGGCTCGGAAATTTCGTATAGACAATTCAATTGTGCATCGTAACTGCTTACGACTGTTGTTTCGGACTGCATTACGCTGGACGCGACTAGCTTGTATTAGTTTCTCTTGAGATATACCTTCAATCAATGGCGTTGCTCGGGAGCTTCGGTTAAAATTAGTGCAAATTGAATCGATAAAAATAATGAAATGATCGAGACGATTAAAACAGTCACAGAGGAATTGCGCGACTTAAGAATTGAGTGCGAAATGCGAAACGACAACGCTGGTGATTACCCGGGAGGTTACGATGCGCCCGACAGTTGGATGATGCAGAGCTAACAGGGGTACATAATGCTAAATTTTCACTAACACTCTCATCCAATAGCTATTCCTCCGTTTCGGAGATCTCCCCGAATAGCTCAGCTGGAAGAGCGTTCGACTGTAATTGTTATATGTCATCGAAAGGTCACTTGTTCGATCCAGGTTTCGGGGAGCTGATATTTTTGCATTTTTCTGTATTTTCATCTTTGCCAAAGCTTTCAAAACTTCTATCATGGGAATGAACTGTACATCTTCTTTTTGTTCTTTTTTGGGGTCATTTGCGGCGCTGTCATTCACCCTCGGCTATAACATATTTTCCAGACAACAGTCATACCACCATCCATTGACGTCAAAATAACCAGTCCAAGCCAGTTAAAGTGCTGAAAATGAAGAGGTTAAATTCTTAGATGAGAATGTGCTTACTATTTGGGCTTCGAGTGGCATTGATGACGCCAAGTCATATTGGTGGTCAGGAATCTCGTGAGATATGAAGTCCCTAGGCCCCGTTTCCACGAAATGATCGCTCTTCGCATCTCTAGTCGCCAAAATGTTGATGTTATTGCCTCCAGAGATTGTTGAAAATATTTGCGAAAAGGTATGCGATTAAATAAAGTATTGAGACTATTGGCTTATATGAATAGCTTCACGGCACAGACCTCAAAGCCCTCTCCCAAACCTCCAAATATCTCCATCAAACAACCCACCGTCCCCTATGGCGCTCCCTAACTATCTTCCCTCCATCATCAACCAATCGTCACTCCATTTCGTCGTCCGGCCCACCGCAACAATGTCTTCAAGCCACGCGAGCTCTACACTTTCACATTGACGATGCGAAGCATTGCGTTCATGCGCACGATTGGTTGGGCTATATGGGAAATTGGTTGGACAAGGATCCGCAGTTGCATGATACTTGGGAGGGAAGGAGCGATAGTTTTGGGTTGGAGGGGGGGAGAATTGTTAGAGTTAAGTATGAGTGTCTTGTGCAGAGGGCTTTGGCTTTGTTGAGACGCTTCGATGATGGCCAGCTTGAGACTTTCAGGTATGACATCTGTTTCCTTCTTGGCAATAGTACTGACTGAGTTGTGCAGTTGGAACTATATGACGTGCATCCCATCCGAGGTCCTCCAGCATCTTTCGCTCAAACATTCCTCCATCCAAGCTCTGAACTTCACGACCGATCCCTTCTGCAGCAGCTTCAACCGCTGGAGCAGAAACACAGACATGAACCTCTCCGCCTTCCGCAACATCCGACGATTTAGTTGGAAAGCTCCAATGGGATGCCACTTCGGCAACATTGCCACCTTGGTCCAGATGAACTCAAATCACTTGGAGGAACTGGGGCTTGACCTGCAATGTTGGTCACAACAGTGGGAAAATAGAGAGATTAGGATTGTCAGGCAGGGAGATGGCGATGAGAAGTGGAATAACGTGCCTGCTAGTATGATGCTGGCAAGGCAGATATTCGGAGTTGGACCGGACACCGACACGGATACGTCCTTTCCGAAGATGAGAAGCCTGAAGCTCACAAGAGTACCACTAAAAGACGAGATCACGGGAAAGGCAGTTTCCCCAGCATGTACCAACGTCTCAAACCTCACGTCTCTCACACTGAACATGTGTCCCTGCTGGACAACGCTCCTTACAACACTCACCCAGTCCCAAAAACCACTCAATCTCAAATCCTTCGAGATCCTAGACTTCTATCTCCAAACGCCCCAAGAAACAGCCATAGGAAAAACAACCATTATCAAAAACTTCCTCGACTCATTCACTGGTCTTGAAGAGTTGTTTATAAGCTATTGTGACCCCACATCAGTTCTCAAATTCTGGGAACATCTTGCGCGTCATACTGGTTTGAAGAGTTTTGTGCATCATCAGAGGGTTACTGATCGGGATGATGAGATGGTGGGTGTGAGGATGGGGAGCGATTTGATGGGGCTTGGGATGGATGAGAACGAGTTGGGGGGGATTGGAGAAGATCCGGGGATGAATCCGCTTTCGAGGCTTGATCTGCAATTCTTTGGGTTAACGTGTGCACCTAAGTATCTGGTAAGCCATCAAACAGAGTCTTCGATATGTCGGCTGATTGCTTGAACAGAAAGACGTTCTACTGCCTTTTGTGACGAAACGCTCACTTAGGGTTCTTCACATTCGTCAAACCGGCGTGAATATAGATTGCACTCCTTCATGGATCTTCGACAAGAGCCATGTCACGGACGTCGAGAGCAACCAACCTCTGGCCAGAACCGACGTCACCGCACCAAACGAAGACGTAAATGAGGATGTCTTTAAAGGTCAAACGCCGCCCCTCCAACAATCTTTTCGCATTTTCGCAGACTGGATCTTCAGTTTAGAAGGAATTAATTCGCTAGAGTATATCGTAGCGGGCGATCTTTCACATGGGGACAGATACGCTGAGAATAATGTCTTGGTCTGTAGGGAGGAGAATGGCTATCGTGTTGTAGGACAGAGGGACGGTGGTGGTGAGTGGAGGGATGTTAGGAGGAGGTTTGGTAGAGCTTTGGGAGTTTGTCCTGTCGAGAATGTTATTCCGGAATATAGTTCGTCGGGGTTAGAACACGTATTCTAGTCTCATCAGATGGTGGACCTTTAAAGCGTAATCAGTGAGAATAGCTTACATCTTGAGACGCTAGTGATTGAATGGAATGGAACAGAGCGATTCGGTTGCTCAAAGCCTAAGCCCATGATTGTCTATCGCTATAACCCATCTGGTCCATATGACGGACCGCCACAACTGAGTCTGTCGCTGATGTCGGGTTTCAGCTGAGGCCAGAAACTGCACCTGTGCGTCTGCCATGGCTGTGCTGAGCGGCACATGTCCCCTGTATTGCCGCTTACTTCAAGCATATTTCTCAGTAAGCTGCTGACCATCTTACTCTTCACCTGGCCAGTCTGCTGAGGACAAATCCGAGGCCCTGGGACGTTCAAAGGACCTGTCAGATTCGAAGCGGACCACGGCTATTATTTATGGCGCTCACTACTGAGGCGGATGTGGCTTTAGTCCCTTTTCGAAGCGCCGCATCTTATAGGCTTAGGGGTATTTCTTCCGCTTTGACGTGTCAGCGAGGCCGCTTAGACATGGCGTCAACTACAAATGGATTTCAACTTAGCGGCGGTACTTGCCAGTTAAATAAAAAATACGCGGATTGTAGACGTTCTTACTTCAACCGTCCTCCAATGAAGCATCACACGAGGTCTCATCTCACCAGTGAGTAACAAATGTCATGATTATTTATCCAGAATTCCAGATACAGTCCACTACTTCTTCAAGTAGCTAGCCAAAGACTTCTCAATCCCCTCCCTCCCCTTCTCATACAACCTCCCCCTCTCCGTCTCCCACCCATCTTCCTTGAACAGCGCCTCGCCAGGTCCAACAGCAAATTGCTCATCCCCCCTCTCAAGCCCCTCGTACATCTTATCCACAAATTCACCTAGAGGCATCCCAATCTGTCCTCCATTCACTAGATCAGGCTGGTGCTTCTCATCATGCAACTCCGTCTGCACAGCGGGCGGAAACACCTCCACCATCTTTACTTGGCCCTTGAGCTGTTCGCGTACGTTTAAAATGAAGGTGTGCAGAGCGGATTTGGAAGCGTTGTAGTTGGGTGTGCGGACCATGGAGGGAATGAGGCCTAGTGTGGCGCTGACGTAGATTAGATGTCCGTTGTTCTTTTTGAGATGAGGTATGAACGCCGCTGTTAGATATACGGCCGAGGTATAATTCGTAGTCAACTCATCGCCTAGAACACTCAGATCCAGGGTTTCAGGGTTACTAAAGTCAAAGCCCCTCTGAATTCCCGAATTCAACACCACAGAATCAAGATCCGGATCAGACCTGATAACCTCCTCGGCAAAGTCCTTGATGTGGTCCAAATTGGTGACGTCAAAGACTATAGCCCTGACATTATCCGCGCCGTACTCTTTAACAAAAGATTCCAAATTCTCGCGCCGACGACCCACGATAATGACTTTCGTGCCTGTGGCGATGAGCTTGGCAGCGAGAGACTGACCAATGCCGGAGGAAGCGCCTAGTACGAGAGTCTTTTTGTACAGGGGAGGCATGGTAGATGTAGATAGAGTTTGATGAGATCTTGCAGAGGAGATAACTGCCGTGGGAGGGGTAAAGTGGGATGAACCGAAGGGTTGGTAATTAGCGGTAGGCCTAAATGAGGCTGTGTGAGGTTGTTTCGATGCCGGTTTTGGAAGTTCCAGTCGTTCGGGAGATTTGGGGATTGGTTGGGGAGGGTTAGAATGAGGCTAGAGGGTAGCTTTGTCGGAGGTAGATGATGCTTCCATAAGGTTCTCGCGATGTCCCACTATTACCTAGTGTCGTCTCACGTTGCAAGTCACCTGACCTTTCCACCAAAGTCACACAGCAGAGTCCCCGACATTAAGCATATCTCGAATTAGCATACAATTCTTACAGCATCACCCAAATAAGTAATCTCTATTAAAGATCATTTTTCGCTTTCTCTAAGTTCTAATTGATCTATCAACCTCGGCCTCTGGTCTTGGTCAGACTCGGCCTTCATCATCCCAAGCCTCTGCACCGCCAAGAAATCCAGACTTCAGGCCCCATCTGAGCCACCCCAGCACTTCCACAACCCCTGTCACTCCTTGGCAACGGTTTTTTAGCGCGTCTCCAATGGCATTGCATTGCATGTGGTATTTTTCATTGCAACTCTCTCCTTTCCCGTTGGACCTGGGGAAAACCCGCGGAGTTAATTATCTGCGGGCGTAAATAATGGACCTGGCGTACGTCATGAAGTTACTATCAAGACGATAATGTTTACTTGGCAATACGACTGCTTGATATCATGTGAGAAGACTTATACGCGCTCGGAGGAAGATTCTCCGGGAGCTTGGTAAAGAAACACGTTTCGTCTCGACTTTAAACTTTAATGAAATCACAATGCCAAGCCAAGCAGCTCTTAACAAAATTGCAAAGCTCGGTACTTTCTACCGTAACGAAGTCTAGATGAGACACGCATGAACAGCGGTAGCAGGGAATACCCAGCCATGCTTATTCTTCTACCGCAGCGTAGCAATGAGCACCCCGTAATTGGCCCACAACTCAGTAAACATCTCTCCCCGGTCAGACCGTTGTGGCGTGACTCTGACTTCTTTTTCTAGACCCCGATGAATAATGAGCTAAGCCCAGACTGCCGCAATAAGGTTGCTGCAGATAGATGTAAGCCCCAGCCTGGAGTGAAGACCCTGGAATATAGCAAGGATGGGAGTTAACTGTAAGGTACTGTATTGCAATTACTACGTAAGAATCGGAAACATCGGGGTGATGGAAAGTGCTTAAATACTGATGGTATCTCCTTCATTCGTGTATCTTGGAAGCCATCGCAACTTTATCTCTGAGTTTATATTCACTGGACAACTCTTCCCTAGCCAGACACACAACCCTAACTTCTTCTTTTTGTAATCCGTCATGTATTCTTGGATCCCTCTTTTGGCTACCTTTGCGCCTCAGGCGTTGGCGTCTTGTGCTTATGGAACTCATCTTCATCGAAGAGCAGATGCTATTGAGGCGCCCAAGTTTGGTTACTCGGCTGCTAATGTAAGTCCTTGGCCCCTCATTCGACTCTCATATATGAGCTTGCCTGTCACATTGATGGAGAACAATTCAAACTAACATGCTCAGGGCCCTGCCAATTGGTTCAACCTAGACCCCAAGGCCAACGCCCTCTGTGCAACAGGCTCTCACCAATCCCCCATCAACCTGTCCAAGGGCACATTCCAAACCATCTCCCCCGAAGACCTCCACATCACCATCCCAGACTTTCACGAGGGCGCCGAATTCGAAAACCTCGGCAGCACCGTCGAAGTCGTAACAGAAGACCTCGGTGGCAGCATCACTCTTCACAACAAGACCTACCACCTAAAGCAATTCCACTTCCACTTGCCGTCTGAGCATTTGGACAATGGAACGAGCATGGCTATGGAGATGCACATGGTTCATCAGAGCGAGGATAAGCAGCTTGCTGTGATTGGTGTTTACATTGATTTGGATGATGGGGCTTCGAATGTTACCCGCAAGGGGTACAGGGGTAAGGGTTGTGAAGCCAAGAAATCCACTGTTGCTACCACTGTTCTTGACTCGGTGGATGAGATTGCGACATTGGGTGAGACCACTCACACTAAGCCTCTCAAGATGTCCGAGATCGTCTCTCTTCTCAAGGAAGGCGAGTTCCAATCGTAAGTCTCAATCCCACTTAACAATCCCAACTCCAATACTAACAATGGTTGTTTAGTTACTCTGGCTCGCTTACCACACCGCCCTGCAGCGAAGGCGTAACCTGGCTCGTCTCCACCCAAAAGATTTCAATTCCTACAAAGACATACCTCAAGGCTCGGGGTGTCATTGGATACAACGCTCGCTTCCCTCAGAACTCGCCTGGTGAGGAGAATGTTTTGAGTATGCTTGCCGATGAAGTGGATGATAAGTAAAGTGCGGATAATTGAGTGGAGTTTTTCTGTTTGGGTGGCTATTTGAGCGATTATCTTTTTCTTGTGGATAGTAGAGTATATTAGACGTTGTATTATACAAGCATAGACTATGATCTTTTCCATTTCAGTCTCCAAGTCGGGTAAACATTGTGTTTATTGCCTTCGGTACTCAATCTCCAAGAACCGAGTAAAGATCCGCTAGGGCCTACCATTGTTTACCGTAATCCTCCGATGTAATATCTCAGTTCGACGTCACGTCTCCATATCTTGGCATCCCACCTCCGGAGAAATGTGGGGAACCGTTCGATTTCTCTGCGTCCCCTGCTTGCCGATCTCTCCACTGGTTTATGCACAAAGTCTGGAAAGTTTAACGGCCCTCAGCCACCCGCTGTCAGTCCAGGGTCTTGGCATTAACCCTTCTGAGAGATTCTGAGAGAGGATCCGGTGATGTTACGATTGGTGGGAGATGAGTAGTAGACTTTCGAGTGAGAATCCACCAATTAGCTTTTAAGCTTAATGGTAACGCGCGGCTGCCCCTGTAATTTCATTGAGGTTGTCGTGAGGAAGCTTAATTGTTTAGACTTTGGATGATTGGAGCTAGGCTAGGCGGAGGTTAGGCGAATGTATAGACTCATGCTGCCGTGACGTCGTTGGTCTAGATACTAGACACCAGATGTTAGGGCAAACTCTAAAGAGCTTAATTTCCTTCAGTGTATTATTATCTTGGCAATGTCATATAGTATAGCTGCTGTCTTATTCGGTGCGTAGGTTCCGTGGGAAAGGCTCTGTCCTTGTCCATATCACTGAAGTGAGAAACATAGCCCTTCGGATGATATCATCTGTTTCCAATTCAACATCAAATCGAAGTCCATGGTAAAGCTGCAGCTAAACCTTATTCATTTAGATTCGAAGATAGTCGGAATGGAACAGGCATCCCAGTGTTGAAGCAACAGCCAGGCATCAAAGGACCTTATGGTATTCCAGGACCGCAGAAGGAGATGCTTATACTTCAAGGCTATGCATGGAAGCACTTAATGCATATCATAGTAGAACATATCCCCGTATCCTTGTGTGAGGAGACCACTAAGATGCTGATATAAGCCCGAGGTCGCGCTAGTACTCGTCCATGCGTCGTTCGCTTGTCGCAAACTAATTTAACCAGTAAATTCAGTACTATTTTTGCAGCCTTACTGTCTCTGTCTTAAGAAAATCTCATTATTAGTACCCGACCTGACTCACAGCCAATAGCTACAGTCGATTCGAAGACAGCTGTTTCATGAGAGCGATATTCCGAAGGGAGCCAAAGTATATCCTCGCCAGATTTTGTAATCCATTCTCCATTAATATTAATACCGCGACTAGGGAAATCAGAAATCCTTAAGGCAGTTATCGCAAGCGGCTCGACGACAACACTGGGCGTTAGATGTAACATTGTTAAGTCCCAAATTCCCAAGTCAGTATAGAGCAGGGAGTTCGTCCGTGAATCGAAAGATAGACGATAAAGGGTTGTACCGACGTTGATTCTGTACAAACACATGCAATGTTCCAAATCCCAGATCGAAAGAGTCCAATCGTGGGAGCCTGATGCCAGATACTGGGAATCCACAGTGAAGGCTACTGATGCCGAATTGATACGTCCATGTAGAGTTTTGAAGCTGTGCTCTCTGAAATCCCAAATCCTAATCTTGCTTGAACCAATTGCGAGATACCGATTATCGGCTGACAATGCCACAGAGAACACTTCTTCGTTATGCTCAAATCTGCGTAAGCATTTACCCGTTTCTACATTCCAGATCCTGGCTGTATTTCCACCTGAGCCTGATGCAAGATATCGATTATCTGTTGAGAAAACCGCTGACCATACAACCCCGTTGTCCACAAATGTATGGAGGCATGCACCGGTTAAAGCATCCCAGATCTTAATAGTGCAATCACTTGAGCATGACGCTAAGCGCTTGCTATCAGCAGAAAAGGTCACAAAGGTTATTGGCCTGAAATGGCCTCCGAGTGTCTTTAGGCATGTTCCTGTTTCTGTATCCCAGATCTTTACAGTGGTATCACCGGATCCTGACGCAACTCGCAGGCCATCTGCAGAAATGGCGACAGAGGTCACTTCCTGCTCATGATCCTCAATCGTTAACGGGTCCACCTTGATTGATGTATCCCAGATCTTGACTAAACCATCGTCTGAGCCTGATACAAGATGCTGGCCATCAGCTGTGAAGGCCACCGACGTGAATGAGCTTCCGGGGCCCTTCAGAGTCTGTAGGATTGCGAAGGTTTCCGTATCGAAGAGCTTTATCTCGGAGGCGGTATCAGCGCAAGCAAGACGCTTACCGTCTGTAGAGAAGGCCACTGACGTTACTACATCATCGTGGCCAAGTAGCGTCCGTAGACATGAGAAAGATTTTATATCCCAGATCTTGATCATGTCATCCGCCGAGAGTGACGCAAGACGCCCACCATCTGGCGAGAAGATCGCTGACTTTACTACATCATCGTGTCCCCGCAGCGTTTGTAGACATGAGAATGCTTTCATATCCCAGATTTTAACTGCATTATCGATCGATCCTGACACAAGATGCCGGCTATCAGGTGAGAAGGCCACTGAACATTGCAATTCATCAGAGTGGTCTTCAAAGGTCTTCAGACACTTTCCCGTTTTTGAACACCAGATCTTAATGGTCCGATCAGAAGATCCCGATGCAAGGTACTGGCCATTGGGCGAGTAAGCCACTGAGTTCACGCGTTCATTATGGCCCTCTAGGGTCTGCAGACATAGTTCTGCTTTTGTGTTCCATATCTCAATCGTGTTCGAAGCTACTGCAAGGCTTTGTCCATCTTGTGAGAAAGCGATAGAATAGATTTCACTACCAAGATCCTCAAGACTTTGTCGCAATAGGCCTGTTGTTATATCCCATATTCTAACAGTCGTATCGCAACTGCACGATGCAATAAGCTGATTATCCGGTGAGAGGGCGACTGATTCTACCGAAAGGTGATGGCCCTCCAAGGTTTGTAGGCAATTATTCCAGTTCTTGTCCATCTTTGGCTTCAAACTTATCCAGTCCGGCTCTTCATGCTTGAACAGCTTTCGAATGAGGCTATGTTCTGGACTAAAGACTAGCGCCGAGACATAGGCTTGCAATGGGGCGAACTCGATCGGTCGCTTCTGGCTGAGAATAAAACGTCGTGAATCTTGGAGCAGTTTCAGTACCGGCTCTGGTGCCTTCAGTCTCTGCATGATTGTTAGACCACTGCCAAAATATGCTCTGGACTACTCGGAGGATGGTGGTTTCTTTGCAACCTTCATATATCAAAAGAAATCCTCATACAAGGTCCAATTGAAAAAATAGAGAAAAAGAGAAAGAACAATGGAAAGCAAGAAGACAGGAAGACTGAAACTCACAGTAGCAAGATCCTCAAGCTTGTATATGGCTTTGACTCCCTCTACTGTGCTTTTCAAGAGGCTGAGGGATTCTAGCCAGTATAAATACTTCTTCTGGATGAATACGTGAATTGTGCCGCCGTTGTCAAGATGATTATTGAGCCTGGTGGGCTCAGAGTCATGGATATGATCCACCCAATGAACGCAAGAGTACCGAATGGGATCCAGTGGCTCAAGGTAATCCGGCTCGATGTCGTCGATGTAGAACCCTGGATGGTCGAGTTCGCATAGGTCACGTTTCAGAGTCTCTGATAGTGCCTGCAACGATCTTTTGAAGATAAGTTCATGCTGATATGCAAGCCCTGAGGGTAGAATTTGGTCTGATGCCTTGTTGAGCAGGAAGTCCTTGGCCGACTGATGCAGGAAATAAATGGCATCACCCCGGAGTGTAAGGAACGAACCACATCCACCAATGATTTGTGGCAACTCATCATACTCATCCTCATACTGCGATCCGAGGAGAGTTTTCAACTCAGACAAGGTAACTGGTCTGTAGACCACAGAAGCCAGAGCCAGTATCTCTGTATATATCTCTGCATCATTTGACGAAGAGATATACTCCATCATTCTTCCGTACAGTGGGTCAAGTCCCTTCGGAAATGATTCCAAACTGAGGCGGGTATGTCGTTTGCGAATCACCTTGCTATCTGCAAGACCTTGACAAACCAAAGCGACCCACAGAAACGTGCCATCAGCGTTTGCAGCTAAATAACTCTTGACATTGCTTTTGAGCTCTTCGTCGTATTGCTTTCTTTCGGCCAATTGTTCTACCTTGTATTCGATGAATGCCTCAACGGCCTTGCAAACCGAATGTTGATTTAACTCGAGATGGAGTCTGATGTTCTGCGTGGAGCGATCTAACCACTGTTCGATTTCCGGCCAGTTGCGGCTTGTCACGATCCATTTGACACTGCTAGACTTGACGATCAATTCAAGAAGCTTCTCTTGGTTCGCGATACACTCATCAAGGGCATCGACGATCAGGAGGGCACCATCTAGTATTGGGTCCTCAATCATTGCGATGAAGATCTTGGAAAGAGCCTGCCATGCATTGCCATCCTCAAAGAGCTGCTTGGCAGCATGATCATACTTCTCCTCGATGTAGGAGAAGAGCGGAGGTCGTTGGACAACAAGAAGATAGATCAAACCACGGAGCACAGCTGTTGCATTGCTCAATCGTGCTTCAGTGGCTTGGCAGAAGAAATAGGACAAGACTCTTCCGTGTTCTTTCTCAAGCTCATTGATGAGCCCGCATAATAACATTGTCTTGCCTTTGCCAGGGTCTCCTTTGATCCAAAGAAGCTGACTCTGTGAAGCATTATTCCATTCTTGAAACTGGTCGTTTTCAAGAATCCAACGGTACGCATCTTTGAGCAGTCCACCTTTTGTTTCTTCGATACGAGTCTTATCGTCACGAGGATCAGTTTCTCGCAGATCTCGCAAACAACTGTTGTACTTTTCGTTCTGGAGCCAATATTCCTGCTTCCAAACACTCTCTGGTGTCCTCGAAAGTGCTTCTTCTGTTGGAGGAAGCTCTTCCAGAAACTCCCTTGCAAATGCGGCAGCGGTAGCAGCGGCATATTCCTGCCATTCCTTGCTCTTATGGGAGTCGGAATAGTCACAAATCCCCCGTATCGACAGACAGGGACAAATATCACTCAGGCCGGCGGCTTCCATTTCGAAGCAAATGGCATCGACTGCCTGGGCTACCGTATCGCGAACTGCCGAGCTTTTCATGACCTGATTGCCTGAGGCGATAGTACCGTAGTGGATGTAGGGGTTCCTCGTACTCCGCTCGCTTCTTTGTACTAGAGCTGAAGGGCTACATTCATCACAAGTTGATGCTTGAGAGTTGTGTGGATATTCTGAAGAGAAGAGACGGTCTGCTGTAGATGGATGGGCGTAAACGGGATGATCTCTGAACTTTTCTTCCAATATGAATGGTATCCGGCTGCTATGCGGTTGATGCTCCGCTTGTAAGAGCGATAAGGCTTTACCAATCAGATGCGCCAAAGTCCTCGGCACTGCAATATGTTGGATTTGTCCACTTTCAGCAATCTTGCCGAGATCATGCTGCACCACCCGTGTGCCGACAATTATATCGCCCAAACGAATGTCAAAGTTGGGACGCGGGACACCGCCGCCAATGCCCACCATGAGGCTGAGATAGATCGACTCAAAAGTGCGGGTAAGATTAGTCAACACATTCACTGCGTTGTTCGTTCCATACTCGTTAGTCGGCAAACTCGTGATGACGATATTGTGGCAGCCTATGCTGCCAAGCACATAGGAATTGGTGTCATTTTTCCGCCTAGGTAAGGGTTCATGGACTTCGTCTAACACAGCTTTAGCTGCAGTTAATTCCTTCGGTAGTGCACAGATCCAAGCGACTGTATATCGTTCATAGGAAGCGGACGATATTTTCTGAGACTTTGGGGCCCTATGGTCTACATCAGCCCTCAGGGTCAGGCGGCGTTTCTGCTGCTGATGAGCCATGATTCCAGGGTGAATTGAGCACTGTAAGCGTCTAGGCCTATTGCGCCGGAGCGCTCTGTAGACAAGTTGCTAAAAGACGAGGGCGTGATGGAGTTGTAGAGTTTGGAACGAAAATGATCAAAATGAAGCAAAGGAAAGGATGCAGGACAGAATGAGGGCGGCTGAGTATGCATGCACAGCCACCACCAGTTTTTGTGGCCTGCAAGGATTACCAACAGCGAATCAGAAAGAGTAGCCCAAAAACACATCATATCATATCTCTCAACTATCCTCTCTGACTGTCCCTCCACGGTAACAAGTCCCCATTGGCATTCACATACCACACATTACTATTGAACTTCTCCATCCTCAAATCCTCCTTGTACCATCCAAACGTAGACAACATAATAATTGCCATGACCGAGATATCAAATACATACAGCGTCCACTCATGCGAAACCAGATATCCATTAACTCCATCAAACATCTCCAAGACCCGAAAGAAGTTTCGTACGAGCATGTAACACGTGAAGACGTATACCATGACAGTCATACGTAAGAGACGAACATGCGGGTTAGTCCTTCCCAACAGACCACGGCGGACAATTCGATAGTTGAACACAGCAATGCAGAGTAGAAAGATGAGAAGCGCAGCAATTTGAATGGCCAGGCCAGTGCAAATGAGAAACTTCCCCGAATCCATTGTCGATTCCGGGCCAAGGTATAAGATCCCAAGACCACAGACATGGAAAAGAAAGCAAACATAGTTACTTATAATAAGCAGAGCCGTCTGTCGAACATACCACGTCAACGACAGATTCGAATATCCAGAGCCATACATTAAACCCTTGAAAAAGCAATACAACGCCGTCGTAAAGTGCAGCGGCGCATAGAGCATCAGGGCTCTTTGCAAGATGTATGATACTTCGTTGTCGGGATAGTGGATGGAGATGAGTCGGCTAGAGAATGCTACTACTTCCACTGATGGATTGTTAGACTTGACCTGGGGGGACGAGGGGATGGGAGACTTACCGAGTCCGCCTCGGTGTATTTCACTGCCGAAATCGTGAGGTGATATGCGGTATTTCATGTAATGCCACAGCGTCAGTGCTACAAAGAAAACGAGGCAGGATATTGCTACATAGCGATTAGGCTCGTAGCGTTCGTAGAGGTTGTCGTTTGAAGAGAACATTGTGGCAAACGATACTTGGAAGACGATGCTTGAAGAGGGGATGCACGATGACGGAAGATGGTACAAGTGCAGGTTAGAGTACAAAGCTTGGATATATATATCCCATCAATGACGCAGTAGCCGGCATCGCCGTAGATACCGTTGAGGGGTTGACGATCACGTCTTTCCTCATCGATATCATTGGGTTTCGTGGTTGTGGTTGTGGCTTGCTGTAACGGCAACTAGACCGCGAGCTCCGTTTTCCAGAAGCCATCTCTTCGCATTGAACAAGCGTTTGTTCCTGCATATGCACGACTGTTGTGCTGGACTCTTGAGTTGATTCCGCTTGTTTGCGTTACTGGCACTCGTTCTCGGGTGGGAGTGAAGACCTCACGTTCGATATACTCGTTTCGGCGCTAAGTGTCCCACAGGCACAGTTGATCCTGCTATTTTACTCCTCCTTATATTGTAGAGATCGATCATAGCTAGCGACGTGAATGAGACTGGTCCCGCGCTATATAGCCTGGCAGGTGGGTGTCAAAAGAAATGTCCTCAAAGATTTAGGCTACAGAAATAAAGTAGCCTAAATGCTAGCCTAAGCTAGCATAAGGTGATCAAATGATTTCGTCTCTTATGCCCTTGAGGGCTAATTCTTATAACACCCTGGGGCCTAGAGAGACGGTCAAGCAATTCACACACTCTAATCCCGTAGCTCACTGACTAAGCCCAGGTTTAAGCCTGAGGACTTTCCGGCTCTTTCAATGTCGACTGAGTGTCCACATCCGTCAACATCCATTATTTTGAAGTGAGATGTCAGCAGTGTTGCCTCCCTTTCACTATTCGGCTTATAAGATTTCTCCAGAGCTCGCACAGGCAGCTGAGTCAATGTACGATAGCACAAAGCGAATGCTGTAATTAGAGACTAGAGCCCTTGATTAGATTAATTAGTAACAGTCAAAGGGCTCATGAACAAGCGCCAATGCGTCCTCAGGCTTGTCTAATCATCTTAGCAACTTTCCCACCACTTGCTGCTGGTATATACACCACTCTGTTATATATTAAGTTACATGAGCGTCAATTACAACTAGCCTGCTCTCAGATACAGAGCTATCATGCGTCAGCTTGATGCCTCGCTGTAGCTGCGGTACTGGGCACATGTCTAGTCGACTGGGACCACCTCAGAGCCTGAATGCGAGAGACCCTAGATACAGCGCGACCATTATTAGATAACTGTAGAGATAAAGAGATCGTACCCTCCAATCGGCGGTCAAAGCATGTCTATACATCACATCAAACGCCATCAACACCAACGAAGAACATCTCGTAATATGCTGATCTCACGGTCGATTGCCGTACATGTAAATGTAACCTGGAGGGTCACGCATTGTCGTGTCACGATGTCTGGTCAATGGACAGTTACCAATAATAACAGACATGATATGTCGTGTCAAAGAACTCATAACCAGCTTGGAATGGGTCTTGACTACCTTTTCCTTGAGAAGTTCGTGTCTCCTTCATTCCACGTGCGGCACTTTACGTAGAGGAACAGCAAAACTTTATAAGGGTATAGTTAGATACAAAACCATGGTCTTCTGTCAGTATCAAGAATATAACGGTGAAAATTGCAAACCTCGCGAAGTTGTTTGCATCAGTCGTTGCGCACTTTCTGATGCTGATGGGGCGCGTGATCACGTCCCTAGCTGGGCAATCTCTCAACTTCGCTACGGGCGCATTTACGGAATCTTTAGCTAAATTTACAAATTTTAGTATACCCATAGGGCTAAAGGCCTAAATTAGATATCGTGGGTCATTGGAAATGTTCAGAACGTCTTTGTGATTCGCAATTGATGAGTGTCAGTGTCGAATCCTGGGGCAGTCGGGCTGTGGACCAGTTGAGTACCGAGAAACCTCCAGGAACTTCAATTGAGCAACAGATGAAGCAGAGCTGTACAATAACACATCACTTTAATTTATGAGATCTCAACGATCTCATGTTTTTCCCAAGTTGGAGGGGAAAGTAAAGTTTTACCTGAGCTCGTGTACTTGTTCGTCTCATCCGCGTTCACTTCTCGGCTCGGATAGCTTCACATCGACACAGCAAGCATCAGTCAAGTGAGAACAAATATAGTATCTTATGATAGTAGCTATCAAGCATTCAAATAAACGTCTATGAAATGCGATGCCTATCTGAGTATCTCCCATCCGGTGAGATCCCATTTACAAGTCCTTTGGACATCAAGTTAACTCCATTCTCCCCCAAAACACAAAGACAAACCCTCAAAGATCCAGATCCAGTCGAGGTAAGAATCCAACGCCAATTGTCACGCTCAATCAAAAGCACACATCCAAATAAACGTTCCCAATCCACTCGCAAGAACCAAGAAAGTCAGAATACCAGCACCAGCTCTATCCGCCGTCGTCAAAGGCTTCGGCTCAGGATTATCATGCGAATCCTTACCCGCATTAGGATCACCCTTCGAAATACCACCCGTGCTGTTCGTAGCCGGCGGTTCCGCATCCTCAATCAATAAACTCGACACCGCAGCAAGCACATTCATTTGTTCGCCTGCACCACTCGTTCCATCGACCGCTACATCTACGTAGCTTCCTCCACTCCAGTAGAAACCGCATGCGCGACCGGAATCGCCGCCTGTGCATTGCTTTACCGCTGCTTCGGTGGACTTTTGAAGGACGGGGAGGATCTTTTCGCGGGTGAATGGTGCGACTTGGGTTGTTACGGCGAGCCAGCGGTGCACGTAGCCTTTGAAGGACAACATATCGGTCGAGCAGGCGCCCTTTCGGCCTTCGCAGGGGACTTCGTACATGATGTCCTTGGGGAAGAAGTTCTTGAGGGTAGCGTCGAGGAGGTTGGTGATGCGGTCTTCCCAGACAGTGGAACCGTTGGTCTACAAATGTTATTAGCATTTCATCCAAACCTCTGTATGTGTCGACTTACATAATTGTACATGAACGCTGCACCCTGGAGCAGAATAGCTGCGTTGTAAGAGAATGTCGCCTTGTTGATATCGGTACAGTTCTTTCCAACGTGTCCACCGTCGTAGACTAACCACCTCTCGTGATCGATGTAGTTGACGCCCCAGAGCCACTCCCAGGTTTCTTCAGCATGCTTGGCATAGGTGTCGTTTCCGGTATATCTCGCGAGACGAGCGCCGATGTTGAAAAAGCATCCATTGGCAATAGCTACCACATGTCAGTCAAGCCCCCACCAACACACACGCAAGGTAACCCACTGTTCTTGTAATCGTAACCAGAGTTGGTGAAGGGAATCTGCCATCTCATTCCACCATTGCACTCATCATCGTGACGCTCAGGTTGAGCCTGCGTCGTCCACACAGCTTGCGCAAGGGCTAGCCACTGCGCTTGATCCTCTGGCGGATTGGGGAATTTGTTCTCTGCTGCTAGCATGGCGGACATGCCCCAGAAACCTTGATCGTCGTTTCCGAGGGAGGCACTGTGGTTGCTGGGCATGTAATCGCGACCTTCTCCTGTTTGGTGAAGCATGCCCTCCATAACGACCTTGTTGTAGGATGAGTCGCCTGTGAGTTTCCAATAATCTGGCTCAATTAGCACCCTTCGTCTTTGTTGGAGATTGAGGTATCGGCATACCGATATAAGTACCCATCATGGCTCCTCCTTCCCACCAGTAGTAATCACCCTTGTATTCCGTTGGAGGACCGGGCAAGATACCGGGAATCATGCCAGTTGTGTTTCCGTCATATTGAAGCATGAGATCGTAAGCGAGTGTGCGGGCGGATTGTTTAATCTCGTCTGTATAGTGTTAGTTTTGTCCTGTCATGGTGTCGTGGGGTCATCGCGCACCCTTTGTTCCGATCTTGTAGTACTGCGCATCGACTGATTGAACGAGAAGACCACCCAAAAGAGCAGCTTGGGCGACGAAGCCCTTTGGTGAAGAAAACAACATGGTGATCGAATGAGAGGTGTACTCTCTGTGATTGTTGTGAAGTTTGTTAATCGGTTTGGTCGATATAGTGGTGGCTTGTAGAGCGAGCGACAACAAGCACCAAGATTCAGCCGCCTAAAGGATCTAGAGAAAACAGTTCAAATAAAAAAGCGAGTGTTTAATAACGCAACCAACATCAACTTCTAGAAAATATGATCGGAGAAAGGATGAAGAATTGGGAAGATCAAAGGTGGGACGGGTAACTTCAAAAAGCGGAGGGATCCGGGGGGGACATCTTGCTTCAAAACAGTCAAAGAAAGAAAAAACAAGGGGGAGATGGCTGAACGGGATTGGTACGAGCCAAGGGGGGCAGTGCAGCTTGTTCGGACATCTTGGCAATTGGACTCTACTGTCTCCTTTGACTACTGGTAACCGCCAAGACAGACAGGCCAAGACTTGGCAATAGTCTTGGCGGGAAAAGGGAGCGTTCCCAGTGGTAAGAGTCAATAGGCTAGGTGCCTTGATTTGCAGTGCATATTTACAGGTCATGGATTGATGGAAACTACTGGTAATGGGGATTGATACTACTGGTGATGGTAACAGGCGCACAGGTTACAGACGGAAGGATTTAAAGTTGAGGGGAACACGAATGTCACTGGTCCCGAGATGAGACAACCCAAGCGTCCATCACAATCACAAAGAGAAAAAATAAAGCCAAGATCTTGTCTGCTAGAGCGAGATTGGAGATTGGACCTTGGGGAACCTGACACAGGCCACGCAAGCCCTGTAGTTAGAAAAGTACTTCTTGTCACAGGTATAGATTGGTGGTGGGAGACGTATACTGCTATGGAGAGAGATACGCGCTAAACTTTAATGCACCACATCTCCCCACCAGCCCCTGGTATGCTTAAATATTACCTTATTCTGCTGTCCGACCAGTGAAACCAGGGAGATTTGTCTCTGAGTTTATTCTTTGTTGGGAGTAAGACAGAACGCGTAACTGCGAAGGAAACCACCCACGACAAGACATCTACGTCTCTATGTATGTAGACGAGTCATAGAAGTCTCAGTTACTGGTGAGGAAAAAAACTTGATCTTGTGCAGGCGCTTGGGTATAGCCTATGCCCATTTGATCAAGGGGCTTCTTGGCAGCCCGTCATTTACTTGGCGGTAAATTGACTGAGCATCATGATCCGAATGTCCCGGTAACAAAACACGTGCTTGATCAATGCTACTTACAGTCACAGTATCCATAGTCACGTACTCTATACCGGAGTATAAATAAGCTCGTATCTGATACGGCTGGACGAATAGATGCATTGTGTAACGACGCGCCAAGCTCAAACATACGCGTGTCTCCAATTAACCTTGTCTGTGTTTTGAGTTGGCCTCAGGGTATGAGAAGAATTAGCCCCAAGTGTGTGAGAGACGAAATAATTTGGTCACTTTGTGGTAGCTAAGACTAGCACTTAGGCTCCTTTATTATAGCAGCCTAAGCCTTGGAGGATATTTCTTCTATTACCTACATGGTTGGTGAGAAATGAGCCAAGATGTCACATGTTTCATCTCAAGAGACTTTTAATCAGTGTCAATTGAGTTTTACATCTGCTATCCGATTGACTTTTGACGTTCGTCCGGTATGCAGACCATGAGTCGCTTTGTTCAATCGAGTTGGCTATCATGCGGACGGACGGTTGGTGTTTTGGCTTGGCACAGCGACACTTTTTTTTACCCGCCACATTTGGAGGTTGGTGCTGCAGCCACAACGTCATTTGAGGCTCTAGCCACCGTTGAGACTTTAATGTTATTTCGACGCAAACTTCACGCTTCGGATCTGATCACGCGACGAAATGGATGAGTACAGGTAGTGTAATTTTTTGTTCATATTGTAAGATGAACGGTTTCGCTGTATGCCTATTGTATTTTAAGCGGTGAACGAGACAAACGTGTCGCGATGTATTCTTCTTGGTGTTTATGTCGTTTCAATGAGGTATAGGCATGCTCATCCGCAGATCGTTCATAGCTCACTGGATGCGACCACCTGCTTTCCTTTCAAAATACAAGTCCACGGCAATTATGCAGCCCAGATTTGTTCCTTACAGAACTCATAGGGCCCCGAAGTGGTCTGCTTCGACCTGACGCATGCCCGGTACTGAAGATACAGCCAGACATCAAACTGCTACGGCGACTCTGGGTCTCAGAAGGATAGTCTTATGCTCCGAACTCATAACAGCAGTTGATCCGCAGCATAGTGGTGTATATATCGTCCTTGGCTGAGAATAAGGCATAGGAAACTTTGCGATGATTCGATTGACAATGCTGTTTACCCGTGACGGGTTACTCCAAACCATCACTTGTTTTGCTGTAAATTTGTCATTTCATGCATATTTAACCTGTATATTAGCAATATAGAACATTCTGTAAGCTGGTGTAGAGTAAATGAATAGGCAATTGAGCTATAGAGTCCCGCTGTCTAGTACATACTGACGACTCACCTCGATCAATGAGTGTTGACGAATGAACAAAGGTTCGCCTGGTATTATATTGATGCGGTGTCCAATTGAAGCTTATCGGAGGACATGCATGCGCATGGGAACATAGAACTAGTGCCAATCTGCAGAAGCTCACGAACTAAACTCGCGAACTATGCTGTATGGAAGAATGGGGCGCTTGGGATGTAAGTCGGCATAAGGCTAATTCATCCATAGGTACGAGCGACACATCTGCGATAGAGAGTTGTTCCAATGTGTCCCAATGTCTGAGGGAAGTAATCCCATATAGAGCTCCGATCGATGTGTTGTTACGAGGACCCGTGAACCTGTCACTGGCAAAGCTTCCATCCAAAGGTGAAAGACTTTTATGTAAAACTATGCTAACCCTTACTCTCATAATTGTAGAAACGTGTGGTGGGCTAGGTACAAGGCCCTTTTTGACTTGGTTATGATGAACCGGCTGAAGTGAAGCTTGTGGCCAACCGTGATGTTGAGAAGTGAACGCAACAAACTCTCCTAAACACGTACATGTGCTAGTATGTCACGAAAATGATGGCAATAAATGCATAGTCACTCAACTAGAACTGTGATTGAGCCAGCACATCAGAGGATCCAAGAGTGACCTGCACAACCCTCCCTCCAGGCCCTGATCCAGCATCAGTCGCATCCAGACTATTGCCTAACCAGACTGAACAATACACTAGGAACATAAGACAAGTAACCTTGTGACAAATAGTGACTAGGACCGATATGAGTATAGAATACGAGAGTCCTTCCGCAAAACTCACCCTAAAGTCTATGTCATTGACGCAAAATGAAATAGAACCTGAGAGCCAATTGAAGCTGTGCTGCCAGGTGAGTGAGTCGATACCGAAGTAGTAAGATAGAATCCGTGACATGTTGACCACGCGTGATCCTTCGGGTTGTGTACACATACAGGGTAAGCGGCCGTAAGATGAGTCTTTGCGACGAACCCTCGAGTGTGATGCACCGATCGTCAATATGCTCTGTAAAGGTTCTTCAATTTGAGATGGGCATGTACGCAGGCTCATATATCGAGCGACGCGACTGCATTGCCTGCTACAAGCGTTGTTTTTGCAATAGCTGTTCATCCTGATGTCGCGATCGCATCACGCATATCGCTTAACATCAACCACCATCTTCTCAGTCATCGCAGTCACGTAGTCGTATATTATTTGCCATTCAAGATCCCACCTCAATAAAATCTGAGAATTACTTCCCTTGACTTCAATTGTGATGACTCGAGACATGTCGCTATAGTAGATGGATGAGTATTTGCATTCCCATGACCCGACGATTGCCGAATGACAATGACGAACGCCAAGCACCCCCGGCCGACCGCTCCGGATTCTCGGCCGACCAAGCCACCAATGGTCTTTTACCGACACCACATCAAGACAGACTTCACAGATCAATTGATGAACCGATAATTCCTTCAATATGTATGTGTATTCGGCCTCGAAAGGCATGAATTAAAATATGTACCAATAGCCATTATATGCTGCTAAACCCCAGTCTTTCCATCCACAAATAATCCCCAATCATCCTCGGATAATTCATCGCTGGTCATATCATCTCATATCATAAACCGCTTATTTAGGGAGCGAAGCAGGAGAGTAAGACTGGTCAGGCTTGACAATCTTAGCACCAGCAAGCTGCTTGTCGGTGTAAGCGGGCCAGATGATCTGGCGCTTGGAGTTGGAGACGACAGAGAGGGTAGTGAAGCCCTGGTCAGCACCGAACTGGTCGCTCCAGCCGGAGGTGACGGTGTAGTCGCCGCAGGTGGAGGGGCCGGCGGCGCGCTTCTTGCTGGCGCCGGGGCCCTTGACGTCGTAGCGGCACTCGTAAGGCTTGCCGTTGCCGGTGTCGATGCCGAACTTCCAGTTGCAGATGGAGTCGTCGGAGCGGCAGTAGCGCTTGGCGTCGCGGATGGTCCATTGGGGAGCGGCGGCCATCATGTTGACGGACTCAGCGGCGGGAGCGGCTGAGACGCCGAGGGCGGCGGAGAGGGTGAAGAGAGCAGCGGAGAACTTCATGTTGAAGGTTGTGAGTGGTTTGTTTGGTAGTGGTTTGTGTGTAAGTGAAGATGTGAGTGAGTGAGTGATGAGGATGAGAAAACACAACTTGGGGGCGACGAAAGACTGTTTATATAGATATTTTGAGTCCAAGTGGGCACATCGTCAGTGAATTATGACGAAAGGGCCTCACTGAACTGGTCTGGGCTGATCTGACTGAACGAGAAGGCTATGCGCGATGCCACTATTCTGACAACAGCAACAGCCCAGCCTCGGCCACTCCTAGTCCCACCGCAAGACTACCATTTGCTACCATTACAGCCCTGCATTGGGACCACGAGGGGTGAATGATGAACACGAGGTGATCGACAAGCGAAGCTGGATCTCGTATTCCCCATCCACCACATCAGACGATCGATCAGGAACTCCCTCACCACCCATCTCTCTACCTCTCTGAGCCAGTCTGCTTACATCTGGACCTGTCTTTCTGCCGGTAAAACGGGTGTGGCTTTTTGCGGCGCGGATAATAAAACATGCATAAACGATAATTATTGTCTACTCTATTATCCGTGACTAAATGAGCACTAATGGACCAAGTGACATCTCGTATTAAACTTGGTCAACCAGGGTCGTCAATCCTCCCCGCAATTTCAGTCGGCATATTCGGATCTGGGCCAAGAGGATTGACGATAATTATTCCGATCAGAGGTTAGTATTTCCGACGGTCTTGAGAGCTGAATACAGTATGTACCTCTTTGTCGTCAGAGGTGGAGATCTCAACCCACACGCAGTAGTGAATTGTCTTGGTAGCCAGCTCACTCGTATTAACGCAAGGAGCAAGCAGTCCAACTCATACAGTTCTAGCTGTCTTACTCTTGCATCACTCACCGCATTATGAAAGGCACAGATATTCTAGACCTTCTACGCCACAAACAGTGAGTAAAACGGGCGACACCCGACCTGACAGCAGACAGCCTTTCTGGGCTGACATCAAAGGTCCGCTGGGAACAAGCGGGGTCTAGCGGCCTCTAAGAATAGAATGGAACCTTTCTAGCGTCTTCTGCTCCCCGACAGCTCAACAATCCATTTTCTCGTAATAATTCTGGGCACTCCTCACCGTTAATCCCCATACCAAGAACCCCGTGTAGCTATGTCATCGCTATACGGACATTTATTTCATCGTCCGATTGAGATCCCAGAAATCGCGTATACAGAGGGACATTGTTGGTTGAGAAACGAATAACCTCGTGTTAAAATTACAGGGTCAATCGGTATCCCTGCAGTTCGTATCCTCAGACCTGCGGTCCGTGATGCGCATGAGTTAAGAGCTTTATCTAATCTTGACGGCTGGGATGTAATTATTAGTATCGGGAAATCCGATGGATAATCCAGCCTTAGGGTAATGGGCATGTTTTGCTGTACCGCAAAGACAACAATGATGCGGTCCAATAATGACTTCAACTTCAAAGTCGAGAAGCAATAACTCAATCCTTTTAACACAGATCTCAATCCTTCAGCCCCCAGGCTTACTTTACAAAGCTCTTTAGCTCATCACTTTACATATCTAGCTCTTTACAAAAGTACAGCACATAGCTTGGTATTACCATGTAGCAAAGCTAGAGTGTAGCTTCAGTAACGTAGCTCCATGCAGGGATTTCGCGAATTACTCAATCGGGCACCCTCTGCATCCAATTTAGCGGATCACCATCAGCACTACACCAAATGACATCAAGCTCCCATCCACGACGAATCATTTCCCTAAAGGCTCACAGCGTGACCATTGAGCTGCCGGCGGGTTCCTTGTTGGTGATAGTGGCTCTTCACTGCACGTCGTCTACCTCGATGGAATAGGTTGGACAATTTGTGTGACTTTCTCTATCCAGACGGAATAGGTTGGACAACCTCAAAGGAACGTGAACGGTTGTGCGACTTCAATGTTTACTCATTTTTGTACATGCCTCATACTACTCTTTAACCCTTCTGTCCACCGGTAGGAACCTTGAACAGCACAGCACGTCCATCAGGCCCTTGTCCAAGAGCCTTGTCGACACGGTAATAACCCTTTCGCTCAAGCTGGATAAAGTCGTTCTCCTTGAGATCAGAGATGCTCGCGTCGACAAGAGCGTGAGTCATGGAAGCGCTGTTATCGTTGAGGAAGTCATCAAGGTTGTCGTCCTTGTCTAGTGTGTCCTTGGTGATGAGAGAGTCAAACTCCCAAAGCTCAGCCTTGACCAGGTTCTCGGGGTCGGCGGCCAGCCAGTGCACCTTCTTGGCGGTGGTCTTGAAGTCACCGGCAAGGTGAAGCTCGAGGGTGAGATCCTTGACGGGGGAGCTGGAGGTCTTGTCGAGACCGCGGACGATGGCGTTACCCCAGGACATCAGGGTGATCTCCTCGTTGTCGTCGAAAGAAACAACGTCGGCCTGGTCGAGGAGGAGCTTAGGTCCGAAAGTAACCTGCTTAGTACCGACATCAGGGTTCTTGACGTGCTTGGGTCTCTCCTCCTTGTAAGACTTCTCAGGTCCGCCAGTGATGTTGACAACGACGGCATCCTTCTCCTCAATAGCCATGTATCGGGGCACAACAGGGTCGAGCATGCGCTTGTTGATGGCCCAGATGGTAGTCCAGTCCATGGTGACGATATTTCGGCTAGGGCCCTGCTTCAACATGAACTCGCGGAGAGCGGGAACGGTAAGACCACGGCGGAGGATACCGCGGACGGTAGGCATACGGGGATCATCCCAGCCACTGACACGTCCGGTGTCGACAACCTTTGTAAGCTTTCGTTTCGAGAGGAACGTCTTGATGAAGTTGATACGGGCAAAGTCCCAGAGGTGGACTTGTCGGAGGCCAAGAGCCTTGAGGAACCAGTGGTATTGCTCGTTTCGGTCGGCATACTCGGTCGTTCGGAGAGCGTGGGTGACGCCCTCGATGGAGTCGAGGATAGGGACGACAAGATCGTATGTGGGCTAGACAGTTAGTGGCTGTATTCCAGTATGGGAGACTGTACTCACGTAGATGTTCCATGTCCAGCCGGTGCGGTGGTGGGGGGCAGGCTCCTCGCCCTTCCAGTTGGGGAACCGGTAAATAACAGGGTCTCGCATAGAACCGTTGCTAGAGTCAAAAGCAATGCGAGCACGAATGCAGTGTCCACGACCGAGATCGGTACCAGCCTTCATCTCTCGGAACATGGCCAAACTCTCCTCAGCGGGACGATCACGTCGCTTGCTGGGAAGACGGTTCTTTCGGTCGGCGGATTGAACCTCGGGGTCGGTGTCATCGGCGTAAGCGTTGCCGTCCATGATCATCTTCTCGGTCATGTCGTAAATCTCCTGGAAGTAGTCACTGGAGTGGGTGACCTTGTGGTACTTGATGTCCATAAGCTCGAGATCGTGGAGGATGGCATCTTCGTACTCTTGCTTCTCCTTGGCGGGGTTTGTATCATCGAAGCGAACGACGAGCTTTCCGTTTCCGTCGGGGGAGGTCTTTGCGAAGTAATCGTTAAGAAGGGCGGCCTTGGCGTGACCGATGTGAAGGTAGCCACTAAAATATGTGAGCTGAAGTCAAACTGGGAGTTGTTGAGTGTTACACACCTAGGCTCAGGAGGGAATCGGGTGACAACACCGTTCTCAGTGTTGGAGAGACCAATGTTGTAGTTGGCACCACCAGACTTCTTCTCCTTACCAGCATTGAGCTTCTCGCTAAGCTCAGGGTGAGTATCCTCAATGAACTTGAACCATCGAGTAATGTTGGTATAAGCGCCCTTTCGGACAAGACCAATAGCGACCTTGTTTGTGCGAAGAGCAGTCCAGATCTTCTGGTCCTGCTCGCTCAGGCTGTAGCCACCGAGGTAAGTTCGCAGGGTAAGGTGCTTGTCGAGCTCTGCGGCAAGAGGAGCCAGAGACTTGAAGTCGGCAGCGCCGATCTTATCAGCGTCGAAGCTCATTATGACGGATTGATATGTATTTTTCGACCGGTCGGGGAGGATCGCGGTCGTTTAGCAGGTTTGGGTGCTTCAATTGCTGGAGGGGTCAAATTCTTTGGCGGGGTGATTCGAGTCCACCGATGACTCAAGAGGCACGTGATCAATCAGAAGATAAGATAAGGCTGTAAGTCAATTGAGCTTGAAAGGCCACTGGAAGAGCAAAATAATTTGCACCAAGAAGAAGGATCTTTTTGACGTTCTGTTTATTTGTTTTGTAGTCGGGATGCGAATTTCGACTTGGTCTGTGTAATAACAAAGTCACCTTATGATCATCCCACAAGGTGCGATGCCGGATGCTCTCAGCTTTGACCAGCAAAAGGCAATCAGTCAATCTCACAACACTCGGAGGACTCACCCTTCAATGAAGCGATGTGACAACAGTCACTCTTCTCGACATGATTGATTGGCATGATTGAATGCTAGGTCGGCTCTCGGGAACTGTGTATGCAGTCACTGCCATAAGGTTGGATAACATGTAGGCTCGACTAGTCGTTGCACGAGCCAAATCTGCGATACTGGTATCCAACCCTATACCATCCTCTCATTCCTTCCAGAAGAAACAGAATTATCCTTCTCTTTTCGATCCCCGAAGATCGGCCAAGAGTCCCCTGGTTTAATGACTCGTCTGGTTGTCCCGGATCTATGTACCCGGCTTCCGACCAACCGGCCCGGAGCCAGATCCAGGGCAAGACTGACCACTATCTGACGCTTCTTCAATATCGCATGAATAGAGAAGAGTGGCGGTGTTGGAATGGTGTTTTAATTGCCCCTTTGAGGAGTGATAACGTCTTGTGGATTGCGCTGCCCCCTTTGCTTCTTCACCCGGGAAGGCATTGACCGCATCACTGAACTACAGCCTTTCAAACTGACCTTTCCTGTCGCTGCACTTGATAAAGATTTATTAGCTTGATTCAAAGTATGTATGTCAGCTATAGCCATAATGCACTCGATCAGAGGAAGTAGTGTCGCGGTGCGTGAGTTGTGGCGTGGGCGCAATCTTGACAAACATATAGAAGGCAGTCTACACACGAATGGTGACATAACACAGTTCTATATAGATCATAGAGTCTGACAAACTTGCAAAGCAGCAGTCTCTACCTTTGGGCGGTACTTGAGTCATACTAACCTACCCATCCGCTCAACTCTGTTTGAACCCATAGCCATTTAGCTAACGACATGCACGAACAGCAAAGCTTGGAAGTCGATCATTATATCCCGATGACCGCAATATCGCTCACTCTCCAATCCCCTGCTTCAACACTGTAAGATGTGGGTATTGGACGAATTAAGGGGCATGAGGCAAGGTGAGGCTAAGGATCGACGGTCTATCGGAGTCGCATCTCCCTTAACTCCAATTAAGCGGGCGATTCCCGGACCCCGCTACTTATACTGTTGGCTCTGGTACGGATAATTAGATCCTATTCCGATATCCGTAGACCACAGGCCATTGATCTCAGCCTGCTTTAGTCCCTTTGGCCGTTGATGCGACCGTTCATCCTGCACACCTAGTCCCGTCGGGGTGCCATTGACCCTGCCAAGCACCGATTACTACGCTTCTAGATGACTGCAAAAGGCCCGATAAGTAACAAGTTCATCGGCAGAAACAGGGGGCCCTCGTGCTAACTTCAGCCCGTGGGTATGAAGCAGCTCCTTCCGATCTTAAGCTGCAGATCTGACTTCTGACTCCTCCCCGCGACAGATGCCTGTCGTCCCAACCCGGCAGATTGGGTAAGCGCTGGGAAGCTTTAAGCTTTAACATCATCGCATTAAGTAGAGTAATAGCCAAAGGGATGGTACACAGTGTCACGAGAAGCCCTCATCGCACACCTCTACATGCTCTGAGGATTGACTTATGGACGCCCCGAGAGTGGCTGGCTGCAGACTCCTAAATTTCACAATCCACTAATCCACAAATCTATTCTGTCTGCAATATATGTAATTACCTCAGAGTTCATTTCACTAGGGAATTCTTCTTGGCTCAAAGCCTCAAACGAGACAGATTGATAAGCCGCCGCGTCATATCCCTTTTCTCCTTCACCCGTCCACGGATCCGGGAAATGTGGATCCCCTCCGGGCGGGCCCTAACGGACTCCGATAGCTCAACGCGGGGGTAAAGCTTAGCATCAACATCAGCATTAACGTTAACAATAAAACTCGGCACAATCACCAGGAACCAGTAAAATCCCCTACTGCAGACTTACTTCCAGAAAGATCCAGCTTTCGTCACAATGATCTGACCAGTCAGGAGAAATCCCAGCCTTAACGGACCATTCGAGAACCCCGGCGTCCAACAATTGGCTCGTTCAAGGGTCTGTGCTAACCAGGTTGGGGTGAAGATTCTCCACTGCCGTTGACAGCTCAGGCTTAAAATTTACCGAAGAGTCGCTATGCCCCGGGCTTTTTTGACGACATGTCTTGGGGTTCTTGTTTTATAGTGACTGCTCAACACTTAAGGTCCAGACCACACGCACATGCTTTGCTTGTTTGCGATTCCTTCCCTTCAAGATAAGTTAGATGGTAATATAGTGACAGTATTGTATTAGTGAGTGTGTAATTGACTTCCCAACGCCTATTCCTGCATTCTCTTACACGAGTTCCTCATCCCATCCTAACTAACGTACCCAAGCCAAACACCTTCAAACGCCGAATCCATCCCTTAATATCCTTCAACGCTAGAACGTTCATATCCAGCTTCAACCTTCTCCATCTCGGGTGATTCACTCCCATCACTCTCATCACTTCCTGTTGGGCTCCCCATCCCTCTCTCCCCATAAGCACCATATCTCAAAGACTTTTGCACACAAGTACATCTCTTCAATAGTTCCTCACAACGCTCAAGTCTAGCGAGGAGCTCTTTCGTTGGTCTGCGACGAGTGCGCTTGGGGGCTGGTGTGCTTGGTATACATTGTATTCCTGCCTATTGACGGTAAGTGTAAGCTTTATGGTGTATTTACGAGCCGTGTTAGTTGGGTAGTGAGATGTACCTTTATGCAGAAAGAACATGGACTTTTGCGATCACATTTCTTCTTGCGCTGTTGACACAGCACACAAGCTAGAATTCTCGGAGGACGTGTTTCGGAAGCCATGATTACTACAATCGCTCCGTCTGACAAAGATGCTTAGATAGAAGCGTAAAGAAGAGTAGTCGTGATAAGATAGTCTGTCAAGCCGATTCGGTCGAACATCACTGTCAAGTCCGAGGGGTGAGCCAGCATATTTGCTACATACAGACTCTCCCCCATTCAGCAGCGGGTTTGAAGATGACCCCGAGTGGGTAACGGGGTCGGGAAGTCGACGGGATCCGTGTGTTGACAGCCCGGATCCACCACCCCTTCGGTGCAACGGGGATGAGCATGGATCCGGGTATTAGTATTAAGAGGCCATGAGCCTCAAGTTGTGATGTGGTACTTTTCTTTCTACTATCCTTGTTACTTATTGTTATTCGATCTTTAACTCTCTTTTGTTATCGCTTACTACTTTAATATTTGTATGTCACTTCTCTTTGTGGTAGAGACACTCATCTAACAGACAAACAGAAGGGTTGCCGCCATCATGGCCGAGGCAAACATGAGCGTACGCTCAAACCACAGCAGCCACGACACAATAGTCAACGACCAAACCGAGAAGAAAACCACTGAATCTCCCGAATCTTCATCCGAAAATGAAGAAACAACTCGTCGTCACTCTATAGTCCGCGACTTAGCCCGCCAATACACAAACACATCCCAGCACAACGCCGACCTCTTCAACGCCTCATCCGCCACATCCCCTCTGAACCCACACTCCGAAAACTTCAACGCGCGAGCATGGGCAAAGGCAGTCTCCAATACCATGCGCGAGAATGGTTCTGGCTTTCGTCAGTCCGGTATTTGTTTCCAGGACATGAACGTCTTTGGATACGGCGCTGAGACAGACTACCAAAAGGATGTTGGAAACGTCTGGTTAGGTCTTCCGAGTATGGCGCGCGATATACTCAAGCCTAATGCTGGAAAGAGAAGGATTGATATCCTGAGCGGTTTCGACGGTGTTATCAACGCGGGTGAAATGTGTGTTGTCCTAGGTCCGCCAGGATCAGGATGTTCCACCTTCCTCAAATCAGTTTCGGGAGAAACGAACGGTATCTACGTGGATGATAGCACGTACTTCAACTACAACGGCATAACAGCACACGAAATGCACAAATACCACAAGGGCGAAACAATCTACACCGCAGAAGTAGACGTTCACTTCCCCATGCTTTCCGTTGGCGACACCCTCACTTTCGCCGCCCGCGCACGTTGTCCTCAGAATTTACCACCAGGTATCAAGCATAACGAGTACAGCGATCACATGCGCGACGTGGTAATGGCCATGTACGGTATTTCCCACACGGTTAATACCCAAGTTGGCGATAACTACATCCGCGGCGTGTCAGGCGGAGAACGAAAGCGTGTTACAATCGCTGAAGCGACTCTCTCAAACGCCCCGTTCCAATGCTGGGATAATTCAACGCGTGGTTTGGATTCTGCGAATGCGATTGAGTTTTGTAAGACGTTGCGTCTTCAATCTGAGTTGTTCGGTCAAACTTGTGCTGTGTCGATTTATCAAGCTCCCCAGACAGCATACGATCTCTTCGACAAGGCACTCGTTATTTACGAAGGTCGTCAGATTTTCTTTGGACCAGCTGACGAAGCGAAAGCTTATTTCATCAATCTTGGCTTCGAATGTCCCGATCGTCAAACTACTCCTGACTTCCTCACTTCAATGACCGCACCAGCTGAACGAGTCGTTCGTCCAGGCTTTGAGAACAAAGTCCCGCGTACACCCGACGAATTTGCTGCTCGATGGAAGGAGTCTCGAGAATATCAGATTGTCCAAAATGAGATCGAGTCTTACAAGGCTTTGTATCCTCTCAATGGATCTTCTGCTGATGCCTTCCGTGAGAACAAGAAATCTGCTCAAGCCAAGGGTCAACGACTCAAGTCCCCGTTTACCTTGTCGTACATGCAACAAGTAAACCTCTGTCTGTGGCGCGGCTGGAAACGACTCAAGGGTTCGCCGGGCGTGACGATCTTTGCACTGATAGCAAATACATGCACAGCTCTCATCGCCTCATCGCTCTTCTACAACATGCAGCCCACGACGGGCGACTTCTTCAAACGCGGCGCCGTTCTCTTCCTTGCAGTTCTATCCAACGCTTTTGCTTCCGCCCTGGAAATTCTCACCCAGTACGCTCAACGACCTATCGTTGAGAAACATGCTCGGTATGCTTTCTACCATGCTAGTGCTGAGAGCTTTGCTTCTATTCTGGTGGATATGCCTTATAAGATTAGTAACAGTATTTTGTTCAACGTCACTCTTTATTTCATGACGAACTTGAACAGAGATGCTGGGGCTTTCTTTTTCTATCTTCTTGTTTCGTTCATTATGGTTTTGGCTATGTCTGGTATTTTCAGATCCATGTAAGTCTCACCCATTCCTTGATTGAAATCTACTGACGACATAGTGCCTCGCTCTCTCGAACCCTCTCGCAAGCAATGGTTCCCGCGTCTCTGCTCATCCTCGCCCTGGTCATCTTCGCCGGCTTCGTTGTTCCAGTTGACTACATGCTCGGCTGGTGTCGCTGGATCAACTATCTCGACCCTGTAGCCTACGCCTTCGAGTCCCTCATGGTCAACGAATTCTCCGGTCGCAACTTTACTTGCACGGCATTCGTTCCCAACCCGGCTATCCCAGGTTATGCAGACGTCGGCGCCTTCAATCGTGCTTGCTCAACAGTCGGTGCTGTCCCAGGTCAAGACTTTGTCAACGGCGATGCGTATCTCAATTCCGAGTACAAGTACTTCCACGCTCACAAGTGGCGCAACGTCGGTATTCTCATCGCTATGACCATCTTCAACCACATCGTCTACATCGTTGCGACCGAGTACATTTCTGCCAAGAAGTCCAAGGGCGAAGTTCTTGTGTTCCGTCACGGCCACATGCCTGCCAAGACCAAGTCCGACCCCGAGGCTTCAGCATCCACGCCCACACCCCTCACCGAGAAGACCAACAACGAGAATGCCAACATTCAGGGTTCTACTAGTGTCTTCCACTGGAACAACGTCTGCTACGACATCAAGATCAAGAGCGAACCGCGCCGCATTCTCGATAACGTCGACGGTTGGGTGAAACCTGGAACACTGACTGCCCTCATGGGTGTATCCGGCGCTGGAAAGACGACTCTCCTCGACTGTCTCGCCGATCGTATCTCAATGGGCGTTATCACCGGTGAAATGCTCGTCGATGGAAAAATCCGCGATGATTCCTTCCAGCGCAAGACAGGCTATGTGCAACAACAAGATCTCCACCTCGAAACAAGCACCGTTCGCGAAGCCCTTACTTTCTCCGCTCTTCTTCGTCAACCAGCCTCCACCCCACGAGCTGAGAAGATTGCGTACGTTGATGAAGTTATCAAACTGCTCGACATGCAAGACTACGCAGACGCAGTAGTCGGCGTCCTAGGCGAAGGTCTCAACGTGGAACAGCGCAAACGGTTGACAATCGGCGTCGAACTAGCGGCCAAACCTCCCCTTCTTCTCTTCGTCGACGAACCCACTTCCGGCTTGGACAGTCAAACATCATGGGCCATTCTCGACTTGCTTGAAAAGCTTTCCAAGGCAGGACAGTCTATCTTGTGTACCATCCATCAACCCTCCGCGATGCTCTTCCAGCGCTTTGACCGTCTTCTCTTCCTAGCCAAGGGCGGACGAACAATTTACTTTGGCGACATTGGTAAAAACTCCGAAACCCTTACGAATTACTTTGAGAAGAACGGCAGTGAGCCTTGTCCCAAGGGTGAGAATCCTGCTGAGTGGATGTTGGAAGTCATTGGTGCAGCACCTGGTTCGCACACTGAGATCGACTGGCATCAGACCTGGCGCGAGAGCCCAGAGTATGCTGCCGTTCAAACCGAGCTTCAACGTCTCAAGGCCGAAGGTTCTTCCAACGCTGTGTCTCGCACCGACGATCCTGAGTCTTATCGTGAATTTGCCGCACCGTTTGGTGAGCAGTTACGTATTGCGACCACGCGTGTTTTCCAGCAGTATTGGCGTACGCCTTCATATATTTACTCCAAGGCAGCTTTGTGTATTCAGGTTGGCTTGTTTATCGGTCTTGTTTTTCTCAATGCGCCCTTGACGTTGAGAGGATTGCAGAATCAGATGTTTGCTATTTTCCAGGTTCTTACGGTCTTTGGTCAACTCGTTCAGATGCAGGTAAGTCTCACTCTCACCCCCAATCCCTCTCATCAACTGATACTAACTTGATGGCGACAGATGCCTCACTTTGTTACTCAACGATCCCTCTACGAAGTCCGCGAACGACCCTCCAAGACATACTCCTGGAAAGTTTTCATGCTCTCCCAAATCATGGCTGAAATCCCCTGGAACTCGATCATGTCGGTCTTCATGTTCGTCTGCATCTACTACCCCGTCGGCTTCAACAAGAACGCCGCCCTCGCAGGCCAAGGAGCCGAGCGTGGAGGTCTGATGTGGCTTCTCTTCTGGCAATTCCTCGTCTTCACGTGTACCTTTGCGCATGCCATCATCGCAGTCACCGACACGGCTGAAGCAGGCGGTAATCTCGCAAACCTCTTTTTCATGCTTTGCTTGTTCTTCTGCGGTGTTCTCGCGACACCAGACAACATGCCTGGCTTTTGGATCTTCATGTATCGCGTTTCGCCATTCACGTATCTCGTGTCTGCTATTTTGAGCACTGGGCTGGCGAACGTGGAAGTTACTTGTGCATCGAACGAGTATACCGTCTTCGATCCCCCGAGTAACTCTACCTGCGGTGAATATCTCAGCGACTACGTCAAGGCAGCTGGTGGCTACATTCTCAACCCTGATGCGACGAGCGACTGCAACTTTTGCACCATCAAGGATACGAATGTCTATCTCAAGGCATTGAGCTCAAGTTATGATAATCGTTGGAGGGACTTTGGTATTGGAATGGTGTATATCGTTGTCAACATTGTTGGAGCGCTGTTTCTGTATTGGCTTGTTCGTATGCCTAAGAACAAGAACAAGAAGAAGCAGTAGATTGAGTTTTACTTTGGGGAGACTATTATTTTACTTTCTTAACTTGGGGATGGATTTTTGGAGATTTGCTTGGGGTATAGACTGGATTTGACCTTGTAATTAGAATCGCATTATAGATAGAATGTACTCGGTTGGTTTAAAAGTTGCCGTTGATCATGTCCGTCATTTCCTTTGATACCGGCATCTCCTTAATTGCCGATATACCCGTCATTGCCGGCAACATGCTTGTTACTATGCGAAGGGCGATTTATAAGCAAAAAGGTTAATATTCAGTATCGGCGACGGTCACTTCAAAGATTGATCTATGAATTGATTGCCAGGGTGCATTGAATGGTGGATTGCTGGATGTAGTTTGAAAGGCGTAACGTTAAGGCTGACCAACAGTCCTCTAATGTGACACGGAGGAACAATGCCGAGCGCAAATGATCTGGGAATAAGAATGCACCTGAGCATTTCTGTATCACTCGCTTGACAGAAAGCAATACATTGACGATTGTCCTTGATGTCTGGACCTCGATTTAGATTGTTTGCCATGGCATGTTCGGTCTAATGGAACTCGACTACTTGGTCTTGAGGGCATCCATACTTGGGTACTTCATTATTACAATCCTAAGAGCATACAATCGCTACAGGCAATCACCTTTCCTATAACTGCAGTATGAGCGACAATAATTAACCCTGATTGATAAGTGCCAACGTTGATCTTGCCCTGCATGTCAAATGCCCCCTACAATGAGGCCGACCCCAGGCCGATCTAGCCGATCCCGATGCCGCACTTGATCCCCCGCCTCCCCCGTCTTAAACCCAGACTCACTAACAGCCATTACATAAATGAACGTCCATCCCTGACCCCAAACTTCATCATGACTCTCAGTATCTTTACACTCAGTCAAAATGGCTGATACAACATCGGATAGCGTATGTCCCACACTGCGCGACGAGGAGAAGACAAGCGACCGGGATGAAAAGCCCAATGATGACGCAGCATCAACTTCAACACCAAGCGAAACCCCCAATGAGGAAACAGAACAACCTCCAGACGGCGGTCTTCAAGCCTGGCTTCAAGTCGTAACAGGCCATCTCGTAGCCTTCAACTCATGGGGCTACCTAATCTCCTTCGGCATCTTCCAACCACACTACGAAGCCGAATTCTCTCTCCCACCGTCCACAATCTCCTGGATAGGCAGCTTGGAAGTCTGTCTCATCTTCCTCATAGGGACATTCTCCGGGCGGGCCTTTGACGCAGGGTATTTCCGCCATGCCCTAGCTGCAGGTCTGTTTCTTCAGATCCTGGGTGTCTTCATGACTAGCATCGCATCGAAGTACTGGCAGGTTCTCCTCGCGCAGGGGATATGTCAGGGTTTAGGAAATGGAATCATTTTTGCGCCGACTATAGCTAATATCTCGACGTATTTTACGAGCAAGAAGACGATTGCTATTTCGGCGGGGGCGTGTGGTGCTGCGACTGGTGGTATGGTGTTTCCGCTTATTGCGCAGCAGCTTTTACCCAAGATTGGATTCCGCTGGACGGTGAGAGTCATGGGATTAGTGGTCACTGTTGCGTCAGGGATCATATTACTTCTTGCGAGAACAAGACTTAAAGCGAGAAAAGCTGGACCGCTCGTTGAATGGGCAGCGTTCAAAGAGCCTGCATACGTATTATTCGCCGTGGCCATGTTTTTCACTCTGTGGCCAACTTGGATATCATACAACTATGTAAGTCCTCACCTCTCTACTCATGAGATGTAAGCTAATGAACAGGCCCGTCAATACGCAACAGACAAACTCAACGGCTCAGCCTCATCATCCTTCTTAATCCTGATAACGATAAATGCTGTCGGCATTCCAGGTCGAATGATAACAGCCTTCCTAGCCGACCGTTTCTTCGGCGCGATAAACATCTTCATCCCAACAATCTTTGCCGCTGCGTTGTGTATATACATGTGGTCCCAAGTAACCACCCTAACAGGCGAATTCATCTGGGTGAGTATCTTTGGGTATTTCGGCGCAGCGATACAGAGCTTGTTTCCGTCATGCTGTGCGAGTTTGACTTCGGACTTGAATAAAGCTGGAACAAGAATTGGAATGATCTTTTCGATTATTAGTTTTGCTGCACTTACGGGATCGCCTTTGGCGGGTGGGTTGATGCAGGTTATGGATGGGGATTATTTGGGTGCACAAATGTGGGGTGGGAGTAGCATGATACTTGGAATGGGGTTTTTGTATGCTGCTAAAAGGGCTGGTGATAGACAAAAGCAATAGATAGACTATAGACTGCATATAAAGATTATCACGTTGTGTCTTGTTGTGTCATGATCTTGTACTGCGTTGTGGTGCACTCCACCAATTGCATCACCGCCAGCTCCTCTAAAAATTTACAAATTTCCCCTCCAACATCATCCCCTCCACCATGCCAACACCATGGATATGTCGCACCTGCACAAGAGCATTGCGTAGGCCTCAAACACGCCAATTCATTCGCTTCGCAAGCAATGGTACGCTATACTCCCCGGCCCTTCAATCCTCAGCTAACGGTTGTTCTGCAGAAGCCCTCCTCGCACCAGCCCTCCTCCAACGCGCCCAGTCCTTGACCACCGAACACGACACCCTCCAAAAGAACCTAAACTCCTCCTTCGATTCCCAAACAGCTAAACGCGTCGGCGAACTTTCCCGCGTGGCAGAAGCCCTGAAAGCATGGGAAAAGTCACAATCCAGCGTCAAAGAGCTGACGCAGATGCTCGACGACGCAAGCACAGATGAAGACCTCGCCGCGATTGCACGAGACGAATTATCCTCCGAAACAGGCCAGCTTGAAGCATTAGCTAGGAAACTGGAAGCTAGTCTAACGCCTAGACATCCATTCGCTGAGTTTCCTTGCATGTTGGAGTTCAGGCCCGGACCAGGCGGCTTGGAGGGAAGATATTTTATGGACACGCTGTTCAAGATGTACAAGGCGCTTTGTATGCGACGAGGATACAGACATACGGTGGTGAAATACGAATTTGCGGACGGAGCAGGAGATTCTTCTAGTTCGGCTGGCGAGAATCCTCTTCAGGAAGCTATTCTCGAAGTCCACGACACAGGTGCTTTCGACATCTTCCGCAGCGAAGCAGGCATGCATCGCGTGCAACGCATCCCCAGCACCGAAACAAAAGGTCGTGTGCACACTTCCGCCGTGGCCGTCTGGGTTTTACCGTCATTCCCTGAGAACGGCGCTACGAGCATCGACTTTGACGATCCGGAGAGTGATTTCTACGTTAATCCGCAAGAAGTCAAGATTGAAACGATGAGGGCACGCGGTGCAGGTGGACAGCATGTTAATAAGACGGAGTCAGCCATTCGAATGACGCATTTACCTACCGGAACAACAGTTTCAATGCAAGACCACCGATCACAGCAACGCAACAGGGAAGAAGCATGGAAACTCCTCCGATCCCGAATCGCAGATCAAAGAAGAGAACAGCGCGAGGAAGAAGCGTCGCAGTTGAGAAACAGTGTTCTTTCCAAGACGCAGATTACACGAGGCGATAAGATCCGCACGTACAATTACAACCAGGACCGATGTACTGATCATCGTGCTGGGATTGATGTGCATGGTCTTCCGAATGTGCTGGAGGGTGGTGAGAAGTTGGACAGGATCATGGATGGTGCGAAGGATTGGTTGGTTGGGAAGGATATTGAACTACTTGTTGCAGAGGAGGCGATTAAGGAGAATGAGAAGAGCAAGGGATCAAAATAGAGCTGTATAGAACTGTATATTACACAGAACCCGCTGTAAGATAGATAAGATGGTATTGGTATATAACGATTCCGAGCTTCATATCTTCATGCCATATGCGTATAAATGCAGACCAAACTCCAGCAAGTCATGCTTGCGCTACCCATAACTCCATGCAAAGCAATCATAAATCCATTCCCTTACATTAACCCTCCCAGAACGATCTTTCCAATACTAGCAACCTCCGTCTTGACATGACTTCGACTATGTTCCTCAAAATCCCGTACCAAGCCTTGAACTATGATCTTCCGCACCCGCGAATCCGCTTTTGTAAAAAGCTCAGCGACAGGCGCAGAACAATCCTTCGGCGAGGGAACCAGTGCTAAGAATCTTGTATACGCATCGATCAAAACATCGCACAGCGTCGCAAACGTCTCGAAATAATCCGGATCAAACGGTAGTGACGGCGTAAGCAAGTATGTGTACTCTTCACCTGGAAGAAGATCCGTCTCTGACGCTGCAAAGTTCATAACAGAAGGTGTAGGTCCGCCGGCAGCTGGCATGGGCGCCATATCGTCCACGATGGGATGCATATCAGCCGCGGATGTCGAGCGGCGCGATTTACCACCTGGACGTCGGAACATGCTGGGGAGACGAGCGCGGGTGAGTGATGCAGCGGTGGAAGAGTCGCCGTGGAGTTGTTGGAAGGAATCGAACTCGGAGAGGAGGGAGTTTAAACTTCGGAGGAATTCGATCGATGTGGAGGAGTATAAGTCGACGATTGTAGGGAGGGATAAGCCGAGGAGGAGGAGGTTTGTTGCTTTGCGGCCGAGTTTGCGGGCGTCGAGGGAGGGCATTCGACCGAGGTCGGGTTTTTCGAAGAGATATGTCTTGAACCAGTATATACGGCCTTCGTGGCTGCTTCATGTTAGCTCAGATCCAACCCAGTGACTGTTGATGTTTGACATACGCTTTCCGTAAATATTCCAACGTCGCTATGCGCTTATTCGCAAGCTCCGTAACATGATGATACATAATACTTGCTTCATTCTGCTGCCACATTCCCGCCGTCCCAACAGCTCCATTCGGCATAAACCCCAACGGCGTACTCGGCACACCATGCAGCGTCGTCGACCCCGTCGCACTTCGACTCAACATATCCGTAGGCGTAGTCTGTGAAGCCTCACTATCACTCGGTCTAGCAACTTTCGCAGCAGCACTCAGCGCGTACTCCGGCAGAGCAGGCGGCGCGGTAGCATCCGTAACGTAAGCGTTAGGACCGTTGCCAAAGGAACTTCCGCGTCTGCTACCCAGGGAAGCTTTGCGCGAGAAGGATGCTTTGCGGTCTTTGGGGACGAGGAGAGGGTCGACGGATTGGCCTTCGCGGGTTGTTGGTCGGGAGGCGGCGTTGGAGAAGATGGAGGTTGAGAAGATGGGCGTGCCGTTTGAGTTTGGTGTTTTGGGGGCCATTGTGAAGGCGTGAGGATTACTCCGTAGGTAGACTAGCCGTGCGTTGCGTTGCGTTCAGGAGGTGCCCGTTGAGAGGGGTCAGGATTCGTGTGTGATCGGCAGTGGAGGAGCTGGCGTTTCTGCGAGGCTGTTTGCGAATTGCAGCGTCGTAGAAGGATTCTCAAGCACGGAAATGAAATGTTTTAGCGCCGGAGTGACGGTGTGCGTCGGGCGCCCAGATTTGTTTTTGTTTGTTGTTTTTTGCTTTTTCGGTTATCAGATCGTGGTTCTTTCGTGCAGACAGTTAATATCGATCGTCGTTGTTCAACGTGGTCGTGAGGTTCGAAGCGAGGGGAGGGGATCCAGGATCGAATGGAGATTGAACCCCTGGTTTCGTTTTGGGATGGTGGATGTCTGAATGGGGATTGGTTGGGGTTGTTTTCGGAATGTAAAGGAAAATTAAAGATCCAGGGCCAGTGACAAGGGTGAACTCTAAGGGTCCACTCATTCCAGAAGCACCACATGGTATTGGATACTCAACACTAATGACCAACACCATTGGGATAACACCATTCTTGGGCAATACAATTAATTCCTGTAGAAAGTATAACTTTGAGAGGTATTTCATTGCTCGATGCTCTTGTGAGGGTGTATGGGGCAACTGTCGTGATCCTGGGCTTGCTGCTGGGATAGCTGGTGGGAAGATCCTTGAAGCGAACCTCGTCAAGACGCAAATACGCGTACTATGAAACTTGATGGCTACACATCTCACAGGCATGAAAGAATGAGAATATGGGGTGAATTTATTCGTGACTTGACTAGAGGAGGAAGAGAATAAGCTTAGATTCACAGTGCCAGCCTTTGACCATGGCACAAGGGAATAACGACTGTGCACTGACAGGTTCATCCTGAACGATAAAGCACGGTTGAAGCACGTTTCAAACTCTGTTACTAGTCCACGTGGATACCGCATGTATCTGAATATTCTAGGTGGAACTTGGGGATGTATCACAGGATCTTGTCTACCATATGCGCTCATATCGATTGGTTTTGAGACAAGATGCCATATAGTAAGGCATAAGTTTGGTCTAAAATCCAGACGAATCTCGATAGCTGAAAAGGCCCATATTAAAGTAACTTATGATTCTTGTACTGAAGTTCCCCTTCTCAGTCCAAAGGTGAGTATCATCAGCTCAAGTGCACTTGACAAGACTTCCGAATATCATCACAACGAGACTAGAAGCTTCAAAGCTCTTGTGAGCTAGAAGTATGACTTGTTAGCCATAGAACCCAAATTGGTTCCTTGGTCTTATCTTTTGATTCATATATTACTTGTTTCATTAACGCTACACAACACATTTCATGCTGAGTCCTTCTCATAAAGTCTCATCACTCATATCAACAACAAAATCCCCTCCTTCAGTAAACTCACTATGCATGCTAAACTCCTCAAACTGCGCGGCCAAATCTTTAACCTGCCCACCACCTTGCTTCGTAGCTTCCAGATTAAAATCAAGCACAAAACTCCCGAAAGTCTCCGCTTCTCTCGGTCGCTGTCCTTCCAGCGCTCGCATTAACCGGTTTGCTTCAGCGGCGGACATACTTCCGTCACGCATTGCCATAGCGAGAAGACCTTTGCCGACAGGCTCGAAGACGGGAAAGCAGGCGCCCAGGTCTTGACATGCTGCTAGACAGACTAGGAAGTAAAAGTGCCAGTTGGGATTGTCGGTGTTTACTCGATCTGTGTGATGGACGGCAGGGAATGTTTCTGGTTGGAGAGGTTGGTTTTGTAGGGCGGCGTCACGGATGATTGTGTTGCTGACGTGGACTACTGCTGACGACAGAACGCTCAATGAGTGTGCGTGTGGGTGATAAAGACGGCTTATGACGATGAGTCGTTGAAGCTGATTTATCGATGCGCGAAGAACAGCTTTCGGTGATTCTAGAGAAGCGGAATTAAGCTTCTCGTTCATCGGATCCATGATAAACGGATGAAAAATATTCGTAATAGCGACATGCAGTAGAATACTACTCCCAATTAGCCATATACTCACCTAAAAATAAATCACGGTACTTACTTAAACGCTAGAACATGATCAGGCATATTCCTCGGATCAACAGAAGACATCTCCTCGGGCAAAGAATCCGTAAAAGACAGTATCTTCTGATACTTTGCCTCGACAAAGGCCAGAGGAATCCTCATTGTGGCACCCTTCTGCGCAAAGTAAACAGCTACTACCTCCTGCATTATCGTCCACAGCTCACACAGCGCTTGAAACGTTTGGCCTGCATAGTCAGGGATGAAGTGTCGAGGCCAGTGAACTGCTAACCTTTCATCTATCGTGTCATTGCTGTTGCGTCCCGGTACGGGAAACATGGGTGGGAACGATATGGGTCTTGTGGGAACCCAGAATGAGTTTAATCTGGAGTCTTAGTGGTGATTACTTTGGGGAGTGGGAAGGCGGACTTACGTTAGGTAGCTGTATGCTCCCCATGCTGTGTGCGCTGTTGCGCGCTTTGTATCTGGTTCCAAACCTTCGAACAATGCTGCATTCTCGGGTGTATGTCGCACACCAAAGAGCTTCATGCGCTCCGCCATAGCGCGCCCATCATCAAGAAGCTCATGGCTGTCAATATCCGATCTCTGCAGATGACAACTAACACTCAGCATGAGAATAGCAGCGACATTAACTAGAGAGTCTGTCGATCTTTCCGCGCGCCATAAAACACCAGCGTTACTGACGAAATCTTTACTCAGAGCGCCCACGGGTTCGTCAACGACGGAGTAAGCTTGCTGAGCGGTGGATCAGAACGTCAGCTAGTGGCAAGGGTGGTGGCAATTGGACTTGTACTTACACAGGCGTGGGCCAGCAGGGCATTTACTAGAAATGACGAACAGTAGTTGTGTTGGTGGGCGATGAGATCTTGTATAAATAAGTCTGGGTCGAAGAAGCCGAATATCGCGTGGTTGCCTTTGAGGTAGTGCGAGATTGCGCGGGCTGCGACTTCATCTTCAATGGACACGCCGGTCCAGTAACCAATCTGCAGCTGGTGTAACCGTTCATCGCAATATTTATCGCGATGAGGACCAATGTCTTCTTCTTGTTTAATACTAGGCCGATCACTCGGTGTAGCGCCAGATTGATCATTGCTGGACGACGTCGAAGGCGACATTGTGTCAGAAGGCGAAGATCCCTCCAAAAGACCCTGCGATCGCTGAACAGGCCTCAAGCGAGGATCAGCGCTCAAAGAGGGGATGTCCAAGGGGAACAAAGTGGGATACGCCATGCGATGCCGCACCGTCAGCTCAAACTCAAGACTCGACGACGTGGGAGGCGATATCGCCTGCGCAGTCCGTATACTTGACGGTCTATGCCTGCCGTGCATACTGCCCTGCAGCGATGACAACGCGTCTGCAAGATTACTCGTGCTGCGCAGCTGCCTGTGAGCGGCGAGGGCTTCATCTTCAGGAAGGGAGAGCAGAAGCTCAAGAATATCGCGGTGGTCTTTGAGTTCCCTTTCTACATTGGCGAGATGGTCGACGCTGTAGACACAGGTGGTACCCCATCTCTCGCACTTTGAACAGGAGGGTCTTTTACCGTCGCACTGGCGGGTCAGACAGAAACAAGCGGTAGAGGGACGGTTCAACTTACACGGGCTTTTTTGAGACGACAGTTCTCGCAGGCATTGGGCCTGTTTGCTCTTCTCCGCTTGGCAGCAACTCGTTTATCTGGGTCATTCCCACCAGCACCTCCAGCCTCGGGCGCTGGAAGAAGAGGTTTGTACTGAGACTGAAGGCTCATGACGGTCGTCCCGTCGTCTGCCAATGACGCCAGCCCATCCAAGGGTGGTTCAGCGCCCCTGGACGTGGCTCTCAATACGCGCTGTAACGTAACAGGTAGTGTACTTGACGTAGAAACAGGTATACCGGTAGTGCTATACCGGTAGTGCAATACAAGATCGTACACTAAAGGTGCTGCACCGAGAACCTGGGGATCGGGTATGTTGCGTTGGCGGTTTTGCAAGCAGGGGGAGGACCGCCGCTAGGTATCCCTCGATCGTGGAGTTGACAAGCCTCCCTGAGGATCGGGGACCAGAGACAGATTGAGATATTTTCCCTGGCTGGGATGTGATTCGTTGGGAGGCCTGCTTAGTCTTGTTTTTGACACCACAGTGACAGCCAGCTCTCGGGGCTTTACTGAATGCAGTAAAGACCAGGCACCTTCGGTTATGGTTCGGGTTTAAGAGATTGAGGAAGTGATCAACGATGGACATTCGAGAAGATTCAGGGTAGGATTCATATAATTGACAGCTTTATATTGTAATGAGCAGCTATTACACGCTTCTTTTTTAGTATTGGAATGGTAGAGAACTGGCAAGTCTATGCTTTGTTTTGGGTTATACTAGAGGACCCTTAGAGTACGTATCTTTGCGCTGACAATGAAGGTCTCTCCACGGTCCTAACGGTTAACGTTTTCCTTCGCAACGGTAACAATCCGCTGTACCAATTCCGCACTGAATAAATACGGCAACATCGCAGAATAATCCCTGTCAATCGTCTCTAGTGAATAAGCTAATTCCCTTGGGAATGTAAGGCTGCAGCTAATCAGGCTTGCGGCAAGCCCTATATACTTTGACTTGTCCCTTCGACTTCTCAAACCACGTTGGGTGTGTAGTAGTGATGCTGGTGATCTTAGGGGCGTTATTATAGATATCCTCCTGGACACTATTGTACCCACGGGCGATTGTTGTTCTCAAGGGTGTCATCTTGGGCGATTTTGTGGTTGTGTAGTTATATAGTTATGTGGTTATCTTGTTATGTAGCTGTATAGTTGTGTAGTTATATAATTTATTAATATTAATAAGGAAGTATTTAATAACCAACCTATTAAAAGAAGAAGATCCTTTATAGTACCTATTATAATACTAACTTTATAAGTTACAAAACATACCTTAAGACCAGACCTTTATTAGCATTTAGGTTTACAACCTGCAATTATTCTAGCATTAATTTAATATGTATATTAGGGACTTACGCCTCGGGAAAACTTAAAAATAGACTTGTCCCTTTACCAAGCTGTGTATGATTCTAGAATTTCAGCAAGGCCAACGCTATATAGAGCCATTTCAATTCAACTTGAGAGCTACTGCAATATTCAGCTGCAATGTAGCTAGGCAGCTGTCCAAGAGCGCCCAATTCAGACCTTGAACCGCGATGCTTGGGAGACGATATAAATCAGGTTCGAACGGCGAGGTATCTAAAGAACCATGCATAAGACTCTCATTCATTATTTCTCGAAAATAAACCTCCTGTCCTTCAATAACGAAAGGTATGAAGGGTTTGCATTGTTTATTTGTAATGCTGCTATCAAATGAGATACAGACCTATAGACTTCTCAAAAGCACAACTTCAAGTAAGTGAATAGCTGCGGCCACCTAGGTCAGAGCGACCATTGGTTTATCCAACGCCTCAGTAACAAAGTACATTTAATAGTAGGAAACAATTCACTCACTTCCTCTAATATATGTAAACAACAGAAATACATAGCTTTCATGCTCCTGCTTCAGTTCTATGGACTCGGATACTTTGTAAAAAAAAAATTTAAAAAAAAATAAAAAAATTTCAATGCATGAACTTAATCAGTGCTATATTTACGTTCCGTTAATCCATCGAGTCAGTGAATTACTTATCACACAATGATGAAGTCTTCCCTTGTCCCATGCGGGTGAATGGAAATACCTGTCCCCACCCAACCTGAAAGAAAACACCGAACTTCCCACCCCCAACTTCGGCGCATTTCTGCTAATAATTTCCATATAATTCTTTCCCCAACCCCACCATCGCCTCATATCTACCCCTCCAAACCTAACATCATACTCGTATCATAACTTCTCTCTCTCGCCTCTCAAAATGTCTTCTCAACTAAAAAACGTCACAGAATTCGCATACGTTACCGTCAATGAAGGCGTAAACTTCTTTGATGACTCCGCTGCTGGAAAGACTTATCAAAATGTTATCGAGACAGCGCTGAGGCAACCTGGTGCGCGACGGGTGTATCATGGTATTGAGGTGGAGGATCCTTCGAGATTGTGGTTGTTTTTGGATTGGGATACTTTGGATGATCATTTGAATTACCCCAAGAGCGCGTAAGTTCAATGAGTTGTGTATGATGGGCAATGCTAAGGAGATTGAAGTGACCATGGTCCTATTATCGAATCTCTCAAACCGCTTGTTAGTTTCGAGAAAGCTATCAACAAACACGTAACTCTCAACCCATTCCCACCAGAGGACGTCCTCGACAGCACCCGCTCCCCAGTAACAGAAGTCCTCGTCGCCTTCTTTCCCTCCGACTACTCCGTAACATCCCGGGCCGCCGCAACCCGTCGTCTCGAACAATTCGCCGCGCAAGCCCTCAAAGCATCCCCCGACTGGCGCGGCATCAGCTACGGCTGGAGTGTAGAAAACGACGTACCAGTCCGCGGAGACGAGAGCAAAACCGGCTGCATGCTTGCTGCGTTCATTGGTTGGCCTAGTTTGGAAGCACATCAGAAGTTTCGTGAAACGGATGATTTTAAAGAGAATATTGGGTTGTTGAGAGAGATGGAAGGGTTGATTAAGTTGGGTGCTTTCCATGTTAGTTGCCAGAGTAAGGAGGCTGCGGGATTGGAGGAGAGGGATGCTAAGAAGGCTCATGAGAATGGACATGGACATGGTCATGACCATGGTTGTGGCTCCGGTGGATGCTGTTAAGCTGTGATTTACTGGCAATTTGTTATTCAACGGACCCTCGAGATCAAACGCTTGCTTTTAGACGAGACTAAGTCCCTGTTTTCGAGAGCGTATTTGAGTTCTCAGCTTAAAACCTCACTATCTTTACGGTTCCATAAGCGCATCGTGCCTGTGTTAGAATCCCATCTAGATATGAAATAAGCCCCTTCGATGTATCTCTACACCAGTCATCTATCGCTTAAGTCCATGCCTCTGAAACCAATTCTGATGATGCTCCTCCTCCCATCTCTTCTCCGCCCGTCTCAAAGTCGCCGAAACATCCCACAAATCCCTCCTCTGCGCCAAATCCCTCGCCGTCCTCCCCCTCCCATCCTCGACCGTCGGATCCGCCCCAAAATCCCTCAACAACCTAACAACCTCCCTCCTCTCCTCATCATCCACAACAGCCGCATAATGCAACGGTGTTCTACCATCATCTGTTTTGGCGTTGGGATCAGCTTTGCAGTCGTCTAGTAGATATTCTACGATAGCAGAAGAGCCGTAGCGCGCTGCGAGATGTAGCGGGGTACGTTCGTGGAGATCGTGGACGTTGGAGGATATGCCTGTGTCGTGGAGGAGCATTGCTATGGCGAGGTGGTCGCGTTCGCAGGCTAGGTGCAGGGGGGTTAGGCCATGGGAGTCGCGGGTCGTTGGGGAGGCGTGGCGGAGGGCGTTTGTGCAGGCTTGGATGTCGCCGTTCCATGCTGCGTCTAGGAGTGTGTCTTCAGGGGACTTCGTTGGTGGGGATGGTTGCTTTGGAGGTTGGGCTACTGATGGTGTTGGTTGAGCTGGCTTTATACCGGTTGGTACTTCCTTTGGTGGCTCCGGGACTTTTGTCTCAGGCTCAGCCGCTGGCACTGGTGGTACTTCAGCTGGTTTATCAACCTTTAGCTTGGTGCCTGTGGGAGATTCCGAGTTTGTGTCAGTAGTCTCTTTAACATTAGCTTCTCCAAAGCCAGACGGCACATCATCTGCCTTCTTTGCTTCCTCTGCCGGCTGCTCGTTAACTACCACTTCCGGTACAGCTTCACTCCTCACTCCGTCGGTCAGTTCAGTAGGCTTCGGTTCTGCATTCTCATCAACCGACTTTCGATACTTGCCCACAGGAGGCGGCTCCAAAATCGGCGAAGCAACCCTCGATGATGACCCACGAGTTGCAGCACTCGGCCGTCGTGCATAACCCGAATCAGCATTCTGTCCCGGTGCAGGCGGCGGCACAGGATTATTCAAACCAGGCGGCGCAGGTTTGCTTAGCGCACGTCTAAACCAAAGTCAGTAACCACATACAAAAAATATGGGAAGGTAACTCACGAGTAAATGTTGACCATGATCTTACTCAAAGCCCCCAACTCCTTCTCAAGATCCGCATCAGCAATCTTGATCTTCTCCTCCCACTCATCCTTATACTTGTAAGAATTATAAAACTCCTCCAAACTCCTAAAAGCCGTTCCTTCAAGGCCATCGCTACTGATCTCCTGTAACAACTTGGTCATCTCATCCAAAGCGGTTGTGGCATTCTTAATAGCTTCGTCAATCTGCTTCCTCATAGGTCCAGCATCATCGCCATCGATGATATCAGGTCGAGCTTCAAGACTGTTTTGGATCTGGGTGATGGTGTCTTTTGCTGTTGTTACTTTAGCAGAAAGTTCGTGGATTTCGGCGGGTGTTTTGCGCAGATTCATGAACCAATCTGCCCATTCTTTTGCAGTGTCGGCGTGTTCGCTAAGAGCATTTACACTGGCGTAGGTTGCGAAGGCTTGGGGGAGGTGTCTCATGAAGTCGAAGCCTTTCTTTTGAGGTTCTGGTTTATCTGGAGAGGGTTCCTGTTTCGCTGGTCTGGTGGGCTGTGTCCTTGGTGAGTGTCGTGGGCTTGCAGGTTGCATGCGGGGCGACTGGCGTGGACTGGCAGGTTGTGTCATGGGCGAATGGCGTGGATTGTTAGTATGGCTTGGTCTTCTCTCAGGTACCGGACGATGTGTCTCATTTTGTAGCGGTGGGTCTCCTCTTGAGCGAGGCCTTCCTCGAAGCATATCAGAAGCTAGATGAGGCGCTGGCCTATAACCTGAAGGAGGAGACCGCTTGCCTGCTCCGGGAGGACGTCTTGGTGACGGCGGTGCCTCATAGGAATGGAATCGTCTTGGATCTGGGCGAGAACTATCAGTCGGGTAGGACCTCATCGCAGGCCTTGCGTTAGCTGGCTTTGGAGAACTAGGCCATGGCGGCGTGTCATGTCCATGAGGTCGAGGCTCTGGTCTTTGGCGCCGAGGGCTTGGAGTTCGTCGTCGGGAAGTAGGTCTACTTTCATCTTCTGACATCCAATCTGAGTCTCTCGTCACGCGACGTCTCAGTGTCCTTCCTGCAGGCGCTGGAGGTGGTGGAGGAGGCTGTCGACCCCGGGGCGAAACAGACCGATATCCTGAATCCCTCCTTGTCGGCGCTGGACGATCATTTGGCGTTGGACGACCATAGTAAGAGTGCCTAGATGTAGAAGGATACTTTGGTCTCCGGCTTTCTGTCTCATGAGATCTAGCTCTCTCTGCAGCAGGAGGCCTCAAAGTTGGCGGGTTCGAAGGTGGTGGTGGTGGCGGTCCATGAGAACTCGTAGGTCTTGAATGAGTAGTTGTCGGTGGTTTCCTCACCGAAGGAGGTTTGGACCTCAACGAGGGTAATTTCTTGGGCATTTTTACTCAAACAGAAAAAAACACCATAAAAAATGTCATATAATTCAGGGTCCTGGCTAGGCAGTATTTAACGAGACCTGTTTGGAGCTAAAGGCGGGAGGCATGACGCCATGGCAGGGCTGGATCTGGGGGACAGGTCTGACGTGTTCTGGTGATCCACTGGAAAAGCAAGGATGGATGTCAGGGTCAGCGAGACCCTTAGCGGGCTAATGGATAGATACGATGTACAATTATATCATATGGAAGATCTATTTGTTTGCTTTTCTTTTCTTTTTTGACAGGCATATTGAAGAGCCTTGATTTAGATCTTGCATCTGTGTAACATTTCATACCAGTTTGATGAAATACACAAACAAGAATGCGTCTCGTCTTTGTCACTCGCATGACGAAGCCAGACATAATGTGCTGCCTGCCGTTAGGCTGTATCACATGATGCGCGAGATAAAAGCTGTATGATCTGTGAGATTGATGCCTAATGTGCATGTGCTGCTGCGGCATTTTGGGGTCAGCTGCTGGGATCAGCAACCCGGTCTGAGATGGAAATGGAAATAGGCTACGCAGGAGGCCTATTAGGAAATAAATCAGCGGATATCTCACTTGAACCGGTACGAAAGGTCAGTGCTTGTTCCTGGACAGAAGCTTAGACCAACAATTTGAAACGGATATAACTTCTGTGCCTTGGTTTAGAGGGAGATCTCGGGGAAATAGTCTTTGGTCCCGCACCGGTGAATCCTTAAAGATAGATATTAGAAGATCCTGCGTCATCTTGCGGGATTTCGAGGTTAAAACCTTAGGAAAATAACACGGGAATAGATGAGGAACAGATTGAAATAGAGGGAGACATATTCTTCTACGTACCACAAGGTGCCAACTACAACCTCAGTAGAGAGTGGCCACCTGCAGTATCAAGTTTTCAGGAACCATATGGAGAATCGTACATTTTGGCATAGTTGATAGTGAATTTCAACAAGAGTTTACATGCTATATAAGAGATTAAACATTGAAGACTGCAAAAGCTCATACCTGCGAATCCCAACTTTACCTACAAGCAGCTGCGGCATGCAAAAGTATCAAGTGCATTAAGAGATCACTTGCGCAAAAGAATGCAAAAAAGGAACCACGATGTTTGCAATCGTTTTTATAGGAACAGCCCGATGCGGGGGTCGAACCCGCAACCTTGAGATCGCGTACTCGTAAGAGTCTCACGCTCTACCGATTGAGCTAACCGGGCGTGGCTCTGATTGGTTGATGAAACCGCCTGTAATTGGTGTACAGGAAGTCTGCCCGGCGTCTTTACAGGTGTTCTGAAGTTGTGAACATTGATTGAGATTTCCATGAAACGAAGTTAGTTGGACCTTATATTTCTTTGAGTCTATTGAGTGTCTTTGAGCTGATTTGTTGTGAATTCCAAGTTGTGGACGCAAAGTTGTCAAGATGGGTAATGACCTGTCACAGAAAATGATGAGCAAAGCTGAGTATTCATTCACAATCCTCTTCTCCAACGCACACCAAATACTTTGCCTCTTCCAAGTACTCATGAAACTGAAATATTCATTTACTGACTATCTAGATTAACCATAGATATTATCTATTAAGAAAGAATACATGATTCTATGCTATACCAGATTACATACCCTATACTCTCACAAAATCTACACTCAACCAGCAATGCAACACGTCACATATTTTACACCTCTACCATGTTGTGTCATTGGTCCAGTAGGCGAATGCGGTCCTTCAAACCGTAAGCCACATTGTCTGTGTGCGCTACGTTTCCGTTGAATCTCCGTCCAGGAACGTTTAAGCGCCGATCGTGTTAAGTTCTGGGGGGGTTGTTGTGACTAAATCGACATGCCTGTGCGCTCGTGGCGTAACTTTATCTTGGAGCTAATGGTAATATGCTCGGGTAATGATGGTGTGTTGTGTGCCGGATCTGCAAAAGCCCTATGGACAAGATCAAGATGCCTGGCCATCATATGAATTCACCGGATGGTCTTCTGACAATGTCTGATTGTACTGGTTCTAAGTGGATATCGTGTTAGATATTGTTGAATTGGGAGAGTTCCAGATCTCTACCCCGGAAGCTAAATGACAAGAACCGGCCATGTGTCCATAGCTGCGGTTTTCGAAAGGTAAAAGACAGAAACTTGAATGCACTGGATACTTGGTACAAATGACATTCATTGGCCTCCATCTCAAGACATGAAGACGGAACGGACTCTGAGATTTCATTACCAGTCAGGTTCTCTGGAATCAAGACAAGATGGGTTGATTGGCAGTTGAGCCACTGATCTAAGCATGACGTACCACACAAGATGAAAACAGGCCTGCACATCGACCTGAACCCCTGCATTGTACCTTGCATAAAGATAAACTCTCCCCAGGTACAGATAAGGTCTCGTCCCTAGCATGAAATATCCGAGTACGCGGATAACTTTCAAAATACTGCTTTCTCCTTTTTACTGTATGCTGTCGACCTTTCACCTACCAACATGATGTTACTACATTGTACTTCTGCTGCTTCTAGAGCTACAACACTAAGGCAAATAAGCTGATCGTTACTTGTTAACAAACGAGCTTGGCATGAGCATGACCTGTTTAGTGTAAGACAAAGCCTCGTGCTGATCCGGCCCGTTCGGAATCTGAGTGACCATCGCCAAGAGAAGGCGTGCTTTGAGAAATGCTAGTGACAGCGTATGGTTTCATGCACAGTAATGGTTTCAATTACGCATTGAATACACACTTTACACGACAGGAACATCGTTTCCGTGTGGCAAATGATTAAGATGTTCGGTGAGCTGTATCAACAGGGATTTCCACCACTGGTACTACTGGATAGTGGAGAGTTGACTTCATAAAACCACTGAGAGCTGAAGCACAAATTAACCAGTCAATGAATCTTCTCCACGTGGACTACGGATAACAAGATCTAGACTCAAAGTCGCCAGTATAATGAGTGTCTTACATCTGTGTTACACAAAATGCAACTATCCCAAAATCGTAGTAGCAAATACAAGGGTCATGTGGTATTTCCGCACAAAAGGCTTAGACATCCCAGCGATCCAGACCAGATCCAGCCACAGATCGTAAAGTAACCGCACGCAGTCAAGGCGCGGGAGCTTTTCCTCCCGCGCTAGTCCCAATGGATGACCTGTGTAACACGAAATCCAGATTACGATGTGACAGATCTGTCCACGTTGGAATGTGCTGTACCCCAGAACACCTAGGTCATAAAGCAGTAAGGTCTCCCGGCGGCCGCCCTCCAGCTGACTGTACAGCGTTGACTTACAGGTTCAAGTACGTGGTAGGTAAGCTACCGGATTTAGAGAAAGATAAGCTTCTGTCAGAATTGTTAGCCTCGAGGACTAAGGAGCCTGGCTTCCGGAGCTAGTGGAGCGTCAAGGAGATGGAAGCGAGACAGATATCCACAAAAGCTATCATTTTGTCTCAGATTGACTTTCTCGATTCGATTGTCTTGAGTGATATTGTCATCTGCGGTGGCTGTTGCTGATTTCCAGCAGGCCCAGTCGCTGTGGAATTGTGAGTGACATTCATATCTGTTTGTTAGGGAGACAGGTTCAGGAGTGTCGGATTTTTGTTGTTTCGGGAGAAGATGAATGAGACAAAGCAGCTTCTGTGGCGAGGTAGCGCTTGGCTGTAGTTATGTACATATCACTTGCATAACTGTGACTTCAAATCAGCCAAACAGATCCGGCCCCTTGCAGATACGCCCAGGCATCCCAAGTCCAGGCACACCAGGCACTGTCCACACAGTACTTTGCCCAATCTCATTGTTAAAAAATCAAACGATCATACAAGATAATCCAATCCTGGCTCTCCTCTTCGCACCATTCCTTTCATGGCATACTGTCGTCTTGTTAACGGCGACATGACGGCATTCCAGGGACCAACAGCCCGGTCCAGCAACCCATTTGGCCGAGACCCTCTCCATCTTCAACAGAAACGTTTTAGGGTTTCTATGCAGGAACGTATGTGTCAGTACGGAATAAACCCGCTGTGTATGCCTGTACTCGGTTGGCATGAAGGCTTCCGTCTTAGCAACCCAAACCAGCGTGACAATGCCTTTGTAAGTTTTGTATCTCTACATCATGATTCTGCCAATTCACCAAGTGGCACAAGACCCTGAATGCGGATGCGAGGCAAGATCGACAGGCTTATAACCCTACTATGCTTCTCTCCGCGTGAGACGCGTGAATGAATCCCTATTTCGCTTCTGTATACCATATTATACTATTGTTTGTTTCTAATCCACGCTGTGCAAGCCGTCGTAACAATGCGGTCTTTGCTACAGCATTTTGTTATTGCATGTTGGGCAGCCACATGCCACGCCCAATTCGGCGTTCAAAATGATAGGTCAGTCCTGAACATTAACAACGAATTCTCAGGGGTCTGCTACACCTATGTCTCGGTTTATCCCGTCCTCGCAGACTACATCACCGTCACAAAGCCTTACAGAGGTTCAGTAACAGCTCTGTACACTGTTCCTCCGCAGGGCAATGAGCCTGGTATTGTTATTGTTGAGCAGCCGGGTGGTTCGTCGGCGCCTGAGAATGTGGTTATTCCTGCGACGGATGATAGGGAGTATGTTATTATTATAAGGCCGTATACGGGTGACAGGCCCATTTCTGCGCCGGTTACGCAGGTTGTTCCACCGAGAGATGGGAGGCCGGGACAGATTATTATTGAGACACCAGAAACTCTTGGGGCGGATGCTACGTTGGGTGTTTTGTCGCCTGTGACGTTGGAGCCGCAGGATTCGACTGGTTATGTTACTGTGCTGCAGCCTATTTCTGGCACGCTTGCATCACTTCAGCTGGTTACCATTACACCAACTGGCACGAATCGAGGATCCGTCATTATTAATGTCCCCGCTTCATCGATTAATGGCTCACCGCAGGGTATTACTCTCCAGCCCGCCTCAGCAGGCGATTATGTCACCGTGATTGAGCCCGCTGGCGTTTCATTCACTGGTACGACCCCAATCAGAATTACTGTCGCGCCGAGCGGCGACAGGCCCGGCACCATCATCATCCAAACACCGGTACCCGGAACATTGGCCCCTTTGAGTCTTGTCAATCCGGCTACCAACCCCTTGAGTTCTCTCGGTCTTCTCGCTGGTCAAACGATTACTCTTCAACCGACAGATGCGACTGGTTACGTGACCGTCATCGAGCCCGCCGAGGGAAGCGTTACTCCGACAGCGCCAATTCGAACGACGATTCCTCCGACAGGAACGAAGCCCGGTACTGTTCTCATTCAGACTCCTCCCGGAGGTGTTAATGGAAGGCCTGCTGGTGCGCCAGTTACTGGTGAGGGTGGTACAGCGTTCCCGCCTACGCGCACTCGTCCTGAGGGAGCGGTCTCGTACACAACTATTACTCGAGGTGTGCCCAACGGATTCGGTGGCTCTGGATCAGGATCAGGTTCTGGGTCCGGGTCTGGCGGTGGCTCCGCTGGCGGTGCGAACGGCGGTCAAGATGGAACTGATCAGAATGACGACGAGTTCGACTTTGGTGGTGTTCAAGGAAGACCCGGTGGATCCCAGGGTGGTGATGAAGGACCACGACAGACCCTTACCATCCCTCCCGAGGGCGGAAACCCTGGTACTGTCCTTGTCTTGACACCCGATGGTGATGGCAATGCCCAGGCCACGACTGGAGGATCTGCCGGCAACCAAGGCGGCTCAGGTAGCGGCTCTGGTGGTTCCTCTGGCGGAAGCAACCAAGGAGGAAGTGGCTCGAATACCGGGGGCTCAAGCTCAGGCTCAGGCTCTTCGTCCGGATCTGGAACAGGATCTGGCTCCTCAGGCTCCGGCCAAGGGGGAAGCTCTAGCAACGGAGGTTCCAGCAACAATGGCGGTGGAGAGTCTGGTAGCGGAGGTACCCAAGGCAATGGCTCTGGATTCCAAGGTGGCGACGGCGACGACTCATCTGGAAATGGCTCATCAGGATCAGGTACTGGAAACACCTCCGGCAATGGTGGCCGACCTGGTGATGATGACGGCGATACCTCTGGTGACGGATCATCATCAGGCTCAGGCAGCGAAGGTACCGCTGGAAATGGAGGAGGCCGACCAGGTGACGACGACGATGACACCCCAAACAACGGTGGCTCAGGCGACTCTGGAGCTGGAGGCTCTGGCAGCGGCCAAAGCAGAAGCAGTACGCGATCTGCTGGCTCCTCTCAGAACACTGGAAGCGCTTCCAATGGCGGCTCAGATGACGGCGACGACCCTCTCAAAGGTGGTACTCAAGGAGGTAACGGCTCAGAAGGTGATGACATCGACGATGATGATGAGAATAGTTCATCCTCAAGACGCACTTCCCAAACTTCGACCTCAACTCAGTCGCCGATCATTCGAACGACACCCACAACCTATGTCGTTACATCTAGCAACACAGTCATCACTATCACCGCCGACGTCGTCCAAACTCTCACCAACGACCAGTCCACAGCAACTCGCCGCTCAACAAGCACCGGATCAAGCAGCATCAATGGTGAACTCGAGGGGTTTGGTAGTGGTAGTCAAGGCCCTGCAGACAGCACGAGCTTCACAAGGGCTGGTAACAGCCGGACTACCTCTGACGCCGAAGAGGATGCTACTACTATTCTGACGAATGCGCCGCCTCAAGTCAATCCCGACCCGGCTGCTTCATCCTCGGGCTTTACTAACACGGTTGATACGGCTATGCGACCTGGTGGCAGTGGACAGAGTAGTTGGAGCTCCAGTAGGACTACAACGAGCGGTCAAAGCACAAGGTCTTCGGCTGGTGGTGAAGAGGGCGGCTCGGATGAGACTGATGCTGCATCGTCCACCACTCGACCGTCCACTTCGGCTGGTGGAAGCGGTTCTGGCTCAGCATCTTCAGGTTCGAACCAGGGTGCGACCGGTTCCCAGGCTGCCGGCAGCTCACAGTCCGCTTCGACACAATCGACTACATCTTCCTCTTCGACTAGACCTCTCACAGGCGAACCTGCCAATCTTGGAAGCGGCTCTAGCGCTGTTGGACAGAGTACCACATCGACTTCAGCACAAGGAAGTGGTTCAGCTTCAGCATCCAGCGCATCAGGCTCTTCAAGCTCTCAGTCTGGAGCTTCAACTTCGCCCGGCGCAAACACTAGACCCGGCGACGAAACAGTGAGTCAAGGGTCTTCCACTACATCTTCTCGGCCTTCAACCACAACTTCATCGTCATCCTCGGCTTCGACACGGATTACTACCACTACTTCACAAGAGGTTATCATCATCGACACGCTCGTTGGCTCACAAAGCGTCGCTGAGTCGGATCGTGTGCCACAGGGCGACGAGGAGACATCTTTTACTCGCGGAACAACGAGCGCGACGACTGGTACCACTGCTGGCGATGATGACGAAGAATCTGCGACATCTGCTGGAGCCTCAAGCGCTACTGCGTCGAGTTCTGGTGCGTCGAATGCTGGCAGCCAGACTACCTCTCAAGCTGCTGGGTCTCCCATCACTGGAGATGACGATGAAGATGATACAGAGTCTTCTTCCACCCAAACGGGGCTTACTGGACAGCCTGCTGGTGGCGCTGGTACATCGACTGCTGGTGATGATGAGGATGATGAGGCTACTACAGTGCTTTCTAATGCACCGCCAATTGTTGTTCAGCCAACTGATGGAACTGCATCTAACGGCTCTGATCTTGATGATACAGCCACTGCTTCTGACGACGAAGCTTCGGCGACAGGGTCCACCGGTACCGCGACTGGGGATGATGACACTCCTCAGTCAACAGGCGCTGGCTCAGGTGACGATGATGACGATGAAGAGGACCCCAGTGCGACTGGCACCGCTGGCCCTCAGGATCCCGAAGCTGGAGAAACTGCCTCAGCGACAGCTACAGACGGAGCTGAAGAGACTGGCACAGATGAGGATGACGACGATGTCAGCTTGATCAGTCCTCAGATGCCTGTTCCCACTAGACCCTTACCCAGTATTTCTGATAGCCTATCTGCTACAGATGATGATGACCTTGCTACTGAGATTGGAGAAACTGCCACAGACGACCCCAATATTGAAGCTAGCGTAACCGTCGGACTCGGTGTCTCCTCTGGGGTTTCGGATGACGATGAAGCTTCTGAGACAGCCGCCGATGATGATGCAAAAGAGACTGGAACCAGAGTAGTAGGTGGACCTGCTGGAACTGGTGTAGCTGGTACTGGCGCGGCTGGTGATGATGATGATGGTGACGATGAGCCCAGTGTCACCACGGGTGCTGATGCTGGCGAACCATCGGCGACTGATGTAGATGATGGTAGCGAGCCCTCTGACTCCGACATCGCTACTGACGATCAAGTATCTGCTACTGACACAAACACTGAAGATGATAGCCAACCCACCACCGGCGGATCTGGAGGAGACCCTGAAGCTACCATCACAGATGATGCCGACAGAGGTTCGCCGACAGTCACCTTCTTCCGTCTAGGCCGTGGCCAATTCAGAACAACACTCTTCATCCCACCAGAAGCTACCAATGAACCCTGGACCGTCATCATCGAAACGCCCGGCACAGAGACCCAATCTGAAGGTGCGACGGCTCGCGGAGAAGATGATGTTCTTGCTACCGAGCCCGCAATCACTGGAACTGCCAACATCACACTCTTCAGAGCTGGATCTAGTCCTCAGAGAAGAACCTTCTACATCGCTGCTAGAGAGTCTGATCAGCCTGGTACTGTCATCATCGAGACACCAACCTTTGCGACTGTTTCGCCGACTGTTACTGCGACGCCGATTGCTTCCGATGATGGCCTTAGTGAAAGCTCTGCCATTGAGAATAATATCAGGCCTAATGAGACAGTTTACAGCTCTGGCACTGGTTCTACTACCAGGACGCTGTATATCCCTCCAACTGGCTCAGGTGCACCTGGTATCATTATTATTGAGACACCCGCTTCAAGTGCTACTCCTACTGCTACTGGTACTGGAGACGAAGATGAAGATGAAGATGAGGATGAGGCTGAGGATACTGCTACTGATACCAGATCTGGTACTACCATCTTCACAGTAGGCACTGGGACAGTGACTACAACTATCTTCATCCCACCCGAGACCTTAGGTGATCCTGGCACATTCATCGTCGAGACGCCCGCTTCAGGAACAGATGACAACCCCGTTTCCGACAACGACGACGAGGAGGCTACTGGTTCCGAAGCAATCATCACACCAGCTCCCAGCGGCATCATCGATCAAGAGGGCGAAGGCAATCTCACACTCTACCGATCCGGCGCAAGCTCGACCCGTCGCACGATCTTCATCCCACCGACATCAAGCGGCGACAGATGGACCGTCGTCATCGAGACACCTTCATCACAGACCGAGCTTTCAGAAACCGGAATTGCAGCAACTGCGCCAGGTTTCCAAACAACACAAGCTTCAGTCACTGGAACTGCGAACTTCACTCTGTTCAGAGCTGGCCCTGCAACGACACGAAGAACATTCTACATCGCACCTACTACGACAGCTGAGCCCGGAACAATTGTTATTGAAACACCAACTTTTAGATCTTCCAGTGGTCCCACTGCAAACCCTGCTACGACTACTGATGCTATTTCTGCTGCGTCGACTACTACTGTGATTCTTCAGGGTATCGGGACTAGGGCGACGACTTATTATTCTCCGCCAGCTAGTTCAGGTGACCCTGGTACTTTGTACATTGAGAGTCCAGCGGTCGGTGGGACTCAAGATCCTGAAGCTACTGAGACTGATGACAGAACTGATGGTGCGACGGGAACTGGTCTACCGCCTGGTGTTCTTCCCAATGTCACCGTATCTAGCGGTATCGCGGGATCTGTTACACAAACTGTGTACTTCCCTCCGGGTACTTCTGGAGAAGCTGGTACCTTTGTTATCGAATTTGGAACGGATGGGCCTGCGGCCTCTGCAACTGGCGATGCCGGTGGCGGCGACGACGATGACGACGAAGATGTCATCTCGGCTGCTACTACGGTCACAAGCTCCAGAGGAGGATCTGCTTCTACCACAAGAACGATCTACATCCCTCCTACAGCTTCCGGAGAGCCTGGAACTCTTATTGTCGAGACACCTACCGGTGGCTCTGGAGCTAGCGCAACAGGGGATGAGGATGATGCGGAAGAGACTGGTGATCCTGACGATGTCATCTCGGCGACTACTACCACTACTATCTACCGTGGTGGTCCTGCTTCGGTGACGAGAACGATTTATGATCCACCTACAGCATCTGGTGAACCTGGTACTCTTATCATCATCACTCCCACAGGGGGATCTGGAGCGAGCGCGACAGATGATGATGACTCTCAGGGTACTGGCACTGCGTCTGCTACAGATGATGATACCGACGATGCTACCGCAACTGACTCTCGAACTGATTCAGATGAGGACATCATCTCAGCGACAACGACAACAACTGTCTACAGCGGTGGTCCTGCCGCGATCACAAGCACGATTTATATCCCTCCTACTGCTTCAGATCAACCTGGTACCCTTATCATCGTGACACCTACCGGAGGCTCTGATGCTAGTGCTACCGGCGATGACGATGCAGAGGAGACGGGCGATATTACCATCACTGACATCGGCATAATTGAAGCGACGACTACTTTCACTAGCTACAGAGGTGGCACAGATTCAGTCACCAGGACTGTATATATTCCTCCTACTGCCTCTGATGAACCTGGAACACTCATTATTGAGACGCCTACATCTGGGCCAGATGATGATGATGGTGATGACGACTCTGGAGTCACAGGTACAGGGGCAAGCAGCCCAACTGCGGTTCTCACTTCCGGTCGGAATGTGACCATTTACACTGGTGGACCTGCTTCGTCTACCACAACGCGCTTCATTCCTGCTACTGTGTCGGGTGAACAAGGGACCGTGGTCATTGAGACTCCTACGGCAGGACCTCAGGCTACAGGCATTGGTAATGTGACCATTGTTACTGGCGGTCCTGCGACCGTCACTCAGACTCGCTATGTTCCTGCTGCAATTACAGGCGAGCCTGGCACTATTGTCATCGAGACGCCCACTGGTGCTGGAGACAGACAGACAGCTACAGACGATGATGATAGTACACTGCCTTCGGAAACCGGCAATGACGCTACGATAACCTCTCCCGGCAACGTTACCGTCACGAGTGGTAGACCTGGTTCAGCTACAAGCACTGTCTACATCCCACCCACGGCTTCCGGGGAGACTGGAACTATCATCATCGAATACCCAACAGGTGACGATGATGGTAATCCCGCGACCGGTACAGCTGAAGACGATCCTATCATCATTGCGCCTACTGCCTCGGGTGGTAACTCAACTATCATCCGTGGTGGTCCAGCCAGCGTTACTACAACCATCTACATCCCACCCACAGCATCTGGCGAAGGCGGCATTATCATAATCGAGACACCTACAGGCAATGATGATGATACTGATGCGTCTGAGACTGGAACTACCACAGATGCCCCTGCTGCAACTGGCGGTCCTGGCAACACTACTATCACCACTGGAGCCCCAGGAACAGCTACAGAGACCGTTTACTTCCCACCCGATGACCCAAGCGAGAGCGGTACTGTTATTGTAGTAACGCCTGCGTCAGCTACCACGGTCTATAGCGGTGGTCCAGTCACTGCTCCAGTCACTCAATTCATCTCCGCAACAGCATCCGGGGAGCTGGACACAGTACTCATCGAGACACCAACCACAGGTGCAGAAGCTACGCGTTCTAGTACTACCGTTTTTGGTGGCGGCTCTGGTAGTACGACTAGAACTGTCGTTTTATCTGCCACTGCATCGGGCGAACCTGATACTGTCTTCGTCATCACACCTACTGCTGGTGGAGCGACAGGTTCAGATGCTGGTGACGACGTTGAGGCAACTACTATTACCCGTGGTGGCCCAGCGGCTGTTGAGACGACTATCACTGTTACCGGTGTTTCTGGACAGCCTGATACCGTTTACGTTGAGACTCCGACGAGGTCTGCTGGAGATGACCCGGCAGAGACCGGCGATGACACTGATCGTGAAGATGATGCAATCACCACTATTACCAGAGGCGGCCCAGCTTCCGTCGCAACGACAATTACAGTTACTGGAGTTTCTGGACAGCCGGACGTAGTTTATGTTGAGACCCCGACAAGGTCCGCTGGCGAAGAAGATGCTGAGGTTACGACGATCACCAGAGGCGGCCCAGCCTCTGTAGCAACTACAATTACTGTCACTGGTGTATCGGGTCAACCTGACGTTGTCTACGTGGAGACTCCCACTGGCGATGATGATGGCGCGGTCACAACGATCACCCGAGGTGGTCCCGCTTCAGTCGCGACGACAATAACGGTGACTGGTGTATCTGGCCAGCCGGATATCGTGTATGTGGAAACACCTACGGGCGGCGCAGCTTCGGAAACTGATGGCGAACCTGCGCCCACGACAATTACGAGAGGAGGAACAGCCTCTGTCGCAACCACGGTTACTGTCCAAGGTGTATCTGGAGAACCAGATACTGTCTACGTGGTAACTCCTACTACTGGCACAGCTTCAGAGACTGATAATAACGGACTTGAGCCTACAACAATTACCAGAGGTGGGCCAGCTTCGGTCGCCACAACTGTTACCATCCCCGGCACACCAGGAGGTCGGGATACCGTTTACGTGGAAACCCCGACTGGTGTTGGGGCCACTACATTCACCAGAGGTGGTCCGGCTACAGTAGAGACAACAGTCACTGTTACAGGCGCATCTGGGGAACCAGATACTGTCTACGTGGAGACACCTACCGGATCAGTTACAGTCTCGGCTTCTGGCACCGATGATGACGAAGATGAAGGCGAGGCCACTACGATCACCAGAGGCGGACCGGCTTCAGCCGAAACAACAATCACTGTCACAGGAGCTTCAGGTCAACCCGATACTGTCTACGTTGAGACTCCTACTGGATCGGCTAGAGAGTCCGCTTCCGCGTCAGATGCTGGTGATGATGAACCTGAGGCTACCACAATTACCCGTGGCGGCCCTGCATCAGTTGCAACCACAATTACCATTTCAGGCGCCTCTGGCCAACCAGACACTGTTTATGTCGAGACCCCAACATCCTCTGGGCAGACTGACATCGATACAGCTATTGCTACTACTATTACCCGTGGTGGACCGGCCTCAGCTGCAACGACTGTCACTATTCAGGGCAGCTCAGGCCAGCCGGGTACGGCTTATATAGTAACTCCAACAAGCGCAGCCTCGGATACTAGTGATGAGATCGAGACTACCACAATTACCCGCGGTGGCCCAGCCTCAGTTGCGACCACAGTCACTATACCAGGCGCATCGGGTCAACCGGACACTGTTTATGTCGAGACCCCGACAGACACAGCTGATATCAATACATCCTTGGCTACCACCATTACACGTGGTGGAACCGCCTCAGTTCCTACAACTGTCACTGTTCAAGGTAATTCCGGCCAGCCAGGTACAGCCTATGTTGTAACTCCGACCGACGCAGCTTCTGAAACTGTCGATGAAGACGGTGTTACTACGATTACTCGTGGTGGACCGGGCTCGGTTGCAACTACCATTACCTTTACGGGTGTGTCAGGCCAGCCAGATGTAGTCTATGTCGAGACTCCGACTACAGGACCCTCGGAGACTGGTGACGAGAGCGAGGTTACTACAATTACTAGAGGCGGACCTGCCACCGTGGCTACAACTATTACTGTCACTGGTGCATCAGATCAGCCAGATACGGTTTACGTCGAAACTCCCACTGGCTCAGCTGCGGAGGATGATGCTACTACCATCACTCGAGGTGGACCAGCGTCAGTGGCAACAACGATTACTGTGACAGGCGTATCAGGTCAACCAGATACAGTTTATGTCGAAACCCCAACTACTGGTGCAGCTCAAGCTACCACCATCACCAGAGGCGGACCTGCCGCTGTAGCTACCACGGTTACAGTTACTGGAGCATCAGGTCAGCCTGATACAGTTTATGTTGAAACGCCAACTGGCTCATCTGACGATGATGAGATTGAGGCTACTACCATTACCAGAGGCGGCCCTGTCTCAGAGGCCACGACAATCACTATCCCTGGTACAACTGGTCAGCCAGATGTTGTCGTTATTGAGACACCTGAAGCTTCAGCGACTAACGACGACGACGAGGAGGTCCAATATACCACTATCATTCGAGGTGGCCCTGTGACAGCTGCTACTATTGCCACCATTCCTGGTGTTTCGGGTGGTCCTGACACTGTCTTTATCGAGACACCAACTACCTCGGGTGCCGGTGTTGAGGCTACCACGATCACTACAGGTGCCCCTGTCTCTGTCGCGACAACAATCACTATTCCCGGCGTGTCAGGCGCTCCAGATACCGTCCTCATCCAGACACCAACCGAGTCCAGCGACGACGAAGAACCTTCAGCTACCGGTGATGATGATGAGGAGGAGGAGATAGCTACTACCATTACCCAGGGAGGTCCGGTAACGACTGCAACTACAATCACCCTCCCTGGCGAATCTGGCGAGCCTGGCACAGCCGTTGTGGAGACGCCGACTGGTGTTGTTGTTACTCCTCAAGGTCGACCCAACACGACGGTCTACACAGGTGGTTCTGTCACAGCCCCTCAGACAAGATATGTATCAGCTACAGTTTCTGGCGAGCTCGATACAATCATTGTCGTAACACCGACTGCTGCTGATGATGTTGAGTATACCACGACTGTCAGAGGCGGATCCGGCACTGCTACTCGTACTATCACCTTGGAGCCTGATTCTCCTGATGATCTTGGAACTGTTATTATCGAGACTCCAACGGGCTCTGCTGGTGATGAAGATGAAGAGACTGCCACCGATGGCGACACGACTGCGACCGCTACTGACGACACTGAGGACGTCGAGTATACTACTATCACTAGTGGAGGTTCCGGCACAGCCACTCGCACTATCACGCAGCAACCTGATGATCCCGATGAACTTGGAACGGTTATTGTTGTGACTCCGACAGGCTCTGGTGGAGATGAGGATGAGACGGCAACGGATTCCAATACTTCGGCTACTGCCACGGACGATGCTGACGATGTTGAGTACACTACTATTACCAGTGGTGGATCAGGAACTGTCACTCGCACAATCACACAGGAGCCCGACTCCCCTGGTGAACTCGGCACCAAGATCGTGATCACCCCAACCAGGTCTCCTGGTGATGATGAGATTGAGTATACCACCACTACCAGAGGTGGATCCGGAACTGTTACACGCACAGTTACATTGCGGCCTGACTCTCCCGACGAACTTGGTACGGTTATTATCGAGACCCCCACGGGAGCTGATGATGGCGATAGTGAGGCCTCAGCTACTCCTACTGCTACAGTTGATACGGATGAGATTGAATACACTACCACTACCAGAGGCTGGTCTGGTACTGCCACACGTATAGTTACACTGCAGCCTGACTCTCCTGATGAGTTTGGCACAGTTATAGTCGAGACTCCCACCGGAACCGACAATGACGATGATGAACCATCTGCTACTGCTACAGATGGCGCAGATATTGAGTATACGACTACTACCAGAGGGTGGTCCGGTACTGCTACACGCACAGTTACATTGCAACCGGATTCTTCCGATGAACCCGGTACAGTCATCGTTGAAACCCCCACAGGAGCTAATGATGACGACGATGAGGCATCAGCTACTCCTACAGATGAAATCGAGTATACAACGGTCTTCAGTGGTGGCCCTGTCACTGCCAGCGTCACAAGAACGCTTCAGCCTGGCTCCCCAGGAGACTTGGGTACCGTTGTCATTGAAACACCAACTGAATCTACGGACTATGATCAGTACACCACTGTATTTGTTGGTGGTCCCGCCAATGTTCCTCGAACTACCACCATCTCCCCAGCATCATCGGGAGGACTTGGCACTGTTCGTATTGAGACACCCACCGCCCCTGTCAATGAAGATATCGAGTACACGACGGTCTTCACCGGAGGATTAGTGACAGGTTCACGAACGATCACACTCGCTCCAGGATCTTCAGGAGACATGGGTACTGTGATCGTCGAAACACCAACTGGTGCCCCTGGGGATGATGATGATGATGACGAGGTTGAATACACGACAATCTTCAGCGGAGGACCAGTTACTGCATCTAGAACGAGGACCCTCGCTCCGGGCACTGCAGGTGGTCTCGGCACTGTCATCATTGAGACACCCACTGGTGCGTCTGATGATGAGATCGAGTATACTACGATCTTCACTGGTGGTCCAGTTACAGCGTCTACAACCAGAACACTGGCCCCAGGTACCGCCGGCGGTCTTGGTACTGTTATCGTCGAAACACCCACTGGAGCCGATAATGAAGAGAATCCAACTGCCACAGAAACTGATGACGAGATCGAGTACACCACCGTCTTCAGTGGAGGTCCAGTAACTGCATCGCGAACAACTACCTTGGCACCTGATCAGCCTGGTGACTTGGGCACAGTCGTCATTGAAACACCGACTGGTACTATTGATGATGGCGACAGAGACCCTAGTGCTACAGCTACGGACGACGAGATTGAGTACACTACTGTCTTCACTGCTGCGGATGTTACTGCTTCAAGGACTACCACTCTCGCGCCCGGTGCTCCTGGTGATCTCGGCACAGTCGTTATTGAAACGCCCACTGCTGCGGATGACGATGAGATCGAGTACACTACTATCTACAGCGGCGGATCCGTTACCGCTGAAAGAACGACCACTCTGGCTCCTGGAGAGCCCGGAGACCTCGGAACAGTCATCGTCGAGACCCCTGCTGCCTCACCGATTGACACTACCACTGCGACAATCAGCGGAGAACCAGTTGTGATCGTGAGGTTCCCCAACACTACCATCTACAGTGGTTATACCGGATCTACCACACAAACGCTTTACTACCCTCCTGCTTCAGACGCAACAAGTGCCCAGGGTACTGTGGTCATTGAGACACCTACTTCTGGTTTCGAGCCGTATAATGTTACCCGTACTGTTGGCGGCCCTGCTTCTGTTAGAACGACTATCTACATTCCTCCTACAGCGTCTGGTGAGCCTGGTGAGGTTATTATTCAGACACCAACAGCTTCAGCCAGCGCCACTGCAGAAGAGCCACTTGGCATGAATACAACACTCTACAGTGGTGGTCCAGGTTCAGTTGAGACGACTATCTACTACCCACCTGCAACAGATGATCCCGATAGAGTCGGCACAGTGGTCGTTCAAACGCCTACGGCTGGAGCTCCTGCAACTACATCAGCATTCGTTATCGCGAACGTTACAATTACGGTAGGCGGTCCAGCAGGTATCACCACAACAGTCTACGTTCCTCCCTTATCGTCCAACGAACCTGGAACAATCATCATCCAGACCCCAACAACCACTCTCGAACCAACGTCAGCTTCACCAGTACAGAACATCACCCGCACGGTCGGAGGACCAGCTTCAGTCCCAGAAACAATTTACATTCCTCCCACTGCACCCGGAGAACCTGGAACAGTCCTCATTCAAACACCAACAGCAGGCTCGGCTACCGCTGCACCAGCTGCTACTACATCTGCACCGATCGTTCCTACAACCAATACTACGATCTTTATAGCTGCGCCAAGCACTGCTACAGCTGGCACAACCCTCTACGTACCACCGACTGCCAGCGGAGAGCCAGGAACTGTTATCGTGCAGACTCTTGTTGCAACGACTGGCCCGATCACGTCTGCTTCAATTACACCCGCACCGATCGTTCCCACAACCAACACAACGATCTTTGTCGCTGCTGCAGCTACGGCTACAGTTGAGACTACGCTTTATGTACCGCCTACGGCTAGTGGAGAGCCGGGCACTGTTATTGTTCAGACTCTTGTTGCTACGCCTTCTTCTGCTTCGATGGTGTCGGTTAGCTTGGAGACTCCTGTTACTACGGTCAGCTCTTCTAGCTCGGCCGCTCCTCCAGCGGCGACATCTACCTCCATTAGTGTAGCTGCTCCTGCTGCGTCGTCGACTTCAAGTAGCGCTGTTGTTGTGCCTCCCACATCGACTTCAAGCAGTCCTGCCGTGGTGGTTCCAACGACTTCGTCAAGCAGTGCCGCTGTGGTTCCAACTACTTCTTCTTCGAGTGCTGCTGTCGTGGTTCCCTCAACATCATCCTCAACCAGCGCTCCGGCGGCTGTCTCAACAAGCACATCTGCCCCTGCAGTCGTCGTACCACCAACCACTACATCAAGCCGCTCATCAACATCCACCTTCCCATCACCTGTCGGCATGCCAACCTTCAACTGCGACGGCTTCGGCTACATCGTCTCAAGCTTGCTCCGCCCCAGTCTCACAAGAGTTAATCTCATCACCGGCGCCCGAACGACTATCTACGATGGCATCGGTCCCGGTCTGGGCATTAACGGTGTCGGATTCAACCCTACTGACGGCTACATCTATGGCTTTGCAACCCAGGGTCTTCTTGTCAATCTTCTTTGTGGTCTACTCGGATGTCCCCAGTCGCAGCTCATCCGTATTGCCAGCAACGGCAATTGGGAACTTCTCCCACTTGTTCTCCAAACGCAGACGATTAGCATGGGTGATTTTGATGATCAGGGCCGCCTGTTCGTTTCAGAGGGTGGAAAGAAATGGTGGTCTATCAATCTAGCGAAGGGTAATCGGAACTTTGGAAAGCAAATTGCGGAGGGTACTTCAAGCGCGGATCTGCTTAGCGGTGTTGGTGATTGGAGTTACGTCCCTGGCGGAGGCACTTATCTCTATTCTGTCCAGGCATCAGTCCTCGAGTCAGGTCTTCTGCAGACCAATATTGTGCGCTGGTCTACATCCACAAACAAGTGGGAGGCCTTCAGATCCTACCCCGGAATTCTCCTTACAGCGCTTAATCTGGTTTGGGGTGCTACGATTGCTGCACCGAACAATGTACTGTTTGCGCAGGAGAACATCTTGGGTCAGACGTGGAGGTTCGATTTGGCAAGCGGGGCGAGTCCCGTGGCTATCCAAGGAGGCAATATCTTGAACTTGAATGGTGATGGAGCGAAGTGCGCAACTGGCGCTGTTGTTTAAATGACATGAGAGCGGCAAGATTGGCAACAAGCCGCGAGGATGGACGCATGCTATCATATTTCCTTTGTCTAGTCAAGCGACGCATTTCTATGTACTAGTTATCACTACATGACACTACATGAATCTCCTATGTACTAGTCTAGTTATTACAACATGATCAATTTCCTTTTGTCAATCATGTCGCCGTCGCAGGCGCAGTAGCCAACGTAGTAGAGCTCGAGCAAACACAACCACCAGGCCAAACACTCGTCACAGGCGGCGCATTGCAGGTAGCCTCAGCAGTGAACGAAACAAAAGTAGAAGTAGGCTCCTCCGGCACAACATCCGCTCTGACAAGAACAGGAATAATCTGACCGGTAGCAAGTCTGAAAGGTCGATGGTTCAGCGCCTCGAGCAACTTGGTGATTTCTCCAGAGTGACTGCTGATGCTCAGCCAAACATTGTTATCGCTGGTGAAGATATCATCGAGAACTTCTTTGCTGCGCTCAAGTTGATGTTCGCCCGTCTCACCCTTCACACCTGTCCAGAACGGATCCTCGAACGCAAAGCCCTTCTCAAACTTGACCTTGGGTGTGAAACTTTCGATATAAGTCTTGTTTCCTCTGTGGTCGCAAGTTCGGATGGAGATTCCTTCGCGGAGAAGTTCCTTGACGACAGGCACGAAGGGCTTGTTCTTGGGGAGTTTGATACCGTCGAAGGTGTAATGCGCTGTTTGCATGCAGCGTGCGAGGGGAGAAGCGTAGTAACTCTCAAAGAAGGGCATTCCCTCGTTCTCATAGCGCGTCTTGAAATATGCATTCGCTTTGTAACACTCTGCTAATCCAGCGGGAGTGAGGAGGGGATCTACCCACGTCGCAGTGGCGTTACCAGATTGAACGCCCCAGTAACACTACACTCATCAGCATCACATCCAATTTCATCACAATACAAAGAGTACTCACGTTCCAAGCTGCCTTTCCATAGTAAGACTCAGCAGCATTGTGCCACCCCTCACCATGACGTCCCATGACGAGAACCTTGTACCGCGTCTTATCGCGGGAGGCATTGCGGTTGAGATGCTTGACGTATTGCTCGAAGCGCTCCCATTGTGTTCTGTAGCCTTTGCGGGGGTTCTTGGGGTCTGTGGGGTATGTGCGGTTGAGAAGACCGAAGTTCCAGTCGACCTGGTCATGTCAGAACGCTGAGGGAAAGTGAGGGGAGGAAAAGAGGAGGTCGTACGTAGTCAAAGGTACTAGGCTCAGTAGCAGGATCATCTTGCTTAAAGAAGCCCTCCACAGAGGTATACTTGATCTCCTTGCCCTTTGCAAAATGCCAATCCGCCAGGGCCGATGGCGCGAGGGCGAGAAGGGCAGAGACGGTAGTGAACTTCATGATGACAGGTCAATTGAAGCTTGAGTGGAATCGTCAGTCAATGAAGAGCACTTGAAGGCTCTTATATACCGCTTTGTGTCGCCTGCAGGGTACCATCGTGCAGTTTACCCCACGAACTTGCACCCGTTTGGGGGCATCTTGGCCCGAGGGTCTTAAAGCGAACAAGGTAAAGATCGGAGCCAATTGATGGGAAACGTGGAGGGAGAGTCGGTGGGGAAAAACAGGGTTTGGGGGTTGTTTAATTCTTGGTGTTCGGCGAGGGATACTCTATATAGGATAGTTATAGTGTGGGAATTGAGATGGAGATAAGGAAAAGTTGATCACTGAAGCACGTGGGCGCGAAAGGGACTGGTCTTTGGTGGAATGATACACCGCGACGTGGTAAATCTTGATAGTGGTTATCTATTGACAGCTGTCACGGTAATTAAAGATTAACTCTAAAGGATTGTTCCTGCAGAAAGAGCCTCATCGTCATCTGTCAAACGATGAACCAACAACATGGCGCACACTTCTGCCAATAGCGCGCCATCTCATGCCACACTGCGTATCTGTACTGACTTTATCCGTGTTGTGGCGCATTCAATGTGAGCACGAGTGACATTTTGTTTGATGCATCTTCATTCTAGAATGATGCTGACCATAAATCTTTTAGTGAATAACTTAATTTGTTACTCGTATGCTGTGGCTGTGAGTGTATTACCCCTTTGTGGTGTTTTTGTTGAACAGCATGGATAAAATGAGATTGCCATAATTAGGTACTCTGTACTATAGCGGGGCTTTACATGTGATTGTGCAAATTCGGGGCTGTATCCCACAACCCTTTATGCTACCTACGTAGACCCATGCCTGCCATGAACCTCAACAATTAGATCCTCACTAAATCCTTCACAAATCCATACGAGATTACGGAAATAGGTACAGGCTACAGCATTAAATGTCACTAGCTTGCCGAGCTCCCGAGCTCATTAAAGTCCAGAACCTCGCACCCCAAACTGACCAATCATGACCCTCTAAAATTGTTAGTCCCCAACAGCTCAGTTGAGTTACGTATTGTACCTGAATTCATCTCATAAGACCCCTAATCTTGGAAGAGACATCACATTCATCATTCATCATTCTTGACTTTCTACTTCATTTTCGCATTTCTACCTTTGAGCTTATTGCTACTGTATACCCTTTAACTCACTCTTGTTCTTTTCTGCTCAGAGACTTCATCCGCCACCATGTCTTCTGACCCCACTAACCCCTCGGTTGATCCAGATGAGCTTCATCTTGAGGGTGAACCTGCGACTGAGCTTTACGAGGGAAGAATCTGGGTAGATGGCTGCTTTGACTTTTTCCATCACGGTAAACCTCCTCTCTTTCTCATTTCATACTCACCAGACACTGACTAACCGACTCTCCAGGCCACGCTGGCGCCATCGTTCAGGCTCGCCAATTAGGAAATGAGCTCTACGCAGGTGTTCACTCAGATGAAGCTATCCTCGCCAACAAAGGTCCAACAGTCATGACTCTCCCAGAACGGTAATCCAAACACTCAAGCGACAACATCTTCACTTATTGACAGTCTATAGACTCGCTGCTACTGACGCTTGTCGCTGGGTAACTCGCTCAGTCGGCCACGCACCCTACGTCACCTCCCTCCCCTACATCACCCACTACGGCTGCAAATACGTCGTCCACGGCGACGACATCACTTCCGACTCGGACGGAAACGACTGCTACCGCTTCGTAAAAGAAGCAGGCCGCTTCAAAGTCGTAAAGCGATCCCCCGGAATTTCCACTACAGATCTTGTAGGCCGCATGCTTCTCTGCACAAAAACCCACTTTATCAAATCCCTCGAGAAGAAGCTCGCAGGCCAAGAAGGTCATGGAACTCCTGAAGAGCGCAAGGCTGAGGGTGAAGCTATGCTTGAGCGCATGAAGCTTTACGCTACTGACGCTTCAGGAAAAGCACCTGGTGCTGAAGTGTTCTTCTGGACTGCGTCTCAAGAGGCCAAGTCGGAGGACGCTGATGATGAGAGGGGTAGCTTTCGTCAGCTAATTGAAGGACCTGGCCCGAAGCCTGGACAGCGCGTTGTGTACGTTGATGGAGGATATGATCTTTTCTCAAGCGGTCACATTGAGTTCTTGCGCCAGGTTATTCTTGCCGAGGAAGAGCTTGCGCGAAAGGATGGCTGGTTTGATGAGCAGGCTGTCAATGAGCGACTGGGCAAGGGCGAAGATTATCCCCCTGCGTACGTGGTCGTGGGTGTTCATGAGGATTGGGTCATCAACCAGTGGAAGGGCATCAATTATCCCATCATGAACATTTTCGAGCGCGGTCTCTGCGTGCTCCAATGCAAGGTAAGCCTCCACCTCCTCAAATGGTAACAAAGCTGACAAGATGCAGTACATCAACGCAGTTGTCTTCGGCGCTCCTTTCGCTCCTACAAAGACCTACCTAACCACCCTTCCCCGCGGTCTCCCAGACGCCGTATACCACGGTCCTACATCCTTCATGCCGTTGACCTACGATCCCTACACAGCGCCCAAGGCAATGGGTATCATGCGCGAAGTCGGCACCCATGCATTTTCGCACGTCAACGCAGGTGAAATCGTGCAGCGCATTATGAAGAGTCGTGATATGTACGAGGCGCGTCAACGGGCCAAGGGCGTCAAGGCAGGTGTTGAAGCAGCGGCGCGCGAGAGGGAGATTTTGGAGGAGGAGCAGAGACAGAAGGAGGCTGAGAGGGCATAGACTAAACCTGGGGGTATGATAGGGTACCTGTAATTAATGTGGCGGAGGGGGACTTGCGGTCTGTATGGTCTTTCAACAGGCCAGGAAATAAAAAAGTAATCACTTGATCATGACCAAACCATGCCAATACAGCACTTGTATCATGACACCTCAACAAAAAAACCCCGATCCAATGCAATGCAATGCAACCTTGTCAAATCTATCTCCTTCCTCAATTGTCCCATCCAATTGGAGCGGCATGACCTCATGACGACCCGACACAAGGCAATTGACGGCTACCCACGGACCTGGTCACTTTAATTCCGCTATACATAAGAGAAAAAAAATCGATAAAGAGAAGACGCGTGTAAGCAAGTTTTTCTGTGTCAGAATTGATAGACAGGGATTTTTATCGGCACATGACTATTCTTGCATGTAACCTGTCATGATGATTGCAGTGAATTGTTTGTTGATAAGAGAGTGAGTGTTAACCAATTGTTTGTTACGCCCTTATTTTATCGCGCCCTTGCGGTGGAGAAAGGCTATTCAGTAGAGTCTATTATTCCGCGCTTGGAGGATACACTGTTACACCACAGAGTAGAGTCATACTGGGCGTAGTACACGACAGGTACAAGACCAGGTGATTGAAACGAGACTGGAGCTAGCCATGCAGCGTGTAAGCGATCTCGATAAGACGCAAACTCCGGGCCGGGAACACAGTGTACTACCTATCAATGTGTGAAGCAATCCATCAATTGAACAAAATACCTTCCTCAATCGTCATGACAATACACTCTGCTATCAGGTTAAACCTTGCATGGAATCTTCGATATCTCCAGAACCCCTCCAGAAACCTCGAAAGCGGAAACTCAAACAACTGGATCTCCCCCAGTGTGACACATTGACCACCTCCCCAATCAAGTTGGTGTGGTACCTATCATCTGCATACACGCATGACCAGGGATTTCTGTATCTTTTTAACACAAAGTGGATATCACGAACCGGAGCCGAGCGGCGCGGGCAGAGACGGTCTATCCGGGGTTTGTCGGCGGGGACGGACTCTTTTTTTCTGCTACTGCTCGTGACCCGCGCGGAACGTGGAAGCAAACAGTCATTCTTAGATAGGTACCTCTTTGAGTTGCCTTCTTATATAAACGTGTCCCTCTCTGTTTCTTTGGTCTTTTCTAGAACTAATTCTACATCCCGTCTAGACCAATCGTTCTCTAGACTTCGACTTCTCTTCTACTACCAGTCTTTAGTTACAGTCCATTGATACACCTTCATCATGGCTCCCTCCGCAGTCGAAACTCAGGATCTCAACCTGACAGCCGCAGCAATCCACAAAAAAGAACTCTCCCAACCTACCATCTCCGGCCCTCCCACCACCCAAGCTCCCCTCGACGCTTCAAAGCTTACCTACACATACACCCAATCCCCCCGCTCCGTCCCCGATGAATCAACCGCCCACGCTGGCGACGAGACCATCGCCACAGACCACATGGTCCTCGCTTCCTGGAAGGCTTCTACAGGCTGGCAAACTCCTGAACTCAAGCCCTACGGTCCTCTGAGTCTCATGCCCACTGCTTCCGTTCTGCACTATGCTACTGAGTGCTTTGAGGGTCTTAAGTGTTATAGAGGCTATGATGGCAAGCTCAGAATCTTCAGACCTGATCGTAATGCCGCTAGACTTCGCATGTCTGCTACTAGAATCTCTCTGCCCGGCTTTGAACCCGCTGAGATTGAGAAGCTCATGATTGCTCTGCTGTCTGTTGATGGACAGAAGTGGCTCCCCGCTGATCGCGCAGGAAGCTTCCTGTACATCCGTCCCACAGTTATTGGTACAGCTCCCCAACTCGGCGTCCAAGCTCCCAAGGAAGCCCTCCTCTACATCATCGTAACCTTCATGCCCCGCATGGACGCTCCTCCCGGCGGTATGCGTCTGCACACATCCCCCGACGACATGGTCCGCGCCTGGGTCGGCGGCTTCGGCTACGCCAAAGTCGGCGCCAACTACGGCCCCTCCCTCCTCGCAACAGCCGATGCCAAGACCCGTGGATACCATCAGATTCTCTGGCTGTACGGTACTCAGGGTGAGTGCACCGAGGCTGGCGCGAGTAACTTTTTCGTCGTGTGGAAGCGAAAGGATGGAAAGAAGGAGATCATCACGGCTCCTCTTGACGATAAGCTTATTCTGGATGGTGTTACGCGCCGAAGTTGTCTTGAGATAGCCAGGGAGCGTCTTGGTGAGGAGTATGAGATTACGGAGCGAAAGTATACTATCGCCGAGGTCATGGAGGCTGATGCTGAGGGACGACTGATGGAGTCTTTCGCTGCTGGCACTGCCGTAAGTTTACCTACCAATCCATTGAAGAGTTATGCTAACAGGTTCAGTACTTTATCTGCCCTATCTCTCAGATCCACCACCGTGGAAAGGACATCAACATCCCCATGGGCGCCGAGGGCGAGGCTGGTGAGGTTACTGGCAAGCTCAAGGGCTGGTTGGGCGATATCATGTACGGTCGCACCGAGCACCCCTGGGGCGTTGTCATCCCCGAGAAGACACAGTAATTGTGCAACAAAAGTTGTTTATGGGACGGCGTTTAGCGGGAAATACATAAAAAAGACCGGTTGGTTCTTAAAAGATACAAGAGACAAAGACAGACAGATGCAGATAGTTAATGAGATACGAATTAGACGACCATTTCAAGTCCAGTGATTATCTACATGATTAATCGTGTATGTCTGCTGACATCCTCCAAAATATTCGAACATCATTACAGATACCGCTCAGATACCGCTAAGCAAGTCCATCATCATTCGCTGGGTCTCCTCCTGAATTTTTCCTTTGAAGTCCTGCAACAGTCAGTACCATTCAGACAAATACTCGAGCACCAACATACCGCGTCAATCTCCTCCAGCAGACGATACTTGTCCCTCACGATACCTCGAGCTTCCTCCTTGAACTCCTCAGCAGCCACCTTAGCCTCTCTGTCAACATCGCTCGCCGCCCGACCCTCCTGGAAACTGCCCTTGAACTCCTTCCACGCTTCCGCTTCGATGCGACGACACTCGTTTGCTTCGTCATTGAGTCGGGTGATTTCTTCCTTGGCGGCAGCGATATCCTGCCTGAGACGGGCGATACGAACGGCGAAACTGCCCCGGTGGCCGTCTGCTGAAGTGAGAATCGTTGCTGCAAGGGGGTACGCAATGTTGTTGTAGAGCCGTGTGTTTCGTCGCAGTGTCTCCTCAGTCTTATTGGCGTACTCCTCGCGCTCAATTCCCACTTGACGGTTTGCTTCCAGAAAACGTGCGATGGCAGTGGTGTGAATGTTCAATCCCATGCGGGCGTACCTATCTGTAAGACATTAGACAGGTCTGCAGGATGTGTGTGCGACTCACCTCGGAGCTGGGCAGCGGGATCCTGTTTCTCTGCCTTCTGGATGACCTTCTTGGTGGTCTTGGGCACAGTCAGATGAGACCCCAGTGAAGCATAGGCTTGCTGGTAGATGTTGTTTTTGTCGGGGATGGGCTCGTTGGAGGGGCTCTTCGCTGGGGTATCGTCACGAAGGCGGTCTCGAAAGTTTGAGTTAATCCCCAGTGAAGCATGGACTTGTTGGCAGATGTTGTTCTTGTGGGGGATGGGTTTGTTGGGGGGGCTTGTCGCTGGGATATCGTCGCGGAGGCGGGCTCGAAGGGTTGAGGGGCAGTCACCCTTGGGCTCATTCAGACGGGTTGCCAATGAGGCATGGACCTGTTGGTAGATGTTGTTCTTGTAGGGGATGGGTTTTTCGGGAGGGGATGACGCTGGGGTATCGCCGTCGAGGCGGGGGCTGTCGCCCTTCGCGCTGTCGTCGGAGGTAACAATACCTCTGACCATGGCGTCGGTTTGTGATGAGGATCTTGGTGGTATGTGGGAGATTGAATGAGAAGAGGGAAGAGGTGGGTGGTCGGAAGGGATTTTGTTGGTCGCTTTGTTAAGGCAGGAGCTGATGAGGAAGGAGCGGTTCGGGTCTGTTGTGGAAGGCAGGAGCAAGACACCACAACCGCCTTCCCTATTTTTCAGCAACACCACAAGTAGAATCCGAAAGCAGGTGCCTCATTCAATCTCAACTTTGTTTCAATCTTATTGTTCATCTTCTTGTGTGGTATCAAGTCCTTCCAATCTGCATTGTCGCTCCTTCCCCATGTCCGCCATCCATTTCGTTCCAACCCTCAACGCCGTAAACATCACCATTTCATCTCACACATATCCTCCAAATATCCCTCAGAGATGTCTTTGTCCTCAATTTGTAATCTTCTTCTCAATCTCCTCCACAATTCTCTCCCACGTAACCATAGCCCCATTCCCAACATCCCCACAAGCCAAACTCTTTGCAATCGGCTGCAAAACCTCAAACCAACCCCCCTCGCCTCCCCAATCCTTCTCCAACACCTTAAGCTGTGTCGCAGTAATAGGATGCGTAAACATAGCCGTATTCATAGCAGGCGCTACCAAGATCTTCTTCTTCACACCATCCACAGTACCTGTGGTGTCCCACGCTCTAACAACAGACGTTAAGAGATTGTCGCACATTCCGTTTACGATCTTAGCCATCGTATTCGCGCTCAACGGTGCGATGACTAGTACATCTGCCCAGCGTCGAAGTTCGATATGTAGGATAGGCGCATTGCGTTTCCATGGTTGAGCCCACTCGTTGGCATCTGTGTAAATAGCATCGACATGTGGTAGACGGGAAACCTGTTCCACGGTAGGTTGTTCAAGACTTTGGCCCGACAGAAACTCTGATGCTGATTGTGTAAGGATGAGACGGATGGAGATGTTCTCTAGATGTTTGAGACCGTTTATTATCTGGACAAGCTTTATTGTCGCAACGGACCCTGAGGCTGCTAGAAGGATGTGGCGCTTGCCATCGCTCCGGGCTAGTTCGAGTGCTTCTGTTGAGTTGCGCATGTTCTGGTCGTGATGGGCTTCGTGCCCGTGTTGGACTGTGTGAAGCATGGTGAGTGTAAGTGGTGAGATAAGATGTTTTGTCAGCGGGTAGGAGGGATTTGATAGGGCTGCTGCAGCTGGGTGGAGTGACGTTCGCCTCAAGCCGTGGTTATGAGCTTGGTTTCAGTGTTGATGGAAATGTTTTATAGCAACTAATGGTTATTTGAGACAAGACTCATGACAAGTCGAAGCTTCTAAGAAAGGAGTGAGGAGCTTTTGAGTTCTTGTAAAATTGACCCCGCTATCTCATCACCCCGCGTCATATCATGTTTCGACAGTATCACGAGCTTTAAGTAGAAGCGTGGACACTTGAGCCGAACTGCCGAATGCTTATTGTTTCTCCAATTGCCTGAGATGATTAACATGCTCCGATTAGGAGATCATGCGCTAGAATATTCTAGCCGACAACTTTGACAACTTGCTGTCAACCGACAATGCGGAACCTACCCTTGACTTCAATTACGAGTTTTGAAGCACCTATGGCAGTACCACAGCGCAACACGCCTTTGCGGACAATTAATAAGACTCAGTGAAATTGAATAAAATTTGGATCTCTTCAGATGTACAATTATATCATTTGCACATCACAATGTCTTTGAAGCACAATGTTCGCCGATTGATAAGCCACCATTACCTCATCGCTAATTGGCCACAGCTGGTCTCAGCGCCACTCTGAATTCCGGGGATCGGCATCGGAACATCCTTGACATCACTCACTAATCCCGACCAAAACTTCTACCATCCAACAGCGCATCTTCTCTCTACCACATTCTCTCCATCACAACCTTCACAATGTTTGCGCGAACAGTAGCCTCAGTATGCAACACCCGATTGATCTCACCTCCTTGTAACAACTGCTAATATCGTGTGCAGTCCCTTCGAGCCGCTCGGCCCATGGCCGCCCGCACAGCCTTCCGCGCTCCCATCACTCTAACACCCTTCCAAGCCCGTCTCCTCTCCGACCAAACCCGCTCCGCAATCGACAAAGCCGTATCCTCCGCGCCCGTCGTCCTCTTCATGAAGGGAACCCCCGAGACACCCCAGTGCGGCTTTTCGCGCGCCGCCATCCAGATCCTCGGTCTGCAGGGCGTCAACCCTGACAAGTTCGCCGCCTTCAACGTCCTCGAGGACCCCGAGCTGCGTGAGGGTATCAAGGAGTACTCCGATTGGCCTACGATTCCTCAGCTGTATGTTGAGAAGGACTTTATTGGCGGTACGGATATCTTGGTCTCGATGCATCAGAATGGTGATTTGGCGAAGCTTTTCGATGAGAAGAAGGTTATCATTGAGGGTGAGCCTGAGCAGAAGGAATAAAGTGGTGCATATGGGAGGCGAGTGTATGAATACATGATGTAATTGGGATGGATACCATTGTATAGCAAGTTATGGACTGTACACAAGAAGCAATAGAAAGATGCGATTACTGGTGTCGCTCATTGAAGACTGATCTGAATGGGAAGTGGATGCGTTACGGTAGAATGTTCTATTTTGCTGGCTGCATCGCCGTCTAGTTCAAGCTCTGTGATTCCACTGCAGATGCTGTCTTGGGCTTTCGCTAGGGACTTGCAAAAGAAGGTATGCGAGGGTCGTTTACACCCATAAAGCGAAGAAACGTCCTTGATATATCGGGTTGCACAGACGAGAGCAACAGGATATGGAAAGCAATGTCTATATGGTCTATGTCTATAATCTCTATCATGGTCAAATCCCTTGCTAAACGCCACCGTCTAGGCGTTTGCTCCAGCCCTATACCAAGCATCAAGTAACATACTATGCGTATGTCCTTTAACTACTGGCTCGAAAGCAATATCAATGACAGCATTCATCTCCAATCGCTTGTAGTCAGCCATTAATCCAAAAGCGATCTGCTTGTATCTGCGCATCACTAGTCCAAAATGATCTTCATCATTTTTGAACACCAGGTCCATATGAGTCCGGCCAGGAGCTTCTAGACAAATAAGAAGCACGTCGGGCGCACTTTGCCAATTAACTTCATAAAGGAACCTGTGTAAAGAGTATGTGAAGATATCACCGGCTGGGTGGAATGGCATGTTGAAGCCGGGGAATACGTCGTGGCTGAAGACCAAGTCGATCTTCTTTGCTGCCGGAAAGGGACTGAAAGGCCTTGGTACCTCTTCCACAGAGACTGGAGTTGGTGCATCTTCAACACCATTGGCCCTATTATCGTGGTTATCTTGAAGTGGATGGCGAGTCTGCTGGGAGCTGTCAAATGACGAAGGCGGAGGCGCATTGGCATCCCTCCGCCGTCTTTCTTCGTCTCCGGTCTGTGTTCCTATTGAGATTGTACGTGCATGCAGATTACTGGGCGGACTTGGTGGTCGACCAAAGCTAATCCTTCTGAGATTACCGTCTTCATCCTGTATTCTGTTTAGTTGTCGCTGTTGCGGTACGGCTGGTTGGTTCCCATAGTGCTAAGAAAGTATTAGCACGTGTCCCGGATTCAAGGTTAGTCTCACATCTTGGGCCAGCTCATCTGGACTGTCGGTCCGCCCGATGACGGCCGGCCTTGCTTCGTGCTGTGGCGCAACATGGCTGTCCTGTGACGATGGAGGTGAAGGCTCACTTTCGCTAGAACTCCTGAATAGGTGAGCTACTATAACATAATATATGTGTCAAGATACCCACGGTTCGTCGAAGTGATCAGGTAGAGGCATTGGACTCTCGCTGGAACTCCTAGATAGGTCAGCCCCTGTACCAAACTTGTAATTGAGAAGGTACCCACGAATCGTATGAATCGTCATATCGAGGTATAGGGCTCTCGCTTTCGGTCGACAGTCGACGTCGTCGTTGAGGCGGCCCATATGAGATGGCCCCGTCTTCATCCCGTGCTCGTTTACAACGCAACCTTTTACCACTATCCAATGTATTCTTCCTGATAAAGCGACACATGATATTGTAATAGAGCCTAGACCTCAATTGTTAGCTCTATTCGCAGTCTGTGGAGGGTTATTCACTCATTCTCATCTTGTGGGTACTCCAACGTGCCATCGTTCGAACCCTGTGGCCAATGCCGATACCCATTCTCGAATACACAAAGATATGCGTGAGCCATCTCGACTAGTCCATCTTGATGATAGTCATCCTCCAAATCAAGGAGTTTGTTACCTGCTATACCATGTATTGTTCTGAAGCTTTTGGGGAAATCATCGAGAGTCACCAGGAAATCATTCACCCCTCTACGACGACCCTTTCGCTTCAACCTCCGTTTCGTATCTTCTAGATTCCTGATTGAATTAGTGTCTTCAAAGATAGCATAATGCTGGCTGAGCAAGCAGCGGCAATTGCTTAGTTCCATGATTGCTGGAGCAAAAGAGCTTGTTAAAGAAATAATATTGCTATTACCATGGTCAGATATATGAACAAAAAAATATTTCTCTATTCGAATTTATTCTTCGACCTTCCATGCAAGCCCCTATGTCGAAGGATGTTCCATTACGGTGATTAGCACCAATGGTGCATGTTCTCATCAAATCTGCCTTGCAGCCTGCAGCAATGTTGAAACTTGAAACAACAGCCAACGCGCCAAGGGAGCTGTGCCGCTCAAAATATGTCATTCTCTCGGACTCGCCGCGAACAAACACTGACTGCTGTAGTAATAACATACCGCAGCTGTAAAATTCTGCCTTCATATTCAACCAGATTTATTGACTGATTGAGCAGATGACGTCCCCTGGTGGCTCGCACCTGCTTGGTGTCTACTCAGGTACGAGCTACGCCCACTTGCACCCCTGAAGTTGCTCAGCCATTTCGGATCATATCATGCTGCTTTGTTGCCTTGCGAGAGTTACAGGACTTAAGCTGAGTGCGCGTGAATTAAGCACTTGCTCGACGCGTGCTCATTTCGACGCGTAGCGCAATACCTTCCATGCGACCGACACGGTGCCGTAAGCCCAGCAGTGAGTAATGCCCTTGGACACGATATATCCTGCAGTATGCCTCTCTCAATAGCCCACAAGCAGAACACTACCTTACCTCCAATCTCTGCTCCCACTAGACTCCCCTTCCCGCCTTCTTGAATGCCGAGCCCCTCCATCACTGGACCTCTCAGGCTTTCGCTCCCGAGACTTCGCCCGGCGATGCGACCGCACGAGAAGAACAGTCTCTTGACATGCCCCAATGTCAATCTTCATCTTCTTCAAACTGTGCCCAAAATGCTTCAGCTTCCGGACGCCGTCCTTGTCAAGTGGCTCGTCCGACGAGCCGCGAGGATCTTGCATATCCCGGTTGATCGTTTCATTAAGCTCGAGATATGCACTTAGATCCCTCTTCAGGCGTTTAAGCTTCTTGATGCTCGGGTCGACGTTCAATCTTTTGTCCTTTCCAAACTGGATCTTACTCTCTTCGACCTCGATGAGTTGATGGTAGTACTTCTCCGTCGCATCGTTGATAGGCTTGAATGCGTGCCTTTGGAGATACACTACGAAGCGTACTGCCGCCCTTCGTAGCTGTTTCTGTTCGCGTTCGTATTCCTGTTGCAGATCCTGGAATTTGCGTATCCCTGCTTGGCGCACTGCTATATCATCGGTGTTGGCTTTGAGAAGACGCTCAACCTCGGTGTCCTTGACCCGGGCTTTCTTTTCCTCAAGTTCATAGCGGTAATGCATATGCTCTTGCCAATGATGCTTGCAACTCTTGTTGCTGCAGTGACCTCTGCTGCTCTTCTTGAAAGCTCGACAATTTATAAGCCCGTGATGTCCCACACAGTCTTCAGTGACATCCGCAAGATTGCAATCCTGATGACAGATGGAGTTGTAGATAACGACAATCTCGCCATCTGAATTTGTCTTGTAGTCACAGCACTCCTTGTGCTTACAGACCGTGCGTGGCTTCTCGAGCTTCTTGGCCGAGAACTCGATTCTATCCATATGGAGCTTCTTTCGCAATGCATCGCCTGTCAGACGCGTGTCCTTAAGCTCCTTCAGTTTATCGGCAACGAGCTCAATATTCTTCTGTATTTCTTGGGAAACCTGGACCATGGGAACTACCAGCTGTTCCACTGCCTAGCGTGCGTCTTCCATGCTAGTTGTTTGTGCAACATCGTGCGGCTTGCGCGTACCAACATGGTCTAGAAACCTCAGCGCTTCCATTTTCGACCTGTCCCAGCTCTCACAATACTTGCTGTCGTCGCTCACTTGAACTTTCCGATATAGAGCCGCTAGGTATCGAAAGCTATCCGCATCAAATGAGTATGCGGTTTGAGAGCCCAAGTCAAAGTTGACCTTGAGGTCTTGAAGTTTCCGCTTAAGAATTGGGTAACAATCGCCGGGCCTATAGCCAGAACCCATGGTGTGGGTGAAGCCAAACGCTATATTGAGGACCGCCTCGCGAGAAAGATAGGCCAGAAGCTCTTGAAAGCAGAACTCAAATCTTTCTGTCAAGCGCGTCTCGCTCGATCTGAGTAGGATCAATATGCCATGTAACTCCTCGTAGTTCCTCAATAGGGCCATGATACCTCGAACATTTTCCTTGTCTTGCTCTGGGCCTCGCGTGTCGCCGATGCCAGGGGTATCAAAGATGCGATATGTGATGCCTTTGTATGGCATGTCATAGACAGATGTCTGTTGTGTCGCAGAATTGCCAGGAATGCCGTTTCGCTCGCGATCGTTATGACCGACGCGGATAACCTTGCGTACAGAGTCGTATGGATCATATGGACTCGGTGCATTGAACTCAAAGTGGCAAGGAACCACGTATTCAAGCTTCCTGGCCGATCGGATCTTGGCCTCATTGAAGCTATCGAACTTGAGATAGTTGTACAAAGCGTTGATGAATGTCGACTTCCCTACACCCGTTTCGCCCAAAACCAAGATGTTGTAATAAACAGGTCGGTCGGGCCTCGTCAAGACTTCGTGGGGGTAGCTGGAAGAATGTCGGTTGAACAAATGGCCGCGAGTACCCTCTTCGTACTGGTAAGAGTGCGCTTGAGGCTCCGGTTTGATTTCTGGCTCGTCGCGCTCCATCATGGAACGATTCCGCTCCAAGCGTGGAATTGGCGCCTCAATCTTTCTTTCAACCTTGCCGAATAGAGCGCCATCTAGATGCTTGTACTCTAATGGTGCGTCGCAATCGATGATGTAGACCTGACAGCGTCTACTGGGCTTTAATAAGAACTCCATAAAAGCCTCGCGCTGCGCATTCCACGATGTCGAGATCTTCATGGCAGCATTGCTGATTTCGAAAGCATATGGCACAGGACCATCATGAGGAAGGCTCATCTGCTTGGTGGAAAGTCCGTTGAAGCCGATGTATGTAGCACCATGGTCTGTAGCCTCTTTGATGAAATTGATCTTGTCGCTTTGCTGGCCTGCGATCATAGAACACTGCTCAGGATGAGACCCGACCCTCGCATAAATCTCATGCAGGCAACGGTCATCCATGGTGCCATCTCTTACACCGATGATAACTTGTTGAAGGGCGTTCTTAAACCTTTCCAGGGCTTCAGAGATCTGAAAGACCGCATTATCAACGTCTTCGACATGGGTATACGGTATATAATGCTTGTTTCCCTGGATGAACAGCTTGTAGTCTTCGAGCTTGCTTTTGCCTTCATTGAACCGATCAACGATATCGAGCATCGGATCTATGTCTGTGACGTTCGTAGGCGTAAAACTCGGAAGTGCTGGTGCTCCAGGAAAAAGCCCTTTCAGCAGTTGTACTGAAAGCATGCTGTATGTGATTGGGTATCCCTTCCCACCGTCGCCCGCTCGGATCTGTTGGGGGCCTTTCTGAAGAAACGTAAACAAGAGCGCAAGGCTTTGCTTGTTTATACCGTACTCACGCTGCACATCGGTATATAGCTTCAGTTCGTATTCGAGCGCCAGTCGTCTGTTGACTGTATTGTCGCTGAAGTCGTAGGAGTGGCGAGCCTTCGCGATCTCGTGTACCGCTTGTAAATCATGCTGGAAGAGGTTCACCACATTCTCCTTATTGGAAGGGTCTTTGACGTGATGCTTCATGGTGATGATGCTCTGAAGTCCGTAGGTAACTCCGACGACAATGTAGGTGCCGCGATGATCTGTGATGGAAGGCGTGCTGTATGCTATCATGTCTAGGAGGTCTGGCGAAAGATTGAGCCGCTCTTCACAAGTATTGTAAATGTGACGGACGGCGCCATAGAGAATATCCTTCTCGGAAGTACCATCCATCAAGAAGGTACCGGATCCTTGAGGAGTGATCAAGCCAGAGAGGACGCTTGCTGCGAGGTTCGGGTCGATACCCATTGCAGCGAACCTCGCTGCATGGCTTGATCCGATCGAGCTAGTGATTTCATGTTGCCGTTCTATCGGGTAAGGAGAGACCAAGATGGCCCCTTCTGGTGGTGTGGGAGGCAGTCCTGAAGCTGGAAGAAATTGGTCGCGCTTTGCATCGTAGATTGTGCCGATAGGTACTTCGGCACCGAGAGCTGGGCGGACGATGTCTGGGTGGACGATTTGTGGCATCTCGTTGCAGTTTGTGATCAACGTTGGAGCTTGGTTCAGGAAAGGATTGAGAGGTAAGGTGTGGCATGTAAAGGAGGACAACAACGAGTCTAATGTCCTTCCGTTCGGGAGATTAGTATTTTCTCCGTGGGGAAGTAGAGATGACTCTTGCGACTTTCCTCGTTGGCAGTTGCCTTGCGCTCCTGCCTCAAGACTTTCGTCTCACAACTCGGAAGGAAATTACGTACAATGCAATCTCTGAGCCTCAACAAATGTGCTGCCAGCACAACACTCCCGTTTGTTGCACTGCTACCTTCATTTGCCACCGAAATCTCGCCTTATGAGACATGTTTGCCAGATCAAAAAGCTTTACTGGTCCGATGTTCCGCTCGAAAGGCTAGCGGCCTCAGTACCACCAGTGCCGGCAGGACGGAGTTGAGACTCACGAGAAGGATTCCTAGGGAACATTTTTACAGAGCTATGAGTAGCCCTAACAGAGAGAGAATTGAAAGCTGACTATTGTGGCAGATGAAATGACTCCGGATTGAATTGGCGTTTCGACACAAGGGGAAGTGCCCTCCGAGACCCCTAGGCGACAGGCTGTTGATACTCGTTCGCAAACTTCGCTGCTTCCATCGACTTCTACCTTGCTGCAAGCCTTGAATGCAAGAACCAATAACGCTCCGATGCGACGATTCCGATACCGAGTCATTCCAACTTGACTGACAGCAGGTCTGCTCAGCTTCGCGGTACTTGTCCCGCATCCTCGCGCAGAAAAGACCACACACGATCGTGATTCAGAAAACAAGTCATGAAGCCCTCGAACTATTCTGCAGATGGGTTCAAGATCCCAAAGCCTTCGACAGCGCAAGTGAGGATGTATACATGAAAGAGCCTTGGCTGTCTAATACTGCTGCAGCATGGATACTGGGCCAAGGGATCCTGGCCGAAAGCTTCCAACGGTTCTGCTTGAGAGTATTCATCAAGAACTGCGCCTTGGCTCTCTTTGGTCCCTGGAAGGAGATCGAGGAACATGCCAATGACAACTCCCCTCTCATGCGCTTCAGCAATCACTGGATTGCCTGGATCTTCAGCACAGTCCAGGGTATACCGCAAGAGTTTGAGGGCCTCAGAGCCGTGGCTCGAGCCAAGGAGCTCTGTAGGCATATAGAAGACCCGAGGGATTTTGATGAAGATCACTGGTACTCGAGTTGTGGCGACCGCATCAGTCCTCATTGTGCACATCATCCGAAAGTCAAGGAAAAGAGAACGGACGAAGTGGAACCCCGACGCAAGGCGTCTACGACCGATGCCCGAGAGCTTAGTCCAGAGGGCACAGAGGGTACCAGACCTACAAAGCCAAAGAAGAGTCGCCAGTCACGGTTAGACAGTCGAAATTCACTACACACCAATTTCCAACGCTCGCAAAGCCGATCAACGCGCAGCCATCAGTCAAGTCACCATTCTGGACAGTCATATTACTCCCATGAATATGTCCCCTCGTGGGAATTCGATTGGGGCCGCTGCAGAGATATGAGAGTTTGGCGTTGGATATTGAGTGTAAGTTGTCTCCGAAACCTCAGAAACATTCACTAACACAGCGTCCTCCTTCAGTCGATGCTAGCTATCTGTCTATCAATCAATCTGGCGTTATGTATCCATATCCTCGCTGGTAGGTACGAGGGAGCTAATGTTCTAATCATTTCCTACAGCGTGGTTTGCGTGTCACTGGGCGTATTCTGTTGCTTGGTACGCGAAGCAACGCCAGGATATCTTTTATGCACACTTATCGACGGCATTGTCATGACTGCTGATACAGCTTCCTGATGCGAGGTGACCGGCTCTCCTGTTTGTGTCCGTATGAGCGTTTTGACGGTGTTTGTGTGGTTGAGTTTGCCACTTGCTTATGGGCATCGATTTGTCTGGGATGGGTATTAGTATGAGCTCGACCGGCGATGTAATGACACAATAGCTGCAATGCGATCACTGCCATATTCTTAAATCTACTTACGCTTTGAGCGAGATGAGACCACTTCTTCTACTTGTCTATTCAGTCGCACTAAACCCCAATATGATAGCGCGACAGAATGGATATCGGAACACTGGCGAGGTCTTTCCCAAACCACTCTCGGCAACTAGACTTCATTGACAAGGAAATAGATCAATACGTAACGATGATGTATTCACATTCAACCCGATTATATGCTGTGCTGATCTGACTGTCTGCAACGAATCCAGCAAGGCCTTCACGCAACTCTACCATTCGAAGTCGCTTCGCGCCAACTGATCACGATGACTTCACCTCCAGTCAATAATCGAACATCATCGTCTTTAATATGACGCACTATTCCACATGCGACGCGATGAATAATGTCGATCAGGGACGCCAGGACAGGAACGCAGGGTCCATTCGGTCAAACTCAATGAAACGCCAATCCCGAAGCGGCGGACGCCACCATAATTGTGTAAGTGAAGCTTTCACCACCAGAATTGACTATACCACTTGCGGAGAGGGTTAATATTCTACAACATGTCAGTATGGAGATTGAGTGAGTAAGTGAAATAGTTTTATGAGAAGGTTTATTCTAAGCAATAGTCTGATACTATTGACAGCTATATATACTAAACGCCCGCCTCTTTATTCAAGGAAAGTTATCAGTCTAAGTACATTTAGGAAATAATGCCAGTATTATCTGATCGAGTAAATGAGATATATGCCTAAGAAGAGTGAGAGTGAGACTTGTGAGAAGCAGACTTGGCCTTCTTGGCGGCGGCAGTAGCCTTGGGCTTGTCGTCATCTGTCTTGGTAGCAGTGTCGTCGTCGTCAGAAGCCTTCTTCTTGCCCTTCTTGTCGTGGGTCTTGGTCTTCTTGTCATCGGACTTAGTAGTCTTCTTGTCGTCGTCGCTAGACTTGGTTCCCTTAGCAGCCTTCTTGGCATCCTTCTCTGCCTGCTTAGCAGCCTCCTTCTTGTCCTTCTCTGCTTGTTTGGCAGCCTTCTTATCCTCCTTTGAAGCCTTGGGAGTAGCAGAAGTCTTGGGACTGTCATCAGTCTTGGTGGAAGAGTCATCGTCTCCAGTGTGCTTCTGCTTCCTGCCCTTCTGCTTCTTGTGGCTAGGAGTCTTGAACTTGCGCTCCTTGGTATCAGCAGCATCGGCATCAGCAGCATCATCGTCCTCCTTGGGAGTATCATTCTGCTTAGGAGTACCGATCTTGAAGTGAGGAGTAGAGAAGGTGGTGAACATCACACCCTCCTCGTCGTCGTCGTCGTTCTTTTGAGAGCCCTCGCCGACCTCGTAGTCATCACCATCATCGTCAACAGACTTGGATCGCTTGCTGGGGGCGATGAAGCCAGGAACGACATTATTTTTCGTTCCAGAGTTGGAGCCACCAGGTGTGAACTTGATCTTTGTGCCGGCGGCGTTCTTGTTAGGTGAGCCGAAGCCGCTGTTTCCGTTGCTGACGGGGGCGTTGTTTTGAGAAGGGCGGAGAGCGTAGTTGGCCTTGGGAGCGGCACCGGGAGGAAGAACGTAGGCTTCAGCGCCGAGGATGGCGAGAGTCAAAGCGTAAACAGCCTTCATTGTGGTGGTTTTCTTTTATATGATAGTAAAAGAGATGTAGGGAGTGTTTGAGTTGAGAGTAATGGAACGGTTTGAATGAGTGTGTGCTTTGTCTGAACGACTCAACTTGACGAGAGTATCACTTCTATCTTATAGAAAGACTTTGAACTCTAGTTGATCGTCAGAAACTTAATCTTCAATGCAGGAACGCTGATCGGGGTCGGGACCCTGCATTAAACACGCCGCAAAAGACTAGTTGAAGCCTATCAAATTCCGTAGTGACAGGAATGTTGCCTTGTTTGGTAGCACGTGTGTCGGTCTTTATGTATGTGGCTTGTCTTAGATCCCTGGAATATTGTTAGGTTGCTAAGCAATTGGCTTGTTGAGTAACTACCCGAACATCTTGTCTATTTGCAATATGTTTGTGATGTATTATGGCTTCGATAAAGTTATCGTTGGTTCCGATGCGCCGCGATGGGCAGGAGTCTAAGCCAGGTTCTTGATCTGGCTGGGCTTGGGGCTGGAATGTAGGGGTTTGAGTCATTGTGGGAGGGCCTAAATATTGTCGGACTTGTAAATCTTTAGTAACATCGTGTCGACGGAAGTGAGTCTGGATGCTTGGCACTGGGGAGGCTTTGCTGTCTGCTTTTTGTTATGAGCTGGAGGCGATACACGGGGCGGGACAAAAGCTCGGCGCCTCGCCTTCGAATGGGAATAAAACGGCTTGCAGAGTCCCCCATGGGGGGCTCGACAGGGGCATCCGTGTCTTGCGATTTTGAGCAAGCGGGAGCTGCCGGTAGTCGATCTCGATGAGCAGTGAATAACTCAGCGAGTAGTTGGACAACTTCACCTCCCAAAGTAAGATTGCCCACGCATGTTCAATGCCTCGCGACCGCCGATCTGGGCTAGATGCCTCGCTGTTAGCGCATCCATGGGGCCAAGGTGGTCAAGCATCACGATACAAGGCACAAGAGCAAACAACAAACGCCGCCGACAAGGAAATGCCAGAGGGTATCGCATTTCGGAACCACTTACCTGACAGTAATCGTCAATGGTCGTGGACGCAAGCAGCAGCCGTCTCGTCGTATGTTGCGCAGCCCGAGTTGTCAAGGACTTCATCATTCTCATCAGTCGCTTTCGCTCGAGAGCCCAAGACCCATGATGAGACCACTCACTTCAGTCTTCACTCACATTACTCGCAGATATTCCTTACGCCATTCATCTTTGACTTACGCCCGGCGAGAATATCATGATGTCCATTTAATCAACGCTTTTTTACAATGTGGAATCCAACTTCCGTACCCGCGAAGACCTCCGTCACCGTCTACAGCAAGTCATAGCCGGAGCCACCAAGAGCCTCCTCGATGGCGGAGGAGTCCTAGTAAAGTCCTCAACCGAAGCAATACAAACAGCGTAGCTACTCTCGAAATACTGTCCAGCTCATATATACCTACGATATTGATTATTGGTTTTCGAACCTGCCGGGAATATGAGATTGTCGGGGTCTGATGAGGCTCGGGATGAAGCTCACCAACTGAGGTGCGCTACGGGGGTGCGATTGACTGACAGACTCACACGCCAAGTCGGCGCAGTGGAAGTTTTGCCATATTTTTTCTGACTACCTTTTACCAGCATATAATAGCTATGCAGCATACCCCCCATCTGCGAGTTCAGTTCGTGTCATGTTGGTCGCCAGTCTCACTTACAACAGTTAATTGAATCGAACCAATTCGCGCTTAATCCATCGCCAGGATGACGTCAATCGACCTTTGCAAAATGACTACCTAATCAGAACTGAACTCACCCTCTTATCCCTAAAGAAATGCCTCTATCAAGAATGTAACACAACCAGCGCCCTCTAAATACCCTTCGGACAAACAATGTCCGAAGATCGGCGACCTGGGGATGGATTATCACGACATTTCTCCATGGTTACCCAATTACCCCGCCATCCCCCACGTTTGAAAGAGCAATATTTCGGGCTTGACCCGAGGTTATCATTAGGTAAATTATATATATCCCCAGGTTCCTCAACTCCGTCATTGATTGCCTGAATTATTGTTTGTTGTCACTGACTTATTGTTCGTTCCAGTGTTAATACGCGATTAGAGCAAACGTAGAGATGCCGCTTCCTACATCATCAATCTATGAGCCGCCTTCGGCTGGCTTCACTGGCTTCCCTTCACGAAGGAGTGTTGTTCATAGCACCGAGGGAATTGTAGCTGCGCCTCAACCTCATGCGGCGAATTGTGGTCTTGAAGTTCTGAGAGCAGGAGGAAATGCTGCTGTAAGTTTCTTCTCACAGAGACTTCATGCGATGAGTTACTAACATGGCGCAGGATGCAGCCGTTGCTGTTGGTATGTCCAGCGACAACCCAGATCAGTGCCCTTGGGCAATATACTAACGCCAACAGCCGCCGGTCTCAATGTCACAGAGCCAGTATCTACAGGTATCGGAGGCGACATGTTCCTCCTCTACTTCGACGCCGCAACAAAGACCGTCAAAAGCCTCAACGGTTCAGGCCGCTCAGGCTCAAAACAGACCCTCGAGACAATTCGCAAGAGTCTGAACATTCCAGACGGTAAGATCGGTGAAATCCCAACGCATGGCGTCCACGCTGCAACGGTTCCTGGTGCTGCGGCTGGCTGGGTCGATACCGTCGAGAGATTCGGTAGTGGAAAGGTCACGATGAGCCAGATTCTTGAACCAGCGATCAAGTTGGCTGAGAATGGACATCCTGTTACTGAGATTGCTTCTCATTCGGTAAGTATAGACACTTCGTTACTTCGAGTGGTGGGCTGATGAGCTGTAGTGGCAAGCGCAAGAGAAGCTTCTTCGCAACGCCTCTCCCAACTTTGCAGAAATGCTCAAGAAGGATCCTAACGCACCAGACGGTGTTCGCGCCCCCCGTCCCGGCGAAGTCTTTAAGAACCCAACTCTCGCCGCCACTTTCCGTGCCTTAGCTACCGAAGGCAAGAAGGGTTTCTACACAGGTCGCATCGCCGAAGAAATCGTCAAAGTTGTCCAAGACCTCGGCGGATACCTCGAACTCGACGACCTTAAGCACCACCTCGAAACAGGCACCCAAAACACAGATCCCATCTCCGTTAAGTTCCGCGGTCAAGGTCTTGAAGATAAGGGCGTCGAGCTATGGGAGCATCCTCCTAATGGACAGGGTATCGTTGCGCTTATGGCCCTGGGGATTGTTGAACAACTTGAGAAGATGGGCAAGATTCCCAGGTTCGGAGTTGAGGATCATAATTCGACGGCTTATTTGCATGCGATTATTGAGGCGTTGAGATTGGGATTCACCGACGCGAGTTGGTATGTTACTGATCCAGACACTACCAAGGTCCCGACTTCGGGCCTGATTTCGCCAGAGTATCTTGCCGAGAGGGCCAAGATTTTTGATGCGAACAAGGCGCACGATGGTGTTCAGCCTGGAAACCCCGATTTCGTATCGCCGGCTTTGCAGAGCAGCGACACAGTTTACTTCACCGTTACAGACTCAGCTGGCAACGCTGCTTCATTCATCAACTCCAACTACGCAGGTTTCGGCACAGCGATTATCCCCAAGGGTTGCGGTTTCACGCTCCAGAACCGAGGCGCCAACTTCTCCCTAGACGAGAAGCATCCCAACAAGCTCGAACCGCGCAAGAGACCTTACCACACCATCATCCCCGGCATGGCGACAAATCTCAACGACGGCTCCCTTCACTCAGCATTCGGCGTAATGGGCGGCTACAACCAACCCCAAGGAACCGTGCAAGTTCTCCTCAACCAGGTCCTCTTCGGCCTGAACCCCCAACAAGCACTAGATGCGCCGCGAATCTGCATCGGAGCTGGTATGCCAGACGAAGGAAACGTGCTAGACTGGACTGTGCATGTAGAGGAGGGTATATCTGAAAAGACTGTCGAGGAGTTGAAGGCATTAGGACATAATGTAGTTGTGCTTAAGGGATGGAAGAGGGCTATGTTTGGAAGGGGTCAGATTATTAGATATACTATTGATCCAGATGGAACGCCGGTTTGGTCGGCGGGTAGTGATCCTAGAGCAGATGGCGCAGCATATCCGCTGTAAGGTTGAAGCTGCAAGACACTGCTTTTCTGAACAAGACAACATCAAGTCACATCCACGGACTCTCGGTGTATCTGCACCTGGCCTCAAAATATTAAGCTGAAGCCAAAACGTGCTTCCAGCCACTTCCTTTGTTTCATTTGTTTAGAAGATAGTGATCTTCTTCCAATCCATCTTGTTCGTATCGTACACTCCTTGATCATCCATGAACTCAGAAAACTCCGTCACCCCCTCTGTTTTAGAAAGAATTCTTATCCAACGTCCAGTAGCAAATATTCGATATCCATGCGCATACCGACTCAAAAGAAATGGGTCGCGAGCGCCACAAAGGATCCACAGCTCTTTATCGCTTTCGACTCGAAGAGGAGTCTCTATCTCGTGATGCTGAGACCCTTCGTATTGACCTTTCAACCCCTCAGGCTGGATCGCTGTCTTAAAATTGGTCTCCACGCGCAATGCCCAGACTTGTAGGGTTGTTATTAGTGTTTCTGGGCGTTCTGGAGGTGGAAGTTGCACGAAAGAAGCGTCGAGAGAACCAGCTATAATTCTATGTTCTGCAAAATAGCCTATCGCGGGTCTCTTGGTATCCCAATGCTGTTTAGTGGGGAGGCAAATAGGGTCATGCCAATCAACTACCCAGGAAGGTAAGAGCCCTCTCTGGTCAGCTGGGCCAATATCTGGACTAAGGAGCGACAATACGGATAGACTATCCTTGAAAGTTATAATCTTCTTCGTAGTTTCTACTAGAAGCTTCCTCATGTCGTTCCCGGGAGAGTAGTCTGGCGTTATCCCATAGCCAGGGCTGGCGAGGCCAAGAACTGAGTATATTATGTCTCTTTCATCAGTTGCTCTGAATTTTTCAGTGTAGCTAAGCAGGCTTTCCAAGTCAGACGGAACAGGATCTTGTCGTTTGGCCGCCAAGAGATCGTGCGCATTGCTAGAAAAAAAGTACAATGGATTGATTTGCGCAAGTTGAATCCGTGAAAGATATGGTTTGAGCTCATCCTTAGAATATTCATTAGCTATGGTAAGTCTCAAACAAGTTTCAGTTATTATTTCGTCGAAATAATGGTGAGGCATAGCATACTTTCCATAAAGAAAGGTTGCGTGCGTCGACACCATGAACTCTTGGAAAACCCATGCTCTTCTCCACCACGGGCTAGCTAGAATATCGCAGAACCGAGCCAGACCTTTTTGGAACTGCTCAGTTTCGAGCTCTTTGGTGAAAATGTCAGCTCCTTCCTCGGTTATCATCTGCGCGGCTCTAACACTTGGCTTTGTGAGCCATCTCATCCCATCTCCGTTCGTCTCCGAAGTAGAAAGACAAATGAGAGTACGTTTCGCATCCTTATAGATGTCCCTCATGAATCCAACTTGATGGGATCTTTCGGCTACATCAAACTGGTTGATGCATATTTGATCCACCCACAGCAGAAACTCTGGTAGCTCTGCATGTGACTCCCAATAGTGGCGAGCGCATGCCAAGGCATGTTGCAAGTTGGCAAACACATTCGAATTGACACCATTGACTTTGATGGGCTTGGTATTCTTTGCGCTGCCTGCGCAGTATGATAAGGCGAGGTACTTGTTGTGGACGGTGGCAAGCGACACAGCTGGTAGAAGTTCACATTCGACGAAGCCTGATCCTGAGTCGGGTAGGATCTTGAGGAGACGGATCTCGTGGTCGGTTTTACTGAGGCTCTGGTATGGGACTTTGGACACGAAGTCGCTGTTTTCCGGGGTACAGAATATATCGTGCCCTGGGGGCTTGCTCGCCGCGCTGTTGGTCGATGCAACTGGGGCGCTCATGGTCGACGGTATTGCAGCTAGATGCTGAAATGAACAAGGTTGTTGAGGGCAAATTTCATGGATCGTGGATGATGCTTATCGTATGAGAAAGAGAACGAGATTATGCTACGGTTGGGGATTTAAAAGTGATGTCTGGGTGAGAACGCCTTGTGAGGCGATGCAGTGATGCCTGACGTTTTGTGATTGGACTTGTGGTACGTGACTGCCTTATTTGCTAAAAGGCGACAGCAGTCAGCCTACGTCTTCAGACGCCTAACTGACGGGGCTTCTTTTTCAGCCTTTTACAAAGATTGCATAGAAACAGCGTCGGACATGAATGTGGAAAGGTCTGAAGATGCGTCGCGCAGGTTCAATTAGGCCTTGGCTGAGCATGCTCGAGTGAATAGGATGTTGGTATTGACATGCAATGACGAGACAATACCCAAGGCATTTCCCATGGCGTTTCCCCTGACCGACCCTTAGGTAATGTGTTGACGGTACTTGACCGATTTACCCGCTATGCTACAAGAAACAAAACTCGAAATGAACTCATCCAACTTTTGTTAACAATCGTAAACCTTGCTTCGCATCAGACACCACCACGTCTCTCTCGCCACTTCTGCAACCAATCACTACTTTCAGAATTTTCCTTCGCAAGCTGCATTTTCTTTCTGTATTCCTCCGCAGCTTCTGCCTCATCATGAACCCGAATCGCCTTCCTCGCCTCTTCCTCCGCCAAATTCTGCGCCTCAACAGCCTTGCGCACATCAGCCTCAATGGCTATGCGCTTTTGGTCCGTGAATTCTAGAAGATCACTCGCCTTTCTTTTCAGCTCTTGTTTGCCCTGCAACTCTTTCCTAGTAGGCGCTGCAGATTCATCGAACTTGGCTACCATGATGTTCATCATATCCTCAGCGCTTAAGAACACGCCTTTGGGGACCGGCGGCATCTTGGCTAGATAGTCATTGGTGGCCTTTTCGTGCTTTGCTACCTGGCCTTTGAGGGTCTCGTATTCTCGGGAGACATTGTCATGGTCCTCTTCATACTCCTCAAACTGCTGTTGAACGCGAGCCGACGCTTCGTTCTTTTCACGGAGCGCTTTCTGTGTAGTCTCAAGATCGACGATTGTCCTCTCACTCGCTTCTTTCAGCGCGGTCAGAGATGGATATGAGTTCGCGAGGCCGATCACCTGGTCATACTTAAGAGGGCTACCAGACTCCGTCCGGCGCCGTTTCAAATTGGGCTCCATGGATCGATCGGTATTTGGCGGAGTCATCTTCCCGGCCAAGTCCACAGCAATTTTTCGCGTGGTGGCCGACGGGGTATGAGCTCTTGTCCCAAAGACATCCTCCCTGTAATCAAGAATTGAGGCAGAGTTCTTTCTGGGCGTGTGAGGGACCTTGGGGGAAGTGAGGGAAGAGCGTTGCCCAACCTTGTCATCGCGCGACGGAGGCCGGACCAAGTCTTGACGTGGTAGGTTAGGTCTTCGTTTGTCCTCCAGGATGCCTCTGATGTATTCTACGGGTTCTTCGTCCCATGCTAGGTTTGTGTGTCCAAACTGGACAAACGCTCGCGCTGCCATGATGATAAAAAGACCGCTAATCTCACTAGTCCTATGCTGAGGGCCAGTCTTGTACTGTTAGCAAGCGAAATACCAGAATGGATGGCAACTTACAGCATTTTCAAACTGAAATTTAGTGTTGTCCCCGCGATGGCCATACGCCCATTTCTTGATTTTGTCCTTGACACCCGCGGCACGAGAATCATTCGGTTTGGGGTCATAATGCTGTACCCTGACAGTTGATTGTTTAATATGAGTCTCACAGTTCACGAACACAAGAGACCAATGTCCCTGGTCCGCTCTGTGAAGTACAGGCGCAATGAATCTGTTTGGGGCGTTCCTAGCTTCGTAATTGGGGTAGCGCAAATCCAGCCAGCTAGACGATAGGATATCTGTGCCTTCGAAAGTTGCTGTGAACTCGCTGAGAATATGATCAACGCTTTTCGGGGATAGTTTTCCTTTCTTGGCGATTTCCTGCAGGCATGCGGTCTTCGTAGCCTCATCAACAGGTGAGCGGGCCTTGATAGTACCCCCGTTGGTCAAACAAGATTTCAAAGGTATAGACATGTTTTCTGATGTCGATGGTTTGAGGATACTGGTTGCTGAACCCATTTCCGCCATGGCCAGAGAATACCTAGGCCTATATCTATACTGTGAATTTCTGATTGCTTGGAAGATTCTATTACTTTATGTATGTCGAGGTGCGTAACCGGCGGTAAGTTTGTCGAACAAAGAGCATAAAGGTTGGTTACACTAGCGACAAGGTATTAGAAGAAGTGGCTGCTGAGAGCACAAAGGACGAAATAATTTAGTCACCTTATATCAGCTTGAACTAGCACCGAGGCTACTTTATTTTAGCGTCTTAAGCCTTAGAGGATGATTCTATGACGCCTGTCGCAGGTATAGTGATAATGATAATTGGACGGGCATCAAGTAGGCTTGATAGTTACATAGATCGGTGTGCGGCTGGACTGTTGATTGAAGAGGCCTGGTCCTGTTTTGTGACGCCACACTTCTAACAGAAAGAAAAGCAGTTGTAAGATATGTAATACCAAACAGCCTGAAGAAACATTTATGTGGTTGTTAGATAAAGTGATTGGCGGATAGATAAATACGTGGGGTATTGGGCCGTTCGTTTCCGCCCAAGACGGAAGCACCCTGTTGAAGTGGCATTTCTTGTGCTACCCAGATCTTTCAACAACCTTGCTAGTGTGAAGACATTCTTCTCTGTTTCTTTCAAAGAGAGCTGAAGAATAAGCCTTAAGTTTCTATAATAGAGTAGCCTGAGTGCTAGTCTAAGCTACCTAACATAAAGTGACTAAATTGTTTCATCATTTATATTTTTGGTGCTAATACCCTGAGACTTCATTCTTTCTGGGTGAGGTCCTCGATTATAGAGTCTCAGCCCGCTGGAGAAGCGAACGGATGTAGAGACCCTGTCACACCGCAAGATAGGCAAATGGGTGCGTTGTAGCGGGGGATCTTCCCACCACGTGCACGCGTACCTGGATTTGCAACGTGGCTTGCATACCCTGGTCTCCTCTCATGAGTCACTATCCTATTGATATCACTTTCGTTTGAAACATTCTTGCTTGGCATTTGTTGCTAAGCGTGCTGCTAGAGGGAAGGGAATAGGGAAAATGATAACAGTCCGGAGGGGAATTTCCGATAGAATGGGAAAGATACTGGTTATCCTTGCAGCGATCTGGATGTTGGTTGGAAAAGCCCCGCTATGCATAGTGAAATGTCAGTCCATGATCCTTGTTTGATAGTCATGGGGATAGTAGACGGGAGAGTGCATAGTGGCTGAGTGGGTATGTTTCATGGCTAGACAAAATATACGGCTGGGGATAAAAGAGGTTCCTCTCAGTGAATGAGATGCTTGTAAAGCCATATAATAGGTCGTTGGTGAGGGGAGACAGGTAACTCTGAACGGCAAGGCAACTTGCAGGTACTAACTAATAGGTTACCTATCAGTATCTTTACTGGGATAACAAGCATGGTTGTCTTGAGTCTATGCTTTTCTCTAGCTGTGCCTACTGCATCATGGGATGTTGTTGAGACAAGAGAAAACATGGCGAAGTGGGTTTCTTCCCATGGGTATCTGCAGCCACTTAGTAGCCGACATCGATACGCGCATACAAACCCATGAAAAGCCCACCTAACAGTCGCTAAACGATGGCCTGAACATGGTTCTCAACAGTTCCATCAAATTCGATTAGATGTCAACAACACAGCAAACGTAAATATGATGTTTCTTTGCCATAGCAAGCCACGTAGAGCAGAACTGCATGAACAACAAAGCCTCCGAAAATGAGGCTCAGATAGTCGTTCGTGAAAGTAAATACGGTGTAGAAAAGTCCCTGCATTGAGGGAATACGTTCGTGGCAGTCTTAGCATTCGCAGTCTAACCACTCGGCTGTCGACCCGTCAAGCTAAGAAGGTGTTCTGATGTTAGTATCGACGGGAAGCGGATATCATCTAGCTAGCGTTGTCTTGGTTGGAACAATCAGACGATCCTAGACCGCTGCTGGCATCAACAAACAAACTGGTGAAGAATTGGCTGAGCCTTCAAACAGTTGGTAGGTTGTTTGGTAGACGGATAATTGTATCAAAAACGGCAATGATACCCCGCCGTTACAGTACCTGACAGCCTAAAAAGTGACACAGCGGAGAAATGACGTCGGGTCGTCGGCCGTTACATCGAATGTCTGAGTCTGACAGGTACTACCGCAACGCCTCACTGCCTATCACCTCTAAGACAACAACAACCAGTAGATGCTCTGTCTATCACCAACAACTCAATATCGCCTCAAACAAATCATACCAAGATTAGTATTCGTTGTCAACGTGAACGATGAACAACTCACGAACCCAAAACACGCTAAGAAAAACCACCTCAGAGGGCACTAACGCATTTAGCCTCGCTTAACAATCAATCTCCGCAACCACTGCAACAAGGATGCCCGAAAGTCCGCTAAAGTCTTGATTATTAAGATGGAAATCTGATCTATGATGCTGGAAGTCGCGGTGAAACACACCGGTTCATCCGAGTGATATACTTCTTCCTTCCCTCCTCCCCTTCCTCCTCTTCGTTATCTTTTGGCCCATCATCATTTATCATCTTCTGGATCAGAGTCATCATGGCTCCTCCAAAGAATAACGGCGCTCCTCGTCGTCCCTCCCATCTCCTTCACCACGGCTCCTCCTCAGACCAACGTCTCGGCCATCTAATCGCCTACGGCACCCTCCCACCCACGCACATCGACCCCGAACCCATCCCCCAAGATGCCACTCCAGAGCCTTCAAAACCTACGCAACCGAGCTCCCGCGCTCTACCTCCCGATCTGCTCCGCGGTCTTCTCATGCTGCTCATGGCGATGGACCACATGGGTCTTGCACTAAACACATGGTCCCACGGCACCGGTCGCGAAACAGAAGGGGATGGTGTTCCGATTAAGGAGTGGAATAGAACGGCTGCGTATGTCGTTAGGACGCTTACACATCTTTGCGCGCCTGGTTTTACGCTGTTGCTTGGTGTCGGTGTTGTGTATCTTGGACGATCGAGGTCGAAGTTGGGGTGGTCCAAGTTGAGAATTGCGCAGTACTTTGCTGTGCGCACAGCGGTCCTGATCTTGGTCAACTTTGTTATGGGATTTGTTATGACACTGGGCAAGACATGGCTCATGAACGCCGTGCTCTTCTCTCTTGCGATCGATTACTTCCTGGCCGGTTTGCTCTGGCTGGCAATCGATTCCACCGAACCTCTTCTCGCGAAGGCCATTTCTCGATACTTCCCCGAGGAAGAATCCGATGAAGAGACCGAAGCACTCCTCGAGAGCGGAACTACCAACAAGATAACCCGCGCGGCGCGTATCTCATGGCATGCGCACAATGCTCTTCTCGTGGTGCTAGCTCTGGTGACCATTTGGTGGAATATCTGGCTGTCACCTACCCACGGCCACTGCGATATCAACTCAGCCGCTGGAAACGACGGACAAGGACCTACCGACAGTCCGGCTGTATCTCACAACCCTTGGTTCGGACTCTGGTTCTGGACCACCCTCACACCACGCGTCATGTCCGTCTTTCCTCCCATGGCCTGGGTATCCTTCGCGATCCTCGGATTGTTATACGGCCGCATCGACGTCGCGCGCACCTGGAACGCCAAGATCTCATCGCTGTGCAATTTGGCAGCTGGTCTATTCTTCTTCCTCTTCTTCGTCCTCACGCGCGTCGCACACTTTGGCAATCTCTCCGAAGGATGTCTTCAAACACCCGAGCACATCGCTCACCCCGACCGCAACCAATATCTCGTCTCAGCCAAGTCCTTCTTCTACATCATGAAGTACCCCCCGGACGTCGCATTCTGGGCCTTCACCATGGCTGGCAATCTTGTTCTTCTCGCCATTTTTGGTGGTATCCCTACACATATTGCCAAGCGCTTCACCATGTTGATCGACTTTGGTCGTGCGGCGCTGTTTTTCTACATCGTGCACATGTTTTTCGTGTTTGGCTTTGGAGCGCTGTGGGTGTGGGCGTTTGGCCACGATACTGGACGAAAGCAACCCATGAACCCTGGCTCTACGCGCGGTATCGACAATGTTTTCGCATACCTTGCCATTTGGGGTTTGGCGATGGTGTTGTTGTGGCCTGTTGTTAGATGGTATGCCCGATTCAAGGCTACCAAGACTGCTGATTCTATCTGGCGTTTCTTTTAAGCATTGTTTTTTAGCATTGGATGTTATTTGTGGTTAGATAATAGAATGTAAATGAATAAACGAAGACAAATCACCACATAAACAAGATTATCACGCAAGCTCATTGTTTGTCTTACTCAACTATCCCTTACGTGAGATAAAACCGCCATCAATAATCTTACTTGCCGTCTGCCCTTCTACTGGACGCCTCGTCAAAAATTGCCTTTGACCGTGTCACCTACAAACGCTGGCGCAAACGGAAATAAGCTCCCCACCAAAAGAGGGGTCACAGCTCAGCTCTTCCAGAAGACCAAAGCTCCGGGATCCGGCAATTCGGGCTTACGATGACGATGGCCAGTCACTGTCATCGCTTTCAAAATCAGCACAAGCCAGCCAATCTGTCGCTTTTGGAGCTTGCGTGGGGTCAGAAGAAAAAGACGAGATGATAATCCCCGGGTTCCGTCTATACCCTGGCAGGGGTCACAGACATCCCCAACCAAAGTAAGGATACCAAAGTCATTGCAGTGACTCAATTGATCCGATAACCACGGCAATTGTAATAATGACTGTACGGACCTGCTCGGAAATGTCTCGTCAACTGCCGGCGATCACGGCTACGTACGGGCCGTCGTCCGAAATCGTCGTCGTTATCATATCGCCAATCCAATCAGTTTGAAGTTAAAGTTAATAATTAGTGACTCAAAAAAACCAAGGCAGGGCGAGCAACAAAAAAAAGAAAAGCTTCAAAGCTCAACAAATTGACTCGCCAATCTCAACCTTTCGGTATCTTTCTCCGTTCGCTTCTCTTCTTTGTATCACCCACCCCAACAGTGCTACCAAGCTCCTACTGCAGGTAGCTGCATCATTTGTCACATCGCTTTATCGTATCATCCGGGGAGCTACCACGCTTTCCAGTGGATAAAATCCGCCGCTATAATGTTTTCCTCTCGGCTCGCTTCCTTTTCTCTCCGCTCTTCGGCCTCTTCTTCTTCTAGCTCCTCCATCGCTTCAACTTTCTCTCGTCGCTTTTTTGTCCCTGCTGCAACGCGCTTCCATTCATCTTGCTCGTCTTCCTCATCAACCCCTCCACCAAACACCAACTCGTCAAGCTCGTCAAAACCTACGTGGCGCAACATGGCTGAACAAGACATCACAAAGTACCTCCAGCAGTCCCACGACCGGCTGTTCGTCAACAACCGCGAGTGGGCAGAGAACAAAGCCAAAGTCAACCCCGACTTCTTCAAGAACCTCGCCGCCGGCCAGGCCCCCGAGTACCTCTGGATCGGCTGCGCAGACTCTCGCATCCCCGCCGAGCAGATCTGCGGCCTCGAGCCCGGCGAGGCATTTATCCACCGCAACATCGCCAACCTGGTCTGCAACACCGACCTCAACGCCATGGGCGTCATCAACTACGCCGTCAAGCACCTAGGCGTCAAGCACATCATCGTCTGCGGCCACTACGGATGCGGCGGTGTCAAGGCTGCCATGACGCCCCAGGACCTTGGTCTTCTGAACCCTTGGCTGCGAAATATTCGTGACGTTTACCGTCTTCATGAGAAGGAGCTTGATGCGATTGCGGACGAGAGCGAGCGATACGATAGACTGGTTGAGCTGAATGTTATTGAGCAGTGTCGCAATGTCATCAAGTCTGCTGATGTTCAGCAGTCGTGGCATGAGAACAAGTACCCCATTGTTCACGGATGGGTGTTTGGGTTCAAGGATGGTCTGCTCAAGGATCTTAAGATTGACTTTGAGGCGGTTCTGGGTGATATCCAAAAGATTTACAACCTTGTTGACAAGAAATAATTGGGAGGAATAGCGTTGATAGAGAATTACATACTGTTTGATCTGTACCTCAGTATGCTTGGTGACTGAAGCCATGACAAGATGAAGACACAAACAGAGGGACGTCCACCTTTTAAAGATGACAGTAGCGTCTACAAGTTCATGATATGCAGGGATGATTTGCCTTCAGCCCTACAAGTAACTGTAACAGGGACCACGCCTTGGCTCGACCGCCCCCAGATCACGGTCTGGGCCTTCAAGGTGTCGATGATGATGTTAGCGGGTGAACCACAATAGCACGATTTGCGCACAGATTTGGACAGAGAAAGTCCCATGCCATTCCTGTATGCTATTACAAAGCATATTAAATTAATATTGTCTTTAATCGGTCTTGATTGCGCCTTCAGAGAGCAAAATCGTCTCAGTAAGATCAATCTCACGTGACTACCCTTTCAAGGTTCATCTCCACACATCGTACGATTTTCCACATGGCCCTGGACATCACATCGCGTACCTTGCAGACTTCCAGAACGACGGATATTTATTCTGAGTTCCGAATTCGAGATTGGCGAATACCGTGTGGAGGTTAGTGGCCGGAAGAGGAAGGTTATTTGTGTTAAGTTTTGGTGATGAGGAATGAGCTTGTTTCATCGTGGCTTGAACTGTGCGATTGAACCCATTGAAGCGAATCACATTAACCACCCAAAAAGATAGACGCTCTCACGCGATCGTTTGTATCGCAATGCTGGATAGGACCGAAGATCTGCTGCATAATGCTACCAATGGTATAACACAAATAAGTTTAATTTGGATTGAGCGCTGCCATGCCGCTGTGACATCGGGGACTGAAAGACCCTGATGGCTCTCGGCCTGAGAAGGTACCTGCTACTGTGCGTTCCATGCACCGACATCCATGGTAGAGTAGCCTACCGGTTCATAGTAACCAATCAATAGCTTCAGAAACTGTGAATTTGATTAATAAAGTTAGGCTATTAGACTGCAAGAGTCTACTTGTAGTACACATCCTCGTACACAAACTGCTTGCTGTCGGCGTCATCCGTTTAACTAGGCTAGTCGCGTTTGTACATTCGATGATGCCTCGAAAGCATGTCACTATTGAAAAGAAGATTGTTTGATCACTTTAGAACCTTGTGTTTCACACGGATTTTAAACGAGGTGGATGCCTATTTGGCTCAGCCCGTGGCTGCGAAACATGTCGGTGTTTGATCATGAACTTCTTCGCTGCTTGTTTGTGATTGAGTACCCGACGAGTGCAACACACCCGAAGCCACCGACTACAACCGCAGATTTAAACGCTCACAAACAAGCATAACACACGAAAGCTAATCGAAGCATTTGTGATAGTAATTTTGAAAACATCTAATTCAAGCTTTCAAATAATATGGAGGCAACAGGAACCTTTTCTGCAGCAAGCACCCGTTCGTCCAGAAATTACCCTACAGACACAAACGTCGTAACGCGCATCTTTCAACGCCCCTGTTGGGCTCTTATCGTCGCATCTCTCCTCCGAATGTTTTCCAAACCAATCTTCCCCTCTCAAGCTTTCTCCTACCGCCCTTCTTCCTACCCTCCCTCCGTCTTCCGCTCCCGCTGTCGCAACTCAACATCGCTTCTGATCTCCCTACACGCGCTATACATGAGCGCTAATTACACACTCCCCTCCAACAACAAATCATCACGTGAAGTGACCCGGTCTGGTGGTCTAGTGGTATGATTCTCGCTTAGGGAAAACCCTATAGCATAGCTTGCGAGAGGTCCCGGGTTCAATCCCCGGCCAGACCCTTTCTTTTGCCAATCGTGACAATTGGCAGGCACTTTGCTTTTTGTCTGGTTTGGAAGATCCTCTGTTGTGATGTGTGATGGTGTTTTTCGTCTAAACTTTGATTGCAGTTTATCGAGGAACTTTCATCCTTAACCGTGATTTCTTTCTTTTGCTCGCCTCATTGCATGCATATCTCTCCATTTGCCAAAAGTGGAGCCCAACACGCGCCTCCGAGGCGCGTTGCAGCCCTGGCTAATAAAAAAATTACAAGCCCGGGCAGCATATCATCGGTTCTATTAAGCCAAACCTGCTTGTAGCCAACCCAAGATGCAAACGTAAAAGTAAACAACACATCCGTAAAGTAAAAAAACATCGGCACCCAACCTAACACCTCCCCTCTTTTTTTTTTGCTCGTTCTATCAATCGTTTATCACACTAGCTGCAGTTAGTGGAGAACCAGTTCAGTTTCTTTGTGTTTGTCGTCGCCATGAACTTGTTCAACTTCCTTTCGTCACCGCTTAAGAAGCAGCAGCCCGAATCTCCCTCGATAATGGCTTCCTCGCAACCAGCCTTCTCCCCAAGGGATCGAAGAGCTAATAAACGCGCTTCTAACCAGTTTTCTGAATCTGGAAGTCGCCGCTCCTCTGTGAGTAATTGCCTTGAAGCGCAAACTTGCTTCGCGCCTGCCTTGTGGTAGTCTAAAGAGAGAGTAAATAACTGACCTTTCCTAATAGCGTTCGCGACGAAGCGACGTTTCAACAACATCGATAATCGATTCGACTACAATCATTTCATCGACAATGCCTCCGCCTCCCAAAAATCCCAAGCGCAGTTCTATGGGGAATACACATTCATCACCCGCTGCAAGAATTACCGCGGCCAGTCAACGCGCCGTCGTTTCCTCTCCTCAAGCTCGAGTCCGATCGTCGCCTAGAAATCGAGGATCTCCCGAGCTTGGCGAGACCTCTAGCGGACGCAACAGCAGCCTGAATTCCCCTGCTGCACTCCCCGAGTCTCCTGCTATGTCTGCCACTGAGACACCCGCCAGTGCCACCAGCTCTGTGTCGAGATCTCGACAACCCAGAAAGAATTTCCGCCTTAACCCCCATTTCCATAGTACGGTGGCCGCGCGAGAGAACCGAGAGCAGCCTGCTAGCTTTATGGCGGTGAACAGTCCTCCGGCGCCCTCCCCAGCGTCCTCTACAAGAGATACTCTTCCCTTTCCTCCCCGAACTCAAACGCGACGCAGCTTGACGCAAGCTTCGCCAAAGGTGCAAGAAGTTGCGCAAAACGAGTCTGAACAGGAAGAAGCCGATGATGACGACTCAGAGCATGAATTCAAGCGCATCATGGATCATCGCTGGTCAGACGGCAGGTTTGAACTCCGCATTGAATGGAGCGACGGCGAGCGCACATGGACCGATGAGGAAATCTTCCACGAGGACTGCCCCGAAGCACTTTTCGAATACTGGCGCAGCCAGCCAAACGGTCGACCTACCAACCCCGACGACGAAGGTGTCTACCAAGTCTTTGCCATCCGAAAGCACCGAAATCATAGGGGCAAGAAGCAGGTGCTTGTCGAATGGCTGGGCTACGAAGCATCTGAACAAACCTGGGAGAACCAGGACTACATTGAATCAGTTGCTAAGGAGCATGTTGACGATTACATGAAAAAGCTCAAGGGCAAAGGAAGACCTTCCAAGGGCAAAGCCAAGACTTCCCCGAAGCCAAAGCTCAACAAGAAGGGCACCGCGAAGCCTGTGCGTAACGGTCAAGTGCCAACCAAGGCTGCGGTGAAATCAGCAACACCTGCGGACAAGGCTCGAGGCAAATCTCGAGTCACAAAGCGCCATGTATAGGGGGTACCGTTCTTTGCAAACAGACCGTTGGGAGATAAATGGCACAAGAATTGACATGGCATGTTGGGGTTAAAGGATATTACCATGCCGCGCAGAGCGCTGGCTTGCTTTTGAGAAAAGAACATAGCTATGACTGGACGATTTTTGCTTGTAGTTTTAATAAATGGAGTATGCGATTCGCATAACTATTCGCTTCAAACAGGAACACTGATTGTGAGTGTGAACTGCTCGTAGATGCCAAAGTAAGATCTGACTTTCCCATGTAAGAACTGAGTAATTGAGGCCCGACTGTCTTAACTATAATACTTTATGAGAGTGACTTTATCTCCTTAAATGACCGATTTGAGTAACTATTGTACTCGATTGATACAACTTGATCTGTTGCTCACTGCAGAATTTGGGTCATTCATGATGACGGAATCGGACTTTTGTTGCTGACTGGGATCGGACTTCATTCAACTGGGGCTGACTGAATCCAGAACCTCCATATAACCATCTCTCTCACTCTCAATCATTCCTCCTCATTCACATCCCATTACCATTGCAAAAATGGCTTCCTCACCAACACTGTCTAATCGCATCCCCCCAATCCTCATTCTCTCAATCCTCACAATCTTCGGCCTCGACGCGCTCCTTCTGCAACTCAACCGTAATGGCTACACAGACATGCTCTCCAGCATAACCCGCGATCCCCTCCCTCGCTTCTTGCCCGATACAGATAGACTACTCCTCAAGCAATACACTGGCTTTAAACCGCTGGATGATTTCTTTGCTATGAGTAATGTTATCTGGGCGAATGTCACCGATGGGTCTAGGCCCGAATTGTCGCTTTTTACGTTTTGCTTTGGTGGACAGCTTATTGCTACGTTTATGGTGTTTATCATTGAAGGGTCGAGAACGGTTGGTTTGGCGCCTGTTGTACTAAAGTAAGTTGAGTTCATTCTTGAGAATTGAGAATTATGCTAATGATTGTAGTGGTGCCGTTTGGTTATGGCTTGTGCAGTCGTTGGGCTTCGGCTTCGTCGCACCGCTATACTACGCCGTCCATCTCTTCTGGACATCCAAAGCATCTTGGGCAGAAAACGTCCATGTGAGAGATTATCTCAGTCTTCACACTGTCGTCCCGTCAATTCTGCTAGGCTACATCGTACCTGTCATTTTCATGGTGTATCCTTTCTCCAACTACAATGTTAGACAGTGGTCTAATGCTGTTTGGTCCATGGCTCCGTTCTACATTTTCGCTCTGCAGATTGTTTTCACGGGTCTGCTTAAGAGATTGAGTGTTGGACAGGATGCGAATAAACCCAAGGTTGTCCTTGATAAAGCTGCTCTGCGTCACGCTTACAGCTTTGCGTGGAATATTGCGGTCGTGAGCCAGATAACCACATACGTCGTCCTCCTCACATCATCATTCCTCCCCAAGAACCTCGCATCAGCACTCACAGCGTCCAAAGTCTTTGTGCCTGATGCAGCACCGCATTCCTACACACCCATGTCCAGCGCCGCAGCAGCAATCCACAATTTCCTCATCTACGATTTCGCGACGGGTTCGCTGGCGGGACTTGTTTGGGGCGTGCATCAGCTTTTGGAGGTGAAGCCCGAGTTGAAGGTTGGTGAGGAGAGGATGGGGCTTGTTAGGGGTGTTGTTAGGAGTTTGTTGCTTTCGGGACCGGGTGGTGCGCTTGTTGCGGTTATGCAGCATCGGGATGAGAGTGTGCTTAGTGCTGAGGCTAAAGCTGGGAAGATGCAGTGATTGCAGACAAAGACTGAATCTACGAACAATTGATGGGTCATGGGATAGTGATATAGCATACTGTAGATTGTCTATCTAGGCTTTCTCTTCTCTGTTCTCACCTAGTGGGATATCCATTCCGTGACGTCCACTGTATCCCGACACTTCAGCTGGCTTCCACCCGCTCTTCTGCAACAAAGTCTCATCTTTGAGACGATACACTTCTACCTTGAGAGGACGACAACACTTGATCATCTCCTCTTCACTATCCTCTCCAAAGCCCCAAAGCGAAAGATCACCACCAGGACAAGTGCCTGTACCACATTAGCATCTCAAGACAGCCCAAATTATGACTGGAATACTCACTCAACGCCATCAAAAGATCCTGCTCAGCAAGAAACTCAATATGATCCCCCTTCTCCGCCGGACAAGGATTCATAAAATACCTCCCCTCCTCATCCAACCCCGTGACCTGAAAAATATTAATAACATCATGAACATCCTGCTCAATCAATCCAAACGGCAACACCGCACGCGTCAAGTTAGAATGGCACTGGAAATTATACTGTCCCCCACTGAGAACAGTGTTGATGTACGGATCGCAGCGTGTACCCAGCAAATCATGTACTCGTCCGCCATGCTCGTCCTCGCCGTACCAGTCTAGACTGTCGGTGATGATGGTGGCTAGGGGACGCATGTAGGGAAGGTTGGACCAGAGACGGTCATAAGTCGAAACGTGGGAGGCGTGGAGTTGCTTTGTGCGGCTTGCCCAGAAGCGTTCGCGGGGATTGTGGGCGTTCCAGATGTTCAAGTCGCCTGTTGGTGTAAGTGACTCTCTTCCCATCTCATCTCATCGCCCTCAATCTTACCAACTTGCGGTCCCTCCGGCGTACTGATCTTCACAATCGAACCAGCAGGTGCCTTCCATGCTTTCCCAGACCGAATAGGCAGCGTAAACTCCTCGATAAGCTCACGCTCAGCATCGCGGATGGATGAGTAGAGGTTCTTATCAACAGTAAGCACTGAGCCTGGAGCCGGAAGATAAGCCGGGGTAGGCTTCTTGATCGGCTTTCTGTTCTTTAAACGTTCAGTTCCGTTGGACGACATTTCGAGTTTATCCTTAGTTGTTAAGTCAAGAATTGAATTGAGAGACTTTTACTCTTGTCGCGGATTATGTAGGTGGAGTATCAGTCATATGCTGCAGCTGAAGGACGCTACGGCTGTAGGTTCGGCTACGGGATTATCCAATCTTTGTAGATCTTGAAGTTCGGGTGGAAATTGAGATTATTGGTGCATACGCGATGATAATTGTGTACTCTGTATCTATACGCGGCTGGGAACGCGGGATTGCGATTTTGCGCATGCGATCATTAGAAATGCGACTTCGGCGGTCGGATTACACTCGGCTTCGGGGAAGACTCATTGAGCATACCACTTTCAGCACTTGTTCTTCCACTGAGGCAATGTTTACAATTGACAACCAGGGAATAATCGGTCCACTGATCGCGATCTCTATCTGATATCCTGGCTTGCGACGCGACGAGATTATGTCCTTCTAGAATAGCGTCATTCCACAACCTTCTAAGCACATTTATAGCGGTATCGGCAGCTCAATTGAGAGGCTGAAACTCTACAGTGCTCCCACTCCTTCCGCAACACTTTATCCGTCCAATTGACTCAACAATGCCTGTAAATAAAATAGATTAATCTTTCAATCTCATGTTTTAATGACTCCACGCCGGTGACACCGTTGACATCTCGTGCTGGTCAGATCATCGTTGTCTGACGTCTCATACGTCACGTGGCACACAGTCTTTAAAAACCCTTCTGTTCTGCCCCTCATTGCCCCCCCATCCACCCCGCCAATGACTCTGCCCTGCTTTTAGCTCTTCAATCACCTTACATACCGAAAAAAACAACAGCAATCATGTCCGAACAAGAAGCTCAAGCAGCTCAAGCAGCTCAAGCAGCCGCCCCCGAGGCAACCCAAGCACCCGCAGAGGGCCAAGCTCCCCAAGAAGGTGAAGCCGGCCCTTCCAAGAAGGCCCTCAAGAAGGCCGAGGCCAAGGCAAAGAAGGAAGCCCTCAAGGCCCAGCGCGCCGCTGAACTCGCCGCCCAACAAGCCGCCGCAAAGCTGAGCCTCGCCGACGATCCCGCCAAGGACAGCTACGGAAACAAGCAGGTCACCAGCGCTGCTTTCAGCAAGGATGCCGAGGAGGTCGAGATCCGAAACCTTGACGAGTCGTACAATGGAAAGACCGTCATCGTCCGCGCTTGGCTCCAGAACTCGCGTGTTCAGAGTGCCAAGATGGGCTTTATCGAGCTGCGAAAGGGTGGAAACTGGGATATTCAGGGTGTGATCATGGCTTCTGAGCAGGAGCCTGTTGTCAGCAAGCCCATGGTCAAGTGGATCACCAGCATCAGCCCTGAGAGTTTCGTTGCTGTTGAGGCCAAGGTTAAGCAGCCTCTTGAGCCTGTCAAGAGCTGCCGTGTTTCCACTCTTGAGCTTCACATTACCAAGTGCTACGTTCTTGCTCCCGCTCCTGCTGTGCTGGGTATGACTCTTGAGGCTGCCAGCCAGCCCATTGTCAACTTCAGCGATGAGAGCAAGGCTGGTGAGGAGGCTGAGAAGGAGAAGGCTGAGAACACTTCTACTGTTCCCTCTGCTAGCATGTTGACCCATCTCGACAACATTGCCATGCACAAGCGAACTCCTGTCCAGCAGGCTATTGCTGTAAGCCAAACCAACCCAGAAACTGCCAATTGACCCTTACTAACGCATTTTCTAGGACATCCGTATCGAAGTCAAGCGCCTTTTCCGCAACTACCTCGAGCCCCGCCACTTCAAGGAATTCGAGCCTCCCTGCCTCATCGGTGCCGCCTCCGAGGGTGGTGGTAACGTCTTCCGACTGCCCTACTTCGGAGAGGAGGCTTTCCTCGCCCAATCGCCCCAGTTCTACAAGCAGTTCGAGATTGCCGGTGGTCGCGAGCGTGTTTTCAGCTCTGGTCCCGTTTTCCGTGCTGAGAACTCCAACACTCCTAGACATATGACTGAGTTCACTGGTCTTGATCTGGAGATGGAGATCAAGGATTCTTACCTTGAGGTTCTTGATGTTCTTGAGGGTGTCCTTCTGTCCATTCTCCGTGGTATTCACGGTAAGTAAACCCACATGATCAGCATGCGACATCACAGGATCTTTGAACAACAGCTAATGACTTCACAGAGCGCTGCGCTACCGAGATCGAGACCGTCCGATCCGCTTACGCCTCCGAGCCCCTCCTCCTCCCCGAGCCCGGCAAGGAAGTCCGCCTGTCCTTCGCCGAAGCCCAAAAGCTCCTCCGCGAAGAAGGCCCCGCCGAATTCGCCAACGTCCGCGACGACGAAGACATGAGTACACCCCAAGAGAAGGCCCTGGGTGAAGTCGTCCGCAAGAAGTACAACACCGACTTCTACGTCATCGACAAGTTCCCCGAGACGGCCCGTCCCTTCTACGCCAAGCTCGACGACGACATCAACAACACAGTCGGCGACGGCGTCCGCGTGACAAACGCCTTCGATATGTTCATCCGTGGCCAGGAGGTTCTCTCTGGTGGTCAGCGTATCCACAACCCTGATGAGCTTGAGGAGCGTATCAAGGCCAAGGGTGTTGATCCCAAGTCTGATGGTATTAAGGAGTACCTTGCTGTTTTCCGACAGGTTGGTGTTCCTGCTCACGGTGGTGGTGGTTTCGGCCTTGATCGTATTGTTGCTTGGGCTTTGGCTTTGCCTAGTGTTCACCTTGCTGCTTACTACCCCCGTACTCCCAAGCGACTTGCGCCATAAGGTGGTTGCATTGGTATTGTAGATTGTGTAGATGCTTGTCGGTTGGGCATTTAGTCGTGGAAAAGTTGGGCCATTATAGCGCAAAGGTCATTGTAGAAAGATAGCTGTTTCAATATTGTGAACATTTGAAGACATAGAGGAGACTAAAAGTTTGCTGTGATGTGCTTGGATTGATCTTCGCCGAGCATCATGTTACTGTTATCAGGGTCGTCCCTTGAATTGAGATATCGCCATGTTGTCCTTCCAGGGAGCTTAAATTCTCCATGTTTGATAGACCGCATTTCTTGCCTTGTCGGCTAAGATAAGCTATGGTCCGGGAGTGAAACATGTTAATTGAGATAGGAATTGTCCTCCTGCCGCTATAATTGGTTGCTAAAGTACCCGTCGTCGATCAACATTTACCATGACAGCATCCCAACCATCGCACCAATTCACCTTTCATCCAAGCCAGCGCACATATTCCATTACATTCAACACAGCCATTCAATTCTTCATGAATCCCTTGTTAAAATGGCCTTGCCAAGTACAATCCCAATATATCGCATTTCTTTTCCTCAGCCCATTTCCACATCCCACTCTTAAACTAAAACATCACCAATCACCACCTCCAATGTCTCAAGGGAGGACTCCCCTTCGCAAGCCCGGAATGCCCACAGGGGCTCCATTCCAGAATGTATGGAATACCTAAATCCAAGGGTCATCCCTTGCGTATAGCGCATTGAGCCCTTATATGGCACCCAGGGTCTGTCTTGCTTTGCGATCAGCGCCGTCTTTTTTCTGACCCTTTTTTCCTTCATCGCGCTGAATCGAATTGAGTCGCATAGTGAAGATGGTCGTCGTTTCAGGCTCACCTTGGGCCAAAAAGGTCGCCTTGATCGTTATTTCAATCAACCTCGTCTTTTGGTGGTGGTGTTTCTCCGTTCCCGGTTCAGACGACCTTACACCTCCCAAACCATCGCGCTTCGTAACAGATCAATTACCAGACCTACCCGATCCCAAAGAACTCGAGGAGAAAAAAGCTGCGAAACTAGTAGAAGCTGAAAAAGCTGCAAAGGCAGCGAGAGAAGCAGCTGATCCGAAAGTCGGCAAGAATGGCTTGATGACTTTTCGCTCTTGGAGTAACTTTGAGCTCATCCGACCCAAGAATGACAAGACCTTTTTGTGTCGTCGCTTTAAAAGCTCCCCGCATAAACCACCTCACGTCGAATGGAATCCCAGCGGTGGTGAACTTTCCAAGGGATACGTGTTTATCACGCCGCAGTCTACAGGGGAGGATAGGGGTCTTGTGCAAGCTGGCAGCTTTATCATGAAGCAGAACGCCGAGCTTGTATATGCTCATGATGAGACGCCTTTTGACTCAGAAGGTCTGCGCGTGCAAAACATCAACAATGAACAATTCCTCACGCTATGGCGCGGTACGAGGAAGGGCGCGCACGGATTTGGCCAGGCGATGATCATGAACAGTCAGTATGAGAAGACGATTATTCATCTCGATGCTATCATCAGCAATAAGTTTGGGAAGAAGTTTAAGGGTCAATTGGACTTTCATGAGCAGGAGTTGACGACGAGGGGAACGATCTTGGTTACAGCGTATAACACCACGGCGTTTAATCTTACCCAGATGGGAGGAACGGAGGAGGGTTATGTTTCGGATTCGATGTTCTTTGAGATTGATATTGAGACCGAGGAGATTTTGTTTAGTTGGAGTGCCCTGGATCATTTCTGGCCCGAGGATTCCATGCTGCCGCTTATCACAGAATCTGGCAACGGCACAGCTACGTCGCCGTACGACTTCTTCCATCTCAACTCTGTCCAAGCCGTCAACCACGATTCGTTCCTAATTAGCAGTCGCAACTTTTGGTCCGTGTATCTCATCTCCAGATCGAACGGTAAAGTCCTCTGGGAATTGAGAGGCAATACCAAGGGTGGAAGTTTCGGGAGTATACCGCCTCATGGACGATTCCGATGGCAGAACCACGTTCGGGCGCTGGAAGCTGATAAGAAAGGCATGATCATTAGCATGTTTGACAATCACAATAGTCCTGAGGACCTTGGACAGACGAATTCGCGAGGATTGGTCCTCAAGGTCAACTTACCACCTAAGAAGGACCAAAGACCCGAGGTTCTTCGCACTCTCTCGCCCGACCGTGGAAAGGTCTCGCCGAACGATGGAAGCTATCAATTGTTTCTCAGCAACGGAAACTCCTTCATGAGCTGGGGTGCCGGCGGCGTCGTTCACGAATACGGTCCAGCAGGTGGCCAAGATCTTCGCTGGCAAGCGCGCTTCGGCTACGACGAAACAACCCGCAGCTACCGTGCCTTCAAGGACGTCTGGACCGGCACACCAATGTCCTGGCAGCCTGCCCTCGTCCTTGAAAAGACCGAAGATTCTGTCCTTGGCTACGTGTCCTGGAACGGGGCGACCGATATCGACGGGTACAACTTATACCAGTACGAACCCGGCAGTCCCGCTACACCACTCGGTAAAGCAGCAGCGCTTGGTTTCGAAACGGCTATCGATCTAGGAAGCAAGTTCAATTTGACGAGCTGTATTCTGGTAGCTGCTGTAAGGGATGGACAGGAGCTTAGACAGTCGAATGTGGGGTGTTTGCAGGGGAGGACTTTTGTTAGTACGTTTGTGGATTCGAATGGCATGGCGCAGGGTGATAGTGTTGTTAGAGAGAGTTTTGTTCAGAAGGTTATGCGTTTGTTTGGCGCTCGAGGAGAGCTTTCCCAAACTGGTATGGATGAATGATTGTGTTTTGAGCGATGGATCAGATGGGAGTATGCTTATAGAATGGACTTTTACTAATGAATGACCGAATCAATTTATTGTTATACAAAGAGTGTACTCTGTTGTGTTCTAGCAACTGACATAGGAAATGGCTGCTTGACTGACGTGGAAGCCAGCGTGTACCCAACACTCGACCATAACACCCACTACTACCGCCTGAAAGGCTCATACTGTCCTGTTTGAGGGTTATATATACTAACCACACTAGAGCTCGAACTCAAAGACGGATTAAAACTCTTATTCGTCCTATTCGTCCTCGGCCGCTGATGCATAAGCGTATGCGGTCTCCGTTGCTGATAGTAATGCATAGGAGGCGGATACTGTATATAAGACTGACTCCGATACTGACTCTTTTGATGATGAAAGTACGGTCCGCGATTCCTCAAATTCGCATGCGAAGGAAGAAATGGTGGCGGTTGTATGTACCGCGGTGGCTGATACATCACAGGCTTCGAGGGTGTGGCGACGATAGTCTCAACATCCTGTAAATCATCCTTTGATATACCGGCCAATTGTCTCGGATGAAAGATATTCAGAAGAGCGGCGACTATAAACATAGATCCTGCGTCAAAGACGTAAAAGTAAATCTCGGTGCTTTGAACCACGCCGAGAGGACCAGTGGCGTATTCTATTACGCGGTAGAGGGATCGGACAAGAATAAAGCCGCAGCAGAGATAAAGAACGATAATCCAGCGTTTCCAGGGTATTGTAAGACCTGTGCTTTGACGAGTTGGTGTCTCGACGACACGACTGTGGACGATATGGAGAACAGAGGTGAAGAAGCCGAAGAAGTAAATCTGGAATGAGAGACCGCCGACGATCATGAGTTGGGCTGTTCTTTGTTGGGTGACTAACGTTGCATCGATAAGATATGCAGCACCTTTCACAATATCAGTACAAGCTCTGGAGTGTTGAGGGAGTGGTTTACCTGTGAGTTGTGCTGCGAGCGAGACTAGATCGCAAAAGATGAAGACTTTGGGCAAACCCTTTACCGGAACAAGAGAGTGTGTATCCGCGTCCAAAGCAATGATGATCTTGCTAAGCATCATGTAAATACTAGCGGTCATAAAAGTTGGACCGAGAAGAAGAGCAAAGGTTTGGATTGCGTAGGGAAGGGTGGAGGTTCTGGTTGATAATGCTCGATAGGCATATCCAGCAGCCTCAACTGTATATCAGTTAGCAATCTTCCAGTCTTCGAATGGATGTAAGGCGCTACTTACCAGCACAGCCAAAAAAGAACGGAATAAAAAACCAAGTCCTACATCTCAAGATCTGCAGAAGACACACCAAAGCCGCAGTAAAAAACAAACCCAGCGCTATAAGCGCTACTATAAAAGAGGGATCATAATGGTACAGCTGTGCCGCTGCCATCGTGACGGACCTTTGTCAAGGCCAGTTGTAAAGAGACGTCAGAGTTGGGTGAAAGAGAGAGACATTTTTGGATTGAGACAGATGGGTCGGGAGCGTGTTTTGTCTCGGAATGTGATGGGGTCATGACGATGATTTTAGGAGAGGTGATGAAAGTCTGGGCTGTTGAAGAGACGGATTTGGATAGCGAGGGGATATAATTAGATGTGATGTATCTTCTTGGTTGTTTGGAGGTGATGAATGCGGAAGAGGCTGTTTGCGGTCTATCCACAAGCTGGATGCAGTTGTTTCGCCATCACGTTCGGGTTTCATGTGTTGAAGACTTGAGAGGGGTAAATGATAAGGACGACGCATTTGGAAGGGTATCATCTGGAAGTTTGAAGTTTACAACGGCTGTACCTGAACCGGCGTTCTTGGTTTCTGGATTTGTGGGGATATTGGTAGGTCTGAGATTGTCTTGTTTTGGTGGATACATCGGGTTTAGGTTCGATTTGACGATCAGGAAAACTGGAGGTAGATGATTTCACAATTATAGATCGGATCTCGGCACTCTATTGACGAAACAGGGGCCTCACTGAGTGTCGCTTGGCAGTTTGGCAAGTGGTGGATTGGCAGGTAACTTTGGGGGAGGTTTAACAAACAACAGCTAGACAAGCACTCCAATCTCTTGGTATTTACTTCAAGTACATCTCTACTGTATTACTTACTTCAATAATAACATAAAGATCGTCTATCTATGGATTCAGGCAGATTTGGTGTCAGTCGTTCACGAAAGTCTGCGCTTCCGAGGAAAGCAAGGCGGTATGTCTGTGTCGCGCAAATCAGTTCATCTGAATAGAAACACGTCCTCCAGACAAGATTATTGATGAAGTCCTCTCTGACCCGAGAGCCTAAAGATAGATAACCCGACCTGGACTCGTGTTTCTACAAGATATAAATTTGGAGTTGTGGCGAAGCCACTTGACAATATTGCTTGACCACACCTCGAAAGAGGACTCGGACCTTATAACTGGCTGACTACGACTGAAGTTGAATTTCTGCATACAACGCAGCTGGATGAATCATCAAAATAAGCTTTGCGGGCTCTGGTCGCCTTCAATGAAGGCCGCTTACTGTGGATGTGCTGGTCCCCATTTAGAGACTGACAGGGACCAGTCTTTTAATCGCCGCTTACTCCTCTTGTAACCTGCGATTGCCAGGGGTTTGGGTGCTTACCGGCGGTCCGGCAGTTGATTTATCTCTCTAAGGATATGCAGTGTCTTCAAACACCAAACCAGGATATTCCAGTTGCTTCGTGAAGTGCATCTCAATGTCAACGACAAACCATCATTCTCTCAAATTGCGAATAAATTGAGTACCACTGATTGATATCGAAAAGCAGTAAATAATTGGGGGTGATGAGCTGATTGTTACTCAAACCTACCTAATCAGGCTTTCCAGCCACGATGACGTCCTCACGTGCTGCCTTGTTCACCCTCACAGCCTACTCCAAACATCACCGATACACCTTCAAAAACAACATCAACTTACCTCACCGATAAGATATCGATAGCTGAAATGACAAGAATTCACATCCTCCGCCATGGCCAAGCCCTTCACAAGTAACCGATAACCCTCTCTCAGCTGAGCTAAAAGCTGACAGCAGCAGCGTAGAAAGAGGTTATCCCCACCGTGACCCTCCCCTCACAGACCTGGGCACCCGCCAAGCCAAAAACGCCCAACAAACCATCAAGATCAAACCAGACTTGATCATCGTATCACCAATGACAAGAACCATTCAAACAATGTACATAGTCTTCCGATACCTACTCATCTCGAAGAAAGTAGAGGTTCAAGTCTGGCCTGACTTGCGAGAAGCACACGACGCTACTTGTAATAAAGGCATTGGTCGAAAAGATTTGGAAACAAAATTTCCAGCGCTGAATTTTGGGGATTGTCCTGAGGAGTGGGATTTTCCGCCGCATTGTACGGACGATGCGACGGTGCGAGCCGAGAGGGTGAGACGTAGGGTTGGGGAGATTGCCAGGGAGGGGAGGTATAAGGATGTAGTACTCGTTACGCATCGCGGATTCGCTGCGTTTATGGTGCAGGGTGAGAGATTCAGTGTGTGCGGTAAGCAAAGCAAGACTCAGATCACATGTGAATGTCTACTAATGGTGCAGAATACCGGTCTTACCGATTCGCCGAAGCTGAAGAGGTTGAGAAAAACAGACATGGGATTAACGTGGATTCAGGGCTGAGACAGGACTTTGGACCTACGCTACTGATTCCCTTGGCCGAAGAGTCAAAACGTTAGTTCGGAGAGAGAAGCTAGAGAGTCCAGAATCATCCCGACTTTTGAGGCTGATGTCAAGGTTTACGTCGATCAATTTGGGGTCTGGGGTAAGATCGGCCATTGGACAGGGTTGTAATCGTGATGTCGTCTCACTCAGCCTATATTCACCAGTTTTGGTAATCCAATCAGTCGTACAAGCTAGTGCTACTTTACACGTCACTCAAGTCACGGTACTGGTTGACTACGTATGTGATACTACCCTGTCCATCCTTCAAATTCCATATGGAAATATGCTCCGCCACCAAATACCAGGATCAGATTCCCATGACGGAGTAAACCTCCGCTGAATTTTAAACAAGCAGATTAAGTTCAAGATTCACCAAAGATCCAAACTAAAGCCATTGGGCGAACAAGTACGGAACTATCCAAGACCTTAAAATAAAAGCCCACGAGCCGTTGACACTAAACAAGCCATTTAGAGCGAGATAGCGAATGGTGAACAAGATCCCTGTAGTGGCGGTGTATTTTGGCTGAGCTGAAGGGCTGAGTGAGCTGCACTCTATTTACGTAGCCTATCGTCAGCCAAGGACTCCATCCATGTCAGCACTAGGATGATGCTAGTGCTCACCCGTTCGGCATCACGGCAGCTGAGTTGGAATAATGTTTTGGACTACTGACATGTTTAAATGAAACTTACCTTCCCGCTTTGTTTCCTTGTTTCATCAGTTCTTTTCTGGTCACATTGGAAGAAACCGATAATCAGAGACCTACCATTTGAGATCAGCCATCATGATCTCACCACGTCCCCTCCTCTACGTTGCCCTCGGGCTTCTCATGGTCGTAGCCATCATCGAACTATCATTCATCTCCGCAATGGTAGGCTGGCTTCACAGCACAGCCAGCGGAACCTTCGTGATCCGAGACGGCAACAGAGCAATACCCTTGAAAGGCGAACCAGCAAACTTCATAACCGACCAAGGCCACACAAGCAACGGTGCCGCAGGAACAGCCTTTGTCATCGTCGGTCTAGGAGGAATCATCGCACTATCCCTTCGCAACAGACATAATCCTGGAAAATTCAGTCGCTTGTTCTACAACACGTGGCTCGTCTTCAATGTCCTGAGTTTGCTTCTTGTCCTTACAGCACTTATTTATACATTCGTCGTTACGAACCAACATGATGGTCAGAATATTGTACCTGGCTTTGTTGCACAATTAGACTATGGCCAGAAATATCCCCTAAAGTCGTGGACGCCGCAGGGTTGGTTCGCGGCGGTGTTGGATTTGAATATTAATGACGCTGGTACGAGGAGCGATATTGAGAAGCACCTGAGGATCATGAGGGGATGGCAGTACAACCTCATTCCTTTCTTTATCATTCATCTTATTGAGACGGCGCTGGCTCTTTGGGATGGCATGCAGAGACGAAAGGAACCCATGCCTATGTATGCACCTACCAAGCATGATGTCTAGACGGTATGGATTATGTGGTGGAGATTATTGGATACAGCTTCCCTCGGCATAAAATGTATTAGAGGCATAGGTTAATGACAAATGGCAAGGCCGATTTACCTTCTCAATTCGGTCGCTGTGATTACAAATCCAATGTCAATTTGAGGGCGTACGTGACTCACGCTTTCAGCTGCGGGACTTATACGAAAACCAGCGGGGCTAACTTCAGCCTCACCACCATAAAAGCCAACCCCAACTCACGATCCCCTCTCAAACTCCATTAACGACCACACCAAATTGCTTTCAAAATGACATACTCACTCTTCATCGGCAACAAACGGTACTCCTCCTGGTCAATGCGACCCTGGGTTCTCCTCAAAGCCCTCAACATCCCTTTTGAAGAAAAGCTCAACCTCTTCAAACCCGGCATCCGCCAGCCCGAATTCCTCGCTTTCTCACCATCCGGAAAAGTCCCCTGTCTTCATGACTCCGAAAATTCCATCGTCGTGTGGGATTCACTTGCTATTTGTGAATACATCGCTGAGACATATCCTGAGGCTTGGCCAAAGGATGTTGCGGCGCGTGCTTTTGCTAGATGTGCCGCTGCAGAAATGCACTCTGGTTTCAACGCCATTCGGGACGAGTGCTCCATGGTCGTCGCCCTACGCATAGAGCTAGGGGAGCCGAGCGAGGCGCTGCAGAGGGATATTGATCGGTTTACTGCACTTTTTGAAGAGGGAATTGAGAAGTTTGGTGGACCTTGGTTGGCGGGTGAGAAGTTTACTATCGTGGATGCTATGTATGCTCCTATCGCCTCCAGGTTCAAGACGTATGGAATCGAGGTGAGTGGGAAGGCAAGGGGATATGCTGAGAGGCTATTTGAGCATGATGCTGTGCAGGAGTGGGTGAAGGGTGGTATTGCCGAGACGAGTAGAGAGCCTATGCATGAGGAGGATTGCTTGAGGGGACGAAAGTTGCTTAAGGACTTGACCAAGGAGTAGAAAGCACAGCATTGAGCCGTATGTATCTTATTCTAGCATCTTTACACGCAGCTATGCTATCAATGGTTAACCAGATGGCGATATCTAGTACGGCCACTTGAAAGAAGTAGAAATATTAACAGACCAAGGCTCCCCATCCGTCAAACTCTCAACCCGTCCAAGCAAATGCTCCAACTGTCTAAACGCAGCCGGAGGCGCATACTGCGGCACCATATGACCACTCGTCTTAACAGTCGCAAGCGTAAAACCTCGTTCACTATGAACTTCTCCCTGCACACTTCCTCCAGCCCAGTTCTCCACATTCATAGCCGTGTTGTTAATAACAGGCACAACAAACTCCTCACTCGGGGCTTTCTGGAATCCTTGTTTTCCATTCCATGTTAGACCTTGCACTGCGAGTGCTGTGGTGTTGGATGTGATGATGTAGTCTGCTACACCTGAGCCGATGATTACGTTGTTTGTTTTTTCAACAAGGGTTTGGAATTTCTTTTCGTGCTCGATGGGATCGTAGTGTGGTTCGTCGTCAATGAAGACGGGTCCGGAGCATGATGTCCAGTTCTTTGGTGCGGCGGGTGCATGGATAGCCTTGCGGACTTCGGGAAGGTTGAAGTAAATCGTTGCGCCGGGAGGATTATACTCCACTGATGGGAAACCCAGGATATCCCATAACACAGGACAAGTATCCTGAACATGATAAACGTTGAAGCAAGGGTTGATAACAGGGATGATCTCGTCGAAATGAGCAGTGATATCGCATCCCTTGGTCTGAACCTTCTTCCAAGGCTTTTTAGGAGGAGGGTACGTCAAATGTTCCTCACGATACTTATCCAACCCACACTTCTCATTATCCTTCTCAAGAATCTTCTTATTCTTATCAGGGATAGCAAAAACACTCTCCCAATGTCTAAAGAACGCCGGAAAAGCAGCTTTGTCAAGATGAAGCTCGTCAGCGTACGGCATGACGGGATCGTAGTAAAGTGCGCCCTGAACGTCGTAGTACTCTTTGTCTTTCTTGTCGAGCATGGCGGCACCGACGTAGGGAACGTAGACGCCTGCGTAGGATTCGCCTGTGACGAAGATCTTCTTGTTTTGCAAGGAGAAGGTGTCGACGAGGTTTTTCCACCATTTTGTGAATTGGGCTGCTGTTTCGGTGTTGTTGTGGGCGGTTACGGGGCCGGTTGAGAAGCCTGTGCCGATGGGATATTCGACCCTGGAATGTCAGTAGAGAACTGAGAGTGGAAGGATAGATGGGCTTACCAGATGACGTTGGCAAGTTTGTGCCATGACCAAGCGTTGGGAACGGGTTTGTATGTTCCATACTGCCACTTGAAAGGGCCATTTTCTTGGATGAAGCCTATAACCCATTAATCTTGCACCTTTAGACGAAGGGAAGATATATACCTTCTAGGGATGAACATCCAGGTCCACCATTGAACCAAATAACAACATCATCCTTCCCAGCAGGATTAACAGTTGGGAAGAACCAATAGAAGAACTTTGGATCCTTGGCGCCGTTTTTCTTCAAGTCAACTGGGATTTGACCGGCGTAGCTTTCACCGACGTCGAAGGAGACTTCGGGGATATTATTTGGTGAGACATAGTATGCTGCTGATGTTAGTATGATGAAGATTACTCAGGGTGGTGGACTTACGGGCTGTCTTGGAGTTGTAGTATTGAGTGTTTGTGGGTTTGTTTGTTCGTGTATCGATCGCAGAAGCATTTGCCAAAGCGACAAAGCTCAAAGCCGCAAAGACCACAGATTTCAGACCCATCATGACCAATTCACTCAGCTATGCAAACGAAAGCAAATTGCTCTCCCAACACATCAAGACAAATCAAGTGGTATTTATTCATCTTCGAGGCGACTAGGGTATCTGCCGATCCATACATTCTGCCAATTAATCCTGTTTGTCACTGTCCCGTAATGAGTCGACCGATCGCTTATCAGTCGGAACTTTTGACATCGGCATCATCGAAGGACAAATGTTCCACAGTCTAGTCCGCATTGCAACGTTGATCAGGTCGTGACAGGCAATCCGAGCGCGGATGTTCGGCATAGGATTTCTACGTGCCTTCCTAATGCGGCTGTTTGCGGGGCTGACCATCATAAGTTCTTGTCACTACAAAGGGTCTTTCGATAGTGATAGTGAGATAGGATGGTCAGATAAGAAGATCTACCGATTTGAAGAATTTATTTCAAAAGTCTAGTTTGTCAAACTAATGTGGTTTGCGGAGTGTATTCGAAGTGGAGGGAGGAACCCTATATGCAGGAATACTAACCAGGCATAGAATGACTTGACGATATTCATCACTTGAGCTAGATAATATACATTTCTTAGTTTATAGTATATATGAATGTTTATTTAAACTCCTAGTTAGCACTACGCACACAACGCTCAGTTTTGAGATCGTGCCTAACACCTCAGATCAATGTATGTATCAGGATAGGCAAGTTTCAAAATGAAAAGGTTGTATTGTATGTTCTTTGTTGAACTAAAAATCAGGCTATATCCCATAAGGCGACCTCGCCTGCTCATATAGGTATGTTGAATAACCAAGCTCTATCGCCAATTCTCCTATATGTAAAACCCAAATACCCAAAGTAATCCCAAATGGTCGAAACCCAAAGTTGAAAAGTATATCATGCAGCGCTCATCTCTTTCAAAAGCTTTCGTTGAAACTCATACTTCTTCTCTCGTCGGTTATTCTCTCTTCTTCTAAACTCGTCCCGTCGTCTTCTCTCCGCCCGGGTACTTAGCAAAGCACCTTCTGGACTCTCCCAGTCAAGCGGGACTTCTTGGAAAATAATCGGTGTCCAGACCGGTAGGAGACGTTTGCTGCGGTGGCTGTTTGACGTAGGGAGGATATTCCATGTTTCGTCGGTTTGGATTTCGCGACGTTCGACGGGGACGAAGGCTGATGGCTCGGGAGGATTGAGTTTTAGATACGAGACTTTTCTATCCCGATCAGACCTCCATTCGCGATACTCAATCTCTGCATGTGTAGCTTGCTCATCGCTCAAGTCGAGATCAAACTCCTCTTGTCCCTCTAGCAATGGCGGCTGTGGTTGCGTGGTATATCTAGGTTCCCACTCTCTAAGCTTGGTATGGCGTTTTTCCAGCGCAGACCAATGACTTTCAAGAGCTTTTACTCTAGAATGCAAATCATGCGGCTCATCAGGAATAGGAGCCCGTCGTCCACCTCTTCTTGCAATAGCGCTAATGGTATCTCTAATATCCGTTTCCCGAAGCACAAGCCATGTTAAATCGCGGCGCGTTTCAAGACTGCGTAGTAATTTCGAGCAGAGATTATAATCGTCGCCGGGTAACGATGTAGGAACCATGAGGTCGCGCAACGTGCGGTCGATGTATCGGACTTCGCATAATGTGTTTTCGAGGCGCGCGTCGTTGGGGATGTTGATGAAGGGGTTGCAGCGCTGGAGGAATGCTGTGCCCAGGCGGGTGGCAGCGCTGGAGTCGCTGAGGGGTTTAAGGTTGATGATTGTCCCCGCTTGGACCGCAGGGGCTTTGAAGACGTTGAGAAAGCCTCGGATGGCACTCATGATGCATTTTTTATGACAGAAGGAACATTAAGGAGAGTAGAAACTGATGAGGGAAAAAGGACAGGATGAGGGGAGGCAAAAGATGACCTTGGCTTTCCTGTTTTATTAATACAGTTTTCCTAAATGGGATGACAAGACAAGACGGGCGCCTCAGCGAGCGATCCTTGTCCCATTCCGTTTTGCTCCGCTTGGCCGTGATGGGCTTCAATGCGCGGACATTGCCGCGTGCATAGACCAATGAATTATAAATACACCGCTCCTAACAAAAAGAACAACTCATCTTTTATATCCAGTACTTCCCTGTATTAATGCCAGTTGTCAAAAACACATCGCATTGTCGCGCAACAATTCTCTCCTGATCTCAACCCTCAAATGTGATCGGCATCACATGTAACCAGGTACAGAAAACTTCCCCGCATGCACCGATTTAGGCTTATCTTAGGTACTTTACCACCGAGCCCGATTCTCTTGATCGTACAGGTCCTCATCGTACCCATCGTACTCATCCTGCAAATCCCTCGCGTCAATGCTGCTTCTTGTTCCTTGACCTTCCACTCTTCGAGCGCGGAAGGAGAGGGATTGACGCTCGATACAGCCGTTGATGCGACCGTTGCCAAGAAACTCCATCCAACCTTCGTTGTTTTCGCCGTAAATGACAGGTCCCTGATCTTCACGACCCCGCCATGTAAAGTAAAGTCTATCGTGCGAAGATCGCATGGGGCGCTCGTCGAAGCGTAGAACGCCTTCGTACACACCGAGGTTAAATCGGCCCCAGAGTTCATTGCCGGCGAGCGTGAGCGTCAATTCTAAATCGTCCAAATCGTAGTCCCACTGTTCTGTAACATCGCTTGAGACAAAGTAGTAGTCACCGTTGAGAAGACCCAGAGGAGCGAGTTCATCGTCGTCGTCTCCGTCGCTGCAGTAGCTGTTACCGTCGGAATGGTCAGGAAACTCGGAATATGGGGGTGGAGAATCGTCAAAGTCGCCAGACGGAACGGGAATCCGGCCCCGGGCCGCGATAGCGCCGCCTCGTCGCGCGGTTTGCTTGGTCCGCGGCGGTCTGGCTGGTTCCGAGGCACTTGGGCTGCGACCGGGTCTGATGGCGGCACCTCCTCTACCACGACAGATGGCAGTCTGCTTTTTGGGCGCTGATTGTTCTGTAGCTTTCGCTGTCGTGGCCTTTGGTGGGGCTTTCGCGGGGGCTTTCGGTTGGGCCTTCGTCGTGATTGTCGTCGTGGTTGTAGTGGTCTTGGTCGTAGTTTTCGTGGTGGTTTTGGCGGTCGCTTTCGCTGGTGTCTTCGCTGGGGCCTTTGCTTTAGGCGTAGCTGTCTTGGGCGCTGTAGCCTTTGTCACTGAAGCTTTGGGCGTCGCTGTCTTTGGTGTCGCAGTCTTCACCTTTTTAGCAGCAGCCGTCCCATCATCGTCCGCCTTCCTCTTCGTCGCCTTAGTCTCCGCTTTGACAGCACCCTTCTTCGCCTCACGATCATTCTTAGTCCACTCCTTCTTAAGCTTGCTCTCAATCTTGCCCACAGCATCAGGCACCTTTAACCCACCCGCATTAACAGCATCAAAAAGCCGCATGCGCGCGACCGACTTTGTTTTCGACGGTGGAAGCCCATAGTGAATTAATTGGGCCTCGAACCAGTGCGCAGGGTGGTCCTTGTCGTTGCCAGAGGTGAAGTGTTCTTTGAGCTCGGTGGCCGTGGCGCGTCGATGACGGTTTTGGCCTGACGCTTGGGCGAAGAATACGCCGTCTGCGAATGCGAAGTTGTCTTGGGTTGCTGGTGGTGCTCCTACCCAAGTGTTGGCTGCAGCGGCTTTGGGCATTGTAATGTCTGGTACGCCTTAGTAGACGTGTCTGATTGCGTGTCGCTGGTAAGATTGGGATTGAATTGATGGTATCGTCACTGCCTGGGGTGCCCGTGATTTACTTTTTGTGCGGGCTGCATAAGTGATGCACAATATGCAATCGACATGGCACTATTCTTATGCACGGGTGACAGTAAAGCAGGTGTAGAAGCTTCCTGCATACTGACGATACTGTAGGAGTATTCGACGATGTTTGATGATTATTTGATGGCTTCCTCATAGTACGGTGGCCAATCAGTTAGTCACTGAGACATTTTGTGTCGCTTCTCCAGGTGCCTCACTCAATTGATCATCCCCATGTAGCTGGCGGCCTCAGCGTCAAGTCATTCAACCAAATGGGATGCAATGTCTTAGCAAGCAATTAATCACAACATCATTTCTTGTCAAACATCCAACATCACTTTCATGAAGATGAATGTCACTGACGATGTTTCCCCTCAGTTATTCCCAGTAGGTTATCCATTCCTTGGCTCAATGACATGCACTCGCCCTCTGATTCCCTGAGAATCCCTGTGAACCCGCCCATTATTTTTAGAGAAAATAAGGTTGGCACAAGCTTGGCAAGATCTGTGACGATGTTCAGGACCATAACCTGATAAGAAAGCAATCAACATCAACCACGTTTCTAATCTGCCACTCATAGCTCTTCTGTAGCGATACAATGGGGAAACCAGCAGGTAATCACCCCTGTAGTGACGTCAAGCCCATGTTCAGGACTTCCCTGAGGAGCTGAATGACTGTCGCACCATGTTCAACCCCGCAGACGACACATGGAAAGCTCCAGCTTCAGCTCCATCCATCGTCATCAACAGTATTTATTTAACAATTCCCTACAATTAAAACTACTTTCTTCTTGTTCCGTTTCTACCTTTTGCATTGTTACTATCGTCAAAATGAACAACATGTCCTCCCTCAAAGATACTCTCACTGCCTCTGGAGGCACAGAGTCCGCAGGTAAGACAGCTCCCCGTTCCACCATAGCTCCGAGCTGACACCCCGCAGGCTTCCTCAACGACATCATCGCCCAGCTATGGCCAAACATCAATGTCGCGGCCGGAAAGATCATCAAGGATACCGTCGAGCCTATGCTCGAGCAGATGCTCCCTGGTCCTCTGGCGAACTTGAAGTTTGTCAAGGTGGAGCTTGGACCTGTTCCCCTCAAGCTGTCTCATGTTGATGTCCACAAGACGACACAGGAGGGTATCAAGCTTGATATGAACTTGGATTGGGATGGAAAGTGCGATTTTGAGCTTGATGGGAGCATGGTTCCCAAGATTGTGAGTTGATTCACTACAGAAGCTCCTGGTGGAAGATACTGACTATCATTCTAGGGTATCGAGCATGTCAAGCTCCGAGGACGACTTTCAGTGCTGCTGTGCCCTCTGACAAACGTCATGCCTTTGGTTTGCCATCCCACTCAACTGGAAGACTGTCCATACTGACCAGTGTATAGATCGGCGCCGCACAAGTCGCCTTCATCAACCCCCCATCCATCGAGCTCGACTTCACAGACGCAGCCAATATCGCCGACCTCTCCATCATCGACAAAACCGTCCGAAAGGTCATCCTCAACGTAATCTCCTCCATGGCCGTCCTCCCCAACCGCTTCCTCGTCAAACTCGACAACAGCAACGACTACTTCAAGACCTTCCAGCCTCACCTCGGTGTCCTCCGCCTCACTGTCGAGGGTGCTACCGAGATCACTGGCGAGAAGAAGAGCGGAGCCAAGAAGCTCCTACAAAAGATCATCAAGGATGTTCCTGACTGTTACTGTGATGTCAACGTCGGTGCGGAGGGCGAGTGGCGCACCGAGACTATCAAGAACAAGCATGATCCTCAGTGGAATGAGACGCACGATTTCCTGGTTACGGACTATGATCAGCAGATCACCATTGATATCAACGATGAGGATCTTGGTGGTGACGATGATATCGGTATCGCTACCACCACTGTCAAGGAACTTCTTCTGAACAAGGGTACTCAAACTCTTGGCCTTACCCACAAGGGCCAACATCTTGAAACCAAGGTTACTATCCACGGTAAATTCTTCAACTTTGTCGGCGAAACAAATAGCATTTCTACCAACCAAAGCCGAAACGAGGGTGAAATCTGCGGTCTAGCTACCGTTCTCATCGCCAGCGTCAGTGGTCTGAACGGCAACCGCGATGAGCTCAAGCCCAGCGTAAAGGTAACATGGGGCGACAAAGAGTTCGTCACACCTGTCAAGTCCTACTCTCCTGGCACAGACATCTTCAACCCATCCTTCGACACAGCTTTCCGCTTCCCTGTTACTGCTGAGCAGCTTTCTAATCCTTCTGCTTTCCGACTGGTGCTGCAGAATGGTGCCAATGAGCAGGGAAGTGTTGATGTTCCGTTTAACAGTGTGTCTGGCGCTGAGGGTATGGTGAGGGAAGAAGAGTTTGATGTTGGATCCGGTGTTACTGTCAGAGCTCGTGTTGCTGTTCGAGGTCTGCAGATGGCGCAGTAGTGGTTGAAGCAGTCGGACCTAAGCAATAAGGTAGATGACAGGACTTTTAGCATAAGTAAGCAAGCAACAAATAGTCTTTTCAGTATCATTATAACGCCGCTTACCCCGAGATATCACCAAGTGATAACGTACAACGTATATAGGAATACTAACTGGCAGAATAGCCTGACAACCTGACCTTCATAGTTACACATACATCGATTGGTTGTCTCGTAGCTTCCTTCATGGATTGCGATCACGTCGAAAGGCTCAGGTGTTCTATTCTTGATGTTTCTCTGTAAGTATGGTAACTGGAAGCTGCGTGAAAATACCAAGTTATCATGAACTGCCAGTTTATCCATCGTAATTGAAAAGTGATTTCCACCTTTTCAATGAACACTGACTTTTACCCTGCACATGCCCCTTCAAGAGGTAACAACTGGACTACAATCTTGCGTCTCCAATAGATGTTTTGCTACTTACTTCACAGTCCAGTTGCTTAGCATGGTGACAATTCACCGTAATCTCCCTCAACGTGATATGAAGCTGGCAATTGATTTCAATTGACTTGGCAATACGGATATCAACAGTCTGTACGAGGCTGTTTTTACCGACTAGTGAAGCCAAGACCTGCCATTGCGCAAAAAGACCAATCGAAATCGCCACAGAAACAAGATGAACTTGAGAACACGAGGTTTCAGAACCTTGCTTTGCCTGCCCGGTAGATCTATGCATATCTCAGCCTAGTCTGGTCGCCGCTAGGATGGTAACCTAATACCTTATTGGAAATAGAAGTGCCTCTCTTCCGTCTAGTGTTCAGCTTTGACCTCCTGCTCTTCAATCCCCAAGTTGACGATGCGGATTGGATTGCTGATCTGCTACCAAAACGATTCCGCACTTTTCTTGGCCGCAGTCTAGTTCAAGAAGATGAAAACTTGGTTGTGGCTGGGAGAAGTCTAGAACAATTTTAGTCGTAGTTCCCGCGGGTTCTTCGTATGGTGTCTAAAAATAGCTAATTAAGGGAGTCTTAGCGCACGGGGCCAGTGTTCTGGAATTTTACGAAGATGTTCTTGTATAGCATTTTGTGCTTGGGCCCTTACTAGCTTGGCACGAGGACAGGACATGTCCGTAGCCTTATGCACGACGATGTAACCGTAGTTTAAAATTGCCTCCAAATTAGACGATAAAAGCCATCGACTTCCACCTCTTGTTTCAATCCGATCTCCTCATTCCATCCTCGCCACAGACGTTCGTTCACACATTCGCTATCATGAAGTTCTTCACCGCGCTCACTATCGCCAGCGTTATCGCTCCGGCCGTTGCCGTCCCTGCTACTTACCCTGCCGTTAGCATTAAGGCTGATGGCACTTGCATCAACCCTCCCAAGAGAGTTGAGTGGAGAGAGCTTAGCGCTGCCGACCAGAAGGGTTATATCGATGCTGTTCTTTGCTTGAAGACTAAGCCCTCTCGCATTGGTCTTAAGAAGTCTACTCTTTACGATGACTTCCCTTACGTTCACTTTAAGCTCAACGACTGGAGTAAGTTACCACAGTCAATACAATCAATTTGACATTTACTAACGTGTTATAGTCCACGGAGCCGCTCCATTTCTTCCCTGGCATAGATACTTCGGCGTCGTCTACGAACAGGCCCTCCGAGACTGCGGTTACAAGGGTCCCGGAACATACTGGGACTGGACAAAGGATGCTGCAAAGGGTCTTCTGAGCTCACCTCTCATGTCCGATAAGAACTTCGGTGGCGATGGAACCTGGGATCGAACCGAGGAAACCACTTCCGGCGGCACTCGCAAGTGTGTCAACACCGGGCGCCTCTCCAAGCTCCGCCCCTACTACCTCGAAGACGAGCCCAAGGTTCTCGAAAGCGGCGGCCACTGCCTATTCCGCAGCATGCCCGAAGTCTCTGAGCCTGAGGCCTACCAACAGATGGTTCCTACCATTAGCAAGAAAAACATCGACGCGCTTGTCAACTCCAAGAACTTCACTTACTTTGCTCCCACCACCGAAGGCGGTCCTCACGGCTCCATCCACGCTTCTCTCGGTGGAGAAATGAACCCTACTACATCCCCCAACGAGCCTCTTTTCTTCTTGCATCATGCCCAGATTGATAGAATCTGGTGGATGTGGCAGCAGAAGAAGGCTGGTCGTGATGCTGAGTACACTGGTCAGGGTATGCAGTATCCTAGCCGTGAGCGAAAGGATGTTAAGCTGGACGATGTTTTGAACATGTGGGGTCTTGCTAAGGACTTGAAGATTAAGGATGTTATGAATCCTTCTAAGGGTCCTTTGTGTTACCGCTACTAAGTGGTGTCTTTGAAAGGTTTACATGCATAGCAAGGCGTTGTTTGGGCATATAAGCATTGATAGAGTAATAGTAAAATAATACCACAGACTTTGATTCATTCTTTGCATAAGGTAGTTGTGAAGATAACCGCTAGGCCAAAGTACCCAAAAATAGAGACCCTGTTACTTGCGGTAACAGTGACTTAGGGCTAAATTGCTTCGTGACAGTAGTCCCTAATCTTGTCTTTGTGAAGCTTGCGTCGTGAACAAAGGTATCGCCAGTCATTGAATCTGCTGTTATGGGCATGAAGTGCTGAGGCCTGCCTGTCTGTGCTGGGGCGTTAGAGATCGCGTCTATAACAAGGACCAGATGAATGCTTACCATTACTAATACTCAATTGCAGTGCCTACCAGCATCAAACAGCCTAAAAGCCATCCGGTATGGTGTAGTGGCTAACATTTCGCGCTCTCATAACCTGAGAGATCAGTTCCGCGGAGCCCAGGGTTCGAT